CGTCTCTTTCTGCATCCGCGACGAGCCTCACTGATAATCTCCCCCCGCCAGAAGACCACATCAACAAATCCAACATGGAAATCTGCCCCGAAGACACCCAAATCTACACAAACATGCAAGAACTCGCCGACGAGCTACCCGATAACACTCCACGATATATCTTGCTGAGTTATCCCTTGACACTGGTTCGTACAAAACCCCTCGGCCTTCCCCTCTTCAGCTCTGAGCTGTTCATCTGGCTTCCACGCTGATTGTTGTGTAGTCCTCCGGCCGCCTCTCAGTCCCCTACGTCCTGATAAACTACCTCCCACCAACCTGCAGCGCCGAAAACCGCATGCTGTACGCCGGAGCGAAAGAGTTGATTCGTAGTACATCGGAAGCTGGGAGGTTGATTGAGATTGATTCGGCGGAGGAGTTGGAGGAGATAGAAGAGGTTTTGAAGGGGGAGGATTAAGCAGAAAGGAGATATGATGCTATGATTGAGGAATGATGTGCTCTCAGTGGCATACAAGGCCATGTGGAAGAGGGTATGAATGGGGTCGCGAACGGCCAGGATTAGTCGGGCTCGGCGTACGAATGGAGGAAATGCATAACTGAAAGAGTCGACGTCACGCCATGACTGCGCAGGTCAGTGTGGATATGAGCAGGGAGGCATAGATGTTCGAATGATCGATGCAGTTGTGAATGAAGTGGGAGGAAGCATCAGTTTCTCGATTTTCACTTGACGAACTCGTTCTACATCATTCATTCGGTGCTAGCCTCACGGTTCTGGGGCGACTCGAGCACGTCAACTCGAGAAATCGCATAGAAAGCGGTCGCATACGCCAATGAAGCTTTGCGACAAGGACAAAAGATCAACGGAAGAAGTAGGGCACATCTCACTGTTCTCCATGCAATCTGTGTGTAAAAGTGTTGCGTCTGTGCATAGTAGTGGAAAGAAAGAAGTTTTCGGTTGAATAAGATACTAATGCGCCAAATTGCGTATGGGCCTGTCGTCCTGTTGTAATGCTGCAATCGTTGTTGTTGGGAAAAGGATGATTTTGTCTCATGCATTACAAAGACCATAAAGAAGACTTATGAAGGTGGTTAATGAGAGGCTCTTTTGTGGTTCTCGCGATGAGTGAGGTGATGTTTTCTGGCGTTGGTTGAATGATTGGGGCCCTGGGGTATGTGGTTAAAGTCGTAAGTGACAAGCAGCAGAACCTGGTCCATCTGCTCTTCCCGCTGCTCCGGTGGTTGTCTTTTGGTAGAATGGGCTTGTCATGATCGCACACGCGCCGGAATCCATGCCTCTGCCGCGCGCACTCGGTGTGTGCAGGGCGTCTCGTTGTCGCCCCTCTTTCTCTGCTCCTGAGGTACCCAATGCTGCAGTTCTCGATTCGTCTTGTCTTCTCCCAGTTCCGGTCATCCCCGTTCCCCGCTTATGCACGATACTGTCGCTGTGTGAATATCGCATCGCATATTGCAGCACACTCCACATCTTTCGTGTTTCAGGCACGAACGGCGCAGTCTACATGACTGTGCATTTCCCACAGCACCCAGCGTCTTGCTCCTGATCCACTTGGAACTCATCCTTGGGCTTGCTGCCCGAACCACCGCCACCGGGGTATCCCGACATGTCCTTGTTGTATTTCCTGATTTCGCGCACGATGTCGTAAAAGGCGTTCTCCACATTGATCCTCGACTTGGCGGATGTCTCGATGAATTTGCAGCCAAACTGTCGTGCGAGTTGTCTGCCCTCTGTGGTTGGATGCATGGTTAGCAAATATTCCGCATTGTGCAAGCTCGTATGCAGGTACACTATGTTTCACCGCGTGCACGTATATAGTGTCGTCGTGCACTTGTTTATTCCTCCGCCGCTGTACGCCGAACAAAAAGAGATAACGGGCATGCATACCTTCTGTGCTCACTTGTCGCTCGTGCTCCAGATCGCACTTGTTGCCCACGACGATGATGGGGAAGTAGTCCTTGTCCTTGACGCGCAGTATTTGTTGCTGGAATGTCACCATCTCTTCAAAGCTTTGCCGTGATGTGATGCTGTAGACCAATAGGAATCCCTCTCCTGTCCGCATGTATTGTTCGCGCATGGCCGAGTATTCCTCCTGTCCGGCGGTGTCGAGCACATCGAGGAGGGCGACTTCATCGTCGATCACGCATTGCTTGCGGTAGGAGTCTGTCAGACGGGAGGTGTCAGTGTATGGAGCTCAATGGCAGTGCGCAATGCCAGGTCGGTGAAGGCGTGTCCGCGGCGGCTGGACGGGGGCGAGATACCTTCGATGGTCGGATCATACTCGTCGACGAAATGCGATTGGATGAGTTGGATGGTCAGACAGGACTTTCCCACACCACCTCCACCGACTACCACCAGCTTGTATTCCCGGAGGAACTGCGACATGACTGTCAGTAGGCTGCACAGGGCCGAGCTTTGCGGCGCCGCGTAGGGAGCACAGAGAGGCGGCGCGTGCGAACAGGGCAACGGAGGGTTGTTGGAAGGGATGCAGCAGCAGCAGTGGGAGGGAGTGGAGTGCGGCGTACTTTGGATGCCATCTCGAAGGAGCAGAACCAGCAGCAGGCGTTGTGTGCCTTGGTCGTGCGCTATGCAGCGGCGGGATTTGAGTCGCGGGAAGCCGGTACCGTGGCGACGCAGATAGTGTGTGCAGTGAGCGGTCGGGGGGATCCAAGAAGCACGAGATGCGCCTTCGGCTCGGCGAGCTGCTGCAATGTGATGACGCCGATCGCCAGGCGAGGGAACGTGTGGGTGGGTGGGTGTGATGAGAGGAGCGGCCAGCCAGCCAGCGGAGCGGGACGCAGGTCAACGCGCGAGTCGTCACGTTCCGTTGGCAGCGGGTGCGGAATGGCGACGATGTGACAGCAACGACGAGGCGTGCGCGGCGACGGTGCGGTGGTGGAGGGCGACGAGGTGGCCGGCGGAGGACAGCGAGTACAGCGACAGGAATGCGTGCGTGCCGTGCTACACCCAGCAAAATCGCCCAAGCGCCGTCAATCGCTGTGAGCGCGCTCCACTCGGCGGGTGCGTGGTGAGTTCTGGCGTCGTTCTAGCGAACCCACCGTGCTTGTTCAATCAAATGGTCCAACCTCACCACCCAACCTGTTCATCTACTCCTCCCAGCTAGCTCTGTCCTCGTTATTGTCGCCTCCCGTCCCCTTTTCTACTCATCTCCTCTACGCCACACATCACCTCGCTGCCTCTTCTCTCGGGACAAATGACCATCTGCGATAGCTCTCCCCCGAGGCGCCCTCCGATGATTTCATCACCACATGTCTGACGGCGCGCGCGAAAAGCCTCCGCCGTTCCAGAGCAGACATGATCGACAACGCTACCGGCTTGTATTTTCCACGAACAGACACAACCCGGCTCCATACGCACAAGCTGCTCTCCTGCTTGTCGAATCGCGCCCAGCTCCCTACTGCACCTCCTCGCCATGCCCTGTGCCACGACTGAATAGAGCGCCCGCCGCCAGCCAATGGACTGCAACGACGCGCTGGCATGCACGACACTGCGCGCGCTCATGAGACAACTGTTCCAAGCGCGTGAAGCTATAGCACCTGCTCTCCCACCTATATCACCCACCGGTGTCGGCTCAATGGCGTCGTGGGCAGGAGACTTTGGCTGCATGGTCGATGCCCTCCCCGATCGCAGCCACAGCAGCCTCTGACTCGGACAGCCGAGCTTGCAATGCACTCACGCACGCTTGACGCCTCGCATTTCTGCTGGTTCACGGGCATCGATCCAACTGACGCCAACTACTGACCTGCAGCTGCCATTGCAACTCAAAATTGCTGTGTGAACCTGAGGTTGATCTTTTCATCACGTGACCCACGCATGATGCGTAGCTGCCCGACGTTGGCAGACAGCTGCCAGCACAACTGCTGCCCCCCAGACACAACATTTTCCCCACGAGGCCATAGCTTCTGCGATAGCGTCCACGGCTGCAAGTCGGCTCACGGACCGTCACTCTACACCATGTGGTGCACATGGCCCCCTGCAGCCGGACAAAAAACTGCATGCAGACACGAACCACAGGAGCCGGCATGGAATAGATCTCGTTGATTTGCTACAATCTTGATTGTCTATGGCTTGATCGCTTATCACCCACATGCCCAGCACTGCATGCTGAACATGTTCTCGCTGTTGGTGACCATGGGTTTCACAGCAGGTGAGGGTGTGGTCGGATGAGATCCCAGTGGACGATCGAGGGGTTCGCCGCAGACGACGGGTACGAGAGCTTCGCGGATGCCATCCAGGCGAATGCTTCTGCATGTGAAGGATTGCGAACCCCCGAACTGCCATCTATGCTAGTCTGCAGAAGCGAGACCAACACGCCACCAACATGCGCAGGGTCGCTAAGATGATCAAATGGCACAGCGAACCCACACACGCAGAATCCATTGGACTCAGCAATAAATGGTAATCGTGAGTATCAGATGTGCACGCCTCCAGCAGAGCAACAATTTCTCACTACAACCACCAATGCTTATACAGACCCCGTTGGGCCATCAATGCTTTGTCTCGGTCGAAATTTGCGCTTTGTCCAACATTGCAACGTTGTCTCGGCGGCGCCCCATTGCTGGAGCTCCACCCATATTGGAGCAGAGACCTGCGAGCAGAACAATTTGAGCCTCGCTCATTTGGAACTGCGCACCGCGCCGGCATATGGCGTACTTGAATGCCAATTCCGCTCAACTGCAACTCGCCCAGAGCAAAGTCTTTCTGCAAGCAAAATGGATATTCTGCAAGGTAGGATGTCGAATTCCAGAAGCCTATTGGGACTTCACCTGTCGACAGGCTGCCACTCGACTCAGACATCTTGAGATTGAACATTTCATGCCGAGCCTTGACCCAGACCAGCTCTTCTACACGAGATCCGGCACGCGAATCTCGAGGCGTCTGTATCATAGGCAATAATAGCTGACCACTTGAGGCCCATCATGGCGCAATATGCTGACAAGGTATCGTAGAGTCTCATAGACGATTATTGATTCAATTCTATTAGTCCACTGCCAAGCTTTGCAAGAATGCGCGACGGGTGTGGCTGCCTGGTGCAATCACCACAAGACAATGGAGCGGCGTATCTTTCAGACTTCTCTGCACAAGCGCTCGAACCCGGAACAGCTGCAGACGGCTTGAGGCTTGCGAGGTCAATGGGCATTGCCGGAAACTACAAGACATTACACAAGCTCAATGTACCGAATCCGACAAGTGAAGCCTGCAGATCTCACTAGCAGTGTCCCTATACGCGTCAAACATGCCGTAAGGCAACGCGAGATTGCCAGATTAAATGCATCAATTATTTGTCCTAGATGCGCTGCTCTGCAATGGCTTCCCGACGACGTTTTATGCATCATTCTTGAATTCGTAAACTGTGGGAGCGAGGACCATCTTTCAGATGCCAATCGATATAAGTCTGGTCGAAAAAACGTGCAACACTTATCCATGGTCAACAAGCGTTTTCGACGCTTCTTCGAACCTCATCTCTTTCGGAGCATCTCGTCTCGACGCGAGTGGACGGCGGAGAAGTTTACACGCGCGATCAAGGTTCTTTCACACTCACACATCGCACCTTACGTTCAACAAATCCGCATCGACGTCTCTTTTCCCCGAACCCCACGCAGCAACAACACATATTCCGACATTGCAACCCTCGGACCTCTAATCCCCAAACTCCTCTCAAAACTACCAAACCTCTCCACCCTCACTCTAGAAACCGCTCTCGACACCGCAGCAACCCCCCGCACCTCCATCCTAGAAACCAACATTCCCATCCTCCACACCCTCACCCACCTAAAAATCCCCATCGAACTAGACTGTCTCCTCCCCTTCTGCCCAAAACTCACCCACCTGGATATCCAAAACCTCCGCTCAGACGACTCCATCTCCCCCTTATTCCCCTACAGATCCAGCTCCCAACTCCTCTACATCTTCTTCACCAGATCCTCCCCTCACCTCCACAAACTTCAACATTTCAGTCTCGCAACATATTGGGATGAACTCCTCCTCCGAAGAGTTTTGACTACGATGCCGAATTTGATCAGTTTGGGAATGTATGATCAGTGGTATCGGGAAAAAATTCTCCAAGGTACTAGAAGTTCTGGCTGAGTTTGGGAATTTGAACAGGTTGGGGGTGATTAGTGCTTTGAGGCTTGAGGGGTTTATTGAGCCTGTTGAGGGGGAGGGGGGTACGGTGGGGTGTGTGGAGCATGATGAGATGTGTGGATGTCATAAGGCGCAGGCGGCGATGGTGATGTGTTTTAGGGAGTTGGAGGGGTTGGAGGAGGTGAGAATTGGGGATGATTTTCGGGGGTGGGTTGTTGGTGGTGGAGGAAGGGAACGGGTACTTCAGTGGGAGACTGGAGTGTGGATTGGTGAGAAATGGGTGAGAACTGAAGCGGAATATGAGCTGAGGATTCCGCCTTGGGGCAGCCTAATATATGGGATGGGGTGTGGGCATTGGGAGGGAATGGAGCCGACGAGGGGGAGGTACATTTTGAGGGAAAGTGATGCCTCCGATTGAAGTCTAGTGGTAGACAGCGTGGAAATACGAGAATTGAACATCTCGCTGCGGCGACACATTCCCATCGCCAGGAAACAATATCGCGCTTCAATTTCGCCCATAAGCCCGGTGGTGGTTCGCATTGCTTCGGTATGTCGAACGAGTTCATGAAACGGAGCTCTCTGGTGTCACTCCTCGTTCCCGAGTCGCCTGGGTCCCGTTCGCCATGGATCGGTGCCTGGGCCACAAGCGGAGTTTCTCCTAGCATGATGAAGACCATTGTCTAGATCCTTGAGATGCGCTGCATTTCCACCAAAGCGATTCGCTTCGTCCAATGTCGCTTCTCATTCATGTCCACTACGAAACTCTTCAATACCGCACCACGGAACGCCTCGCTGCGGAACCATTGTGACCAGCTGATACAGTATGTTACAAGCCGACCTGGCCACACCCACTCATGCTCATTAGATCGTCGTCTCTTCACCATCTTCGCGCTGTCTGCCCACGTCTTCTAATTCATCACAGCGCCTTCCTCTCCACCTTCCGCCCCACTTCTCCAGGCTCTTAGATTCGCTCGATGCTGCGCGCTTAGACCTGCTCGGCACCCCAACCAGCATCCGCATCCCTCATATTCGCAGGTGGTTCGATGCTTGGTGTAAACTCGAGCACGACGTACGCGATACCGACGAAGACGACAAGCGCACCGCTGAGGTACTTCCACCTAGATTGATCGTCAGAATGCGCTGGCAGGAGTGAAGGATTATGATGTGACTGTACCATCTGTCGCCCATCTGGATACAGCCAACAAAGATGTAGACTGCGCGAGTTATGTCAGTGCTTTGCTTCTTCTTGTTTTCCCAGCCAGCCCGGCCGGCATTCAGCTCGATTTCTCTTACAAATTCCGCGTCCAATAAATGAGAACATGAAAGAAGCATATCGTGCGACCTGAGGTGGGATCTGGAATTCTGCACAGGAGATTGTCAGCGCGGGTTTCGAGATCGAATGTGCGTGATCGCGTGTTGGGTATCATACCGAGACCAGCCGTTGCTATAAGAGAACAGAATCCATTAGCATTTGATCCTCGTATTCAATGATAAATCTCTCCTCGAACTTACCCAGTCCAAAGATCCAGAGGTATACGGCGAGAATGATTCCTTGCCTGTCGCATCGCATGAGTATCCCGTGTCCCCATCATCAGGAAGTGAATGCGCAAAGCCATCTTACACTGTGATCCCAGGCCAGAACTGTCCAACACCTCCCAGAATGATGAAAATACCCACGGCCAAGTTCACGATTCGGCTACACAATCCCCAGTCAGCAGTATTCTTCTTCCAGCCAGCTGGATTTCGCGCCAGTGGTTGTAGTGGACTGACAAGATATCTGAGAAGTCCATCTTTGCGCGATCGTCGGGGTGAAAGGCACTGTTGGCGCTGTTGATGGTCCGCGACAGGTTATCAGAGGAAGATGAGCGGTGAGAGAGGAAGATGAAGTGGTTGTATTCGGTGGATTCGGGTGTTTTGTTGAAGTCTGGAAGCGGAACTCTCCTGGCTGGCTGAAGCACAGCTGGAGCTTCGTGCTGGTTGGGCCCGTGCCACGCGAGAGACGTCACACTGCACTGCCACGAAGCGAACGAAGCACGCGCCGGATCTTGATTCCGTACTACAACATGGCATAAATTATCGGGATTCGAATGCCGCATCACTGAAGTCGAGGAAATGGTCTCGAGATGAAGGTGATGGCACAGCACTTGTTACATGTCTCTGTCTACAATTTGGCCTTCGTCTTCAATGCCTCCTCAGCCAAATTGACAGCAGCCTCCGCTACTCCATACGACGATTGGTATCCATACCCGCCGTGGCCGTAATTGTGCACAATTGTAACCTTTTGCCCACCTGGACCCGACAACACTTCCTTCTCGACACGAATACCGCCCTCACGCATTGGCCTCAACCCAACACCATGTCTAACCACACTCAGAGCCTCAATTCCCGCTCCCTTTGGAACCAAACCAGGACAAAGTCCTATGGCACGCTTCATAATCCTTGTCGCAAGATTTGGATCTGGTTGACTCTCCCACTGGCCCACCTGTAGACATCCACCGAGGACTGTGCCACCACCAGCAGCGCGCTGCATGATATAGCAGGCCTCATCGTCGCCATCGTCTGTGCCGGAGGTGGATGCCATAAAGCCTGGCTCATTCCGCACAAGCACGATTTGGCCTCTTGCAGGGTATACGTTCTTATCCTCGACGCCTCCCAGCTTGAGTGATGACAGACCCGTGGCGTTGATGATCAGATCAGCTGGCTTGCCAGTGTGATGGAGATCCGCAGCTTCAGAGATGTGCTTCAGAATCCCTCGCTTGACCACCGATCCATGTTTGAGGAGCTCTGATACGAGCCAAGGTAGGTATATGGCCGTGTTAATGCATACTGACGTGAAGACGGTGCCTCCATCCATGCCTTCTGGAAGCTCTGATTTTGACAGGACTCGGAACTGCTCATTCGGTTAGCATTTCGACAATCTCGGAATGTGATGTAATTCACCTTGGGCACCACATCACGAAACCACGCATCTTCTCGAACTAATTCCTTGAACCACTCGGCGATGGGCGTCCCGGCATCCTTGGCTCTTCGATATACGTACGAGTCTGGCGTCATCATCAGTGACCACTCTCTTTCCGGGTAGCATGCTAGAACAAACCTTGAAAGTGCACGCCAGCTTCCGGAACATCTCTCGCAAGGCGTTCGAGCTCCGGCCATGTCGCCTTCTCCCACGACTGGAAATCTGTATTCGGCTTGCTTACACTGGGCGACAATTGGTGAGCGGGTGTGTAATGTTTGTGCAGACTGATCACATCCTCAACTGAGATCGAGCCGAGCGGATATTGCTGTACTGCAATCGTGGGAGTTGTACTCACGGCAAGTAATTCGCTCCTGCCCATGGCGAAGCATATTCGATGTCGTAGTCGCCGGGCATGTGCTTAGCGATTACAGTGACATGGTGACCTTTCTTTGCTAGTAGTAACGCTGTGGTGAGGCCTGAAACTCCGGCACTATAACACCATGATCAGTCAATGGCTCATAGATGGGATTTTAGTAGCTTCTTGATAGCTTCACGCACCCAAGCACGACGATGTTCGACATTCTTGATCGTTGTCGAGCCAATGGTTGAGACGCAGCTGTACTTATTTCGAACAAGTAGTGGTCTGCACTCGAGATTTGTTTGTTGAGAAATAGCGATTAGATGGTGAGTACAATCGAGTACAATGTAGTACTGCAGCCGCCTTCGTCCAAAAACCGGGCCGGTATCGAATGTACAAGCGAGGAAGGTGGGTCCTTTCTCACGCCCTGCGCCTTGGCTGCCCGACGGCCGACGATAGGCGGAAGACTTCGAGCAACACACCGACTTGCATGTGCCGTGATCATCCAATGCCTCGTAGGAGGTACAAGCGCCAGCTATTCCGGCTCATTGACCTGCAGAGACAACATACGCAGAAAGCCACACATCTCAACGCGTCCCCAATATTCAAAGAGCTCACCAACCCGTCTTACAACTCGGCGGATACTGCAATGCACTCTTGATCGCCTTTTCCACCCTCTCCGCATCAATCTCAAACACATAATTCACCTCTCTCAAAGCCTGCGCTTTCGGCGCCAGAGCTTTCTGATACGCGTGAATATTCCCATATCTCGAACTCGCATAACTTGTATCAACATCCAAGTAAAACTTGGTACTATTCGTCACCACAGACGGATCCAACATGATCGCAGCAGTAGTTTCATCCCAGAAAGAGAAACTCGTATCTGCGTAATCATGATAGAGACGCGTATAAGGGTTTTCGACTTGGATGAGATCGTCGAGGAATTCTTGTGTGACTGGGATTGTGTTCGTGACGGCGCTGGTGATGGTGATGTTGGGGAAGTCGGCTGTCAAGGCGATTTTGGTTCCTTCGGGGTCGATCATGAGGTTGATGTCGCTATTGATATCTGCAAGAAGTGTGGTTCCGCTGGCTTGTAACAAGTTCACGTCGATGTATCCGCCCATGATGATGAGTTCTTTGGCATTTTTGGCAAAGTTTGGATCGATGCGCACGGCGAGAGCAATGTTCGTGAGTGCGCCGGCAGAATAGATGCTAATCTCTCCAGGATATTTTCGAACTTGTTGAACGAGGAATTCTGCGGCAGAAATGTCGGACGCGAATGTTATGTTTGGATAGCCCTCTTTGAATGCCGATTTGGAGATTCGATTGGGATCGCCAGAAGTTGGATCGTTGCCCAATGCTTCAAATGTCGAGTTCTCCGGTGCGAATGCGCCTTCCCAGGGTAGGACGCCATGAACTTCTTCCCAAGCCTGGAACAGTGTTGGGGTATTGAGAAGTGGGTAATCGGCACCACGGTATACTGGTATGCAGCCTAGGTCGCCGACTTCCAGAGTCGCCAGTGCGTGGAGTCCACATTGGAGTGCCCATGTATTCGAAGTGTCGCTCAATATCCCAAGCACATCCCATCCTGCTTTGACTGCTTGCAGAATTGGAATGAAGCCATTCGTGCTCCAATCATTATCAAGAATCACTTTGGGTGCTGGTGAAGTGTTAGTCCGTGTCTCAAGTAACATCCATCGTCCGAGATATGGCTGTGATAAACTTTGATTGTGCGAAGCAGGCCTTCGCCGGCAAAGAAGAGGGTTTTCGATGGTTTTATGTATTGCTTTACGTACCTGTAGTGGTGTTGGGTTGCCTTGTGGAGTGATATGATGGAGCAGCAGCTACTGTCAATGCTAAGAACGAAGTTGCAGTTAGCGGAATTAGCGGCTTCATGTTGGCGTCGGACAGGTGAGGTCTTTTCTGTGTCCAGAAGGAAGCTAAAAGGTCGGACAGCCATATTTATGAGCATCGAGGGTGGCTTCGATCTCTAGCCGCAATCAGACTAACTTTACTGTCAGCGTGTTCAGTAATCAAGAAATAATCTGGGATCGCCCATTCGTCATCCTCGAGAATGATGTGACTTCTATCGCCCGCCGCCGACGAGAAAATTTTGTGACCAACGTCCTCCGACGCGTGGCTTGATAGATCTACCTGGTGAGGTAGATCACAGCGATTCCGTAGCGGAGGACCGCGCTCTTGGCCTATCGCGACATCCGGACTTTCCCCGTGACAGTGAAGCGTACGCTGGCATTTCATGCAATCGCAGTCGTATCAAAATCGACACAGGTGATGCAAGACTCCGCTCGATCGTGAATGCGGACCGCTCCTTTACTAGGCGCAATACGTTTTGGTAGCGACGTTCTGCCGCAACGTCCACAGTCTAGAATCACGAAATGGCGTCAAAGTAGCACAGTCTCGAGCAATCTGACATGCAGGAATTCCCAAAGATCGACGTCCTGGACTGCCGGAATCGCGAGGCTCGGATCTGGCGTGCGAACATTTTATGGTCCTTGGAATACATCTACGCAGGTATATTATTGAAGAAAGCTGCGCAATCTTACATGCAGTGGTCGAGCAACCACCGGCACTTGTCGTCTGAAGCATCGTGCCGCGGACCGAGAGGCCACATTGCAATGAGGAGCGCCGCTGCATGTTCTTTCGGGATAGTTTTCTCGTAGACACGCAGCTGTCCATGAGATTTGAGGGTAAGCAACTTTTGCACACTGCCCAGGTTGTACGATCGGAGGGACTCTCAAAGCAGCTGGCTGCGAAGGCTTGGAAACCTTTGTCGGAGGAAGACTGTGTTTATGATGAGGTTCTTGGATGCAAAAATAAAGAGGTACCTCGATGCGTAGGACTGTGTGTGGTCCAGTAATTTTGCAAAAGAGTCCAGCTTGTGCCTGGTGTCGAATTGTTCTCGATGTCAAAGTGGTTCAAAAGTGCAAAAAGAACCGTTACACCCTGCGAGACTGCATGTTTGTCAGCAGCTGCACGAGAAAATCTTGATTGGAATCAAGAGAAGTAATTACTCACTTCGAACTCGCGACTTTCGCATTTCTGGCATATAGATCCCGAAGGATAAATATAAGAACGACACGCTAAGCCACTGCGTCAAGGGTGTTACTCCAAGCTGAGCTGGACCTCTTGCAGGCAAGGACGGGAGTAGCCGCGTCAAAATATGTACCTTCACTGCCCGAGCTTTGCAGAGCAAGCTGCTGGATGTTGTGTCGCCAACGCCTCAGCTTTCGCTTTTGAGCTCATGTGCTCTTGCTGCAGCCTCAAAGCTCCTGGATTTCGCCTCTGAGCTTATCGGAGTGGGTTGGGATGCCAAGACCGATGGCATCCTCGCTTCAAATTCGCCATGCGGATATTTCATGATCGTGTAAAGCATCAAAATGATGTTCGAAAAGGCGCTGAAGCATTCCAGGTCGCGACTGTCGCGAACGTGAAGGAACACAGAGGGAAGTGGCAACATGATGTCCAAAAACCTCCTTTTCAGGAATGCACGCTAGTGTCGGAGCGCAGACCGGCAAACGAAAGCCAATAACTGCACTCCAAAATCCAATGCCACCACCACCAATCCAAACGACACGACACTCACATGTATCGCCGCCCATCATGGATCTCATCCGGCAAGCCTGGCAAGTGGTCATAGACCCATACTACACGCGCTACACAGCACCACTCCAACTCCTCGGCGACGCAGCACTCTGCGTTCTCATCATCTTGAAAATCCCCTGTAAGACCACCACATCCAAGAACGCCATCAAGACTTCACACTGACCACGCCATAGACACCGAAATCGACTGGACAACCTACATGCAACAAATAACCCTCTACCTCTCCGGCGAACGCAACTACGCCAAAATCACCGGCTCCACCGGCCCCCTCGTCTATCCCGCCATGCACGTCCACCTCTACACCCTCCTCCACAACCTCACCTCCTCCGGCCAAAACATCTTCCTCGCACAGCAAATCTTCCTAGGACTCTACCTCTTCACCCTCCTCCTCATAATTTCCTGCTACAGAAAAGCCGGTGTACCACCTTATATCTTACCTTTGTTGAGTCTGAGTAAAAGGATTCATAGTATTTTCATGTTGAGGATGTTTAATGATTGTTTTGCGGTGATGTTTTTGTGGGGGGCGATTTGGTTTTGGCAGAGACGTTTGTGGACTTTTGGGACGGTTTGTTTTACGTTGGGGGTCGGGGTGAAGATGACTTTGGTGCTGGCTTTGCCGGCTGTGGGGATGGTGCTTTGGCAGGGGGTGGGGAGGGATAGGGCGTTTTATCAGGCGCAGAGTATGGTACAGGTGCAGGTGAGTGAGCGGATTTTGTTGTTTGACGTGGAAGGTTGGGGGAAGAAACTTGATGGGACGGCGAGCTGACGCTGTGCAGGGATTGATTGCGTATCCGTTCATTATGGGTGGGCTATCGAGCTACTTGACGCGGGCCTTCGAGTTCACGAGACAATTCATGTTCAAGTGGACTGTGAACTGGAGATTCGTGGGCGAGGAGACATTCCTCTCCAAGCCATTCTCCTACGGACTGCTTGCCACTCATGCAATGATCTTGTACACCTTCATTGTGGGCAGATGGACGAGGCCGAGCCTATGGACTTTGCCAGAAATGATCCACTACCTGTTCGATCCGCCGCCGAAGCCCGAGCAAACCCGCATCGCTCGAAGAGTCACGCCGGACTTCATTCTCACATCGATCCTCTCAGCAATGGTCATCGGCTGTTTGTGCGCGAGGAGTCTGCACTACCAGTTCTTCGTGTACATTGCCTGGTCGACACCATACTTGTTGTGGAAGAGCGGCATGCCGGTCACCTTGATATATGTAATATGTGCGGCGCAGGAGTGGGCATGGAATGTGTACCCCAGCACCAACATCAGCTCGGGAGTAGTGGTGGGGTGTCTTGCGGTCACCGTTTTCAGTATTTGGATTGGCACGAGTCCGTACCTCGAACAGAAACGGCAGCAGCAGACACCATCGCAGCCACCTGAGGAGCAAGGGAAAGCTTCACATGAGCATGTAGAGTAGCTTAAAGCTTCAATGGCATAGCTCAATCTTCGTCTTCGGAGTCCGAGGGCGGCATCTGTGGTCCTTGGTCATCATCTTCATCCGAGTCCGCAGCATAGCTCGCTTGCTTCGCTACAAACTCCTTTGGCCAGTAGGACATCTTCCGCCATGCCTTTTCATCACCAACAATGTTGACAATCTCTCCTCCGAGCTTGTTCCCACGCTCGGCTAGAGCTCCGGTATCGACAAGTACATAGCCTCCACGCTTCATCCAGATGGTGGAGCGAAATTTGGCATCGAGCTCGGCCAAAAGTGCCTCACCGGAAGCTAGTTCTAGGTTGTACAGATTGTTGCCAGCGGCACTTTTGACACGCGCGATTTTCTGCGTGTCTGACAGGCTGGCTGGCGGGGTCAATGTCTCCTCAGCTACAGCTTGGACGTTGCGCTTCGGCTTCGGCATGTTTCTGAAGAAGCACGAGAAGAGCGGTAACTTGATCTGGTTGGTGAGATTGGCTATTTGCGAGAGCTCTCGGGACGGTAGGAGGCTGGAAGCTATGCTTGTACAGCAGGTGTGGTGGGCGCAGATCTGTACTTTTTTCCGCTTGCTCCCAGCTTGTGCGGGCGTGGGAAAGAGGCGGTCAAGGACAATGGGTTCTGCGGTGCACGCGTTCCAAGGTCTGGCCGTGTTGTGGTGAAGCGCGTTCCAGGTCCAGGGCGTGGCTCACTGATCACAAGATGTAGTACAAGTGAGCTTTTTTCACTCAAAATTCCGGGTTTGATAGCCTGAAGTGGCAAGGAGGCTCAAAGCTCATGCACCCCACGGCGGCGCTACTCACGCAAGCGATGGAATAGCGCTGCAGGTCATGATCTGCACACTCGTCTCAGATCTTGCGTGACTTGCTGGTGACGAAGATTTCTGCAATGGACATGGGCTGGCAGCAGGATTTTGGTCCGGCGGTGAAGTCGCACCAGATCGATGATGGGTGTTGATTGTTCCTGCTGGTCAGCAGTCGAGGTGTGGGCGGCAGGAATGACGAGACACGCGCAGCCGAGATTGAACCCTCGTGCATGTGCGGCGAGAGCTTAACCTTATCGGGGCTGGTGTATTTGCGCATTGAGGGTGTGCTTCGAAAGCCTGGAATTTCACGTGCACCTGTCCTACGCACGTCGAGCGCGCCAGCGATAAGGAGGGAACGGAACGGGCGAGAGGCAACCGGAGCCATGTCGCCACCGCTGGAAGACGGACTCCTCCTCCGCCAGTCTTGTCCAGCGTGCTCGAGCGTGAAGTAAACAGCAGCAACCTCGCTTGTTGATATTGCCGTGCACGAGCCGTCTGCGGTGGCTGCCCTCGAGTCGACTCGAGTACTGCGGCGACGCTGGGCCTGCTGGGTTGCTGGTGGAGAGACGTGTCTCACGCACACTCGCCAGCGATGCTGCGCTTATTCCGAAGCATCAGCAGAGGCCGCCGAGACAACGACAGGAACAAAGACGAGCCATGGTACACGGCCTCCTCCCCCGAACGATCGCGGCATCGAGCAGTTGGCCAGAGACTGCTGGGCGACGATATCGATTTTGACGACGACGAAGACGACATCTCCCCGAGACAACGAGCCCATGGCGGCTACTTCGATCGACACGACATCGACAACGACGATCTTGAAGAGTCGGACGATGAAGAGGGCGAAGATGGGGACGCCGTCGAGACGCCACTGTTACCCATCTTCTCAGCGGCGCACCTTGACCGGCTGCCACTGTACAACATTACACACGCCCTGCGACTGTTGATCGTGCAGAGATGCGAGACCACACTGTCGTGGGATCAGCTACGCAGCCCGCAAGTCAGCCAGTTCTTGGTGAAGCCCATACAAAGCCAGATCAGGGCAGACCACTTCAACAGAGCCACCCTCTGTGCTCTGCTCGCGAACTGCTTGCAGTTCCAGAAGGAGGGTCAGGTCACGCCTGGTAATATTGGAGTATGTCGGACAAGGGCATTGATCAGCGAGCTCCTCGCCATGCGACTGCTGAGGGAGTTTTCCACCCGCGAGTTGATCGACTCGTTGTCCTACGACTTCGATCCCCTCCAAGGCATGGAGACGCCTGTTGCTGCCGCAGTACGAAGGCCACAAGGTAGGTTGGCAAGAGTGAGTACGATTGAGATTGCCATTCGTGCCGAGGCGAAGCGCTTTCTGGCACATCCACTCGTCGTGCAGCACCTCGAGGCCATTTGGGCAGGCAACATTGTCTTCCACTCCGAGGCGGATAACCTGCATCGCAAGCAGCGTCAGCCAAACTCGCAGAGCAGAGGTCGTCCGGTCGGCTATGGTACGACAGGGGCAGGATCAGAACTGCCAGCCGATGCAGTCCTGTCGAGGAAGGCACATACCAGCAAGCAGATCAAAACGCCCCCCGAACAGCCGACGTTTCGAAGGACAGTCACCCTATACAACCCGCGCGATGCATCTTTGTTCAAGCTAAGTCGACTGCGAGTGCCGCGATATCGGCAGATTTTCACTACGCTCTCCTTCGCAGCCATGCTCACCTTATTCATCCTTGTGCTTGCCGACCGAAGCATTGAGATTACTGCCTTGGAAGTGCTCTTCTGGTTCTGGAGCATTGGATACATGTTGGACGAAGTTGTTGGCTTCACCGAGCAGGGCTTTGGACTCTACATCCTCAGCTTTTGGAATGCATTCGACCTCGGCATCCTATTCCTCTTCGGCGTCTACTACGTGTTGCGACTGTATGGAATTGTCCTTGCCGACAGTGGAAGACACAGGATCGCTGGCGTAGCCTACGACGTCCTTGCATCGACTGCCATCCTCCTGTTCCCTCGCCTGTTCAACGTTCTGGACCACTACCGTTATTTCTCGCAGCTACTCATCGCGTTCCGAATGATGGTGCAGGATCTGATGGCCGTCTTGATACTGATTGTCATCTGCTGTTCCGGCTTCTTCGTCGCCCTTTCTCTGTCATTTGCACCAGAAGGGACGAGTGCAACTGACGTCGTATACGCTCTGTTCCAGATTCTGATGGGCTTCACGCCCACTGTGTGGGATCACTGGGCAGAGTACAACGTGCTCGGCAGAACGATCCTCGCTATTTTCTTGACCATCTGTCACTTCCTCATTGTGACGATTCTCATCACGGTCTTGACCAACAGCTTCATGGCGATCGTCAAGAACGCCGAGGAAGAGCATCAGTTCTTGTTCGCGGTCAACACAATCTCCATGGTTAAATCCGATGCGCTCTTCAGCTACATTCCGCCGACCAATGTCATAGGCTGGGCGCTGAGTCCTCTGCGCTACCTGGTGCCATTGCGCCAGTACGTCAAAGGCAACAGAACAGTTATCAAGATCACCCACGCTCCTATCTTGTTCGTCATATTTCTGTACGAGCGAGTATTCATGTCACGCAGTGGCTATGCGCCCGTGGAATTGATCGAACGACGCGAGGTCGACCATCGCAAACCAGCCGCATTCAGCTCGCGACCAGAGCCGTATGCTACTGCGGGTCGTCTCAGGGAGCCTTCGGTAGTCAGCTTCCGCAAGGATCGTGCCCTCGATGAAGTTTTCAGGAGACCGTTCAGAGGAGACACAATTCGCACGACTACCAGAGAAATGGAAGTCGATCGAAACGGACAGGAAAATGCTGTCGATCGGTGGATGCTACATGCCGATAACGAAGGTGGCGCCAGTCCGCCCATTGAACAGCCTAGGAGCGTACTCGAGCGCTTGGAATACCGGCGACCTAAGATGAAGCGTGCCAACACCGGCGATCGTCTCAGGATGATGAAGCCGTCGAGAGACTTCTCAACAGCTACTCGCAGCATCGCAAGTGATGGTCACCAGAGGTCTATTTCCAAGAGACCGCATCGGATCGTCGAGGAATCAGAAGATATCGAAGAAGGCACAGATACTCTGCCACATGACACTGAAGCTGACGGCGATGACGAGATCAACGATGAATCAGATGCCAATACCCCGGCTCTCGGCGAAAGCGCAATTTCCATCAAGGAAGCTAGAACTCCTGCTGATGAAAGCGAATCTGAATACTTCCAGACACCTCTGGGGGCCAACTCGCCTTTACTCCAAATGTCGCATGCCGCACGAGCTCGCACGTTGCAATACTCGCCGGAGATCACGAGAGGCAGTGGAAACCGCATCGGTGTTTCTGCCAGGCCATCACGTAGCCAGCATGACCGGCAAGCCTCGAGTGCAACCATCCTGTTCGCGCCTCAAGTGAATTATGATTCGTCAGTATCAAACCAGAAGCCATCGCGAGGTACCACAACCAAGACCAGTGGTGGAGTCAACAAAACGTCCGCCATCGACCCTTCATCAAGCCTTCAGGTACCAGGCACGCGAACTCCCAAACGAGGCATGACACAGCCTACCAAAGCTCGGCCAATCATGCCGACTCGACAGCAGACAGCGCCCAACTTTGCAAATACTGCCGGTCTTAGCTTTTTGGACAGACCACGGCCACGAGTGACATCTTTCAACGCGCGTGCGTTAGACCTGGCCAGCGAGATTGGCGACAACAAATTCACTGGTGCGCCTGGGATTGATGCTGGAGGTATTGACGGAATGCCTGCTTCGTTCAGTGAGCAGCTGATGCGTGAGCAACATCTTCGTCGACAGGCGGAGGAGGATCGCCGACGTAGTGAGGAGGAAGAGAAGGGCATGGTAAACCGCATCATGCTGGCGAGAATGCACACGCTTGAAGAAGGCTTCCGAGAAGTGTTGAAAGAGATCAAAGACATGAGCCAACAGACGAACTCCTCGAGGAGGGAAAGTGAGGCCGACTCCGGTGGCGCGCCGAAACGGACTGGCCATAAAAAGACTGCATCCAAGACCAACATGGAAGTTCGAGACACTGCCATTGGAGGACAAGGATGGTCAACGCCGCGAAATCCCATCGCGATTGGCCGCATTGGAGGGAACGAAAAGAGTAAGAAATCCAGCCCAGGAAAAAAAATTGCACGAGGCAATAGCAAACGAGGGAAGGAGTATGAGTTTCGACCAGGTAGCAGTGGTCGGCAGACAGGTGCTCCGACCACTATTTCCAGCGGCAGCGAATTGCAGCAATCTCACGAGCAGCTGCATGCTCTAGCACGCGAAGCACAGCCCGATGAGGAGGGCACCAGTCCGCAATCTGTTCGGAGTGTGATCGAGATTCAACCGAAGATTGAAGAGCATGAAGAAGACAATGCCGGGGAGAGCGCTTCTGCTCGACCTGCTACTGCGCGTCCGACTACGGCGATACATGATGATGAGCTTATTGATCTTGGAAGGAGGAGTGAACGAGATGAAGAGTAGACAGGGTTGGAAAACTGTACGACTACAACGACGATGAAGGATGTTCGATTTTGCGAAGCGAGAAACGATTGAGTGAGATGATACATTAGAGCTTTGCGTTCGGCGAGTGCGGTTTTGTGCTTGTGCTTTTGGGCGACGGTTTGCATTTAGCGGCATCAGCATCAGCTTTTTCGGCGTTTGAGCATTTTTGCTGTAATTGATATTGACAGGGATTGTTCAAAGGTGTGAACGGCTTCGTTGGTAGAGGTTTTAATGGCATTGCATTGTTTCCCGTCTGAAGTCTGAAGCTCTAGTTTTGGAAACCTGAGGGGTCTAACTACTTAGCTTTGCGGAGCAGAGGGACTGGCCTGCGGAGCTTGGGATGAAGCTCTCTCATCAAGCTTTCAACCACTTCGTCATCTTGCAGACGCAGCTTTGGAGATGAGTGAACCTCGGACAAGATCACCTTCTCCCGCGCGTCGGTATGTCAAATTGCCTGTTGATTACCAACCTTTGTGATAGCTAATAGCACAAGCATAACCCATCGTTCTTCCATTTCGTCAGCTCTATTATCCAGCAAGCTCTTACCAGATTTCGATCCCGCATCAGAGGAACCACTCGCGGAAAGCAACAAGATCAATCAAATCAAGACAAGAACCACTTTCTGCAACAGATAACAGAACCCATCAACAAGATGCCTCTCTACGAAATCCGACACACAACGCCACTCAATGCTGGGCAACAAGACGCTCTTGCCCAGGGCATAACAAAAATCCACTCGACCAAATTCACCACGCCGAAACTTTTCGTCAACGTCTTGTTCACGCCCTTCGCTGACAAGACATACTATGCCGGCGGCGTCCCCGTCAAAGCAAACCACATCATCGCCAATGTTCGTAGCGGCCCTTCAAGAACCAAAGCCGACTGGGACTCATTGAGCCGCGAGATCATTGCCATGTGGGATGATATCGTCGGGAAAGATGGAGGGGACGAGTTGAGGACGTTTTTCGTGCTAGGAGGCATGGAAGGGTGAGCAATAAACGCTAGAAGGCCATTCTTATGCTTTCCGAGGAGGGCTGGTCTCGGATATGCGTGGATTTTTTTCGCTGACTGCTCTTAATAGTGGGTATGAAGCCGGGTTTCTTATTCCAGAGGCTGGTGGTGATCAGAAATGGATGGCGGACAACTGGAGTGGGTTCGAGGAGAAGGCGAGGAACGGGGATAGGGAGTTTCGGGATTTGATGGCTGAGATTAAAGAAAGAGGGTTGTTTAAAGGGGAGGCCAATGGTCATTGAAAAGAGCAGGCACTGACAAGAACATCCATCGAGGATGATAGTCATTGCGTAGGGTGTTCATTGGGAAGAGGCTGATTGATGGATCCATAGGTATTCACTCACAGTGCCAAGACTTTACGGGCCCACCCGTGTTGCACCTTCCTAGCGAGCCAGCACTCTCTTGAGCTCGTAGAGTAACGGTACCAATGCAAGGAAGATGTTATTGAGACGATATATTCGCCTTCGTGCGGGGAGACTGTGTTGTGTCGAGAGCATCCCGACGAAAATTTGTGGTTGCAAATCTCGGATGGTCAGTGCAGCACTTCTTGTCGACGCAGTGGCCTCTCTGGCCGAGATCAGAAGCTTGCACAGCTGGGACTATTTCAAGAACTTATTACAGCTCGCCAAAAGGCCACGAATTTGCAGGGTGTTAGCGAACTTATCAACACAGTTTGTCGTTCCCTTCTACTCTCACCGTTGTGGCATACGTAGACCATATTCGGTGTTGGCAATCCGGCAACTTTGCAATTCAACTTTTCGAGGTTATGCATCAATTATGCTCCCAATTATGACGCCTGATAGTGGCACAGTTCAACAAAAGAACCTGGAACGTTCGATCAGGCCCTTGTGTCTGCCATCAGATTTTCTTGCTCATCCCAAGCCATTCCCTGGAACCTGGATTGTGAACGCCAATGATTAGGCAATGTCCATAGGACATACTACCGCCATCGATATGGAAGCAACGTCCATATCTCACGGACATTGATCTTGAGAATGCTATTCTTGAAGAATGCAGCAATTTCTACTCCCACGGTAATCAACTTGCTCTGCCTTGTAAGAATCATAGAGCGGAAGCGTTGAATGACAGCATCCTAGATTCGTGAGAGTTGTCCGAGAATTACAACGATGATCATCCAGCTGCTCGCAACCTTGTCGTGGCATGGCCTGTTCGCTGGTCAGATGGAAGGACAGGAGGCAGGACTTCTAGAGATCTGGCATTCGTATAATCGTATCGTGGAGATGTATCTTGTATGTCATGTTCTTGCGCACATTTCGTCTTGTAGTCGTCAAACTGCAGTGTTTTTGTGTCAAACGTAGAAATCCACGGATCATCATCTGCCACTAATTCTGCACTGTCATCGGAATCGCCGGCTCCTTCGACCGTCGCCAACGGTGAGTCAGCTGCCATCGAAGGCAGACCAATAGCCCGTTCACCCTGCAAGTTGTATTGTTGCGATGTCTCTTTAATGGGCAGAGCTGTCCTAGCCAGCAGGCATTGGCTCGTCTCGAGTGCGATCCGTTGGATCCTCGGCGGTTCTTCGCACTTTTCACATCACGCCCTGCGAGACCCACTCTTTATGTATCTACTACTCACGGGCTCTAGACTCGCTGACCTCGAACTCACAACCATCGCGACAATCGAAAGAAAAATTCCGATCAACAATCCGTCAACCATGCCCGGACCTCAAACCCCCTCGACAATGCGAGCAGTCGTCTACAAAGGCCCATACGAGGTTACAGTAGAAGACAAACCTTACCCCAAGATCCAACAGGATACAGACTGCATTCTCAAAGTCACGACTTCGGCATTATGTGGCAGCGACTTGCACTTTTATCGTGGACAGCTCAAAGTGCCAGCCGGATTCATTTGTGGACATGAATTCGTTGGGGATATTGTTGAAATTGGTGATAAAGTGGAGAAGTTTTCGGCTGGAGAAAAGGTGAGTTGATGGTGAGGTTACTGTTTGAGGCAATCAGCTTTTTAGTAATTATCTTCACTAGGTCGTAGTCCCATTCTACACAGCCTGCGGGAACTGCTTCTACTGCATCCGGGGCCAAGCATCGCGCTGCAATCAAGGACAACTTTTCGGCAACGCTCTATCCGCAGATAGTATCGATGGCGGGCAAGCCGAGTACGTGCGAGTACCGCTGTGCGACACAACATGCGTGCGGGCTCCAAACAACATTCCCGAAGAACTCCTCGTGCTCATGGCAGACATCTTCCCCACGGGCTATTTCGCTGCGAGCAGGTTCCTGAAGAATCTGGAAGCCCGCGATCGTAAGAATTTCACGAGTGTAGTGGTGGGCTGCGGACCTGTGGGAATTTGCGCGATAGCCTGCGCAGTGACTATGGTCGATACAATCTACGCAATTGATTCTGTGCCGGAGCGTCTTGAGCAGGCAGCAGCGCTGGGGGCGATTCCAATCCATCTGACTGAACAGGATCCAATCGCCGAGATCATGAAGGCCACAGATGGGCGAGGAGCTGATGTCGTGATGGAAGTGGTCGGTCATCCGGATGCTCTGCAACTCAGCCTGGATCTCATTCGGCCTTGGGGGTCGATTTCATCCGTGGGGATGCACAATCATGCTCTTGCACTTGAAGGCTTTCAGCTTTATAGCAAGAACGTCACGCTGGCGTTTGGCCGCTGTCCAGTGCGCTCGATTTTTGAGGATGCGCTGGCGCTGTTGGTGAAGCAACAAGACAAAGTCAAGTGGCTTTGTGGAAAGACGATGTCTTTGGAGGATGCGCCTGAGGCCTACAGAGATTTTGAGGCGAGGAAAGTGCACAAGGTGCTGTTCAAGGCGGCGGCTGTATAGGAGCTGCGGTGCGCGATAGGCTGATAGTCGTTATTTGGACTTGTGTTGGCTTTATCTGGATGTTGGACCACTGTGTCTGAATGTGTCACGATCTGCCCCGAGTAGCCTAGTCATGAGTCTTGAGATCTGTACAGGGGATATTGTCGTCGTCAGCGTCATCGTCGTATTACTGGTGTATGTACTGTTAAGGGTAGTAGTCGTAAAGCTGAGATCATTCGTCAGTGCTCCTGTTTGCCTGCCCGTTGCCCGCAACCCAGTCATACACTCCCCATGCATACTCTTACACGCCTGAGAACGCATCGCGTTGCAGTCTGATTTCCATCTTATCCCTCCCACACCTCAACCACGCCCAACACACTTCCCCCAGGCCGGAAGCCCACACCCAAACCCCACAAACAAATACAACAAAAACACAATCACCACAACCAACAAAACCATCAACTTAACATTCTTCCACCACATCCTCCTTTTCAACCCGCGACTCCTCACCCTAAAATCCCGTGCACTCCCACCCAACCGATCCGTCTTATCAACCAACAAATCAATCCTCTCACCCCTCTCCAACACCCTCTCGATATTCTCCGTCATGATCCCCCTCACATTATCAATTTCACTCTGTACATTCCGAAAAGCATCTTCTTGCCCTGCTTTCGTCGTCCCAAACTCCACCATCAATTTCTTCAATTCCGAATTAAATGCCGCCGCGCCGTAGGCAGGTAAAGACCCGAATGTCGTGCGTTCCGGATCATATTGTGCGAGAAATCGCTTCTTGATTTCAACAAGGAAACCGAATGGGACGCGTCGGCCGAGATCGGATTTGGCTACTACGAGGTATGTGAGGCCTGCGGCGCTGAGGGAAGAGGGATCGGAAGATGAAGGGGAGGCATCGGCGATGTAGTGGATGAAGTTCTCTTGGTGGGTGTAAGTGAGTTTTTGAGCGGATTTGTGGTCGATTTTGGGGAGGATGAGGGATGCGAGGTTGGAGGTTCCGCTGCTGGCGCTGGAGGTGTGTTCGGCGAGGATGGTGGAGTTGTAGGCGATGCAGCTGTAGAGGAGCGGTGTGGCGCTCGAGCTGGAGGCCATGGTGGGTGTGTTCGACTTCACTGGTGGTGTTGGAGGTGGAGGGGAGCTCGGTTGGTGCTGCGAAGATCGTTGTGGTGTGGTAGCTGTGTCGATGTTCTGTGAACGCGCAGGCAAACAGTCTTGGCGACGACAGAGGTAGGACGAGACGTCACCGTCGTCACACCTTCCTCCATCGACACGACTTTGCGGGGTCCGTATGGAGGCCCAAACCTTAGTGGTTGCCACTACGAATTTGGAGGCCTCGCGACATATTGCGTCGGCCTGCGCATGTAGTAAACGCCTAAGAGACGTGCAACCTCTCGATATAGATTTATATATGCTATTATCTAGGATAAGCTAGCTAGCGATTCTAGAGACAATATATAGCGTGCGTATTCTCGAGAAATCGCTATTTCGAGAACGACTTTTTATCGCGACTTCTATAAAATAAAATCTAGGGTCTAGTTAAAATTTAGTAGGTAAGTAATAAAAATTTGCTTAGTTACAAATCCTACCTTCGTTCTCGAGACGCCGATTTCTCGAGAATACGTACGCTATATATTATTTCTAGAATCGCTAGCTAGCTTATTCTAGATAATAGTATATATAAATCTATATCGAGAGGTTATATGTCTCTTAGGCGTTTACTACGTACATAGGCCGACGCAACGTACCGTAAGAGCGACAAAAACTCGTTTTTGAAAGACTCGTTTTTTAAGAATAGATAGGCTATACGCTATCTATAGTAATATAAACTAGATTATCTAAGACGATAGTATATATCGATATATATCGAGAAGCTATATATATATCGAGCTATGTTTGCGTGCGCGACACTATATAATCGAGAAATCCGAGACCTCAGATTCGTAGTGGCAACCACTAAGGTTTCGGCCCCCGTCGGTCCGGGGGAAGGTCTAACTCAATCTCTCGCTAGACCGGCCGCCAACCACGGCCTTCCGGCCGTCTGGTCGGTCAGGCAGACAACACTTCTTGGAAAGCGTGCCTTCAACATACCGTCTATACCGACCAATTGGCACATCAGTATACCCATCAACTAGCATTAAGCCAGAAGCTTCAAGCACAAGACATCCAAGCAGTACCGACAACCTCCAAGCCCAGTCGAAGCCCATCTCCCAAACCCTCGCCACCCAGCATCGCGGAGTCCCCATCCCAAACCACAGAACGAAAGCGACATCGAACCATGGGTCTAGAACGCTACATAACGTACAACTCATCTCATTCCCGCATCTGCCTTCCAGGAGAATACTAACACTCTTCAACAGCCGCCGCAACACAGCGTTCATATCCCTCACGGCAGTAGCAGCCTCATATTTCGCCGTCCGATACCGCAAAGATCAGAACTTGAAAAGGAACAAAGATACGTTCCATGTGAGAACGGAGAGATCAGGTATGTTTGCAAAGCTCCAGCCTGTTGTCGTTGTTGCAAGGGCAGTGCGGTACTCTGGGTGAGATGTATTCGCTAACATTGTTGTCCCAGGTGGTGGTGTATAATTCAGCTCCAGGAGGAAGCATGAGAGTTCCATGGCTCTGTGTGATGGGAGACGAAGTCGTGGCTAGAGCGGAATCTCATCGCACGATGAACATATTTGGACGACGATGACTTCATTGGAAAGCATTCGGAAGGAAATGAAATGGTGTACAGTATCACATCAAGGTATCAGCACAACAAGTAATCTTCATGCAAACTGTTCAGTCGAATGTCACGCCGAGCGTGTGGGTATCATTTTCATCTATGTTCAAAATCAGTCACTGTCCGCCCATCTCTTCAGAACGCCTCGCTATGCAGAATAACCATCCGCTGACCGAGTGCCTTTGTGCTTCCTACAAAGCCAAAGCGAGAGAGGCCTCTGCATACATGTACGGTATGGCAGAAATCATTTGGCACCGATTGGAGGACGGCGTGCTCTCGCAAATGAAGATGTCGCTGGTCCTCATCGTTCGCCTTTTGGAGCAACAAAATGATCCGTATCAACAGGGTTGCTTTCATCGCGGCCCACTCCCTCAGCAGGCGTTGATTGGAGCGACGTCTGGCCGTTGTCAATATCCACTTTCGAAGTCTTTGGCCTTCTTCGTTCCAAGGTACTCGGATGGTCGGCGACGAGTCGGTAGGCGTTCCTGGCAAGAGAGCTGTACGTTATCGGCTCAGACGCACGCGGCAGTGTATCGGCCGAGTCTGCCGCGCTCTCGTCAAGGCCCTGCTCGGACGAATCAAGTTGTGTCAAAGTATCTTGAGCATTATCGTCGGCAACATGGCTCGAACGCCATGGATCTGTTGTCGAAATGCCTGAAGTCGGCACTCGTCTTGCCAGAGTGCTCGGGTGATCCGCAATGAGATGATATGCATTCTTCGCCAGCTCTGTGTACGATATAGGCGGCTCTTCATCACTTCTAGCCGGGATATGCTCCCTTTGTATTGGGCTCGCACGCCTCTCGAGAGTCTCAGGGTGTGAGGCAATGAGGCTATACGCGCTTTTCGCGAGCTCTGCCAAGCTGCGGACTTTTGGCTTCTCTGTTGCATTAGGGTTCTCCATCTGTTTCAGAAAATCCACGTCGGCCTGCAGAGCCAAGTATTCTTGCTGTGAATTAGCATCGGCCGCTTCACTGGCACGCTGCGCGCGTAGCTCCGCAAGCGCATCCAGTGCGGCTTGTCTAGATCGCGGAGCGCCCTCGGATCCGACTCTAGAGGTGGCTAGATCATCAGGCGTTGGTTGTTTCTTAAGCTCCTCCACGCGGGTTGCCTGCTGCCCATCGGCGGCGTTGTCAGCGTTGATCATCGACATGATATGCTTGATGAGTGTCGGATGCGTCGCTTTGGCCTGGTCCCATACTGCTACAAATGCCTGTCTCTTGTCGCGGCGTCGGCAAAGTCGCAACATGTCGGCAAAGAGTGGGGTCATGATGACCTCGGTGGTCTTGAGCCCATCTATCCTGAGAGTGCTCTTCTTTTGGAGCTTCAGGATTTCGTTCCATACAGCAAGACCGGAGCTCCAATCACTGCGAACCGCACAATCATTCAGGAGCATGCCAAAACCACGCAGGTCTAGCCCCCATCCTTCGTCGCCCATCGTTTTGCAGATTTCCAAAGCCTCTCCGAAGCCACCAAACTGAAGTACACCCTTGACTACAGCGTCAAAGACCAAAGGCGTGGGATATGGCAACTGGATCAAACGATCGGGCTTATCTCTGCGATGAACAATCCTACCAAAGTCCGCATTGGATTTGCCGAGCCACGGTGCTCTAATCAGCCAGGGTGCAGGTTCCATCAGGCCGCCTCGGTCGCCACGTATGAGCCGCATCCAGTCAGTGAATCGGTGCACGTTCTTTCGCTCGGTGTAGTGGTTCAAAACGGTTGCCAGCGTGACTTCATTTGGCCGGATCTTGCTATTCAGGACGGCGGAGATGGCGTTTTCGGTCAATCGGTAGTGTCCCGATTTGCGCAGTCTGTGAATCAAGGTATTGTAGATATCAATGTTGGGTGGTACAGAAGACATAGAAAGGCGGCAGAACACGTCTGCGATTCGCAAAAACTGCTCAAGGTGAGGGTCCTCGAGGCCACGCGTTACCACATCGTCGCTTAGCAGGACGTCGACTTCGCGTTGAAGCTCGCACTGTTCTTCGCGGAATGTGTCATCCTGACCTTCAGCGTAGTGACATAGGGCTACATCCCCGGGCGATCGACTGAAGTGGAACTGACCAGAATCGTCCTTATGTGTGTGGAGTAGCCGATCGAAGTCGGCCTTCTTCTGTGCAAAGGCACGCTTGAGAATGCCTGGGTACTGCATCATGACTTCGGCATATGGTACTGGCATCACACGGGCAACGTGCTCGACGACACCATGATGGTGGAGCCAAAGAAAGAACCTCAATTGCAGCATATCCATCGAAAGCTCAACCCTTGACAGCTTCTTGGAAGCCCATCGGTTCGCGTCAGCCGTCCTCTTCCGGAACCTATAAGTATAGATGGATTGAGGAGGCAAATGGTGCCTTACTGGTGGTAGCCCAGTGGTCGTCGGCCAAGAAGGGATATGTGTGCGACGTGAGCTGCTGTCTAGATTTTGCGCCATTTCCGAGTCGAAGTCTTCTGCGATTTCGGTCGAAGCACGTACTGACGCATCGGATTCTGCATCCTCAACCGCGACCGTATGCCACTCGTCATAGCTTACGCCCTCCTGGTTATTCAGAACTGGCTGCTCATCAAGATCGATCTTGCGATCCGTATCCTCCAGGTCTGCGGCACGACCAACATTTCCTAGATCTTTCTTTACTTCATCGATGGCATCGTTCCATTGCTGTCGGCGTTGGATCTTGATACCACCATCGCACGTCGCTGCCATGGCGAAGATGCTCGAATACCACAGTGTCGAGGAGGTCCAGTATTGTGGCCGCAGCAGGCTTGCGTTCGTGCCTGCTCGCCCGGCGGTGCGCTGAAGTGGAGGGAGGCATTGCGGGCAGTGACATGAGCCTCTAGTCCTCGCAGCCCGCGACAAGAGGCTCAGCATTATCGATCCATGGTCGTTTCGTCAATGTGCAGCAGCAAAAGATGGTGATGGCATCGATCTGAAGTTGCGGCGACGCGGATGTCCGAAGAAACGCCGTCCCACGACATTCGGGCACGCGCTCCGCAAGCAACGACGAGTCACTCTGGACTGCTCCTTCAGGCAGTGACTGCTGGGGAAGGACAAGTTGCGATAGAAGTCAACAGAAGCATCGCCAAGTCTCTCCACGCGCGCCCTATCACCACCACAGTCATGTCAGGAGAGTACTCGTAGCCGCCAAACACGCGTCTTGCCGCCTGCACGCTCATTCACTTCGACGCCCAATGCGTCTTCGCGCCATTTGCAAGATCGAGGCGCAGATGCTCCACATTGCTCCCAATGCATCATGTCCAAATTCTTTCGTTCTGGCGCTTCAAGTGGGAGCAGTTCGAGCGAGTCTAGCGAGGATGAAACTGAGGAAGTTTCATTAGAAGTGTCACGTAACAACAGCCAACATGTTGACGACGGTCTATCTCTGGACGCCCTGGCTATCGATCGGCCCCGCAATGGATCGGCGACACAGACCCGGGAGATGCTCATCCACGCACTGCTCGAACAAAATGCAAGGGACCGGGTTCTCAAACAACGAGAACGAGCGGGCAAATCCGTCAACGACAAGACCGCTATCGAGCGCGAAACCCGCGAGCAGTATCACAATATGGTCGAAGGTTTATCAAAGTACAATGTAGTCTCCCATGGCTTGGACGACGACCATCACGCTGCGATGAGGCAACGCATCGGCGAAGGTCTCGACCGTATGGCTAGCACGCCGCAATCATCGGCACCCGGAGCCGTACCAGCAGCCACGCAGCTGCTGTTGACTGATGCGATGCCTCGCGGTCGCGTATTCGAACCCGGTAGCCCTGCGAGCCTTCTCGATAACGTGGCTCTTGGCATTTCTCCCCAAGTGCAAAGCAGATATATTCAAGACTTTGAAGAGATCAGTGTTCTTGGCAAGGGAGGTTTCGGAGAAGTACGTTTGACCTCACGTGAACTGTCTTTAGACATGCCGACTGACCTTGCTTAGGTATATCAAGTCCGACACAAACTCGTAAGTCTACCTCGGCAAGCACACCTTCCTCTGGAGAGGCAAAAGCTTCCTGACCCGCGAGGTTGGCTGCTCTCGGCTTGCCACGAGGCAAGGCTGCAATCACTGCTCTTTCAGGGCACAATTGAAGATCTTTGCCATTGGATGTAGCCTTGAAGCAGATTCATGCTTTCGTCTTCCGGAGGAAGGATGACCAGCTTCTGCCCACAGCAATTACTGTGGTGCAGGGATTATCGCAAGACGTGTACATTTGCTGATGAATAAATAGGACAATTGCGTCTATGCAGTGAAGAAGATACCGATCCGAGACTCCACCGTGCGACGTATTGCTACCGGAGGCAAGGCAGCTCTCGATGAACTGCTAGCTGAGGTCCGTTCTCTATCCAAACTTCAGCACCCAAACGTCGTTCGTTATCACAACAGCTGGGTGGAGTGGACGACTAGAAGCGCTTTCGCTGCATCCTCGAGCGAGGTACATCACCAAGAAAATCGCAGCGTGGTATCTGGCGCCGAGGAGTTCTCATCGCTCGATGCTCTGGAGCGGGTGAGAACTCAAAGTGACACGAATGAAGACATCGGCTTCACTTTCGACCTTAGTCAGTCGAAAAAGTCTGCCGTCGCCACTGAAGCAGATGTGGAGTTCGAAGGTCATGCCACGAGCTTTGAGCTCACTTGCTCCGTTACGGACCTCACAAACGGCGCTATACTCGCGACAGAGCCCACACTGGCGTTGCACTTGCAAATGAGTGTACATCCTATGACGCTGGCCGAATTCCTTGCACCGCCACAGACTGACACCCTGGCCAAGCCTTTGGCGCACTGCTTTCACATGGAACCATCTATCCGCATTTTGCTCGCATTGCTCGACGGAGTAGAATATTTGCATGCTGAGGGTATAGTCCACCGCGATCTCAAACCGGCCAACATTTTCCTTAGGCATGAAGGAAACCCAAGAGGAATGCATGGTTGTGTGGACTTGTCGTCATGTTCCGATTGTCGACAAGGTAAGTCTTCGTGCATACACTCTCCGGCCTGTTGTGCTGACATGTGTGTGCAGGTGGGACTATTAACCCTGGAACTCTGAGTGTTTGCATCGGCGACTTCGGCCTTGTCACACAAATCGCGGAACCCGAAGCTCCTCCATCACCTGCTGTCACAGCCGTAGGCACCGAGATCTATCGCCCAACGAGCGCCACCTCTCCAGCCAGCCCTCGACTCGACATCTTTGCACTCGGCATAGTCGCTTGCGAACTATTATGCAAATTCGGTACGCAAATGGAACGCCGAGAAACTTTGCAAGCGCTTCGAAAAGGCTCTTTCCCACAGAAGTTTGCTAGCTGCGCCGGACGCCATTCTGCTAAAATCAAAGAATGCGTTGCCGCTATGTTGAGCGATGATGTTGGTGCGATACCAGACCTTAAGAGGCGATTGTCGGATTTGCTGGAGCAGCAACAACCGCAGAAGATCATCGATAGCAAGGAGGCGCAGAGAAGATCTAGTACATAACCACGCCACTTTCGCTTCGTATGACTACGCATTGACTACCTCAAACCATCCAGAATAATGGCCAGCAAGAACACTTCTATCCTCACCGCCTGAGCGCATGGCTGCAGCTATAATCCCCCGTCTTGAGAGAAGGTCTCTGCTTATCCATCTGCCTTTTGAGACAGTCCCCTCATCTCAAAGAAAGCACTTGCCAAACTCCGTCGACAGCTTCGGGCCACGCGGGTTGCGATAATGCGATGCCAGACTCCTCTGTTTCTCCTTGCTGTTCGTGGATCCGAGTAAACATAGCCCAAGCCACAAGAAAACCCTTTCATGGTTGATTTCCACCTCATATCACCCACCTGGTCGTCTAGAATCTCGCTGTCGCTGGCTCGAATGGATTTGAGATAATTCATGGAGTCGAAGCGCAAAGAAGACCACGATCCAATCCCTCGGTCTTCCCCAATGGACCAATAATTTGGCTTCCAAAGCATGTTTCTTTGATGAATGACTACTTCTCACTGTTGGACAGCAGCGTGAACGAATTGAGAGTCTGGAGACATGAGACTCAAGCACTGACAGCACAACAGTTACATTATTACAGCTTTTGGTACAGTAGACGACAAAACAAACAATCATACAATCAATCATGCTCACCCATCTCTTCAATCTTCCATCTTTTTTTGTGATTTTCCATAATCATATCTGCCAAATCTCATCTCTCGATCGTGCAAAGTCGCTGTTGCGGACAGCATGAGTTGCAGTCGTCGACAGAGAAAGGTGCACTGAAATGCAGTTTCGAATGCCCAGCCCAATCCCGCTGGAATGTGCGATAAGCGTGGCGTAGCTGTGCAAGGACGCCTCATTGGTGAGGCATGTTTGAGTACAATGTGAAAAGACGATGCGGTGATCCGGTCGCAGACCACGCGGTGAGATATGCGATGCTTGCGTCGGGTGAAAAACAAGGTAATGCTGTGCGGAGAATTCGATGTGGCCAGTTCAGGACGGATGCTGCTCCGGATGAGATACCATAATGGTAGCCAAAGGGACTGCGGTATATCCTGAAAGATGTCGCAATGGAGGAGAAGTATTGTGTGGAGTGGGCAGGCTTAGGCGTTGTTGCCCTTGCCGCCCTTGATCCAGTCGCGTACGCCCCAATGACGCTTGCCCGAAGGACTGTTCGTCTCGACCATGTCGTCGCCGACTTCAGACGGCGTGGGAGAGGTGACCTTGATGCCGACTTTGCCAGCCAAGGACTCGAACTTGCCCTTGGTTGGCGAGGGTCCCTTGCGGGGGCTGTGCTTCTTGCTGTCGCGGCGCGCTGGAGTGCCAGTTGGAGACGTAGCCGGGGACATTGCTCGTGGGGACGTTGGTGGGCTCGTGATTCCATCGAGCGACGCCTCTCTGAACCGACCACCGGAAGACATGCGAGTGTGCACGTCGCTCGTGACTCGCTGCGGAGCTCCTGAAACACCGGCAGTCAGCTGGCTGGCTCGGTGCGGGAGGGTCTGAGGATCGATCGTACCATCAAATTGCCCATGAGCGAAGAATCCAGTCGTGAGTGCAGCATTTTGGGAGGTGCCGGCGGATCTCCACTCTCCCGGTGTCATCACGCGATTCCCTGGCCATTGGTTGAAGAGGCTTGACTCGATACTCCCCAAGCTGGTGACACGATTCGAAGGAGTGGGCATGCCACCACCAGTGCCCAAACTCCCAGAGGCAATGCTCGCAGTGCTGAGTGTGGCCGGTAGCGTTGGTCTCGCGGTCTGCAGGTGCTCCGATGTACGCTCGCTGGCAATCTTGCTCTTGATGTCATTATTGCCCTCTGACATGATGCCTTGACGATCCGCAGTAGCGTTACGCTGCGGAAGAGTGAGGCCAAGACCTGGGAGCTCAATCGTGGGACGGCTCTGCTGCTGCTTCTTGGCCCAGGTGCCGAGGTTCGGCATGGTATCATTGAACTGCGAGCTGTTGACCCCTGACATCAGGAGTGCATTCTCATTGTGTGGTGCGATGATGGCTTGCTTGAGGCAATCAATGCTGTTGGTGTTGGTCTCGAACGGAGGACGCGATGCGTTCATAGAGTGCTGCGCCGATTGCAATGCGCTCGCAGAACGCGATGGGACTGCCGGGCTGGGGCGGCGCGAGATGGACTTCATCGGGCTGCCGCTGAAAGGCGCCGAGGAGCGAGCAGGCTTCGAACGTGATGCAGATGCCTTCAAGCCATCACAGTAGCCGTTCAACCAATCGTTGCCACATTCCGGTTGGAAGCTTCGACGTTGCAGTCCACACGTATAACCGTCAAGCCACTCAGGAGACTTGTCTTTCAAGTTCACAGCGCCAGTGTCTTCGGCGGAATTGTTTGTGCCCGTTGGCGACGACGTAGGATAGTGAGCAGCCTTGCCTGGCTGCTCATACACGAAAGGATAGTCCCGCTTGTTTTTGGGGCTGATGTTGTTCATTTGCCGATCAGTAACCCCCGAACGGGTTTGCTGACGAGCAGGCTCTGCAAGCTTTGCTGGCTGCGGTGCGTGTGTGGCGGCTGCGCTGTAGTACACCGGAGTACCTGGTGGAGCAACGGGCGCGCGCGACTCGTTCGTGTCGGGATGACGTGGCTGATGGACTTCGCGGCTGGGAGTGTTGAAGTTGGCATGATCATCCTCAGGATCCTCATTCTCCTTGTTGCCGGACTGGGTATAGACATGCTGGCGTGTCGAGTGTTCGCGAGGATTGCGTGGAAAGAAGTCGGCAGTTGCAAAGCTGGAGACACTCGAACTGTGCGTGAGAGCATCTTTCTTGACTGGGCTGATTGTGTCATCAGTCGCAGTCGATGACTTCGAGACACTCTCTGGGAGAGCAGGCAGCTTGTGTCCAGGGGATTGGGCGGCACCCGCACGACGCTCGACACAGGAACCATCAGACGAAGCAGTCGGCTTGTAAGCTGGACTGGTAGGATTGAGCTTCGACCTCATGTTGTTGCTGAGTTTAGAGTTTGGCGCTGTGATGGGAACGGCGTGTGAACGCTCTGCCGCATCGGCACGAGATTCCGAAAATGAATGAGCACCGTCACTCTGGGGAATGTTGGCTGGTACCGGTGCCATCATGTTGCTCTGTGACAATGCAGGAGCAAGACCTTGAAGTGGCGGTGCCATTGCTCCGTCGAAAGGAGGCAGCTGTGGAAAAGCATTTGGTGGGCCGTAAGGCCAGGCCGTGGCACCGTATTCCTGCACGGAGGAGGGTGCTGGGACTAACGGAGCACCAAAGGCCGTCTGAGCGGGGCCAAAGGCAGGAGCGTATGGCGGTGCGGCAGAGTTGTTGACCGAGTTCGCCTGGAAGTAGGGAGGAAGACGTCCGCGGCCAGGTGGTGATACCGAAGCTCTACCCTGCAGCGCGCGTGGCGAAGCGCGACCCAGTGCGACCGATGGGCGGTTCAGCGCATTCAAAGACTTGCGAATCGTGTCCAACATGCCAACAAGCTGCCTGCGTCGCGCGAACAGACGGTTCCTCTCCTCTCTGGACATGTCTTTGCCGAATTTGGCTTCGGTCTGGTCCAAGGCCTTCGACTCTTCCTGCAAGCGGGTGCGCCTAATGCTTTGGTTAGCGCTGCCAAGGAGACATTTGCATTGATGTTGAACGTACTCAGCTTCCAGCGATTTGATCTGCGATGGCACTGAAGGATCTGGAGCAGGGATGGGACTGCTTGTGGCACCAGCAACCTGAGAGGATGAGTGAAATCGTGGCGCGGCTGGACCCTGTGAAGTTGGTCGCCCAGCGAAATTGAGGTTGGGAGTATCGTCGCTGTACAACGCGACGGTGCCGTCGGCTGCCATCGACAGTGGCATGAGCGTGTTGTCAATGATTTGAAAGAAGTTGCCCTGCATGTCGTGGATGACGTTGCCGTTCTGGTTGACGGGCTGGATGAGTTCCTCTGGCCGGCTGTGATAGCGCTGGTTGGGCGCGAATTTGATAAGCCCTCCGTTGACTCGAATCGCACTGTAGCCGTAGCGGGGCTGGCACAGTGGCGACTGCTCAGATGGAACAATTCGACCACCAGCAGTGACGCGGATGTGGCTGGGAGAGCCGTGGTTTTTGACAATGGCTTCCACAGCCTTTTTCTTCAGCGAAGGGGTAGGGGACCGGCCAGGCTTGAAGATGCCGCCGCGGAGAAGCTGACCGTTCGAAGCGATCTCGCCGAGAACTGCTGGGTGAGGAAGGGCACTCACGGTCGGCTGGTGAAACGTGTCGTGAGTGGTGAAGGAGGAGTTCTCGTTGTTCGATCTGCTCGATGGCACACGGAGGCTGCTGTTGGTGGATTGCCGTCCGCGGAACGAGCGAGCAGTGAACGACTTTGATCCACGTAGGACGTGCTCTGATGGCAAGCCGTCAGTGATCATGTGCAGGGGTTGAATGGAATCGTTCAGGGAGTGGCGGGATTCAGGGGAGTCAAGGACTCGGGCGATGAAGCGCATGTTCGCTGCCACTGCCTCGTCCATGACGGTGGTCGTTGGGGTAGGTGTTTCGGGTAGGTGCAGGTAAGAAGAAGCACGTGGAAGTGCGGAGCCTTTTTGAGGAGGGCAGCCGAACGCGTGCCGAGTGAGCTTCAAAACAATGGACGCGCTTGGCCTATGAGAGCCTCAGGAGGCAATGCTGCCGCAACGGCCGTGCAGAAGAAAGTGAGGGTTGATTGTCCAATCATACCTTTGACAAGTTCCGCGTCTTCCCCTTCGTGTTCCTCGATGGACTCAGACAGCTTAGGCTGCGATTGAGTGTTTCTCAGGCGATGCAGTTCTTCAGCCGAATAGACACGGCGCGTGCTCTTGCAGGCAGTGTTTGTAGCCATGGGGATGGAACCCGAGGGAGTGGAAAGTTCGGCCGGGCCGCAGGTTGCCTGGAGGCTTGGTTTCGGCAGGCCGCAGTAAAGTGGAGTCGGTAGCTGTTTGCGTGCTGTGCCAACGACGATCAGCTTCTCTCCACGCGGCATTGACGAGTGTCACCGTTCCACACTCACAGCGAGGGTTGTATGCGAGATCTGCAGGCCGGTTGGCAAGTCGACTGATCAATCAGAGTCCAGGACGAACCTTTGCGAGACGCCAGGTGAGGATCGAAGCGAGCGGTGGCGGCTGACGGTGAGTTGGGTGGCGGAGGCAAGCCGTGGCCAGTCAGTATGAAGAAGTTGTCAATGGTTCCGGAGTTGCAATGAAGCGCGATGGGACAACGAGAGACGAGTGGTTGGAATGAGGTGCTGCAGCGGAGCATCAGGGACAAGAGGACAGTGTATTGGCCGAGCACTGCCTCTTGCACTGCCCGACGACGAGTTGCAAGAGCATGTCGAAGGGCTCGAGTTGGAGCAAGAGTTGGCCGGCCGTGCAGGTCAATCAGGCGGCAGCGTGCACCGACACGTAGGGAAGGCGCTCGACCCGAAGCAGGACCCGATCAGGAACCCGCAGCCACCGCCCTTCCTCGTCGACATGGAGCCGAACCACGCGCAGGAGAGGTGAGGAGCAGCCGCCGGCATGCAAGTCAATTGTTGGGTGAGAAGATCCAACGGTCTAGTGCTCAGTTGCTCTTGCCATCGCAGGGAGATGGAGACGCACTGCGACCCTCTCACTCTGCAACTGAAATTGGTCTCAATCCGGGTGCATTCTTTTTCATTCGTACTGCACGATCATGAGCTTTCCACCAGCTATGCCGTGACTGACCTTTTGCCGAGGTGGACGTACTGCGACCGAGGCATGATGCAGCCACCAGAGCCTAGAAGCAACCCGACTATGGAACTTCTGCGCACTCACCAGGCCACAGATCCAAACTGGCACACATCTCTTCTGCGAGGCGAAGGCACCGAGCTCTCGTGCACCTCCCGTTGCACACCGGCGATTACTTTACCTCCTTCGACGTCGCCGCGCCGGATGTCCAATCTCTACATACAATATGATACATGCCCTGAAATGCCCAGCGCTCACTTGTTCTTCGTCTGCTTGTACGTGAAGCGTTTCCGGGTGCTAATTTGTCAGCAGGGAGGAACGAGCCAATGTACAGCGACCAAGAACTTACGGAGAGAACTCTCCAAGCTTGTGTCCCACCATGTCTTCCGTAATCCGCACGTCGTGGTATATCTTGCCATTGTATACTTGGAAGATGAGCCCCACAAAGTTGGGCAGTATTGTGGCACTTCTCGCCTGTGTCTTGATCGGCGGTGTCCTTTCACCTGGCTTTGGTCGCACGATTGGCAGACTTCGCAGCTGTCAGTATACGCGCAGGAGAAATTGTCGCGGTCGCGGGTGATTCGAAGGTGGGAAGGAGGCGTACGGAACAATGTGCGGTCCTGCAGTTCGGGGTCAGCGCTGCCAATGGTTTCAATGGCGCAATCATCAAGTACTCACCCTTCCATACTGATCGCGCCAGCAGCGCCGCTGTAGACCTCATCTCATCGCTCTGTAGGGCGTCAACAATGGCAATGTTCTTTCGATTGACGTCGAGCGGAAGAGGCAAGCGCGACGGGCCTTCCCGCTCACGTGACCGCGCGTAAAAATCGCGCTGCTTCGCGCAGGCTGCCGTCGCCCCTCGCCCAATCACCGCCACAGATGCTCAGATGCTTGTCCTTCGTTTGACCTTCACTCGCGTTCATCGCGCATTCGCGTAGGCACTTCTGCTTTCCCGTTTGCTCGTCTTTCAATGTAGTCTCCTACTTGGGACCTGCTCACTCCCGTCCTCTCTTCAACACATCGACCGGCATCATGCCGTCTCAACAAGGTACAACACCGAGCCCATGCCAGTTGAAACTCGAAAGAATCAAATGCTCACCAAAGGCTTACACAGCAGCCGATACGATTCGCATACTTGTGGCCACTGACAACCATGTCGGCTACAATGAACGCGATCCCGTTCGTGGCAACGATAGCTGGCAGACTTTCGACGAAATCATGCAGCTCGCCAAGACTCGCGACGTCGATATGGTTCTCCTCGCAGGTGACCTTTTCCATGAGAACAAGCCCTCTCGACAAGCCATGTACCAAGTCATGCGAAGTTTACGCGAGAACTGCTTCGGTGACAAGCCGTGCGAGCTGCAGATGCTGAGCGACAGCAGCGAACACTTTGCTGGGTAAGCACATGGCACAAGACGATCATTTGAGCCGGACTTCTGCTCGACTCAGCATGATTGCAGTGCTAACACATTGCAGTGCCTTCAATCACGTCAACTACGATGACGAGAACATCAATGTGGCCATACCAGTCTTTTCAATCCACGGCAATCACGACGACCCTTCTGGCGAAGGGCACCTTGCCGCTCTTGACATCCTTCAAGCTGCGGGATTGCTAAACTACTACGGAAGAACACCAGAATCAGACAACATACATATCAAGCCGGTCCTGCTTCAAAAAGGGCAAACCAAACTTGCTCTGTACGGCATGAGCAACGTTCGTGACGAGCGACTCTTTCGGACATTCCGAGACGAGCAGGTCAAGTTCTACCAACCATCGCGACAAACAGGAGACTGGTTCAACATCATGAGCGTGCATCAGAATCACCATGCATACACTGAGACGTCATATCTGCCTGAACGATTCATCCCAAGCTTCATGGATCTGGTCATTTGGGGCCACGAACACGAGTGCAAGATTGAGCCTGAAGAGAATCCGGAGATGGGCTTCAAGGTCATGCAGCCTGGCTCGTCAGTGGCAACGTCACTCGTCAAAGGCGAAGCCGTTCCCAAACACGTTGCCATTGTGAGCGTAACTGGGCAGGAGTACGAAACCGAATCTATCAGATTGAAGACCGTGCGGCCTTTCATCGTCAAGGAGATTGCATTGAAGGACTATCCCGAAGCGTGCGAAATTGCCATGTCTAACAAAGCCGACAAACGTGGTGAAGTGTCCAAATTTCTCGCCAAGATCGTCTACGAGCTCATTGAGGAGGCGAAGCAGGAGTGGTATGAGATTCAAGACGAAGGAGATGTGGATGAGGAGGATGAGCCTCCAAAGCCAATTGTCCGGCTTCGGGTCGAGACAACACCACCTGAAGGTGGGACATTCGACGTTGACAACCCACAGCGCTTCTCTGGACGTTTCGCAGACGTAGTTGCGAATGCTACAGATGTGGTACAGTATCATCGCAAACGCACGGCTATCGGCCGGAAGAAGGTGGATGCTGATGTACCCAACATCGACGATCAGCAGTTCGTCAACAAGAGCGGGGCCATCGACACGGCTGGGGTGCATAAACTGGTCAAAGAGTACTTAGGTATTCAATCTCTGAGCATTCTCCCCCAGAACACCTTCAGCGAGGCCGTCTCTCAATTTGTGGACAAGGACGACAAATTTGCAATGCACGAATTCGTTGATGAATACCTGAAGAAGCAACAAGATGCTCTGATGGAGACTCAAGGGGACCGCGAGGGCGGCGAGCTGATGGACGATGACTTGATGGAGGCGACCCTCGAGAAAAACCGCCAGATCCTTGAAGAAGCGCACGATAAGGGCGAGCGTAAGACGAAGAATTGGAAGGCAACTCGAAACCCCCGGCCAGATGACTGGGATAGCGATGAGCAAGGGCAATCTTGGGAGGACTCTATCTTGTCGTGGATTGGTCCTGAAGGAGCCGAAGGTCAGGAGGACAATGACGACGACGACGATGCCGCGAGCGTTGCGTCAAGTGCTCGTCCCGCAAGAGGGCGAGGCAGTCGGGGCGGCAGAGGTGGCAAAGCTGCGGGTGGTACAACCCGTAAGACTACCGCTGCTGCAGCCAAGAAAGCCCCAGCAAAGACAACGACAGCGGCTCGTGGCAAGAAGAAGCCGGTATCGGATGACGAAGATGTGATTATGCTCGACGATGACGATGATGAGGCGGATAACGACAGTCTGCTCTTTGTGAGCCAGGCTTCGCGCACGCAGCGCTCGGCCAGTCCACCGAAGAAAGCCCCAGCACGTGCAACAACTCGCGGCAGAGGCCGAGGCGGAGCGGCGGCAAGCAGAGTGAATGGCACACAGCAAACGCTGAGCTTCGGCACGCAGCCAAAGACCACGGCGAGGGCGAATGGCACAGCCAAGCCGGCAGCGTCGAAGCGCCGTGAGCCTAGCGATGACGAGATCAGCGACGACGATGCCTTTGAGACACCGCCCGCTGCACAGAGGAGTACGAGGACGGGCAGGAGGTGATGACAGCGGGCCTGGTCGTTTGAGGGACACAAATACAGAGGAGAACGGACTGGTTTTTGCATTGCTCACATTTTAGCGTAGCACAGCGTGGCGCGGGGCGTTTCATGGTTGTCACTAACGACTTCGTGGCATGAACATGTAGATACCGCCTGTTTCCACAATGAATGCGAAGACGACGGATACGCGTATAGCTTTTATTCTCAGCAAAGTGTGAAGTGTCTCGCTGCTTCCATAAGCGTTGTGTGCCTGAGGGTGCCTTACAAAGCGGGTCTCTGACGGCATGTTTGAAGCTGTCTTGGTTGCCTCCCGTCAAACACGCGCCGCCATCTCCCACCTTCGACGCATCGACAAAGCTGTTGGCTCTTTCACCATCTCACAACTGCTGAACCGAACAAACAGAGACATTGCACAGAACATTTGGAGAGGGAGTGGAAATCGGTGCAGGGCAAACACAAGTGGGAGTGGGAGCAGTGTAAGGTCCACCAGTCATTACTGCTGCTCTTTCGCCGTCCCGCACAACGTGCTGCGCCTTGCTCGACACTCGCTCATATGAAGAGACCAGCAGAGTCTCCTCCGCACGAACACTCCGACGCCCCGCCCCAGCAGAAGCGATCCATCTCCGAGCCGCGTGCAAACGGGAACGGCACGATGAGCACGCCCATGGACGTCGACCATCCGCAGAAGGCTGTGCAGCAGCTGAAGGAAGCCAGCAACGGCCATGGCGAGATTGATGAGAGTCTCTACTCTCGTCAGCTGTACGTGCTGGGCCATGAGGCCATGAAGCGTATGGGCAGCAGCAACGTCCTGGTCGTGGGTCTGCGCGGCCTTGGTGTGGAGATTGCAAAGAACATTGCCCTCGCGGGCGTGAAGAGCTTGACACTGTTCGACCCGAAGCCGACGCGGATCGAGGACCTCTCGTCGCAATTCTTCCTGCATCCCGAAGATGTGGGCAAGCCTCGCGCCGATCTGACTGCGCCGCGCGTGGCCGAGCTGAACCCGTACACGCCTGTCTCGGTCCATCAAGCAAAGGACCTGACGAGCGATCTGAGCCAGCTCAAGAAGTATCAGAGCATAGTTTTGACTGACACTCCACTCAAAGACCAGCTCACAATCGCCGACTACTGTCACGAAAACGGCATCTACATCACGATCACCGACACTTATGGTCTCTTTGGCCACATCTTCACCGATTTCGGAAAGAACTTCACCGTTGGCGACCCCACAGGCGAGAACCCGCTCAACGGCATCGTCGCCGGCATCGATTCGGACGGCCTCGTCTCTGCACTCGACGAGACACGCCACGGCCTGGAAGATGGAGACTTTGTCACATTCTCGGAGGTGGAAGGTATGGAGGCTCTCAACGATGGCACGCCTCGCAAGATCACGGTAAAGGGACCATACACTTTCCAGATTGATCTGCCGGCGAATGCAGGGCAGTACCAGAGAGGAGGACTGTATCAGCAGGTCAAGATGCCAAAGATCTTGGACTTTGAGCCACTGAGCAAGCAGCTGAAGAAGCCTGAACAGCTCATTTCCGACTTTGCCAAATTCGATCGCCCCGGACAGCTCCACGCAGGCTTTCAGGCGTTGCATGCGTTTGCCGAAAAGCACAACGGGGAACTGCCACGAGCACACAATGATGAAGACGCCAAGGAGGTGCTGAAGCTTGCACAGGAGATCAACGAGCAGTCGGAGGACAAGGCAGAGTTGGACGACAAGATCATCACTGAGCTTTCATATCAAGCACGTGGGGACCTCTCACCCATGGCCGCATTCTTCGGAGGTCTGGCCGCGCAAGAAGTGCTCAAGTCGGTATCTGGCAAGTTTCACCCGATCAAGCAATGGCTGTACCTGGACTCGCTTGAGTCACTCCCGACATCCGTCAAGCGATCGGAAGAGCTGTGCAAGCCAGTTGGTTCACGATATGATGGCCAGATTGCAGTGTTTGGTAAGGAGTATCAGGAGAAGCTGTCGAACGTCAAGCAATTTCTCGTCGGGGCTGGCGCCATTGGTTGTGAGATGCTGAAGAACTGGGCAATGATTGGTCTCGGTACTGGGCCACAGGGCAGGATTTGGGTGACCGACATGGACCAGATCGAGAAGAGCAATCTCAACAGACAATTCCTTTTCCGACCTAAGGACGTCGGCCAGCTCAAGTCAGAGTGCGCAGCTCGTGCTGTGCAGGCCATGAACCCTGATCTTACGGGGCACATTGAGATGCTGAAGGATCGTGTGGCGCAAGACACGGAACACGTCTTCAACGAGGAATTTTGGCAGAATCTCGACGGCGTCACTAATGCTCTGGATAATGTGGATGCTCGTACCTACGTCGATCGGCGATGCGTCTTCTTCCACAAGCCTCTGCTGGACAGTGGCACTCTCGGCACCAAAGGCAACACACAGGTTGTGCTGCCTCGTCAGACAGAGTCCTACTCCAGCTCGCAAGATCCTCCGGAGCAGTCATTCCCAATGTGTACGCTTCGATCATTCCCGAACCGCATCGAGCACACCATCGCTTGGGCCAAGGAGCTTTTCAACACCGTTTTCACAGCGCCGGCAGATATTGTCAATTCGTACATTACGCAAAAGGACTACCTGGGCACCGCGCTCAAGCAGTCCGGAAACGAGAAGCAAACTCTCGAGACATTACAGGAATTCCTGGTCACCAGCAAGCCAAAGTCTTTCGATGATTGCGTTGAGTGGGCGCGTCTACAGTTTGAGAAGCACTACAACAATGCCATTCAACAGCTGCTGTACAACTTTCCTAAGGACAGCAAGACTTCATCCGGTCAGCCTTTCTGGTCGGGGCCGAAGCGTGCTCCTGATGCGCTCACTTTCGATCCCAACAACGAGACGCACTACAACTTTGTTCTCGCTGGTGCCAATTTGCACGCCTTCAACTACGGTATCAAGCAGACCACCGACCGTGATTACATCTTGGGCGTTCTCAACCGCATGATTGTGCCAGATTTCAAGCCTGATCCTGGTGTCAAGATCCAGGCCGATGACAAGGAACCAGATCCGAACGCGCAGCCGTCTGGAGCCGACGACGACAATGCTCAGCTGGAGAAGATTGCCAAGTCTCTGCCTCAGCCGAAGCAACTTGGCGACTTCCGCATTGAAGGTGTGGAGTTCGAGAAGGACGATGACACCAACTTCCACATTGATTTCATCACCGCCGCGGCGAACCTTCGTGCGGAGAACTACAAGATCCAGACGGCAGATCGACACAAGATCAAATTCATCGCTGGCAAGATCATCCCCGCCATCGCCACGACGACGGCCCTGGTCACCGGCCTGGTCATCCTTGAGCTGTACAAGATCATCGATGGCAAGACGGATATCGAGCAGTACAAGAACGGCTTCGTCAATCTGGCGCTGCCGTTCTTTGGCTTCTCGGAGCCCATTGCTTCACCCAAGGGCAAGTACCAGGGCAAGAATGGAGAAGAGACGATCGATAAGCTGTGGGATCGCTTCGAGACGGAGGATGTCACACTGCAGCAGTTCCTCGACGACTTCAAGGAGAAGGGTCTCAGCGTCACCATGATAAGCTCTGGAGTGAGTCTGCTGTACGCCAGCTTCTACGCTGCGTCCAAGAACAAGGACCGCTTGCCGATGAAGTGAGTATTGACCCTTTCATTGCTGATGTTGACAAAGCTAACATGATATCGCAGGTTGTCCAAGCTCGTGGAACACATTTCGAAGAAGAAGATTCCCGAGCATCAGAGGAACGTCATTTTCGAGATTACTGCTGAGGATATGACGGAGGAGGATGTCGAGATCCCGTACGTCATGGTGAAGTTGGGTGACCGCCAGTAGACGCCGTTCAAATGAAGCCCGGACTGGGAAGGCATAGACTTGCTTTTACTCCCCTTTCTCCTCAGGAAAGACGTGGTCGGTCGATGTAGAATGATACATACGAGGAGCACAGGCTTTCAACTGGCCAGAAGAGGCTACTCTTCGCTGCTGCTCGCTGGTAGCATAGCGTGGTATAGATAGATGAGCATGGAATGCGAAATGATGGTATGATATTACTTTGTCACTCTCCTGGTCTAAGCACTGCTCAGTCGTAAGGTCATATCTCGTGCTATCGTAGTCGTCGTACTGTGGGTATCATTTGTGAAACGGAAGTTCTCTGTTGTCCTCATCACTCAATCAATAACAATCACTTCTTCTGCACTTGCTCCTTCCCCCGTTGCCACATCGAAGCTTCCCTCGTCGTCCTCATCTGATGAATCTCCTACCACAATCGCCTCTTCTCTCCTCCTCCTCTCCTCCTCCCTTGCTACCCTTTCCTCCTCAACCAACTTCTTCTTCTTATTCTCCACCCACTTCTCCCTCCTCTTCACCCTCCCCTCTCTCTTCCTCATCAAATGTTCCTCCCAATCCTGCCCATGAACCTCCCTCGCCCTTGCCTCAATATCCTTTCTCAGCAGCATCGTCGTCGGAGCACCCTGACAGATGTAAACCCCATATCGTACTTTCTTCGCCTTTATCCAAGCTATCTGTGCCGGATCCCAGTCTTCTGCGAGGGAAGTGTCGAGATGATAGGGCTTGAGATCGTAGTCTTTCAAAGCGGAGGTCTTGGTCATTTTGTCGGGCCAGTGGGTGCTATCGCATGCGGAGCAACAGTTTAGACCGTTCATGAGGATTGCGGAGCGGGAGGAGGGTTTGCCGCAGAAGGTACATTTTGTTGTGGACCAGGTTAGGAGGGCTTGGGAGGAGCGGTTGCGATTGCGGAGGTAGTTTGTTTGGGACATGGTGGGGGTTTTGGAGGAGGGCTTTCTGCGCTTTGCGGATGCATTCTTGGGAGGTTTGAATTTTGTGATGGATTGGTGTTGGAGGAGGAAGTGTTGCGCCCAGGCGTGGACTTCGTGGTGGAGCGTGCGGCAGGTGTTGGATAGGCGTTCGAGGTCGTGGGGAGCGCTGCGAGGTGCTCTGCGGAGGAGGACTTTATCGGGTTCGTGGGTTGGGAAGAGGTAGGAGATGATGTTTTGGAGGAGTTCGGAGGGGAGGGCGGTGAGGTGGTCGGGTGGTGGGGTCGGCTGTGGTGATTTTCGTAGACTCGCCATCATGGCCAATCTGTGAGTGTTTATATTTTCGATGTGTTAATCCATTCCGCAATGTCAAGTCCGCAACTGCTGCAGGAGCGCGTTCATGTGAAAGTGGAGTGAAAGCTTATGTAAGCGAAGTTGCACGTCTGCTGCTACCTCCTACTCCTACGTCCCTCCTGCAACTCACCACGCCAACTGCCATTAACGCCTACCACTCATTGAACTCATTGTCCTCCGCTTCTGGTATCTCGATATCATCGTCCTTCGCTTGCGATATGAGCCGCGCCAGCACCTCGTCCAGGATGTCCATCGAGCCGCCGAGCAAGACTCTACTGAACGCCCCCTTGGATTTGCTGGTCAATACACGGGTGCTGGGCATAGCTAGTCAGCTGAAACTCTGAAACGGGCGATAGCGATGACACCTTACCAATGCTCAGCGTGAAGCGGAACATCGTATCTCTCCTCCAAGATGACCTTGCCCAATAACGCCAGCTCACGCTTCTGCCACATCTGTCAAGTTCGTCAGCTGCGTACGGATCACGTCAGTATGCTTCTCGACTCACAAACATGCAGTGCATGCTATGCCAATGCTGGTCGGCAAAGAAGAAGTCGCCCGTGTCGGCCATTGCTCCTACTTCTTCCTTGCTAATAGGTTGGGTCATATTTACATCAGAGAAGTATCGCCAGGCCCCTCCAGCTTGAAGATTTGTCGCAGCCTGCTCGAATGCGTCCGAAAGCTCTGCATCGCGACATTCCGCTGGCAGCCACGCCGGTGACATGGGATCGAATTTGCACCCCAAGCTTTCAGCCTCGGCGATGGTGGTACCGCAATAACATTTGTTCAGAGGCCTCTGCGATCGTGCTGCTATAGCTTTGAAGAGGATCGGCGCGCTAAGTGTTAATAGAGCGAGAAGTGTAACGATCCTGCCAGCTGGACTGCGAAAGACAGTCTTTGCAATCCCACCCAGTCTTGCCAGTCTGGTTCGTGGTGCTTCGCTTTCTAGCCCAATATCCTCCGGAGAAATGTCCTGATACTTCTCATTATCGTCGTGCTCGAGTGCTGCGTAGCCCTTGGAAAAGGCGAATGTTTTGCCGATGAAGGAAGCCATATTCATTGGTGGTTCGAGCCAGCACGAAAGGTGGCCTATGTACTTAACAATTCAGACGAGCTCAGCGGCGTTGCACTCGAATCGACCGTCTCATCCGCTCATTCATCAGCTCCGAAGCTAGCACGTCGACCAGGTTATCGGCATCCCAATACCAGAGCTTTCGAAGAATCCCAGGAAGGGAAGATACGAGCGACCAGACATGCCGGTCATGCCGGCCTGCACATCTTACAACATGCTTGAATATCGATTGTTTCGATTGTATCAGGGTATATCGGCAATTCCTAATGCTGAACATGGCTGCTCACAACCGACTCTATGCCGCGCGTGAACCTTTCCCTGCAGGACAAGGGCATTGGCATGTGATATGACCTGTGTGACTGAGCCTGAGGTAGGGTATGGAATATCGCTCACCGCTCTACAATGTGTCATCCGGACACTACTCGGATTCAAGGCATATAAGCTCAAGGACTTTTTAGGCTCTCGTGCCAATAAGCTGTCGCAAGCCGAATGCCAAACAGGTCGCACATTGCCAGAGAGCGAGATATACCTGCTTTTCGATCCCCGAATGCAGGCGACAGACTGTACTCCCGCGACGCAATCTCACTGTCACTTTTCCGTTGCGGAATTGTAGCATTCTTGTGCAGCTGAGCTGCTCGCACGATTGCATTCATGTTGTATCAAACAAGGTGGTATAGCAATCACAACTATACGCAGTTCCGCAACCCACAGTGCTCGCTGCCGCTTCAAGCATGAGCCGCAAACGAGCACTTGCAGGATGGCATCTAACATCCCTTAGGCATATTGGCCCTCCTTCCAACCTTGATCTCCTCCGCCGCATCGAAATCCTCCAAGAGCCGCGCGAAAGAGCAAGATGGGCTCCAGTTCGTCCACAATTTGTGCACTCCTCTCTTGGAACGCTCATACATGTTGGCGGGATTGAACTGCTCTCAGTATTAGCCATTTCTTCATCCTTGGAGCGAACACTGATTACTCATACCACCCCGCCACGCTCGACCGCTCTACCCACCAAAACAGGGTCGGCATTGGGAATGTCCTGCACACCAGATCTTGGGAGCGCGCTGGCCATGCCAGCCAGCGATGCCAGAGAAACGATAATGATGGAAGCCTTCATGGTCGATTTGGTGAAATAGAGGCAAGCTACTCTAATAATTGTGGCGGTGGTTGAGTCAATGAGCAAGACGGACCGCGAAGACAACCAGTTGTTTTATGTCCTTCGGCAGAACTTGGACTCGCGACTAACCTTCGCATCCGCCCATATCAGCCGTGAAGCTCTTTTATCATGCTGGATTACAGCTCACGATATCTTCGCGAAGCCAGCAGCTACCTGAACGAATCGCGAACTGCATCTGAGTCAACATATTGCTGGCATCGAGCCGCAACGCCTGGCATCTGTCAGGCCGTGGTGCTATAGCTGTTACAGGCGTGATCTTCGGCACTGCTCTTTGAACTCAGACCTCATCATTCACATCTGCGGGTCTTCTCACCGCTTCGTTCGCCACGCATAGGGATTCTCTAGGCCTGTGGACATTGAGAGTGCCGTTTTGTATCGATGGGATGCGAGAACCTCGGAGTCTGCATTGTCAGCAAGATCCCATGCGGTAGGCGGTCGAAGACACGGATCCGCACATCATACCTTACACTCGATGCAGGATACTGGGTCGTAAATGCAAGCCTACCATACGAGCGAAAAGGAAACGCTTTCAACAGCCACCGAGATGGATCCGTGAATTGGAGTGTCTTGGTTGCATACATATGCTCTCACCAGACAGGAACGGCAGAGTGATGACCAGTGAAAGGCCTGCCAGTCCATGGTCCGTTGGGTATCGTGCTGCGCTTTTTATTTTGAGCTGGCAACGACAGGCCTGGTGGCGCTTTCAAGTAGATGTGCAGCGTGTACCATTTTATCGATACCAGGCACAACACCAGCCGAATCGAACACCTTTGACCTTAGATAACAATTCACGGCTCCTCTTACGGTAGACTTCCTTGCACCTAGCATATGAAGTATCCCGCTGCATGACTGTAGTCTAAACAATGCTTGCAGGGATGCGAGGTTAGGGCTTCAAAAGTGCTGCGTGCTTGAAAGCCTACCCAGGCTCAGCTGACAATTTTGCCTGTGTAGGCTGTCAGCTTCTTAAGTGGGGAGATGCTCAGCGAGTCGAAAAAGTTAGCATACGAGTGAAATTCGGATCCATACCTCGCGGATAGCATGGATTCAATGGTCCTACCGGCACAATGACAGCCTGGAGCTCTTCGGCTCCAACTTCAGTTCGAGCAACGGATTTGCCAGAAGCCTTGTAAGGTGCACAACAGCGGAATCAGAAGCATCCGTCCTCCTCTCGAAAGATGCTGTGACTTCTGACTTGGTTGGTAACAAAACATCGTCCCTCTTACAACAACACCACATCAAGCCAAAAAATATGTATCAAGACAGTGAGCAAGTCAAGAGGTTGCTTGATCGCGACGATGATCGAACTGAGACAGTACATTCACCTACTCACCACGGCGGCGGCGCTCTCACAACTCTCCTCGGACAATCACGAACGTTTCTAAGCCTCGTCGTTTTGTTTCTCCTGATACTTGCAACGCTCGGAGGCGCAGCACTAGGCCTACTGATACAATTAAAATTCAGTCTGTGCAGAGCTGGAGCGCCAAGTAGTTTGAGAGGGCCAGGCTTGAATGAAGAGATTAATGGGCTTGTGCCGGAATGTATGTGGGACTCAGAATTGCTCAGTGATCAAGTTGGTGGCTGACAGATGCTGAAGTCCCCCGAACCACGGTCTTATTCTGGAATGATTCGAGATTCGCACCCACGGAACATCCAGCTGAGGAGCATGAGCAATACTGGAATGAGATGGAGCAAAATTGGGGATCTCTAATGCCGAGTCGGTCCCTTCTTGCTGCTCCTAAAATCAAGATGCTGACGTCGTCCAACAGAAGGGAGAGGTTTTATCGGGGTTCGAAACCACGAGAAGTATATCTTACCTCATCCATATCCTGGGCCAAATGTCGATGAATATGGTATTGCGGTGTTTCATCAGATTCATTGCTTGGTAAGCCATCATCTCTCATTTCTACTCATTCGGAACTCGAATTGATGCTGTCCTAGTGGCTGATGACTCGCACCTTAAAAGAGCTCGGCTCGAATGAAGAACCATCGGAAGATCTTCAGCACGTCTTGTAAGTTGGTCGCCCTGGCTGTCGTCGTCTTCCGTTTCCACTAATGACTTTCGTTCGGTGGCTTTAGCCATTGCGCCGACTACCTTCGCCTATCATTAATGTGCTGCGGCGACACCTCACTCGAAGGTGCAGATCCTTATCACTCGCCTGAAGCTGGGACGCAAGGAATTGGTACGACGCATGTTTGTAAGAATTATGATGCGATTTTTGCTTGGGCTGAGGAAAGGAGGTGGACGGATGATGGGACTTTGGTAGATGATCCAGAGACGACTTTGTAGAAGATGGGGAACGTGAGAATTTGAGAAACGTTGAGCAGTTTCTGTGCACAGTGGCTTTGTGCACACTTGACTGCATTCGCATTCCTGCAAAATTTAATGTCCTGTCCAACCACCATCGACTGTGATGCCTGTTCCTGATACGAAATCGGACGCTCCACTTGCCAAAAAGATCACAGCACCGGATAAGTCGACTGGATTGCCCCAGCGTTTCATTGGTGTTCGCACTGTGTGGAAGGAATTCGATCAGCATGCTATTGAGGCTTCCTTATACTTGATAGAGCCACTTACTTATGACATAATCATTGAAAGCTTTATACTTTGGATCAGTCTGGTACTGCTCAGTCAATGGCGTAGTAAAGTATCTGCGACACAGAGTCAGCTTGCCACACATTGTGCAGCTCTCAGCCCGCGTCACGACATACCCAGGATGAATCGAGTTCACATTAATGCCCTTGCTCGCCCACTCGTTGCTGAAAGCTTTCGAGAGCTGCATCACGCCCCCTTTTGAGGCAGCATACGGAGTGATATTCTTTCCGCCGATGAAAGAAATGATACTGGCGATATTGATGATCTTGCCCGGTCGACCTTCTTTCAACAAGGGTTTCGCAAATTCTTGACTAAAAGTTATAGGTGTAAGCGATAGTCACTGTCTCACATGCGATGGCTGGGGTAGGGCTTCCACCTATCACTGACCAGCTCACAAGTGTCGCCTTCAAGTTAATGTCCAACACGTCTTCGATCTGCTCATCGGTAAAATCTTCAGCTTCCGCTCTTCTCTGGATTCCAGCACAGTTGAGTAGGATGTCGGCTTTGATTCCATCTGCCCAGATCTTCTCATAGCAGGCTCGAAGTTGCTTGGAATCTTTGACATCGCAGCGATATTGCTTGAGGTTGCGGCCTGCTGCTTCGACGGACGTCTTGAGATTCTCAGCGCCTGGATCGCCAGCCAGCTCGATTGATACAATATCAGCTCCTCCGGAAGCAAGAGCCATGGTCATCGCCGTGCCTAGACCACCCGTTCCGCCTGTCACGATCGCTGTCTTACCTGCCAAGGAGAATAATTCAGCAGGGTTGACGATGGGAGCTGCTGGTGCTGAAGCCATTCTGATTACTGGTTCTGGTATGTGATCCTGTGCAGTGCTTCCGATGTGTTGTTGCAACTATACTCATTGCTGAGAGCGGGCATCCTATGTAGCGAGGTCTGGTGCGGGGTCAAACCCAATGAAGCACTGATCGGAAGGACGACCTCCACGAAGTGGTGCAAGTTCCTATGGCTCATGTGTTCATGTCTTCGCGAATGAACGATGCGATGGTGTTGATGCCAAAATCCGATGTTGGTGTGATTGCAATATCACCAATGATCCATTCGGCGTCATTGTTCTCAGGCTTGTCGTCGATTGGATTTCCGAATTCGGAGAGGAACTTGAGCATCCACCCATCAAGCTGGAAGGAATTATCCATAGATGTGCGACAAGCCTTATGAAAGACCTGGAGACGAATCATGCAGAGGTCCAATGCAGGCCAAAGCTCTCGGAGCTTGAGCAGAATGTTGAAGTTGCGTTCCAAACGTTGTCGTGCTGCGTCGATCTCGGTACGGTCTGATGAGAAGAGTAACGTGTGTATTTGCACAGTGGAGGCAATGACCAGAACGTGGCCAACCATGTTGTACTGCACATCGCAGCCGGGCGTGTCAAGTGCCGAATAGACCATGTTGCAAAGTCGAGCCGCGTGGTACTTGCATCTTTGCGCAAAGACATTGATGAGCCCGCCGCTTTCCTCGTTAGAGCCGTGCAGGAACTGGTAGTATAGTAGTTGGCCGTAGTGATAGAACCCGAGATAGACGGCTGCGTAGATGCGTCCTAGTCCTTGGGCTGCATAGTGTGCCAAGTTTGCCGGCTCGTCGCGCATGTACACCGGAAGCATTGCTTCCCATTCATCAAGTCTGTCTGACAGTGCCTGCACTGCATCTGTGTCTGGTGGAAGGTGCGATGTACCGACGGTGTATGTGTTCATCTGGTTGACACTACAGTGATGAAGGGTGTCAGCATATGTTCACGAATATTTCCACAGCGCAGCGGAATCTAGAGTTGGGCTTGTCGCCGAAGACACTTTCGTGCATCGGGAGTACTGGATCTCGGGTGTAGGGCTGCACTCACTCTCTGAAGATGCGGTTCAAAGTGATCATCTCCCCAAGCAGCGATGGGTTTGAGTAGGACTGAGACATGTTGATCGAGTTCTCATGCCGCAGCTGCAAGAATGCCATCTCTTCCATTGGGAGAGGTACGTCTGCTGGAGGGGTCGCGATCTGTCGAGGAACCTGCACACCGGATGAAGACCACTCATCGATCATGCACAGAGTATGCCAGACTCGTAAAGTCAGCCGAGTCGCTCACTGCGGATTTGTTTGCTTACCCCTTATATTGATCTCCTTCTCGAGCAAGCTTTCGCACTGTCGATGGGGCAGATCCAATAATTGCGCCATACGACAAGCTATGCCGTAATACACGCTCTCACCTTGTGCATCTCCTTCAATGATTCGACATGCACCGAGCATGACACATACTTGTATCGAGGTCAGCGAGACTTCGCTCACGTCTAGCAATTGCGCGGCTTTTCTCGCATATGGCACTCCTCGTGCTCGCGGACTCGTGGCTGAGAACAAATCGTTGGAAGAGAAGCGAGCGGAAAGCGCGATCATGGCGTATGCAATGACTGGCGAGGTTCTGTTCATCGCCAGATCTGCCATGAATTGAGGTTTCTGGAACAGGGTATGCAGTTGATCGTGAATGTAGTCAAAGTACAATGTGGCCAGGTGGAAGCATACTGCTGCCGGGGGCAATTCGACATCGTGAACGGCGCCATAAGATGTAACATTCGGGCTTGTCAACGAGAACTGTGGTGACTCCTTGAAATATGATATGGTGCTCAGAGCCTGTTCATCTGGCACTGAGGTTCCTCCGGGGCCAATGGAAGTGTTCGAGAATGACGATGCAGAATTTCGATGGGCGTGTTCACGGGCAGTCCTGGCTCCCGCTCTGGTGGAACTGGACGGTATGCAAGGAACATTGTGCTTTCGGCACATGGCACACGGGCCTCCATCGCTTGAAGGTTGACATCGCCGCCGCCGAGAGCTGTATTTCCCGTCAGCATTCTCCTACGCTAGAGCCTCGTGATCAAGAGTATCGCACCGGCAGAACTCGCAAGCCGTTTGGGGACGCATTGCTCGAGCCTCTGCAGGCGGAGAACGACGGCGGAGAAGCTGGCGGCATTGTGTCTGGGAATGAGGAGCGTTTTGCGCCACCAGACGTCAAGACCTCGGGCAGAAGCAATGGAGAGAGATGGGTGAACCGGCTCCTCCACTTCTCTGGCCTTGGCGAGTTTTCCACTTCTCCGCCGACTTCTGGCGGGAAACAACAACTCCAACACCTTCCCACTGAGCAACCACCACCGACCATCTCCATCATCAGAGGTGGGAACACCACGCGCAACCTGTGCGGAGATAACGTGACCAGCTCAGAAATGATGCGCCGGACTTGAGAAAGGAGAAGCGCAATGGCGGCGCGTTTTGCCATACGATGAAGATGCCCATTCTATACACGCCAAAGTGATCTATTCAAGCCAATTGGTTGTGCCGCAGACTCAAAAAGATACCCCAAATCATGCCAGCCGCCGTGCCAACATATGGCCTATACCTCATCGGGACGACCGCGAAGTTCAGCAGACAAACAAAAGGCCAGAATCGGTAGCTCGCAAACAGGAGTGACCAGAAGTTCTGCCGAGTCGTCAGAAATATCCCAATGAGCAGTTCAGCAAGGTCGACTTACGCTGTAAAGGTCATCCATGATGAACTCATAGCTATGTCCTTTGATGCCACCCATCAAGCAGATATACATTGCGGTATTCACTGTGGCCGCTATGCTTTGGTCCAAGAAGAACTTGATGATGGTGTTGCGGATACTCAGGCGGTCTTGCACTGGCGCTATTTTCTCGTCCTTGCCTTTGGCTTGAGGCTTCTCTGGGGCGATTGCAGTTCTGGCAGGAAATGAGGCTTCGAGGAAGTACTGGAAGGCATAATTCGGTGGTGTCGTGATGGCGGAGAAGACGATGAATTGAAGAATCTGGATCAGATCGAGGGAGAAATGCTAATGATTGTCAGCCATCGCTCGACATGTTGTCCGACAAGCAGAACTTGCCTGCTGCTTGTATGCCGTGAATGCTTGCGCCAGCAGTCCGGACGCCCCACTGAGTATGGTCGCTTCTATCGTTGGCGATAGCAGATCGACTGGTGAGAGGTCGAATTTGGACATCTTGTTCGAATGCTGACAATCTGCTCTGTGTTTCAATATGCACTGGCCGCACACAAGCTGTCGGTCTCGAGATCAATCAAGAAGAAGAATTCCTAGCTTTTGCAGACGCTCTACAGTCTACGTTCCATTTTGAGACATTGGTCAGCGATGACTGCTTACTGATTGAAGTTTCGCGCAGTATTCCGCCGGGCGGAATACAGCTCCGCGCTAGCTCTTGGCTAGGTTCGACACATGCTTTGGGTACATGACGATTCTCCGCCGTCTGCCTCCGCTGCTCCACATGCACCACCCCGAGCCGGCGGAATATATCCTTGGCTTGAATGCGCGCGGAGCTTGGTCTCAGAGCCTCCGCACATATAGGTAAGTTGGTTTTCTGAGAAACTGCCACTTCATTGTGCCTGTACGTCTCTGTCTTTCCGTTTCTCACTCGCAAGCAAAATCATGACTTCGAAGAACATGAGACCTGCATCGTTCGCCGCAGCATTGCTGGGTATCGCTGGCGTTGGTGCCGTCGAAAATGGGCTTGCCAGGACACCTCAGATGGGCTGGGTCAGTTTGCCGAAGCCAACTTATTGTTTCACGCACTAACTCGTTTCCAGAACAATTGGAACACATTTGCATGCGAAGTGTCAGAATCACTCTTGCTCGACACCTCGTCCCTGCTCATTGAATACGGTCTGCGAGACTTGGGCTATAACTACGTTGTCTTGGACGACTGCTGGTCAAAGGGTCGCGGCGACGATGGCTACCAAATTGTTGATGACAATAAATTCCCTCGAGGAATGAAGTCTGTCTCAGACAAGTTGCACAAACAAGGACTGCTGTTCGGCATGTACTCCAGTGCAGGAGAGATGACATGCGCACGATATCGTATGCCAGACCCTCTATCTTTCCCAGAATCAGGGCTGTGAGCTCTACTAACACCTTCCAGCTGGATCTCTCGATTACGAGATTCAAGATGCAAAGAGCTTCGCCTCGTGGGGAGTGGATTACCTCAAGTACGACAACTGCTACCACATGGGACGATTCGGCACACCAAAAATCACATTTGACCGCTTCAACGAGATGGCCAAAGCCTTGAAGGCTACTGGCAGAGATATTCTCTACAGCTTGTGCAACTGGGGAGAAGATTATGTCCACACATGGGGTCCATCGCTCGCCAACTCATGGCGTATTTCAGGAGACATCTACGACAGCTTCGCGCGTCCTGATGCACTCTGCGCTTGCGTCGATCCAAACGATCCTCACTGTGTCGCACCTGGTACACACTGCTCCGTGCTATCCATCATCAACAAAGTCGCGCCCTACACCGATCGTGCCCTGCCAGGCGGCTGGAACGACCTCGACATGCTCGAAGTCGGCCTCGGCGGGCAGACCGAAGAAGAATACAAAGCCCACTTTTCCATGTGGGCAGCTCTAAAATCTCCATTACTCCTAGGCAACGACCTCCGCGAAATGGACGCCACGACGCTCTCCATAGTCAACAACCCAGCCATCATCGCCATCAGCCAGGACCCTCGCGGCAAAGCCGTCATCCGCATCTCACGGAATACATCCGTTCCCAAAGACGAATTTGATATCGGCGAGACACAAGTTTGGAGCGGACCACTCGCCAACGGCGACCAAGTCGTCATCTTCCTCAACGTCGCAAATGAAGATCTCGAAATGTCCGCTTCGCTCGAGGAAATTTTCGTTATGGACGGTGTACATGGTACCGCTCTGCAGAATAAGCAAGATTGGGCTATTCATGATTTGTGGAGCAATGGACACAGCAGAATGACAAAAGTCAATGCGGAGGAGATCTTGGCTGCTGAGGCGGGTGAAGCGAGGGCGCAGGTACTCCGAAGCCAGAGGGTGTACAATGCTACGGAAACGCCCTATGCTGCGGGGATTGAGGCTGGTGATTCGCGGTTGTTTGGCGAGAAGGTTGGGACGGTTTCTGCGGGTGGACGGATCACGGTGCCTGTTGCGAGGCATGCGGCTAAGGTGTTTAGGTTGCGAGCTTTGAATGGTGAGTCTAAGACGAGGAAGACTTTGGTGAAGCAGGAGCTGTGAGGTTGGGGCGCCTCGTGAGGGGTCGAATTGTCGAATGCTGCGGGTGCAGCGACATGACGATGTTACGAACCGGCTATGAGCCACGATAGATCCATAGAGACTGGCGTTCAAAAGCATTAATTCAACTCACTGCTCGCGACCCCTCCCTAGTCCGTCTCCTCGTCGTTCGATGACTGGAAAGACCGTTCAGGAGACAAACACAAGACCCTTCTCCTCGTCGCTGTCAAAGCAGCTACGTCTCGTACCCCTCACGTGCTCGCGTGGCAAAGAGGAGGTCAAGATCGCGACTGCGACCAAGCAAACCTAGTTCCGATCCAGATCTCATCAGGCGAGCAGATCAGATCTCGCCATGAGCAAAGTCAGTGACAGCTGGAACCAATAGGACGATACCTCCTCAACTCTGGCCTGGACTCTCACGGCCTAGTAGCACAATTTACCTTGTTTATTCAGCCTAGCTCGATGTCACCCGATGTTCTTGCCAGCTTCGTGAGTTGTACATGACATTAGCGGAACGTGGAGGGCCAGAGCAGTCTCCTGATCCTAGTCGCTAGCGACGGACAAGCTCGCGTGAGCTTGACTTGGGGTGTCGTGAGGGTGAAGCTTGAGCGTGGCACTCAAAATCCGGCTGCTGAGGTGGCGAACATGGCTTGATGTCGAAATGGAGTGGACACGGCTCCTTCTCTGCAGCTTTCGTGATTGAGCCTGCCGTTCGTCAGGACATGCAGATACGGGGCAGCTCCAGGACCGTAGCTGCAGCGAAGGAAATGCTGTCTGTCCCACTGGGAGTATTGGCAGTGCCTCGAGCAGGGCATCTTGATGCAGCCCTTGAATGTGGCAACGATGGGACAGCACCGCACAGCAGTTGACGAAGACTTGCAGTGACTGCTGCAAGTTTGACAAGTCCCTTTGGCCAGCCATCGTAGCTGTGGCGTCACAGTCTTCAGTCCAGCGACCCAGTCTCCGGACAATGCCTGCGTATTCCAATTCTCTGAGGCATCTCGCGATAATCGTGCTTGTCCTCGGTAAGTGACAATCTCGGCGCTACATCGATGGCATATCCGGGCTCATGATCTTGATTTCATGCGGCAGACACCGCTTCTCGGCACAATACTGCAGTCGCTATACACATCATCAGCGCGGTATAGTTTTCCACTCCACGAGGAGGAAAAAAAGAAGTCGTTAAGCGTTTGGTGGCTGACGCGCCTTCTAGTGGAGAATGGAAAGCCACGCGTGTGCCATGCGCCGAAAACAAAGTTCTACTCCACGGGGTTACCAGAAAGTCTATTAGCATCGGCAGGTGGAGGAAGTGCACAGTCTGAGAGCCGGATTGTGGAGAAGACATGGTTCAGCGCTCTGGGCGTGGCTTGGTCCAGGCCGGGCAGAACGGACGCTATACCGTCTCGACTGTAGTCTCAGCATCTGCTCTTCCACGCGTGACCTGCATCTCGCTTTTCGACCCTTTCCATGGCGTTTGCTTGTCGCGGCGGAGAACAGCTTCTAGCGGCGGACGAAGACCTTCGATGCTTTTCGCATCATGCCATTGCCCCAAGATGGCCAGTAAGGCCGAACATGTTCTGACAAGTACATGGTCCAAAATGCGGAGCGGCAAGACATATATCTAGACAATGCCTGCACTGAGTTGACGGGCCATCATCAGCATCATCAACAGCTTCTCCAGAATTCATCAGGAGACTCGAACAAGGGCTCGGCTTCTTGAGCTTTACCAACATCCGCCACTGAGCAGGATAGTCGACAACGCACTCCATCGACAAATTCGACACAGTCTTCGTAATGTCTGAGAAGAAGGATCACATCTCCAGCCAGGTGGACGAGGTCGACCTCAGCAAGACCACCACCGGCGAGCTCGCCACCGCTGTTCACGATGCGACGCAAGGAGAACACGAACTCAGCATCCGCGAGGCCATTCGCCAATACAAGTCCGCACTGTTCTGGTCTCTTGTAATGAGCACCACGGTCATCATGGAAGGCTACGACACCAATCTGCTCTCCAACTTCTTCGCCTACCCAAGTTTCCTCATCCGCTACGGCCAGTGGGTCGGAATCACCCCGCAGACACCAGTCGGCTACCAGTTGACTGCTGAATGGCAAGCTGGTTTGTCCCAAGGTGGTGGCGCTGGCTCCATCATTGGCTGTCTCCTCGCAGGTGTCATCGTCTCTCGCTACGGTTCCAAGAAGGCTGTTCTCGGCGCACTCATCGCACTGTCTCTGGCCGTCTTCGTCGTTTTCTTCGCTCCCAACTTGCCTGTCCTCGTGCTCGGAGAAGTCCTTTGCGGTCTGCCATGGGGTATGCTCGCCACTACCGCTCCAGCTTACGCTTCAGAAATCCTGCCAACAGCTCTGCGAACTTATATGACCTCGTACACCAACATGTGCTTCATCTTGGGTCAGCTCATTTCCGCCGGTGTCCTCAAAGGTCTGTCGACTCGCACCGATGAGTGGGGATACAAGATTCCTTTCGCGCTCCAGTGGGTGTGGCCAGCTTTCCTCATCCCTCTGATCTACATGGCACCTGAATCTCCATGGTACCTCGCCCGTATGAACCGCATGGACGACGCCCTCGCCTCTCTCAAGCGCCTCCAATCAAAGGACTCCACCATGGACCCCAACAAGACCCTCGCCACAATCGTCTACACCAACAACCTCGAGAAGCAACTCTCCGTCGGAACCCGCTACATCGACTGCTTCAAGGGCACCGAGCTCCGCCGCACCGAAATCGCCTGCTTGTGCTTCGCCGGTCAAATCCTCTGCGGTATCTGCTTCGCCTACAACTCCTCCTACTTCTTCTCCCAAGTCGGCCTCGGTACATCCGCAACTTACTCCCTCGCTCTCGGCGGCACAGGCCTCGCCTTCGTCGGCTGCCTCGTAAACTGGATCTTCCTGATGCCCAACTTCGGCCGCCGAACAATCTACGTCGCGGGTATGGGTGGCATGTGCTTCATTCTGATCCTCATCGGTGTCCTCAGTGTCTGGACCAACACCAACGACGGAGTCGCCATGGCCCAAGCAGTTCTCACCCTCGGTTGGACTTTCATCTTCCAACTCTCAGCAGGTCAGCTAGGTTGGGCCCTCCCCGCCGAAATGGGCTCCACTCGTCTCCGCCAAAAGACCATTTGCCTCGCCAGAGATTCGAGCAACATCGCCGGTCTCATCGGTGGAACTCTCCAGCAATTCATGATGAACCCTCAAGCCTGGAACCTCCGAGGTTATACTTCTTTCGTGTGGGCTACGACTTGCTTTGGCATGTTTGTGTGGTCTTATTTCCGTCTTCCAGAGACTTGGAACAGGACTTATCACGAGTTGGACATCCTTTTCGCGAAGAAGGTTACTGCGAGGAAGTTCGCGAGCACGGTTGCGGATCCTTTTGAGATTGGCAGCAGTGATGATTTGGTCGCGGAGGCTTCGAAGGAGGCTGCACGAGAGGCGGTCAGGTCCGGGTCGGTTTCTGTGCCGAAGCAGGAGGTTTAGTTGCGGTGGTGGTGTGATGAAGAGTGGGGGGAGCAATGATACCAATGATTGTTATGAGTATGCAGCATACAGCATGGAGTTTCGACTTGTAAATATTCTTTAGCGGCAATGAATGCATACAGCTCAACGGTAACTTGGAGTTGTATTCCACTACTTTACCTCACAGTGCCAAGCTTGGAAGGTGCCACAAGGCAGCAACGCCTTAGCGCGGCTGTGACGAGAACAACAAGTTACACAAACACCTCACGATGCTTCTTTGAAGCACTTCTCTCCAGATTCATACCCTGAACCCCAGGTGTTCGCATCCAAGATTCGGCCTGCGCCATCGACAAGATGTCTTTGCTCGGCCTGCCCACGGAGCTCCTGGACGACATCATTCTCCAAGTCTACAACAACGGCGACCTCAAAAGCATAGCGCAATCATGTAAGCGAATCTACCAGCTCAGCAAGCCACACTTGGAGCAGGACCACATCTTCAGGCGACAATGGAGACACGTCGCAGTGTCCGAGAAGCAGTCAATCTTTTCAGTGCTTGCTGCCATCGCAAGAGAGCCTGTCATCGCTCGATTTGTCCGGGACTTGGACCTGAGATCCGCTGACGAATCTGCCGACGAACGAACGCGTAGAGTCAGATTCGAGCCTCAAAATGGGGGATACGTGAAATATGGAGAGGACGCCGAATTCGTGCGCACGCTGGTGCGCTCTTTGCCGCAGCTCACTTTGGCGAAACACGATGCAAGTGACTGGATAGTTATGATCATGCCACTGAGAGTGGCCGTGCGGCGAGCGAGGGACCAGGATTTTCCAACATCTCGAGATATGGTCATGCATCGTATTGTCTTGCTCTTGACGCTACTTCCAAATCTGGAGCGACTTAGACTGCCGAAATTCTGGGCTCGCACAGAAGCCGGAGAACCAGAGACGTGGAAAGAAGTTCTTTCTGTCATGGTGAACGTGGCAAACGATCGTCGAGATATTCTGGGACCAGAAGGGCACTCTGAGGCACCTCTCGCGAGGCTGGGGCAATTGCTACCCTCCCAAGAGACCGATGAAGACGGAAGATGTCGAGCAGGCCTCAAGGAGGTTGCACCGCTTTTCCTGCTACCAGGCTTGGAGCAAGTACACATCATGAAGTATATGGCCCACAGCAATGACAACATGTATTCAGGCATCTCGTTCGACTGGTCTGGCTCACCTAGAGTGTCTCTCGGCGACGCCATGTCGAATGTACGCTCTCTCCACTTCGAAGCTTGTTGCATCGACGCTGCAAACATCGGTCGCATACTGGAGCGCATGTCGGCTCTCACATCATTGAGGTATTCTCACCACGCCACATGGAACGGCGCCGGCCACAACTGGAATGCAGGAGCCTTTGCTGCTGCAGTCTCAGCGCACTGTGGGTCGCAACTCACACAGCTCTCGCTAACGGTTCGTCATCGAATGGGAGCGATTGAAGGTGGAATCGTTTCTTTGCATGAGCTCACGGCTTTGAAGGAGGTCCAGTTAGATCTGCAGATGTTTGCGGCCCCGCCATCAGCCAGTGACTTCCGATCGAGGTTCGGGGGGCTCTCCTTGGCAGCAGACGCTGAATCGAACATAAATGGCATCCTACCATTGTCTCAGATCCTCCCGATTGGCATGGAGCGTGTAAGCTTGGTCATGCATGCAGGGCATGGTATTGAGCATGGACAGAGTGAGCTGGACATTGTTCGAAAGCAGCTACGAACACTCAAGGCTCTTTTCGCTGCGGACCTCACAATATCACATCGGTGCTTGCAGCAGGTCATTCTGCGGCATGACGGACAAGCCATAGATTTGGGCATGCATACGATCGTTGGCCAAAGTGGCAAACGCAGTGATGTATCATTGGAGTCGCAGGTCGCGCGTCTGCTGAGAGGAACTGGAGTGGTGGGCGTACTGATTGATGACAGCCATGATGCTTTTGAGTCTATGCCGTGGGAGAACGGAGACGAATATTGAAGTGGCCCGAAGTAGACGGCACAGACTGAGCATCGCGGTAGCATGAAAATGATTTCATGAACAGATGAAGTACATTGTGTAGTGCATGTCCAGAAAAGATGTCTTCGTATGAACCTTCCACCATTGTTTTGTGCCTGAACTCTAAACCGGCTCCGCATCGGCCCGTCGGACATGAAGTGAGGCTGCTGAGCAGGAGCTGGCCGCGCATCATCGTGCTTGCCTGAAGCTGCCACGCGCCGAACAGCTTCCATCAACGCCAAACACATACCGCAACACCACCACTCCACCGCCATCAACACATCATCTCCGCTCGAACCAGGACACGCTCAGTACACGAAATTTTCCTCTGTCACAACCTCGCGCTCAGGAAGCGCCAACAGCCCACTCAAACAATCACTGAGCACCGCTCAACACCATCATCATGGTATCTAACACTCCAGTACCAACCCTCTGTTTCCGACAACAACAACTAACACCCGTTCAGTCCCTCCGCATCGTCCCCTCCTCCAACAACCCCTCCCACGCCAACTTTCAACTCGGCGCCCCCTCCGCCCCAGGCGTCCACGACACCCTCCGCTCCAACCTCTCCCTCAGCACTCCCGCCCCAAAAACCACAGCCTCCGGCAGCAACCTCACCCTCCAATCCTCTCACCCTCTAGAAAACCGCCTCACAAACTGGCGCGCCCAACAAGATACTCTCAAACACGAACTCCTCCGCCGTCAATTCGGTATCGCAGAACCAGTCAAACGCCAAATGGAATTGGGGATCGTGAGAGCTGGAGAATGGAGGCCTAGAATTCTTGGAGGTGCTGGAGCGGGGATGGGTGGTAGCACTGGGAGTGGATTGCATGCGGATATTTTGATGGGGAGGGATTGTGAGTTGGATTGGGAGGATGTGTTTACTGGTGGAGAAGAGATGAGGAATGAGGTGGATTTCCATACGGAGATGGAGATGAGGTTTAAGATGAATTCGTGGTAGACGAGGCGGGCGCCTGCTGTGATGGACTTCCGGAATGCGGGAGAGAGAGGACTTGAAAGATGACAGTTGATGGATGCGATGGTGGACCATGTGGGACGAGTGTACTCGCCGACCGAATAGATTGGGGAGCTCGAGATGGAGATGGAGACGTGACATGCATGCATAGACAGACTATGATTCGCTGTACACTACCAGATTCTCAGCATGACGAGCCTTCTCGCAAGAGCAGTCATGAGGTGAGGACTGGACGTCACTACTGCATAAATACTGAAGCAATATGAAATCCAATGAAACTCTACGCAACGCTAATGTCCCCTTTCACGTATGTCGGTTTGCATTCAGAACGCAGATGGAGAAGTGTGATGGAGTGCACTATCCATTTCCCATATCACCTCGCTGGATAAGTGACATCGTACCTCGTCTGCGCTGTCCTCCACGCTCCATCTATGCTACACGGCCTCCAAGAAGCCAGAGGAAAGCAGTCCTCAGCGTGAGAGAGGAAAGCATGGTCCGGAATGCGCCCACTGATGAAAGAAGGCAATATGATTTCGTGCAAAAAGATAGACCCATCGCTCCATGCCAGATATGCTGTGACGACCGTCCGCTCCCCTTTCCCCATCCCTAACGCCCATATGTGAATGATGCTTCTGTCAAGAAATGTGCACCAGCTTTGTCCCCTTCTCTACAGCTCGAGGGGCCTCGCCTCACTTCCATGTACATTCGGTATGTCTCTTCCGACCCAGCGTCCTCATTCGCTGCGCACTCAGCTGGTCACAATGTCTCCCTGGTGCAACTCTCTAACCTTTGTACGAGCAGTTGTTCGATAGCCTCATAGTATGACACACCTGCAACCCGCACCTTGCTCTTCTGTCTCTCGTTGTCGCACCGCCTTCCCGGTGCTCTTAGCATTCGCTGCCTCATCGTCGTCGATAATATCCGCCGGCTTGACAGTCATGTGAACAACGTTCGTCGAAGCCATATTAAAGGGAAGATCTATGCGAATGTTAGCCGTTCGCCCCTCCTTTGAATCCGCCACCACTGCCTCTTCTGCATCCCAGTGGCCATCGCATATCGCGCAGAACGTGCGCGTGTATGCAACTCTCCACCGCCCTGTCCCCGACTCACCTTTCAACAACCCCTTATCCTCAATCATCCTCCCCATAACAATCAACCTTATCCGCCCGGGACTACTCGGCCGTGGCTCCCATTCCTGCCTCCAATCCGTCCAAATCAGCTCTTTCAATTGATACCCGCTCAATTCCCTCGGATCGAATTCGCCTGCGCTATTCTGGGCTGTGACTTTTCGATTCCGGAGATATTTCTCGTCGATTTTATAGGGGTGTCGCGCGCCCGTGATGAGCATTAATGAGATCATGAGATGGGGTCCTGAGGTGGAGGTTGTACTGGGTGCGATGGGAGCGTGGTCTTCTGCGGCGGGGCCGAGATGTTCTGTTTCGGTTCGGGTGAGGTTGGGTGCAGTGGTGGTGGTGGTAGACGTGGGTGGTTGTGTTTGTTGTTGTTGCGATGTTGTTGTCGCTGCTGTTGCCGCTGCTTCAGGCTGTGTCTGGAGGGCATCTTCGAATACGGCAGGAGTGCCAGGTGTCTCTGGGATGGCATTGCTCGCCGCCGCGGTATCCAAGTTGGTCATCTCGACGGGTTTGTTCTCCTCTTCGGATAGCGCTCGAGCAGTACTCGTTGTTGGGAGAGAAGCCCCTGCCACGGCGTCTTGTGATGATGAGGCCATTGATTGGTGATCAGCCGATGTGGTTGTTTGCTGTGTCGTATGTCACGCCGGACGCTGTGATGACCCAATGCACTTTCCGAGCGATCTAGAATCAAGCCCTTGCTAGTTTCCGTGTGTCTGATATGTTCCCAATTGATGATACGAGTCTGGTGAATAGCGGCGGACGGAAGTGGTATGGTATGAGATAGCACGAAGGGCGATAGCGAGCGGAAGCGACCTGGTCTTCGCAATGGGGATTCTGTCCGTGTCTCTCCCGGCCTCTTCCTCTCCTGTTCACAAATCTGCCACGTTGTGCTCTGTTTTTACTGTTCTCGATGTCGATTCTTCGTCCGCCCGCGGAGCACTTCTTCTTCAGGCTCGAGGGGCAAGCGAAGGAGAGGGCGAGACTGGAGTTGGTGAAGTGCCGCCGCACCAGGGAAGTGCCAACTGAGTGGAGTGGAGTACAGGAAAGCGCGCACGAATCAGGAAGGAAGAGCCACGCTAAACGATGGGCTCGGCGATCATCCGTGTGGCACCGAACCGACCGACGAACTGCTGACGGAGTATGTGGTTGTTGCACTACAAATAGAATGTCATGCCAGGGAAGATATCAGTAAGATGGACTACAGTTCATGTTTCTCATCACCCCAGTCGCGCAATCGTCCTCGTGGTCAAATAACGCCACCGCGACTAACACCAACCGACATCTCCTTCCACGCGCTTTCTGTCGGCATCGGCGGCGAGAATGGTCTCGGCATGCACATGCTGCCCTCCATCGAAACTTGGCCGGCCTCAACAATACTTGGCACAGAAGGCATTAGCCGTGCAACATGCTGCGAAGTCACCAGCAGCGTGTGTATGGCCACATGTACGCTCAGCCGGGCCGTCTTTGGCTACGCGGCAGCTGGCACGCGTTCTTGGGCGAAATGACAGATACCTGTGAAGTACTCGTCTCGCGGAGATTGAGCTGGTGATTCATCAATCAATTTCTTGAAGGCAATGATCTGAAGCCTACCTCAGCGGTGAGCGTGAGCTGCCCAGCCTACATTGCATTCATATCAGGCCATCATCGTCATCACGACCAACACTGTCGGACATACTTCCTACGTTCTGTTGGGATGTCATTCGATACCCCAATGCCAATATCTTGACGAGACCCACAAGGCTGAGCTTGGCTGGAGAGAGACACAGCGGCACGAGCGGGGTCGTACACACCACAGCGAGTGGCCAAGTCTCCTAGACACGAGTCGTGTCGTCGTTTGCTACTGTACGACTAGACTCACTCTGCTACATGAGAGGCAATAGTGCCCAGAGACAGCATCCAGCCATGCTTTCATGCCACACGAACAACACCCACCAGCGCCGAACATGAATTCCAGTAATGCTGCCTTTTTCCCAGCGAACCCCAGCCAAACTCCTTCACTCATCATCATCATCGCTAGCATCCTCCATCCCCATATCCTCCATCTCATCAATAAGTTGGTCCATAGGTATTTGCAGCCCTTCATCATCCTCATCATCCGTCTCCATCTCACTCGCCGCAGCGGCCGCTTGAGTATTCCTGTACAAATTGAGATTACCTCTGAGCTCAGGATCTTGTTCGAGATCCTGCAAGAATTGCTCGTAATCAATCTCATCACGATCCTGATCCTGCTTGCGAGGTTTCATCTCGCTCTCCTCACGAGCCATTCTTCTCAGCTTCCAGTTTCGGCCCTTACCGCTCTTTCGCTTGCGTTCGTAGTGCTTCTTGACCAGTATCACATCAGGTATCGTGCCAGAGTATTTCTTTGAGTCTTCGAGGGCTTCCCAGTTGGGGTTGTTGAATTGTGTTCCGGCGAGAAGATATCCCATTGCGCTGTCTCCTGCGTTCAAAATGCTGCCGAGATGTGTGCGGATAAGATATTGGTTGTCGTTGACGCCGAGATCTGACGCTCGCACGACTGTGGCATCTGCGAGCTCGAAACGGCCGTTTCGTTGTCCTGTGGGCTCGATATCCATCACCACAAATTCTATCAACTCCTTGTTGTCTGCAAGTGGCGCGAAAGGTTCTCTCCAGTAGATCTGTGTGCTGAGATCTGCAGTTTGTAATGTGTTAGGGTCCAGCAGGTTGACTGACGTGCCAATGCGGTAGCACAGTGTCAAAGGTGAAATGTTTCCAATCGATTTTGCGAGCTTCGGCGGGAGAGCAACTAGATCATCCTTGCAAATAGGCACCAAATTCACAGAGAATGTAAACTTGTAACTCTTCACACTCGTATGCGTATCCATCGAAATCAGCTCTTGCGCCTTCTTCGTTGTGACCGGCACAACCGATTGCAAGAAATCCACAAACTTCTCCGCACTATTTCTCTCCGCAAAGAAGAAGTCTATTCCATTCGGTACTTCCTTAATGTTGATCGTGTTGCTGTGCGCTCCTTGCTTGAGAATCAACTGTTCGAGGTACAAGAACGTCCTCTTATGAGGAACCTTCTGCCGCACCTGCACGACAGCTCTCCATGTGTTGTGTGTGTATGACTTTGCGCAGTCCGGACACTGCTTGTAATTTTGCACGAACTCCACGTCGAATGTCTGCTGCAATATTGTGCCTTGCATCGCCTCTTGCTGTACTGTGATCTTCAACTTCACACGTCTCGAATGCGGTTCTGTCCAGATGAAGCTCGCGTCTATGATCCTCGTCTTGTGTAGCCCTCGCAGTTTCCGTAGACATAGTGCAAGCAGTTCTCGTGATTCGGGCGCGGCGACGACCCAGGTTGCTGGAGGTGAGTGCCATCGGTCGCAGTCTCTGCACATGAGTAATATGCCGTCTCGCTCGATGCTGGATGTGATGTCGACTGTCGTCTTGAGACAGTCATTGCAGAGTGCTCCTGCAGCTTGTGTGCCATCAATCGGTGCGCCGCAATTGTAGCAGAGCACCGTGGCCATCGTGGCCGGCCGCTGCTCGAGGGCGACAGTGTCGATGTCCATCGACATGATTGCGGGGTCTGGAGGATAGTCTTTTTCGATTCGGTGGCACTCTCGTGCGAATGACAATTGCTCTGACCCCACTTCGGTGTGTTTTCAGAGCAGACTTCTAGCGAGGGTGGTTGTTGCTGTGAAGAAACGGGATGTTCTCGAGAGCGATGACAAAACCGCCGCCACAGAATTATTTGCAAGCAGACGACGCCAGGGTTCAGCTGATAAGATAAGAAGGCACGGGCCATCGGAACAACTCAGCCGAAAAGCACGTTCGTCACGGAAGCAGGCGGCACTTCACTCCAATCCCAAGACCGAGCATCGTCCTCTCGATTTCTTGTAAACAGCGACAACGATGTTTCGTACTGCTATACAGACCATCTAATCTATCATTGGTTCCTTGACCGAATTCTACTCTGCACTGCCGTACCCAGGAACAATTTCCTCCACCTGATCGAAAACCTTCACAATTCCGCCTTGCACCCACGTATACACCGCCCCATCCGGCCCCAGCGTCGGACTCTGATAATTGTTATTGAGCAATGGACCAGTACCCGTCTTTACCGACCAGACAATCTCCCCAGACTCATAATCTATCGCCGAGAGATACCACACATATTCCCCTTCTTTTGCAAGCTCGACATCCTGATGATATTGATAGAGCAGTCCAGAGGCTGTTGAGAGCGTCCCAATACCCGTTCCGGGGAGATCGACTTCCCAGCGTACGCGACAGGAGTTATTCCGCGGATCAAAATCCACTCGAACGAGACCGGGCGCTGCGGTAGTGACGCGATGGTCAGAGCTATTGAGCGTCGTGCTGCTGTTGAAGAAGTTGATGACTGGAGGCGCATTGAAGGAAGCGGTGATGACAGCACTGTAGATCTTCCCGTCGAAGTGCGTGATGAGAGTGTTTTCGGTGGCGCTGGCATTCGGGCGAAAAATTGGAACATTGCAGACGAGGTTGCTGTTCTTATTGCTGACGCTCTCATAGTCTGTGCTTGCATCATTCCGAGCCTGCTTGAAGATGTTCAACCGGATTTGCATGTCTGCGTTGTCGGTGATGGCGACATAGTCTGTGCCTAGCAAGCTCGGCGACGAGCCTGAGCCGCGAGAGATGCCACCGGGCTTGATGCCCGATCCGGCATCGTAGGTTTCATTGTACAAGACCCGGATGCCATCGACACTGGGCGCCAAGGCATAGAGGTGCCCGATAGCATTCGGACGATCGTTAGCTCCGGCGGGTCCAGTGTTAACATACACGATGCTGCCGCTCATGGCTATCCCATTCTCCACATTGGTGTCGGGAAGGACCAAGTGCCTCATCGTCCCACTTGGCTCGATGTAACCGATCACAGCCGAAGTATTGGTAGAGCCTACTCCCGCTCCGCGAAAGCCTCCAGTCGTGAACCAGAATCTCCCTTCCTCGTCGTATGCCGCATTGATTATCTGATTCTCTTCGCCTACCAAGGCCGATAAGTTCAGCTCTTTAACAAAGTTTAGCGTTGTGCCATTGGCCGTATCACTCCGTTCAATCTCCAAGACTTTCGGCCCGAGCGCTGGCGTTATATATCGTCCTTGGTACATGGTCGAATAGGTAAAGAATGGAAAGAAGGGAGACGATCCCTGTTCTGTGGGACCAGTCCATGTCGCGAGTGTGTCGAAAGACGTGGGGTCTAGTGCCACGATGCAGGTCGTGGTGTCATTGCAGATGGCGCCAGCAGTAAGTCGGCCCTCTCCATCCCAAAAGAGAGGGGCGGGCTTGATGTTGGTGCTAGATGATGTGGTGACATTGTGGCCGAGAGGACCAAGGTAGTCATCTGACCGAGTGTTGCCAGTGTCTCGATGGTAGGCAAGAACAGAAGGGTTGTATTTGGTCTTTGGCCGCAGTGGCCTGGCTGCTACTGGCTCTCCAGTGAGCTGTCCCCCAGGAATCGATTGCAAAGATGGGACCACATGCTTATCTGTCCAGCCAGAATTGGGAGTGTTGGAAGCGTACTGGTTTGTCAGCCTTTTATGTGATAAGCTATGCAGGTACGGATACATACTATCGGGACAGCTGACAAAAGCATAAGCGATGCCAATGATCGGCCTGTCTTCTTGGAGAGCAGCATGGTTGCAGAATGCGATAGCTATGCTCCATTGTTGCACTGGGTCTGGAGTACATATACGCTCCATGCGTTCTTCAGCCACAACTGTCCGAGACAGTGTGACAAGATCGGTGTCGCGGCCATTATTCCTCTGCAGTGCCGGTCTTATGCATTGCGATCGGATCTGTATCGAGAGCCGGGTTTCCGTACAGTCAGAAAAACATTGGTGTTACGAAGCCAAGCTTTCCTGGTTGGACTGGGGTCTTGCGTGTCTATAATCGGGATAATGACGGACAGACATGTGTGCCACTGAAACCAGTGTAGACTATGTCTGAAAGGCTGGAGGGAATACGGCGATTCGTCTTTTGCATAAAACATTGCCGGACCTTGCATAAGCCGGGTCGCTGATGTGCTTTGGCCTGGACAAGCCTTCCCTGTTGTTGAAGCTGCAATGATGGAACATAAGTCGTGCCAAGAGCCTTCATCGCCCATGGGCTAATCTCTCTTTAGAAATTCGACAGGGAGCGAAGCTGCTCTTAGGGCAGACGACAGAGATCAAAGCTGTGCTCAGCCTCACAACTTGAGGTCATGCCAATGAGTAAGATGACAGATCCTTTGCAACTATCATGGTTCGGGACAGGGCATTCTTCGATGGCCTTGCAGGTTCCGAGCTGTCTCTCGGAATGATGGCTAGGCTGGGGACGATTTCTGCTTGTGACGAAGTCTGCTTGGCTCAGGCTGCGGTCGGTAGCCACGTTCTGCTTCGCCACGATAGAGACGATGCGAAGCTCGAATCTGGATGTGGTCGACGCCTGTCTCCATTAGAGTGCCATCACTGGCTTATCAGCCACGAGCCGCTGATTGGCCTGTCGCTGGATGCTAAGAGACTTTAGTCACGTCCGCTGCTGTCCACACATCAAGCTTTCCAGTTGGTACTTTTTGCAGTCCAGTGTGTTGAGCTCACAGCAGTTCTTGAATACTTGTTCATCCATATAACTCTTCAGGCATGTCTCCAATCATGATATCCATCCAGTGGATTGTGGGCCCCGAAGAGTCCGTTCGAGTACTGTCCAATTCATCTGCTCGAAGCCAAACAGTCTCCAATACCTGGATCATTCGCAGCACTGTGGGAACACCATGGCGTTCATGGATCCAATTCATTCGCCGCACCACAAGATTTCGCCACGTTTGTAGATCCGCAGTCTGCGATGATCTTGCCGCACTGGCCTGTAAGGCGCTCCCTACACTGATGAGTTGTATCGGAATTAGATTGTTACATCCAGAATCTTGAGGAATCCCAGGAACGACACTGAGAACTGAGATCGCAAAATCTAAAGCCATTCTTCGGGCTTCCAGTGTGAGGTCAGAGGCTTTTTGGAGACTCGGATAGTACTCCATGGCGATTTGTGGGAATGCTAGCGTGAGCTCCAGCAGGATTGTCAGTTGCATTATGGTGTCCACGGCGAACAAGTGATCGATTGGTGTAGTTGGATCCTGTGTGTCGGGCACTGATATAGCTGGCGGAGCCATATGGTTCAAGGCCTTTTCGTAAATCTCTCTGGCCCTCGAAAGATCCTCGTCGGCCCCTGCAGTTGACGCTGGGGATGTCTTTGAGCGACTGAGTAGTACGGCGCGGCGTTTCCGTCTGACTATTATCATTGTTTCGGTCAGGTAGATGAAGAGAGGAGTACTGAAGCCGGTCCATGGGCATAAGTAAATGGGCTGCCCATCCGCCACTTTGGTGAACCGCCGTAGATGGGCCACTGAGCTGAAATCTTGATCCACGACGATGGATTTCAGGTACTCCATGAACCCCATGGCGCCGATGATGAAACTTTGCTCGCGATTCAGTAAGAGCGGCCGCTCGTCGAACTCGTTTATGCGTTGATCGGCCATCCATGCTCGGAACAATGGCTTGGCACCATGAAGGTGAATATGGTTGGTGGCAGAAGCATCGCACCAGCTCTGTGGGACTGTTCATGAGTTTAGTGATTCTTTCAAGACTGGACTTATTCCTACCGTGGTAATTACAAGCAGGAACGCTGCCAGAAGCGCCTGCTTTCTAGCAAGTCTTGTCGAGAAGGGAGATTCGTCGTTGCCAGATACTCCATTGACAATCGATCGAATTGCACGAATGACAGATGTTATTCCCCGGATGGCGCTCGTTTCGTGTCTTGCCACTACATTCCGCATTTCAGCTATTGAGGGAGACAAGTGCGCCGCCGACAGGCTAACAGCGCAGTCACTGAGTAACTCGGAAGTCAGCACGAGTTGAGGAATTTCTCCGCGGAATGGGTTCTCCGGCGAGTCGAAGCACGACATCAGTCGGGGAACCTGGTTGATATAGTATGCGGTCAATGTGTGCCTCGTGTCATCGGCAAGCCACATATTGTCAGTTCGCAGTGAGCTCTGCTGTTGCTGTAGTGCTAGGATCTGTTGTTCCTGCAGGCTGGATGTTCTTGTTCGACGTGTTGTACTTTGTGCGGCCACGGCAGGCGATATTATGTCCTGGTCCATGAAACGAAGATCCGGATCAGCCGCATAGTGCTTGCTGTGCTCCTTCGCTGTCTCGCCCGTAGCATCTGCACTCTCGGTTGTGAAGCTTTGCTCTGTCCCTGGTGTCCAAGTGCGCTCGTGAGCATCGACAGCTTCAGATGGGCAGACGGACGACACAGAAGCAGAATCTGGCGATCTGGGGCTGCGAGAGGGTAAACGCACGGAATCTTCTAATCCAGATTCAAGCTGCTCCGATGGCATGAAAGTCTCAACACCATGCTGCTGTCTGCGACGAGCAAGCTCGAACGAGCTTCGATTGCTTCCCTCGCGAGGGCTTGAGTCTCCTGAACGAGTTCCGTAGAGCGGTACATGATCACGAGGAGCCTGAGGTACCGGAGCGCCGACGGCCCTCAGTCTGATTGGAAGTGGAGTCCCAGGGCATTCAATACCTCTCCCTACGCAGTTCTTGCATTCAGGCCGCGTCTTATCACAGTAGATGTTCTGCAATCGTGCAAAAATCAGTTCATCAACAAAGCAACGAATGCTCACGTTATCAGTTCACTTACCTCAAGTCTGCAGGCCTCACATCCGTCTGGGTAGTGCTTCGTCAGCCTTACTTCCGGCAATAGTACATAGCCGTAACGAACCCCTGTTAGCTATACTTGTGGACATGATTATGGGCTCACAGTTCGGTGCGCATGAAAGAGCGGTATGACTGCGCAGACCGCCAGTCGCATTGGCCGGCTGCCCGGCGAGCGGCGGGATCACTCAGTGTGTAGGTTCCATACGTGGTCCGATACTGTGTGAGATTGTTTTGGCACTCAGTGCGTGTCCGGTAGCAATAACTTTGTTCTCGCAAACTTCTTGGTCGGATGAACGAATTCGATGAAACGGATAGTAGGGAGTGCTATCAGGCGATCTGCCGGAGATTAAACCGAGGGATCAGTCAACGCGTGAATAAACCCCTGTTCCTGGTACAATCCAAGGTTTACATGGATCTGTATCTCAAAATGTTCACTTCGCAGGTTCCGCTGACTTCACCTTCTTCGTCAATCAGAAACGCGCACCTGGATAAGAGAGCGAATCCGTTCCCTCTTCCAGACCGGCGATTGTCGTGAGTGTTGTGCTTTGCGGTGGGATGTTTCGCTGTGAAAGTGTTCTGTATTGGTCGGGTAGTTGCCACGCTCCATGAAAGATGCGTTCTGGGCAAAGGAAGGCAAGTAGGTGAAAGTTGAAGGTATGTCGGTGCCCAAGTGCTGTATTCCTGGAACTCAAAGGCCATGGAAAGCAGCTAGGGACTTCGTCAGCTAGAGTATGAAACTCGAAGGGCCTAAGAAGCAGACAGGCACCTCGTCAGCGTGCGTGTGTATTTCCCAAACCTAAGGTTTGGTGGAAAAGCACACTCTGGGACCAGGAACACAGGCTACGTACCCCATAACGGCCTCCAAATCTGTATAGACTGCCGGTTTACGTTATTAGAAGCTGTGGCGTAGACCAAGAAATGGTGTCGGGTGCTATACCCTGTCTCCTTCTCAGCCCGACTCGGCTCTGTCGCAGTCGGCAACTAGCTGAACTGGAATTTGATGTGGGCTTAACGTGGCGCCTGTCGGAAAAAGGCCGTCGCTAGGTAGGGAGGAAAGTAGTGATAGTATCTGCTGTATGTACACTGGGAAGTGGAAGTGGAAGTGACATGTTCGGCACCGGTAAACCTTTTTCCGAAGGAACCTGAGAAGGAGGCAGGCTCTATCGTGAAAGCGGATTTGAACTTCTCCTACTTCGATTACTCTATGCATGATACCATATGTTCCATGCCGTCATTAATTTAACCAAACTTAGCGCTAGGTGACAAAGTGTCAATGATGAAATGAGTAGAAAGTGGTGGTTACTTAGCAAGAAGAAAGAGAATAGCTTCCATACTATACAACAACATGTTTGCCAACTGGAATATAAAGCACAATATGTTACCACAAGCATTCACAGGAAACAATTGAGCCAACTAAGTCAGGACGGAACACCTCATTCGACGTTGCGCACTGTCACGTTCGTTCAAGTAAATAGCAACCAAGCAAGCACGAAGCAAGTGAGACCAAATAGTGAAACAGAGCAGATCCATCCTGCCAGAGGGAGGTCTGCCGTTTCCATTGCTCTATCGTGATCGCCGCTTCTCATTACCATGCAGCGGTTTCATCGTTCAATCTTTCTTTCTCTATGATCCTTCCGGAGAAGCAGTAAAAGCACAAGCCAAACGCTGCAAATGCGATGCGATGCGATGCGAAACCAACTCAACCAAAAAGAAACAAAAGCTTTTGCTCGCAGCGCAAAGCGCCGTCGCTATGCCTCTTCTGAAACCACAATCTTGCGAACCATTTGTGTCCCTGGCCGAACATCGCGAGCCATCTCCTGTCAGAGAGGCGAACGCCATGCAGCAAGAACATGCTCTTTCAGCTCATCCAAGCAAGCCCCAACCAAGTCGTCCTGAGCTCGTTCCGGCAGCATCATATCGCAACTACTGTCCCTTAGCAGTATCTGCCCACGAAAGCACGCCGAATGTACCCTTCGGCTTGGTTGGTGCAAGATGCTTCAGACCGCCGTTACCGGAGAGAGAGATTCTGCCCTTCGTTGGCTTTGCTAACTTGAGAGGCTTCTTGCCGACTTGGGTCCACTCGTCTTCGGCTGGAAGGTTCTTCTGTGGTGTCTTGGCCGGGGTCTTCTTCGGCGTCTCAAGCTTTTTGGGTGCGTCGAGGCCGAGAGCAGCAAGTGCCTTTGATGCATCTGGATCCTGCAGGATGAATGGAGCAGTCAAGACGGTTTCGTCGACGGTGCCAGCTGAGTTGGTGAGACTGGGGACGTTGACGCTGCTGCGGCGAGAGCTTTCGCCGCTGTCATCATCCTCCTCGTGTGCGGCATTTGGGTCAGGATCATCACTGCTGCCTCTTCTCTCCTCCAAAGCGGCATCAGAATCCTTCCTCTCGATGGGCTTGTGCTTATCATCCCACTCTTTGCCACGATCCATGAGAGCACGATAATGCTTCTTGTTGGCCCAACGCCAGAAGCCAGCCTTGCTTCTAGCAGTGGTCTCGAGCTCCTCGTGAAAGCATTGAAGGTCACTCTTGATGGCCTTGATCAAATCCACGATGAGCTCGCCTTCCTTGCCATTTACGTTGGTGTTGACCTCCATCTTCTCCAGGATGGACCTGACCTGGTCCTCGGAAACCTCGTACTGGTCGGTGCGATCTCTGGCGATGTAGTCGTGGCGGAGGGACTTGGTGTTGAAGGTACTGTAGTTGAAGCTGAGGTTCCATTTGATGTCCTCATCTTCAGGCGTGCCTTCGCCCTCATCTTCTGCTTTCACCGCCTCTTTCTCTGGCTCTGGATGAAGGAGCTCTGCAACACGCTCGATGTCTGCGGTCGTCACAACCTTGTCCCGCTCCAACGCTTTGGCCGCCTTCTTTGCCGCCTTTTTCTCCTTCTTTGTAGCCTTTGGTGTGCTGCTACTCGGGGTCAGAGTTGCAGGGTCGGCGATGTTCTGGAGAGCGTCGGCGGTCAAGAGGATCCTGGGAGCTCTTGGAGTGCTCAGGGCCAGAGCTGCGGCTTCTTTCTCGGCTCTGAGCTGTTTGATCCTGTGGAGGATCTCGGCGATATCCCGGTGCCTCTTTTCATGCTGCTCGTCGGCGGTCTTACAGGCGGCGCAACGAGAAGCCCAATTCACTCGGAAGAGGGAGTGGTACCGGTGGCACCACTCGACGTGCTTGCCGAGGCAGGTGGTTCTGCATTTGTCGTGCGAGAGCGGCGTTGAGCAGATTGGACAGTGGTGTTCTGGAGAGTGTCAGTACGTCCTGGGCAGGAGATATGTGTTGGGGTGCTTACTCAAGACACCGCCTTCGTCCCAGCGGAAGAGATCTTGTCCCATGGTGACTTTTGGGGAGCTGACAGCTCGTTGTGCCAACCTCGAGTTGGCTTGTGTGGGCGACCTGGAATCTGCCTCAACCTCGATCGTCGAGTGCTGCCTGTTCTTTGAATCGCGGTGCTATTGTCACTGAGTGAAGCAACAGAAGGAACCGATGTCTTCATTCTCTGAATGTCGGTGTTGTGTGGTGGGTGTCGCCGGCGGCCGACGTGGTCCAGCTGGGATCTGTATGGGACAGTGCAGATGGAGGAGGTAGAAATTGGGTGTCGGTGTTGTGTGTTGTCGTGGGAGACAGTCGGGAAACGGAGGTTGGTTTGTCAACGAAGTTCTTTCGTTTGAATATCTGCTCAGGCGTCGGGAGCCTGCGAGTGGAGACCGGCTCGGGCAGTGATGCCGCTTTAGTTCCCGTTTCTGGTGAAGGTGAATGGGCTTGAAGGTGGTCGGGAGGCTTACTCAGGACGTATTTCTTGCAGCACCTCGCCACCGCTACCTCCTATCAAATCCAGCTCGTCGGGAAGATGCAGCTTCACCCTGGTAGGCGTTGTACTATCAAATGTGATATGTTCGTTTGCAGCGAGCGGGGTGTTGATTCTACGTCGTACAGAAGACGCGCTGGGACGCGAACGGTACTTTCACATGCGCAGGGGTCCACCTTAGCGTGGCAGCCTCGTGTTATTCACTTTTCACTCGTCAGCTGCTCAAGATACTGCTAATGAAATACAGCTATTGTATCAGCACAGAGAACAACAATGGAGCAGAGTCAAGACAGAAGCAGATCAGGCCGTTACATTGTTATTTTGTGTGCTCGCAGGCAGCAGCCGCAAGTCTTTTTTCTCCAACGAAAGTGGTCGAGCAGAGCTCAAACGCATCAAATCGTGCAATCCATCTCGCAGAATCCAAAATTTGGAAATCAAATAAGATCAACACACCGCAGAGGTCAGACCTTCTCGGCCAGTTGAGGCTCGTCTCACAGATCCTAAATGTCCTTCACGAGTCTCGCACCAGCCCACACATATGGGTAGTTGCGCTGGTACCAATTGACCCTACACATCGTCAGCAAAGATTCCCCAATCCAGGGCACCAGGCCGCCACAAAAGAACGTGTGAGAAAACTTACACCGACTTCCTCCCCGCGAACCTAGGATGGGTCGCCCACGACCCACCCAGTACAACATAATGCTTTCCGTCATAGAAATCTGCACTGTACGCCGGGTACAACTTCATCGCCTCAAATCCCTTCCTCTTCTCCAGCTGGGAGCTCGTCCACTCCCAGAGTCCTCCCATCTCCGCATGACCTGCCAAACGACCGCCATTCTGGGTTACTGGCAAAGGATGCCAGTACTTGAAGCCCACATTGGCGTCGCCGAGGTCGACAAAGAGCTCACGGCTCTTGTATGGGTCTGCAGCATCGCTGCTGGACCCGTTGACGGAAGACGAGGATGGTGGGGACTCCTCGACGCCCTCGTTGACAAGGTGGCTGTTGACGGCTGGGATTGTTTTGCCTTGAGCTTTGTCTGCTTCTTTCTTCTTGAGATGAGCGGCGTACTCGTAGATGCTGCGGGCTTCCTCCATTGTTGGGATTCGGCCGCCCATGTATTGCGCGCAGCCGTTGAGCTCGTCGTAGGATGCGGAGCATGGCCAGTCAAGGGCATACTTCAGCGCAACCGGACCATAGAAGGTGCGAACAAATTTGCCCTCCAGGAAGTGGTCGAACTCCGCATCGCCGTTGGCATGGCCATTAACGACGTTGGTGTGCCCATTAATAGCACTGTCGCGTTTACTCTGAGTGGTCCATGAAGCCGGAATCTGCTGGACGTCTTTGGCAAGCATGTACCGCGCATATTCCTCGTTGGTGATAGGGCGAGCAGCAGCCTGGAAGCTGTGGACGTTGGTAGTGTAGGAGGGCTTCTCGACATCCCAGCCAAAATGACGCACAGGTCCTTCAGGAGTATCAGCGTCTTCAAGACCAATCGTCACAGTCTGCTCAGGGATGGTGAACCACTCATTTGGCACGGCATCTCGCTTAGCCTTGGCAGCCAACTGCTCAAAATCTGCTTTGACAGTGCCATCAGGAGCGTTCGTCTTGTCGCTCTGCAGCGCTATGTAGAGCAGAGTCTCTAGATGCATCACTTCATGCTCGAAGCCAAGCCACATGGCTCGTCCGGCCCAGTTGTCCTCGTAGACACGGCCAGTCTCGTAGAGATCACGCACGCGACTACGAACGTCCTGCTGATACTTCAAAATCGTCTCCAGTGCTGGCCATTCGTCCGGGATTTCGCTGTGAGCATGGCAGTGCTCAGGGTTGTCCACATCCGGGTCGATGCCTCGTTCAAAAATCTTCGTAAAGTAGCTGGGCTCCGTGAGTCCAAGTCCCGTGGCTTCATTGATCTTGATGTCGAAAAAGGTCGGAATGTGGCCAAGATAGAAGATACAAGCATTTCTCAGCTTGATTGGTTTCTCCAACAATTCCTCATCGGGAATCATCTGTCTCGTGACCTTGTCCCAAACAGCCCAGAGCTGCTCCCATTCGGGAATGGAAGGGACAGGGTGGCGAGCATACTCTTCAGGCTTCGTCGGATACATCGTCGCAGGCCGGGTAAGCATGTGAAGAGCTGGAAATTGTGGTTAGTTATGCTTATACTGACGCCGGGCTGATATCACACTGTGTCGATAAGCAAGCGGAGGTGTATTCCGCTGGGGTGACATGTGGTGACAAAGCCGAGTGGTACCCACCGTAGCTGCCGCTGCGATTGGCCCACGAGGCACTTTCTATGACGGATGCTGCAGACCACAGCTGAAGAGCTTGTGCGGCATTCCACTTGTAAGACTCTTCAATCCGGACTCGCTCGCCTTTCTTGATGTGGACGCCTTCGACTTCGACATCCCGCTTGGGCACCACGAATGCGCGGTGTCGCTCTCCTTCCTGGTCATACTCTCCTACAGCTTCCCAGTCGTCGATGCTGAAGGCGGTTTTGCCAAGAAGGGTGTTTGCATGATGCAGTCCGTTCATGGTGAAGTCGTGCGTCGTGCCATCCCTGTCGTTGTATGCATGGTAAACAACCTCTGGATCCTGACATGCATCCAGACCGAGGATGAACGAATCAGTCGGCTTGAGGGTGTCTGCGAATTGGGCAAGAAACCCGACAGCCTCATCCCGCGTGAAGTTGCCAATACTCGAGCCGAGTGAGAGAATAGCTTTAGGCCGTGCGGCATTTTCTGGTCGCTTGAGCCATTCCAAGCCATCGTCATATGTTCCCCAGAGTCCGTAGCATTGCACGTGTCGGAAGGCATTTTTAGGCACTGCAGCGAGCGTACGTTCGAGCTCAGACTGCATCAGATCCAAGGCATAGTACTCGATTGCTTTTCCAGCTCGGTCCAGCGCATCCAGCAAGATCTTGACCTTTCTCAGGTTGCTACATTGTATGTTAGTGAGGACAGTTCAGGCTCGATGCCTGAATGGGGTAGGTCCTACCCGCTGCCCAGCTCGACGATCAAAGCGTTTGTTGGAATTCTTTCAGCAATGCGATCGGCATGCGTCTCTAGAACCTCAATTTCTTCGCCCGTCAAGTAGTATTCGTCCAGATACGTGATCTGTTCAAACAGTTTGAGTCCCTTCGTGTCGTACAGCAGAAGCGTTGGGAGAGTCTTCTCTCCGCTGCCATCTTGCGCTTTCAGTCCTTTGTGGATGAGCTGTTTCAACTCAATTCCTGCTGCATCACTGCGAATATCAATGATATCAGGCCGAAGAGTCTTCTCAGCTTCAGAAATCGAACCCATGTTCGACGATGCTGGCAGCAACCGAGAGCAAATGAGGAGCTAGGTGTTATTTCGAACGTGGGACAAAGAGAATAAATAGTGCAGATCAGAAGTCGGAAGTGAATGAAAGCTGCTAAAGCATAATACAAACCACGCAGTCCCCTGCAGCCTGAAAGCTGGTAGGTCCATCGAAGGGTGCATCATCGACAACAGAAGCAAGGATCTGACTGTGCATGCGCCATTTGCAGAAGTGACAACTGCCGTCAGTGGCCGTGTGGTCGCAGAAGGGCCGCAAGGTCTTCAAACATCCAATGTGGTCAGCACTCTTAAACTCCACAGCGCCGTAATAGCTGTAGCGTATTACGAATCAGATTCCGCAGCAATAAACAAAGTACCTGGCAGGAGAGTCTGGCGTTTGTTTCTGCCCTGGGAGCACGGGAAAACGTGGCTCCTGTTTGCGGATTGCCATTGGAGGTAATGCTTCAAGGTCCCCATTTCGCTGACGTTTAGCTGCAGGTCAAGGTTCCATAGGGGCTTCCTGGTCGGAGCTATAGAGATCGTGGAGTATTTCCGCCCAGCTGACAACTAGTATCCAGATGAGATGCCGTACTTGCCGTAGTCAGCCGCAATCTCTGTGGTCTTTCTCGAATGCCAGACAATAGGCAGGCGAATTTGTCATGGTCCCTGACAGCTGTCCTCACGGATCTGGTTGTTCGTCTGCCTTTCTGAAGAGTGCGGGGAAGGTCCTGAGCAGATTCCGTTGTACCTGGCTAGCACATGCAATACCTGTACCTGCGCGTCATCGTGAAGTCGCTTGGATCCAGCCGTGGAGCTTTCTCCGTCCGAACGGTTGCAGAGTCGGGGAAAAAGTTCCGATCAAATCCGAGAACAGCGAGCGCGAAAAATTGGCTGGCGGCAGTGGAAAGTATGAAGGTGGTAACGCTGGCGAGAAGCAGTGCTATTGTAGAAAAGGTCGAGATGTTGCACAAGGAAGTGATGGCGGGGACTCAAGGTAGTCACGACGCGTCGCGATGGTGTGCTTGCCAAGCAAGTCACATGAGATCGCGTGTTTTTGGTGACACCAGCATTACTCTACCATCTACATATATTGATGCGTGCCGCCTGGCAGTTCTGCAGACGTGGATTGAGATCCTGATCACCGAGATACAGACCTCTCCCGATCCGCTCCTCCAGTTTCATGCACCTCGTCACCAAACCTCGCCGACTCAATTTGGTCAGCCTCTCCATCAACCACCTCACTTCCCGCCAGTTTCTCCTCCTCCATGCACTGTTCTTCTCTCTTCTCACTCCAGAACCTCACGTTCAGTTCCTTCAGGTACCTCGGCAAAGGATCTTTGCCATCCAAATCCTCTTGCTTGACTTCTCCACTTAACTCCGCGCCTCTGGACAACCTCAGTAGTGTCGAGAATTGATAACTAAATGACGCATCATTTATGATGATTGCCGCAAGGCCATAGCACACAATGAGTGCTGTAACGCCAATTGCGAGGCCGTATGCGAGCCAAAGCTTGAAGGCTGGGTAGACGTAGATATTTGTGCGCATGGAAAAGGTGACGTTGGTGGGCGGAGGATAGAACGGCGAGGACTTATTGTACCTGAAGCATAGAAGATGTGTTAGTCCAAGGTAAAGCACGTATCTCGACGCCTGAAAGCTTTACTCGAATGAACTGGACTTACTGCAGGGATTCCTGGCTCATCAAGCTGATTGTCACATTGACAAACAATTCCTCCAACATTCTATGTAGCGGAACCTCACTTGTGGCATTTCTTCTATTCTTCCACCCCGCAAATTTCGAGACCTCTCCGCCTTTCCATACAGGTTGAACGTCTTGCAGTAGCATGTCGCCATTTTTACTCGCCATGTTGAAATCGTCCATCCAGGCCAGTTCTGGTGCCGTGGTCAGAACGGTGCTGATGACTTTGGAGTCCGTGCTGAGGCCCCTGCCCGATTTGTAGTTGCTATCCCATTGCACTGAACCGATAAGTAGCTCTGCAAAGGCGTTGAAAATGGCCTGGTAGGACAACGTTTGAAGGAGAGTCGTATCGAATTCACAGGTTGTTGCTGTTGATTCATAGTCGGCGAAATAATCGCAGGGCTGTGACATGAGATCATCTTGATAAAGAGAAGAATTCTTCCAAAGACTTCGAACTTTCGACTGGCTGGTTAGAGGCATAGGGGAGATATCAGATACCACCACGCGAACTTGCTGTACGCCATTAACGTACGAGAATTCGGCGTGGTACGTTGAATTGTGGAGATCGCATTCCAAGATCGTAGACGGGGGCGATGCATCAGGACCAAAAAATGTTTCTATTAGGTTGATAGGTCCGGTTGGGTGGCAGACTCGAGGGTTTTGCGATGCCTCGCTAGAGTTCATTGCCATAAGAGAAGGTGTGGTAGCGATGAAGAATAACGTTGAAGCAGGATCGCGCTCCGTGGAGAGATCACTATTCGACACATGTGATCCATTGATCAAAGTCTCGAGATATGGAAGCATCTGGATTATGGGCTGTGGCGATGCGGGCAGGAGCGCAGGTCTCCAGCTCAGAAATCCCGGGCCAGCCGAGCAGTTTTTTTCGACAAGAGTGTAATCGAGAATGTTTTGCTGTATGGCGCGAGCAAATATCCTGTCCACGGCTCCACACTGGAGAGCCGGGGCAGGAAATTCTAGCATCCAGCTAGAATTCGGAGCAGGAGCTTTAATGTTGAGAATCCCTCCTTGCGCAGCAGTAGCTAGTGCTAATCTGCGTACAGCGTTGCTAGGTCCCGAGTAAACGTAGTCTGCCTCGGTCCCGCGCGGGAGGTAGTCACGATAGTCACAGGTACGGTACGCACAATCGAGTCGCACCTCCATCGGCGCCACATATGGCATCTCAGCCAGCAGGTTGAGACTGTTGAACGCGATTTGCGGAACAGGTCGGAACTCTGAGGGGGCTGTATGCGTCCCGATTGATAGAGTGGCTGGTGTCACGATCGAAGCAATGGGTATCAGCCTGAATACTTTGATGTAAGTAGACATTTATCAATCTAGATCGAATCAGACTCACCATGCCATGACTGCGATCAGAAGCAACACAGGCCTTCGCACCCACACCGACAATGTTCCCAGAGCCAGCAGATTACCAAGCGCCGACATAAGCACGTCCAAATGAGCCACGGTGACCCCTCTTTTGTTTTCTCGCGCTGCAGACCAGAGCACGGCCTGTAAATATGCCAGCGATATCCCGAAAATCAAGCATGCTCGGACGAGGAAGGCAAAGGCCGTCCCAATGGCGGTGTTCGTCTGTTGTTCAGAGAAACTGGCTCCGAAAAGGTGATACTCGTCGGAAACGGAAGGTGCCTCAGTTCCGTGGAGGCTTGCGTAGAAGAAGTGATGTCCCAATGCGAACAGGAGCCCAAGAAGAACAGCACCTGTCATTAACATTGGTGTGAGCCAGTGTATCCGCGACATCTTCTGAAGTTAGAGGGTGTATGTTGCCACTACGGGAGAAGATTTGATAGCAAGTGCCATGAACGCTGTCCTAGAGGTACGATTAATACCGCGAACTGCCCGAGAACGACGCGCTTGTACTCCAGAAGCATTCGAAGCCTCCCGCATGGCGGCATGAGGCGGAGTACATGCTGTGTCGGAATAGGTCATGTTGCTCCACGAAGCTTGGCTGCCGCGAGTGGACGCGTGCGTTGCGTAACAATTTCAGTCGGCTTCTGCATGAGTTGCAGATGTTTGCTCTGTTCGTGTGACAACCGTGTTTCAATGAGTATAGGTCCATGGTCCGAGAGCAGTCCAAGCGCGGAGTTCTAGCCATGTGCCACTGCAGTCATTTCGAATCCTCTGCCGTGCACATGAGCTTCTGAACCGAAATGCGATGGACGCGCCAGTCTGGTGTTGTGAAACCTGGGACAGGTGCCGGAGTACATGTAGGTGAACGAAATTTTCTACACCATGACTCTCCGCAGGCCACTGGTGCCACCAAGCACTTTCCTTCCAGTGACAGCATCGCGTCCTGCACCGCTCTCCCACTTCTCTCGCCGACTGCCACCGCCCTCCTCGACCCAGCCTCTCGCACCCTCTTCTTCGCCTGAGCCTTCGAGGAAAGCTTCCTGTCGTGGATGCGAGCCATCAACCCATTTGAAGATGCACGTGTAGCAGTAGACGTATCCCGTCTGTGCAGCAGTGGGTGTCTGAATAGCCTGCACGCAGATTGGACATAGTGCTGTGACATTCTCCCCCTCTCCGTTCACTGTTAACGGCGGCGGAACAGTCAAAATCGGCAGCATGCTCGTCGCAGAAATCGGCGGCCCATCGAAACCACTGTCTCTCCTCAAGCTGCTGCTCCTCGGCCTTTCTCCCTTCTCATCCGCAAACTCCGCCTTCTTCTCCCTCTCCTCGCTCTTCTTCGCAGCGGCTCTCGCGCCCTTCGGCAACCCACTAATACTCGGTAGGGGCAGTTCCAAACCCTCATTCGCCTTCTTGCTCAACTGCCTCGCAAAATCCGAATTGTGCCACCACTCCAAGAACTTGAGCGCAAAAATACTCGTCGGCAACAACAACTTCAACGCCGTCACAACTCTCGGCTGCAAAACTCTCGACATCGTCCTCGGCGAAAACAAACTCGTCGTCTGTCCCGGTCTCGCTGCAGGCGGTGCAGGCTTCGGTTCTAGTGCCATAGCAATAGCCTTACTATCCGCCTCATTCAATCTTCGTATCCTACTCCCGATGATCCACATAAACGGACTGTGATACTTCGTCCCATCAAACAAATAGGCCAAATTGAATGCCAGCAGCGAGAAGTAGTACACTGCGTTGACGGAAGGATAGCATTTCCGTAGAAACCATTTATACACCCACATGATCTTATCTTTCAACTTCCCTTCTGTAGGATATCTCTCCCGATCGCGGTACGCCGGTCCAAGCATGTTTATTCCACTAGCATGAATATCATAACTCTCATCCAATTTCCGTTTGATATACGGAATCCCCACCATAACCGCCAAGTTCTTCCAAACATCTCCATCGTGGAGTTGTAGTGTTTGGCGGACTTCTTTCGGTGCGCCGAGTCGTGCGCGTGTGCTTTCACCGCCTTTGATGCGGAGGACGCGTTCGCGTTTGAGGCCGTAGAAGTTCTCGGTGAAACCTCCGCCGTAGGTTCGGAGGTAGAAGCGTTCGAGAGCGAGGGATAAGAGGGCGTAGAGTTCGTCGAAATTGTTGAGGATTCGGAGGAGGTAGCGGGGATTGCGATGGGTTGCGACTGCGAGGAGATAGCGCAGGGAGGGTGGGATGAGGCTGTTGAGCTCGTTTTCGGAGAGGATTTCGAAGAGAGAGGGCTTTTGGTTGTCGTAGCCGCCGCTGAGGGCGGTCATGAACTCCATGATGAGTTGCTAGAGAGAGACTTGATGTTATCGTGGGCGCATTGTCGTGTATAGTGTGAAGTGCTTTCGTGGAGTGAGCTGTCGGGTGCTGTACTGGGTTCAAGGGTGTTTGATTGGGATGACGAGCTTGCCGAGGTCCCTTTTCACACGCGCGTGTTCGGCGCGTCTCTGCGTGCCGAAGGACAACACAACTGCTGTGCATCCGCATACTCAAGAGGGCGCTGATTCGAACTTCATGGAGTCCAGTTTGCTCAAAATGATTTTTGATCGAGAGTCTTGTCCGCTTCAACCACAAAAAGCAGCACCTGGCTGCCAGCTGTCATTGTCAGCATCATGCTATCAACGGGAAGCACATGGGAGAACGCGCAAGACCAGGACATGAGTGGCCATAGCCTGGCGACGACACGAACGTGATCCTGTACAGGGTTCGGCAAATCCAAAAACACAGCTCATCTCGTACAAGTCTGGAGCTTCGAACGCTAAGTCCGTTTTGCCGTTGAGGGGCAACAGACCATGCCGAAGCTATTCGGCTTCCACAGTACCCTCAGTAACTGAAGAATCACCAAGAAAATATCGATTTTTGCTCTGTTCGTTCGACGTACCTCGTGTCCAGCGAGCAAGGAGATTCGAAGATGTCCACAATCAACTTTCCACACGAGAACGGCCGCGAGCCTCCCATCTACAAGCCCTCAACGACCACTCCCACAACAGCAGCTCTCATTTTCATCCACGGGCTCGCAGACTCAGCAGCCGCCATAGAGAATGTTGCAGACCAGTTTCAGCAAGGTGGAAAGCTTCCTTACATGTCCTGGATCTTACCCAATGCAAAGCGAAGTCCAATCACGCTTGACACAGCATGGTTTACTCCCAATGGCCTTCCATCTCATGCGCCTTCGCGTCCGGAGCTCATACCAGATGAAGACGAGGAAGGCATGTTGGAGAGCGTAGCGTATATCGAGTCCATTGTTGATGCGGTTGTGGAGAGTGGTCTGCCACCTGATAGGATTATCGTTGGCGGCTTCAGTCAAGGCTGTGCGACGAGTCTGCTTACGCATTTGACTTCGAGGAAGTATAGCGGAAAGCTTGCGGGTTGCGCGGGACTGTTGGGTTGGTTGCCTTTGTGGGATGGCACGAAGCGAGTCAAGGCGATCCGGGAAGAGGCTGGACTCCAATCGAGTGGCGAGCAGCAGGGAAATGAGATTCAGATCTTTTTGGCGAGAGGTGGAAGGGATGAGTTTGTGCCGAAGAGAGCGTGGGTGTATACTCTGGAAGGTTTGAAAGAGTTGGGAATCGTAAAGGAGGAAGAGTCGTTGGAGGTGAAAGGGTATCCTCCTTTGACGCATACGATCAATGCGCCGGTGCTGAGAGATCTTTGCCAGTGGATGGAGAAGGTTCTTCCGCCGATTGAAGGATAGTCAAATGCCTATGCTGATCTATGGAGCCATAGCGCCTTTATGCAAGCAGAATCACGCCGACGCTGCAATCGGCTGAACCGTGTAGCCCTGCCACTTATCTACCGCTTCCTGCATCTTCTGCTTATACAACGGAAGTCCACCAAGGTAGATGAGATACTCTCTTCTCTTGCCAGGAATGTTGGCTCCCATGTACCAAGAATTCGTCTTGACTAGCAACGTTCGCTCCGCCAAAGCCAGCACGTGCTCTCGCCAGGCCTGCTCTGCCTCTGGACTTGATTCGATTGTTTCGATGTTCTCGCCTCTCTGCCGCGTGAGCAGCTGTAAGATGTATTCATTTTGTATCTCGATAAATGGCGGTCCGTTGGTCAGACTCGTTGGAGCTAGGCACGTTAGAATCGATAAAGTAGTGCTTAGAGCAGACCTCAAACTTACCTTGCGGACCATAGACCATGAAGAAATTGGGGAACCCATTAACTGTCATTCCGAGGTTTGTGATGATCCCATCTTTCCACTTCTCGTCGAGATCAATGCCATTGCGACCTTTGATTCCCATCGTTCGAAGCCCACCTGTGACTGCATCGTAACCAGTGCAGATAGCCACTATGTCAAACTCTCTTTCTTTCCCATCTTCGGTGACGATACCATTCTTGGTGAATTTAGCGATGGGAGAATTCGTGATCTCAACATGGTCCTTGTCACAGCATTCATAGTAGTCTTGCTCGAAGCTCGGTCGCTTGGTGTTGAGATAATATGGTGGCTCTAGAGGGGCGAGGAGGTCTCTCTTTGCCGGATTCGTGATTCGTGCTCGGGTCTTTTTGCACCAGAAGTCGTAAAGCTCGCGGTTAGCTTTTGCATCAACAAGGTAGTCTGAGTACGAGCTCATAGACCTATATCGTGTAAGTCAACTGTTTGACGAATCTGAAAGTTGTTCTCGAGTCATGTTTACCAGGTGAAGCCGCCCTGTTTCCAACCATGCTCCAGACGTGCTTCCCGTTTTTCCGGCGATTCATCAAACACTTTCAGACCAGAGTTGACGACAGGAAGACCAGAATTGGTCGACCGACATGCCTTGAATACATGAGGTATTTGCGGCAGATTGGCATAGATCTCGTCCTCCGAAATCTGCCGTTGTCTCATGGGTACGGCGAAGTTTGGCGTCCGAATGAATTGTGTCACTTGCTGGCCTGCTTTGGCAGCTTCCTGCACGATTTGGATTCCTGTTGAACCGGCTCCGATGACGGCTACCTTTTTGCCATCGAGCGATACATTCTCAGGCCAGAGAGCGGAATGGTGGATCACGCCTTCGAAAAGTTCCCGCTGTGGCCACTCCGGAATGTGCTGTTTGAATGATGTACCAGTTGCAGCAACGAGCCAGCGGCATTTCCACACCTTTTCATCCGCTCCTGTCTTCAAATACCATCGATTCTGCTCCTCGTTGTACTTTGCTTCCTTGACCCGCGTATTTAGATTGATATCACGGCGTAGGTCCCAGACATCTGCTACGTGCTGAAAATATCGGCGAAGCTCTGTGTCAGATGGAAACCGCTCTGTCCATTTGAATGTTTCATATATAGCTGGATCCGAGAAGCCGTAGTAAGGGAATTCGCAGTCGACTCTGGCGCCAGGGTATCTCTGTATAGTTCGTATCAGCCAATGGAAGAGCTTACTGCATTCAAAAAGGGAAACTCACATTCCAGCACCATACCCCACCGATTGTTGGACCAGCCTCTAGTACTTTGACAGAGAAGTTATTCTTCCGCAGGTTATGCAGGAGATGGCAACCTCCAAATCCTGCACCGACCACAATCACATCTAGTTCTTGCTCCTCTGAAGGCATGCTTATGGGTTCGGTGGTATTTTGCAGGGATCAAGTCAGTATGAATCCGACACTCCCTGCGTGAGGTTTCCATATGTACACATTGATAAACTTTCTGGGGCCGTCTCCGTGCGTGTGCCCCGCAGAGGGGAAATGGAACCGGTGATGACACAGACAGTGTAGGCGGTTGCCGGTTGTGCGGTAATAATGCGGATATAAACCGTCAACCACTGTTTACGCCTGTCTTCGACTTCACATGCATTGAGTCGCTGAGCATGGGATTGTCTCGATGAGTGACATGAATGTCCACTGTAATGGCGTACTACATCCATACTTGGTCCGAGGTGTTTCCTGCCCTCTGCTTGATCACGCTCCTGCCCCTGAGATCATGCACTGGAATGAGGGAGAGAAGGCATGCGCATCGTGAGCCACTGCCAACACATCGCGTCTGGTCTGGCTTCCACATACTCGACGCAGCAAGAAACCACAGCTAGAATCGCGACACGTGCGTCTGAACAGACCGGTTCACATTCTTGGTATGGAGCACAATGCCTCAGCCGAGTTGATGCACTCAGGCTCGGGGGCACAGGCGGAATGCCACCGTCCATAGACACGCATCCATCGGCCTGGGTCGCCGACTTCAGCTTCATTCTGTTCTCAGCGTAGTTGGTAAGACGTCAGCGCGGCTTGAGATCGGCGGGACGCTTTTCGGAGATAAGAACAGCTAGACCACGAAACACATTTCACCCCGCATCACAAGTGTAAGCATATTCCACTTCATCCATCTAAAATTCGAAGACATACTATATTCGTGACATAGAGCATCGGACTCCACCATGCCTGCCCTCACATCGCCCGCGTTCGTGGTACACGATGCCAAAGAAGACTTCAAGCTAGAAGAAATTACTCTGGATGACATGCAAGACGATGAGCTGTTGGTCGAGATGAAATATAGTGGCATCTGCCACACAGACTTGGTGTTTCAGCAGGGGCAACTCACCATCTGCAAATATCCTGCTGTCTTTGGCCACGAAGGAGCAGGATGGGTCAAAGCTATCGGGCCCAAAGTCAAGAGCAAGAACGTACAGGTTGGCGACTTTGTGCTGCTCTCGATGAACTTCTGTCAAAAATGCAAGTTCTGCACGCGTGGTCACCCAGCGGATTGCACCGAAGGTACGCGGCTGCATTTGTTTGGTACTCGTGACGATGGCTCCACAGCTGGCAAACTCTCTGGGTCGGGCGAGAGCGTTCGCTCGCATTTCTTTGGCCAATCGAGTTTCGCACGTTTCAGCTATGTGCACGAAACATGCGTTGTGAAGCATCCATATCCGGCCGACGAGGCAGCCAAGTTCGCGGCTATGGGTTGCGGATATCAGACAGGTAAGTGGTACCACGCTTGTGTTTAACTCCTGGGGTTGAGAATTGACCATGAGATTCAGGTGCCGGCACCGTAATGAACATCCTAAAGCCTGAACCAGATAGCTCTATTGTCGTCTTTGGCCTGGGAACCGTCGGCCTTACAGCCTTGATGGCAGCCAAGTATCTGGGACTCAAGCAAATCATTGCAGTGGACATTCAGGAGCTGAAATTCCCAATTGCAAAAGAGCTCGGCGCCACAGACATTGTCAATTCACGTGGAATCGACATAGCCGCGAAGCTGAAAGAGTTGACTGGTGGAGTCGGGGTGGACTATGCTGTAGATTGCACCGGTGCCACCACTGTGATCGAGGCGATGTTGAACAGCTTAGGGATGCGAGGCACAGCAGCTACAGTTGGTGTACCTCCTACCGGTGCTAAAGTGGAGATCGATCCATTGGTGTTTTTACTTGGAAGCAGGAGATATGTTGGATGTCGAGAGGGCGACTCAGTACCGACAGAGTATATCCCAAAGCTGGTGGAAATGCAACGGCAAGGTGAATTTCCTGTGGAGAAGCTGGTCAAGGTGTACGACTACAAGGACATGGAAAAGGCTCTGAAGGACTTGCATGATGGAACTGTTGTGAAGCCGGTAATTCAATGGTCATAGTTGTTCAAACTGGTTTTACTCCGTAGCATAGCATGTCTGGGGAATGATAAGACATCATGAATGCAGCTATATAGCGCCGATACAATTTGCGGTTTGTCAATTCTCTCCTACTAGAGTTTGAACTTGGTGCCGTATCGACGAATACAAGTATGCTACAGCTTCTCGAATGTAGGTTTCGTTTTACGGATGCCGCTCATCATAGCCTTTTTCACATCATCAGCCTGTACCATTGCACTGTTCCATGCGGCAGTATATAGCAGGCCATCCTGTACAGGACGATCACGGCTAAAGTCCCACAGAGCTTTGGCACTCTGAACCGCTACGGGACTCTTTTCTGCTATTGTCTTGGCCAAGGCGAGCCCACCATCGATGAGCGCCTGCTTGGTATCGAAGACTTTGCTAACAAATCCCTGTGTAGCAGCTTCGGAGCCGTCAAAGGTTCGAGCAGTGTATGTGACCTCCTTCGCCCACGAATAGCTGACTCCAATCTTAGGTAGTCGGCTCAATGTGCCAATATCTGGGGCGAGGCCGACATCGATTTCTCTTACGCATAGCTTCACATCTCTTGTGCAATACCGCACATCTGCCGCTGTTGCGATGTCCAAGGCTGCCCCGTATGAAACTCCATGAAGTAGGCAAATCACGGGCTTTTCGCATCGCTCGATGGCATTGACCGCATTCTGATAAGCCAAAGCGTGCCTTCGAATTTTCCAAGATCTTCGAGCAAAGTCCTCCTTCTCGGATGAAGCACCTACAGGGCCAGAAGATGATGCTCCGCTCACATCGAGGCCAGCCGAGAAGGCTTTGTCGCCAGCGCCAGAAAGCAGGACTACACGAACCTCTGGGTCGTGCGATAGCTGGTCGAACACTTTGGCCATATTGTAGAACATGCTGATCAGGATTTAGAACAATCCACTGGTAATAGCCCTCGACCGTGTTTGTCTCCACTTACTCATGCTTTATGGAATTGTATTTCTTCTGATTATCGATCTCGACGTGAGCGACGTATTCGCAGGGGAAAGAGATATTGTAGTTGACGACATCATTATACTGAAGCGGTGATTCCATATCGAAAGTGATGACACCCAATGCGCATGTGGTGTTCAATGGTGAAGTACAATTTGACTGATGGTTAGCTGTCTGAGCTGGGCATATGTGGCTTGGGGCTGGCGTTATTTCCGCACGTGAAGCTTCACTACGCGTCTCACTCTCTACGCGTCGGTCCACCACAGTGCAGCAGCGACTTAAAAATGGAAGGGTGCGAAATCTCTCGACTGGAAACTCGACGTCATCGATAACATGCTTTCGGGAAATACAGATGGTGGCTTGAGGCGGCCACTTACAACTTCGGAAGACAAGAGCTCGGACCCTCATGGGCTCCCGCCGTATATCCGCAGCCAGATCCCACCCATATGCGGAAAGCACATCACATACTCGGCAAACCGACAAGTTCTTCCAAGTGCTGGCAGGACTACAATTTTGCCATCCTTCAACGCCTTCCCGTCATAGACCACAGTAGGCAAGATGCCGTTCCTTGCCGAACAACATATGAGGTTTGGAGCCTGACTTCTTTGGAAACCTGCTTTGAGGGCTGATATCGTGTTACAGCATACCGGAGAAAGATGTACTGTCCTGGTATTTTGACTCGCCCGAATTCCCGCAAGACGACCCTGTGTATATTGACGCTCTCGATACGTCAAAGTACTGGACCGCCAACCAATGTCGAAAGGCGATACGACAGCTAGCGGCGGGCTTTCGGCGGTTGGGACTGAAGAATGGTGACTGCGTTTGCATATTCGCCTTCAATTCGATGGACTACCCAGTTTTGGCCAACGGCATTATTGGGTTCGGGGGCGTCTACACCGGGTGCAATCCGAGCTACACCACCTACGAACTTACACATCATCTTCGAAGTTCTCGGGCATCTGTTGTCATCGTGGAGCCGGAGCTCGTCAAAACTTGCTTCGAAGCAGCAGAAAAGGTAGGCCTTCCTCATGAGCGCATTTTGCTATTTGCAGATGCCGATAGCCATGGTCTAAAAAGCTGGAAAACCCTTTTCAATTGCGGAGAGATCGATTGGCCCCGATTCAGCGATAAAGCGACTGCTCAAAACACGACTGCAGCATTGCTCTACAGCTCAGGCACGACAGGTCTCCCCAAAGCTGCCATGCTCTCACACTACAATCTGATCGCACAGCAAACATTATTCTGGGAATGGAAAGCCTCGCCGTGGAAGAAACGCCGTCTTGTTGCATTGCCAATGTTTCACGCAGCCACCGCACCCTTGTGTCATTTTGCACCTTTGCATTCTGGTGACAAAATGTTTATTCTTCGCCGCTTCGAGATCGAGAGCTTCTTGAAGTGCATCGAAGTGCACCAGATCAATATTGGCGCCTTTGTTCCGCCCATGGTGCACATGATAATGAACTCGCCTCTGTCCAAGAAGTACAGTATGAAGTCCATACGTCACGCTCATGCCGGCGCTGCACCGTTGGATGCGGGTAGCCAGGCCAGATTCAGAAAGCTTCTATCACCTGAAGCGCCCCTGACACAGGTATGGGGTATGACGGAGACGAGCTGCACCTGCAGTTGTTTGCCATACGAATACGGAGACGAGACCACCGGTTCGGTAGGACAGATGCTGCCAGATATGGATGTCAAGCTGTGCGACGATGACGGAAAGGACATTACCGCATTCAACGTCCGAGGAGAGATTTGTGTACGTGGACCTCTGGTTGTGCAAGGATACTACTTGAACCCTCAAGCGAACGCCCGCGATTGGGACGAAGAGGGGTTTTTCCATACTGGAGATATTGGTTGTGAGTGTACCTCCTGAAGAGACGTGATTCTGTGTGCTGACAATTCGATTCTTCAAGATCGAGATGCCGAGAGCAAGCTGTGGTACATCGTCGACCGCAAGAAGGAGTTGGTCAAAGTCCGAGGTTTCCAGGTCTCACCGAGCGAGATCGAAGGCGTCTTGCTGGAACATGCCGACATCGTAGACGCCGCAGTCATTGGCGTACCTGCTCGAAAAGCTTCTGATGGAGAAGAGCCAAGAGCGTACGTGACTTTGAGAGAAGGGTCGTCTCTGTCGGAAGACGCGATCCGAGGGCTGCTCAAGACACAACTGGCACACTACAAACAATGCGTTGGAGGCATCGTCGTGGGAACGGAGATCCCAAAGAGCCCAAGCGGCAAGATTTTGAAACGTTTGCTTGTCGAGCGAGCGAAGCAAGAGATGGCACGTGGAAGCCGTGAATCTAGGTTGTGATGAACATCGAAGCGGAGTGAGCCGGTCTATTTCTTGGGAAAATCGTCGTTTGAGCGGGAACCCTAGCCTGGAAGCCTTCGGTCTATGAGGGATTGCATGCAGAGAGCGGCGATGACTGTAATAGAGCAATGCGGAAGGTGGTTGATACTCAGAAGACTAGAGCTGAATAGATATATGTAGCATGATGACACAAAGTGAGAGGACAAGCGATTTATGCCAACCTGGGAACAATCAGCGTACAAGCGATGTGTAGCCAATGCTAGCTATAGCCAACGATAGCTATGCACTTCTTTTGATACCACTCCAAGGCGGAAATCCTCAACATGGCGTTTCTCGCTACGCCCGATGCGAAAGCATTGACGAACACAGCACCTCCTCGGGCGTCCAAGACTTCTTCAGGTTCGAGAACAATGGTATACTCGGCGCATCTTCCACTGTCCTGAGGTGCTCAAAGCCTGGCGACCTTTGGTTCATGGAGTCGAAGCACACCCTAGGCTCACAATCAGCTTAGTGACAACGAAGGCTGACTACATCCATACCTCCTGTAGAACTGTTGCTATCAGTTCGCCGCTACCAGAAAATATTTTCTGGGATACCAGCGCTCGTCCGTCTCCCGCCCAAGGTGATTGCATTTCACTTCGGAGCCATTCGTCCGCACGGATAGGCTCGGAAACATGGTGGAAGTAGATTTTGTGATCGAGCGAGACCATCATCTTGATGATATCTCCAGATCGGCCTTCTATAGCGAGAGATGGAGGCAGATTTTCGGGATCTCGCTCCCATCGTAGCCCGTGCACACGCGTCGCAGTGGGTAGAAAGTAATTGTCGCTCATATAGGCAATTGCGGCAAGATGGAGGGGAGATTGTTCGGACTTGATAGTGTGACGAGTTTTCATCCATTGGAAGACCTGTGTTTCATGGTTCCGCCCACGGTCGTCGGGTATTGCGCCAAGCTCACTACAGACATATGGACATATCTCTGCACCTCCACCACCCTTGACTGTACCAAGGTACCTTTCCACCTGCGCTTGGTCTTGAGACGAGGGCTTGAGTGGTCGGGGGCGTTGTTCCGGTCGAAAGTTGACGGTAGCAAGGAATGTGCATTGCTCTTCCTGTACCGCGCGAACTGTGCATACCGACCACTTGTTTTCCGACTGCAGTTTCTCAACTGTATAGTATATCGGAATGTTCGGCTTGCCTCCTTGCACGAATGCGCCATGCAGACTCGAGATAAGACTCCCAGAAGGCACAGTGGCCTGAGCAGCGAGCATGCAGTGAGCTACCACTGTGCCCCCATAGATTGATGGCGCTCCAGGTGGCAGCCAGGGAGATTCGGCGCTGACGAAGATGTCTTGGCCTACACGTTGAAGCTCGAGCAGGCTTTCCATGTTCAACGGTGTAGCCATTTCAGCCATGGTCGTGCTGGCCCCGATTGTTTGCAGGATCTCCACATTGGGTTTTCCACGTGCGATGGGCAATCTTGAAAGAATGATTGGTCAAGCTGTGATGGAATTCATCTCGTGTGTGAGAAGGTGCTGTTTCTCGTTTTGCCTAGCGGGCCAACAGAGAAACATGGGTTATTCCCGACTTATTCCCTGACCGCGCACTGCTACGGTCTGCGGTTTGGCCATGCTATGTAGATTACAATCTGTATTGAAACCACACAGTAGGCCATCAGTCGTACGCAATAGTCATGCAGACGTCGCTTGCAAAGACAGTAAGTATATGAAAAGCTTTTGCACTCTGGCGCACCCAGCGGACCTTCGTCTGAAAAATGCCCTCCATCTCGATGCTGATATCCAGGATGTGGATGCATTTAAAAATCAATTCGTTGTGGCCTGCGCTTCCGCCTGCAGCGTCTTGAGGTTGGCCAACCGCTCACGCTGAATTACCCGAAATTCTGGTGAACCCTGCGCCCTCTCGAGCATACTAACATATCGGTCAAAGTCACTCTTCCCGAGCATGAGCTGCGGATCATCAACGACGATTCGTCGGCCGGCAATGCTGTTTTTCTTGTGAGTCGCCAGCATAGTTCCTATCACTGCCTGTGACGTATAACCATTAGCTCTTTGTTCGTTGGGAGGAGGGACGATGAAGATGCGAACTAACCGCCATAGCATACGTGCGGCTGTGAACTGCAGCCCAAACGCGCATATGTCCCGGTGCGATTCGGACCAGTGCGAAGAAAGCTGTCATGCCCTCATGGGCAGCTCGAATGGCTCCGGAGGGGTCGCTGTGCACTCCTGCTTTTTCATTCCTGTCCGTGAAGACAAACATGAGTGCGTGAAAGTAAGTGCTGGCCACAGTAACCATTTGGTAAAGCAGGCGGGGCGATAAATGGTCGAAACGAGACGGCGCTGTCTGGCAAAAGGGTTCCTCGAACCGAGAGTATAGCTCGCGAAACCTGGAGACTGTCTGACTCCTGTGTGCGGCATCGGTGCAAAGTGGCTTATGACTTGAGCGCGGAGTGCAGATAGTCTCTTGTATCAGCACAGAGCACTGCCACATTGCACGCACGTACGCAACGTCCGACGAGGCATAATCGTTAGAGGTCCGAAACGATTGTATGTCGTAGTGACTGACGTTAAAGTACGTGGTCGATGGAGGTCGTTTGAGACGCAGACATAGTAATGTGTCTTGTAACATGGCCGCTTGCCATGGCCGCAGTCGTACCTGCACAGTCTCATGATCCAGGTGCAGACCAAGAGCGTCGGGAATGCAGTTGAGTCTCAGGCGGTAAATTTGACGTTGCACAATGCCAGAGATCGTCCACGCGTCGGCAATGCGGTTGTTCGTTATCATGAAATGGCAGATCAAAATCATCGTCTGGACCGTCAATAGCGACCACCGGTTAAGGTAGCTTGAGATGCACAGACTCTGGTGGCAGCAACTCAGGTAAAATGAGGCCATGTCCAGTTGAACGTCCGAGCCTTCTCTCAAGGTGGAGTCCTGTGCAGCGTTGGCGTAGACTGCGAACTGCAGCGCTATCTGTGCTGGGTCGTGTCTGTGTTTACCGTGATCGGGCAGATGCCAGAAACGTTCGACGTCCGCGACAAATGCATCTCGCGCGATGATGGGGTACACAGGATCCACGGTGTCGAAATACCGTTCGATCAGAACTTCGGCATCAGATCTGTTTGGCAGACTGGCCACGACCTCAACGAGGCCGCCTGCATCGGTCCAGTAGTTCTCTGCAGTTAACATTAGCATGTATGTTGCTGGAATTGAAGAGCAGGATATACACACGAAAGGGGTGCTCAATACTCGCGGCGCCAAACAGGTTGAGCAATGCATGGCGTTCACTCGGCCGTGCTGAAAGTGGAGAGCCGATTATGGTGGGTGCTAAGGTGTCAATGACATTTGGGATTAAAGGCGTTACGTTGAGGAGCTGGTTCAACTCGTCTGGCTCATCGTCTTCGATGGCCCCAAAATCCTGTTGGAAGTCGAGCTGATTGCTCTCATTGAGGGCAGGGATAGTAGCAGTGGTGCCAGAATCCGTAATGGCATTGATTACGGCAACAGAAGAGCGGCGATTTGTATCTTCAATATTCACGATAGGTTGAAGAGGACGTTCCGTGGTGGTGTCGGTTCTCGAGCGTTTACGCGGATTGATGGTACTCGCTGGATTGGCGGCAATGACATCTGCAATATGCGTGTACTGACAACGGGTCTGTCGCCGAATGCTTCCAGAAGGTCAGTAGTCTAGTCATGATCCTGGACGAGCCAGAATAGAGAGGCGGGGCGTACCACGTGAAACAGGATGGACGTGCGCGATCGCACTTGGACTTGCGCTCGACACACTCCAGACAATTCAGCGTAGGCTTGTTGCGCTTCTTACCGCGAACAGCAGGTTTTTCGTTGGCGGTAGAGGTGCGTCGGGTGCTGCTGCTGCTGTTGCTGTTCACATCGGCGCCGGACTGTGCAGAGCGGTCGGCTCTGAGGACGATGACAGTATCATCGTCTCCGGCCGGGTTTAGACCATGATTGAGGCCGAAGCTCGTGTTATCCATGGACATCTCGCCATACCAGCCGGCAATAGCGGTGTGCGGTAGGCAGGCGTCGACTTCGCTCATAATGCCGGACCTAGTTTCTGCAGCACGGGAAGATAGACAATTCAGTCTTGGCGAGGCGAAAAGCCTCCCAGTGATGATGGTAACGAGACTGGAGTGCCTTCTATCTCTGCCAGTCACTCTCAGAACAGAAGTCTGGCCTCCCGGAGAACGCCATGAACAGCGCCACCACCCCTCATTGAATTCGCCATCAGTGGCGCTTTGGGGCGCCGCTTGCCGCCGTCTCTGTCCTTTTCGTTGCGGAGTAGCGAGGCGTTGCGCTAGTCCAACTTTTTATTAAGCGTAATGCTAGCGTGGCGCTTCATGAACGTCGGGACCAAGCTGTGCAAGGGACATCGGATCTCGGATGCATATTTCAAATTGCTTCAGCTTATTGTACAATGTAGGAAACACTTTTTCCTCGATCATACGACCGAGTGCGGAGCAAAGGTAATCGCGTGGTATCAAGAGACCACTGTGACCGAGACAGTTCCATGGATTCCAAGGTAGAGGTAGTTCTGGTCCAGATGTGGCAGTTCAACTGTGCACGCCATGACCGCTCCAACACATTCAGCCAACAGTGCCTGCTGATAGAAGCTCGCGATACCCCCAAAGCACGTTGAGGTATTCCTGCTTCTTGACTTCAAACGCGAACGATCCGCGGGCGTGGTGCAACAAGTCCATGTATCGTTCGATATTTCCCACAGCTAGTTGCAGCCAAGGTTCTTCCTGTCCACTCGTCTGCTCCTTGGCCGTAGAGAGTACCTTGCAGATCATGAGCTGTTGACGCGGGATATCAAAGTCAGCGAGTGTAACAATTACAGTATGCAGCGTGGAGACCATTCAAGGACTCACCGTCTGCGCATAAGCGCGAGTGTTAATAGGCGTCATCATAGTCAGATACTGTCGATCTTGATTCACCAAGTCGAAAAATGCAGACATCGCCTTGTTGGATGACTTGAGGGCGCCGCGCCAATCTATGCCTACGCCAGTCGCTGGATTCTGAGCCAAATGCAGCATTGTGAAGGCAAGATTGTAGTTGCTTGCAACCATAATCATTTGCCTCCATACACGGCCTTGCTGTCCGCGGAAGTCGATGGAGTGAAAAGGCGGGTCCAAGTTGTCGTAAATACTCTGCAAGTCTGCCAGGAGCCCTCCTTTGTGCGCGGCATCTCTGGCAATCGGCCTCCCCAACGCCGTTGGAATACATATGTTCTTCTGCATGAATGTGGAGAACTGCCACATGGCTCGCTGGTAGGCCACATCCGCTTTATTGTTGAGATATGCAATGTCGACGTGAGCTCGTTCGGAAAGCAGCATTTCTTCGAGCCGACTGTCCGGGTTGTTCTCGCCGTCATCGACGGGCCGAAGTAAGCTAACATCGATGCTATGGTGACAGGATGCGGGAACCAGTTCGAGAAAATAGGAGAGCGAGACATCTTGGAACATGAATGCCTGCCATAGGGCGTACCGGAGGTGCTTTTCCGAAACCGATGCGCTCGCGGGAGGAGGAAGATGCAACTCCAGGCCATAAACGATTTTCTGCAGGATGCCCGAAAATGTCCAACAATCGGCAGTTCTGGTACTGGTGACAAAATAGTTGCAAATAAGAATTAGTACTTGAATCGTCTCAAGAGACCACTCGCTTAAAAACGAGACGAGGCACAGAGCCCGATAGCAGCACGACAGATACGTCTCGGGAACGGACGTGAAATCAATTGCTGTCGGGTCTTGCACGTATATGTGACCCGAAGCGAGCACAATGAAAAGTAGGGCGACCCATGTTGTATTGAATTTGCCTCTGTGCCATTGTGTGAGCGTTTTCGTACGGAACTCATCGCGTAAAATGGTTCTGGCGTAGCATACCTGTCTATGGGCGGAAGAGCCCAGAACTCCTCGAAGCGGGATCGAAACAAGTTCTCCGGAATAATTGGATACAATGGATCCACGTACTTGAAGAAGGCGGTGACAAGAATATCTGCTTGCTCTCTGCTCGGTATGGCAAACAGAACCTCGTCGAGGCCACCCTCTACGCTCCAAAAATTGCGGAAAGGGTATGCCTCTTGCCCGCCAGTGCCATTCTCGTCTGGAGGCGTCCAGGGATTGCCTGAGGGTGCTAAAGAGCCGTCGGAGCCCACGAAGGCGTTACTTGGCATGGAAGACTCGGCCATGGAAACGGAGCAGGATCGCCCGGAGGAGGGCGGCGCAGATTGGTCCATGCGGACGACAGAGTGCTTTTCATCCCGGCGTTAGCCTTGAGCTTCTTGTTTGGCCTCGCATGTGGTGGCAAGTGTAGCCGCGATGTTTGTCGTCTGCTGCGGTTCGATGTTGTTCATATTTCACCTGGTCGATCGGGTGGCCGGCAAGGGTCCCCTGCTTAGCGCGACGTCACGGCACGTGACATTTGACCACACTTGCTCTCAGACTTTCTCCTTTACATTCTCTCTCCCGAGCGACATTCAGCAATTCTAGGCAATAGTCGGAAACACTTTGATCAGTCATCCTCGAGCACAAACCGTATTCCCAACAGATCAACGGCGATCAGATTGATCATATGCCGGCGTGGGCGCGCTAGAGACCGTCCGAGGCTTTGATGCGACGATCTAAATCATCCTTTGGACCCTGCCAGCTTTCTTATGCATTCCCACAAATCAGAACCCATTCTCCGCATAGCTAAGAGCCCTTAGACTACCACAACATGGGGTAAACGCAGCCGCTTACGAGAAGGCTGAGAGTGGCACTCGCAAAGCGACAAACGCGGCAGACGATCTGCACTTTGGCTTGTGTCCGCATTATCGCCATATTTCCTGGCGATATGCAGGCCACCAGCGCGTTGGATAGTGCGTGGCAACGCATGTGGTCACCGACTGCATCCTATATTAATGTCGTCTCCTGGCGATCAATCGTAGACTCTTCCATCACGGCCAACATCAACTTCATAGAAGCATCTTTGCCAGCTTTCTCTGATATCACACACATCTATCAACATGTTCACCTCAACACTGGTCGCCTGCGCCGCCGTGCTCGGCTCTGCTGTTGCAGCACCAGCACCTGTCCCACAATTCAGCAGCGGCACTTGCACTGCAGAGCGAAGAATCGCCATCTCTGGCCAAGTCCCATTCGCCTATGCTCAACCGGGTGTCACTGCAGTCCGCGAGGCCTTCAGAGACATTCCCTTTGGTGTGCCAGACCTCGACGGCTCTTGTGTCACACAAATGTAAGTTGTTGCCGACAGCCAGAGCTCAAGACGGGTGTTGACAATTCGCAGCTGGCCAAACGGTGGTGGCCCAATCACTGTGGGAGTTACTGGCAACGGCGTCGTCAACTTTGGCGTCGCAACTCGTCAAGCGTTCTCCTCGGTCACAGGCCAATATGTTGACTTCCCTCAAAACGGCACGACTGTCATCTACACCAATGTGACCTGTAAGCGCTCACCTGATCGTCTGACCTTGATAAACCATTACTAACGCTGCCAAAAGTGGGTGTCAGCTCCATTGTCCCTGCTCCCGTCACCTTCTCTGGCCAAGTCTACCTTGATTTCAACACCGACTGCCGAATCACTGCTGTTCGTGCTTTCGCTCAAGTCCCTACATATATCGGCGGCCGCCCGACCGACCTTTGGCAATTGCTGCCAATCCCACCTACCCCTGGCATTATTTAGATGAGCTATTTTGAAACGGCTCTGTGAAAATTAGCGACCAGTGTAACCTCCGGACTATGGAGAGATGAGTGGACGTGGAATCTACGATAGTGTGTGTTGTGATCAGACAGCAGAAATTTCAGAATGCTTCACATTCATCCGTGTCGTTGTCATCCATCATTATACCTTCCGATTTTGCTTGGATATCGCTTCTGGTCAGCAACACCATCTAGTTGTTCGTAGTCATCGTGTTATGATGGTTCTGTGATGTTTCGCAGCCCTGACCTCGTGGTATCAGGATGCAGACTTGGATACGCAATGTTTCGGTTGAGAGAAATGTGCCGTGTGCATGTACTGAGAACGTGGTTCGGCTCTAGGCCGTGTACAAACAATGCTGCTATCTATACACCAGTCCAATCCTTACAGCTTGGTATAGACTTGTCTTTGGAAGTTCTTGAGTAACTGGCGGATCGCGAGATCGAAGAGCACGTCTTCACTGCCACCAGGGACTCTCGCACCGTGTATCTCGCTCGCGATTTTCGACACCAGTTCTCCCTGGCCGGTCGCAGTGTATCCATTGCCTCCAAATAGCAGCTGCGCACATTGTCCGCATTCGTTCAAAACAAGCCCGGCCTTCGCCTTTGCAAGAGCGGTAAGGCCGCCGATCTTTACATCTGCCTCCTCTTTCTTGAAATGGCACATCTGATAGGCGAAGCTCCTGCAGAAGTGTTAGTTCGGTGGCTTCAATATGGAAATGGGAGGGAGTCTTACTCGACCCAAGCCCAGAGTGTTTCTAACTCTGCGCCTGCTTTTGCAAGGCGGTGTCGAACGACGGCTTGGTTGATGAGGGGATTTCCAAAGGCCTCTCGCTTCATTACCCACTCGAATGCTGCTGCCAGTGCCACACGAGCCTGTGCTGCCACAAGTGTCGCGATCGTCATTCGTTCGTGGTTAAAGTTTGTCTGCAACTCGTCAGCGCCCACCCTCCAACATCGATACGCCGACTTACCATAATGTATTTCATGCCCTGTCCCTCTTTGCCCAGCATGTTCTCCACGGGAACTTTGACATCATCCAGCTCAATGAACGTCGTCCCGCTGGCCTTTCCACCAACGACTGGAATTTTGCGCATGCTGACACCTTCTGTATTCTTCAAAGGCACAAGCAGGACGCTTAGGCCTCCAGGACCTTCGCCGCCCGTTCTTACACACATCGAAGCATAATCGCTCCACATTCCATTTGTGATCCACTTTTTCGTACCGTTCACAATGAAATGCTTTCCGTCCTTGCTCTTCTCGGCTACTGTTTGCACGTTCGCGACCTGTTTGAAATTTGTGAGCTGTGATATCTCAAGCTGGGCTGGATGAACTCACATCAGACCCTGCGTCCGGCTCTGTAATGGCAATACATATTCTTGTTCGCCCAGTCAAGAGGCCAGGAAGGAACCGTTTCTGCAATTCTGGGCTGCCGAAGTGAACAATGGGTGGAACTCCAAAAGCGAAGCCTGTGGTGATTGCAGTCACTGGACCCATAAGGCCGCAACGCATCATCTCGGCTGAGTAGATCATCACATGCATGTAGTCGAATTCCTCCACCGCGACCGGTCCAACATGATCAATGCCAACACTTTTTAACCATTCGACTGGGAGAGGAGCTGGTAGGTTGGGAACCATCATATTATGTTTCGCAAATGTGTCTGTTCAGCACAGCTACCCAGTCAGTGCGTGATTGTATAACGTTTTCAGGAAAACATGCCGTATACATGCGACGGAACTTCTCCATCTCGTTCCCATTGCAGCGCGTGTGGTGTGAAGTGTGCGTCGATAAATTCACGGCAAAATCGCTGCCATTTCCAGTGTGATTCCTTGTAATACGGTGAGGGATGCTTCAGGAGCCACGGTGGCTCGCTGAAGGGAATGGGCTCGTTAGTAGACATGGTTATTGTGTTAATACTACTGATCTTCGCGAAGTGGATGTCTGTATTATACGGATAAGAGATATCGTAGTCTTCACAGATGGACACGCGCCTGAGCCTAGCGGGCCCGGATCGTAGGTAGTACTTATTCCCGCAACTGGATTAACGATAATGACGACTTCGACCCTGAGACCATACGACAGTGGTGCGAAAATGAACGCGTAGTAAGTAACATGACTTATATATCCAAACATGAACATATGCCTGCACTTCCAAAGAAGAAGTGCTAATTCATGAAACGATGACTTCAGTTCACAGCTCGCAGTTTATTTCCTCAGGCAACGTAGGGTGCTCGCTGGATCCTACGCGATATATCCGTCGCAAATGCAGTGCTCGGTAAACGCGAAAGAGCCGCGCTTGAGCAAATTTGGAAGGAGCCGTGGACGATCATGAATGAGCAAGAGGTGTCGGGAATAAGCACAAACGTTGATCATTACGCTTTCTAGCTGACGTACGGCGGCACTCTCGTGCTGCTGACATGACCAGCCTAGCATCGTCCCAGCAAAGCACAAGTCGCATTGACGAGAGTGCCCGTCAACGGATCTCTGAGCTGGAACACATCTTGCACCAAGTCTCCCGTAAGCTCAGGCAATTGCTCTCCAAACTCTCCCGGGTCAGTTAGTAGCATGTTGTTGGCCATAATTCCTAGTGTTGCAAAATTGGTTTCGACGGCCGGTTTGGTCCATCCCAGCTCGTATGGAAGGCGTTCTTGCTCTACAATCGGGTCAGCGTTGAGATCACATCTCGCAAGGTGACTTAGTGCCCACCGAAGAACGACCTGACGTAAGAAATTGGAGCTTCGCCGGTGATTGGGTTACCCATAACACTCTGGTAAAGACTGCTTTCGACGAGACCAAGCACAAGCTGTCGAGGTCCGTAGATCAGTTTATCGCCGTTTAGCTGCCGTTGTCTATCGACACGAGCCCACTGTGCGTGCATTGCCACAGGTAACGACGTTCGTTCCATGCCCTCGTAAAAGGCTAGGACTTGGTTGAAGATATCCTGGTTGAAGTTGAGGTTGCTCCCTTGGTAGAAGTCTTGACGAGAAAGGCTGACGTCGTGCTCAATGGGAAAGTTGTGAGCACGGAGTTGATCCATATTGAATGTCCCAGCGAGAGGATTGGGATTGGAGACCGTCGCGCCTTGACCGACGACAAGACCGAAGTCCAAGCCAACGTTCAATCCCTCCTTCAGTCCCTGTGCGACTTGAAGCGGCGTGATGTTCTTTCCGCTTCGCGGAATATAACATACTGTCATCAGTACCCTTCTTGAGTGCTATTAATTAAGTCCGATCATAAGCTCACCATGGTTTGCTGCAGAGTTGATTCCAGGGCAAGGAGATCGTACTGTAGGGAATATCGGTCAGTCTCAGCGTTCATGGTGCAAAGAATATCATTACCATCATTGGGCCCTGGAGGAATGTATTCGTGACCCGCAGGAGCAGCCTGGCCAGCAGCTAGGGCCAATATCGAAGCCAGGGAAAAAGCTGACGATCCTTGGAACAACATCTTGACTTGCAGAGCGTGATGGTCGAGAACAAGAACAGGACGGTGCACAGATAGATGACCAGGCCTCTGGCAGTCAAATGAAGTGCATTCCAATTTGTTTTTGATTTAATTCCCGCCGGTTGCGAACTGCGTCACATCAAATGTCTATACGTACCTCCCACTCTAGGCAAGATCGACTGAAGTGAGCAGCGGCCGTCTTATTCTCGATCTGATAAGTCGGGAATGCATACACGCGACAGCTGACCACTTTCAGTCTATTGTATGGTTACAGCACACTGGGCTAGGACCAATGTTCGCACCATTTACTGTTACGGGGATCTACGCAGTGACCACGCCCCAGCCAGTTCGCATACCACTCCATGCTCTGGGTTAGCACCGGCATGTCGTCCATGCAAGTCCCCGTGCCCTTACACGACATTATAGCAGCGGTAATCACCACATCCTGAGGGAAAGTACTCGTAGTGTCGGACTATAACCCTAACGAAAGGGACAGCCGCATCGAGAAGTGCAAGGCAATTTATGAAAAGTTGGCATATATCCATTAGGCTATTGACTAAGCGTAAGTGCGACAGGGCGAAGCAATCGAGATTCTCATTTGCTCTCATTTTGACCGATACTATTCTCTCTAGAAAGGGCATAATATTCTCGTAAAGCAGAGAAAGACGGAGGGGGCGCTAATCGTATAATTCGTACGGGAATTCGGCCTTTAGCACGATCCCGACGCAAACGCTCGATAAAATGCTAATGAACTTCACTCTACCTACAGACTAGCTAAATAGTCGCACGGGCGGCGTAGTAGTGGAGGCAAGTCGCAATCTAGATAAGTAATAGAGGACTCTGCTGACCCACTAAACAAGTCGCATACATGCCCATCGTCACACCCCTCGTGATACAAGTCCAGCAAATCCAAAGCAAAGGCTGAACCCTTATGCGCGGGCTAGACATGTTGTCAGAGCAGGCTTTCGCGCAACTCGAGCTCTTTATAGGATGACAAGCACCACGGAAATTGACGTGAGACGATATATTCAAGCACTACAGCGAGCACTTTGTGCTAGGCAGCGCGTTGAATACTGATTCACCGTGATTGCTGGATTGAAGAGCCCAGAGCGAGATCCGGCTTTGGCGAAGTTATGGCGAGGAAAAATAAGATTAAATGTTTAGTGAACAGACTATTAGTCCATGCAAGCAAAGCACGTGGCCCGAACGATCTCTCGTTTTATCTTTCTTCTGTCGCCCACAATAGATCTCAGTCATTCAGCATCCACCTCCAGATAGACAAGAACGGATTCGAAGAACGTAGTCGCCAACATGAGGGCCTCAATCGTCCTCGTCTTCATCGCAGCTCTGGCCCCTGCTACATTGGCGCAAATGGGTACCTCCGGAGTACGCACTGCTCCAAACACATATATCTGATATCAGCATTCACTTACACATTTGCAACTGCGTTAGAAATGCCGCCAAAGATGGAATGACTGTTTCACAGGATTCTATCCTGGCACACCATGTCAGCTTGTAAGTGCGGCAGCTTCGTCGCTGAACAGAAAGGGAAGCGAAACAAAGGGCGTTATACTAACATCAACTTATGTTGTAGGGCAGCGAATGCAATGTTGACGGCAACCCATGTACATTGGTGGATCCTCTGGGAACTGGTGATTTTTCTTCTGCACATTGTGCTTGAGGGGATTACTTCGCAGCGGCGATATGAGATGGCCTAGGCTTATAAAGGAAATGGCGTGCTTGCAAGAGGTCGGGTCACGTGCGATACCAAATGCCATACACCATCGGCTAGCCCATAAGCTCGCAGGAGATCTTGCAATTCTCATCTTTGGTGTGTCGACGCATGGGGCCGATCCAGACCGCACGCACAAACACAGGAGAGGCGAAGCGTAGCGTGCTAGACAGCGGGGGGAACAGCACTTGTGGCTCTCCAAAGTTTGGACTGGGTCTTTGCCAGTGCAAAGCACAACTTCATTCAATTGTGGGTGCGGAGAAGCCTGCCTTTGCACACCAGCAGCACCTCTCCCGAGACGCATCCTACTCCTGTTCTTTTCAAATTCTAGCACTAATCCTGAAGTTGCTTGTGCCTCGCTCTACCTCAGCGTGCGTGTCCTGCTTCCAAGGCCGAAGCCATTGCGCATCTCACTGACCACTTCCTCGGATCTAATAATGCTCATGAAGACTGTGCGACTGTATTTCCTGTTGAATGTCACAAAATTTTGTCGACTTGGTGTGTACTGACAGTCGACCTTTCGATGTCTTTCGGGCGAATCTTGGCGACAAGGCCTCCTCCGAGAATATCAAGCAGATCGTCCAAACCACCATCTCCGAATGCTGGCCTGGGGAGCTTTGTGCAGTCTCGCCCTTGGTATCATTGTGGAGCACGATTACAGCGCTGCAGGTGGCGTCCGGATGTCGACGGATGCCGATGTCGAATGTGTCGCGTGGTCTGCCCTGTAGAAGGGCGTCATTAGCTGGCAAGGTGTCAGCATGCATCTTTGAGAGCGAAAGATGCTTGCGTAAACAGAGGACCTGCTCTCGCAATTGATCGATTCAGTGCTCGGGTCGTAGTATGCGATTGGCCCTTCACAGATTTGTATCAAACGCCAAACCGACGTTTGAGACCTCGATGTTATAGATGAACTGCTATTGCAATCAAAGCAGGAACCTGGTACCTAGTACGATGGCCAGAGCATTCCAGATGTCCCTTTGCTCGAGGTCAACGTGACTGTAGGAGTTTCTGCATCATGTACAGTATGAAGGACATGCTAGCAAGGGTTATAAGAGAGTAAAGCAAATGCTAAGCGATTGGTAAGTAGCTATATCTAGTACATATAGACAGTTGGTAAATACTATGGTACAAGTTAAGTCGTCTAGCGTAACAAGAGTACGCTTGATAGTTCTCATAGCTTTAGTACATAGCTACTCACTAAATCTGATACTATTATACTTATTATACGGCTTAGTAGATATAAAGTACTTTTAATCGTTAACGTAGTAAGCGGAAGCTCTCGTGTCCAATGTCTACTTAGATCGGTTATTGTTCTGTTAAGCACTTAGATAGATTGCTAAAGTTATATAGGAGATCCTCTTACCCCTCGTTTTACTATCGTGGGGAATGGAAGTAGAGCCGTGGTTTGACTTCTTCTTACAACTTCCGCAAGGTGGTGTAAAACTCAGGTGCACTGTCGATCCGACAGTAACCACGCGTCTCCCATGCAGTTTCAGGAGATCGACACTCTTAATGCCGCTGTACACCAATTACTCGCAGTATGTTCTCAAGACGAAATGCTCTAGGACCTACAACGTGGTCTTTGCTGCATAGCCGCGCTTGTCTGCCAAGCACCTGGAAATCGAAGCTTCCATTTGTCTCCGCAAGGTCCTGCTCGCTACGAGAACGTCGAGTGTATCAGATAGAATCATGACATATTCATTTTGAAACCGCAGGCAGTCCAGAAACTATACATAATACATGCTCGTGATCACAACGAGGCCGATTTATGTATCGATCCCTCTCCATAGTTCCTGACTATATCCTTGATGCTCAAATGCCACAATTTTCAACCTCTATTTCCGATCACACACCGCGTAGTGGCCTGGAGGCTCGAATGTCATTAGTAACAGAGCCACGCAAAATACACTCCAAGATCCCCGCTGCCGCTATCATTCCGCTCTCAGTTTCTCTGGGAATTCAACGCAACAATGCATGATCCCGAAAAGCCAATGTTGGTATCTTACAATTCTACGCGATAGCCATTTGCCGGCTTTAGAGGGAGAAACACTGCTATTGACATGCAGTCTTGTGATACACTGTCGTCATCTAGCAAAATGGTTGAAAATAAAATTGTACAATAAGTGAGTCTTCATCGATGATACCAGTGTTGACACGAACGATTAAGCCCCAGCGTCACAGTTCGATGTTATCGTCTACAATTTCAACAGCACTATGCTTGCATCCTGAATGCAAATACATCCTTCAATCTTCCGCGTGCGTTACTACCTCCCAGTTGACTCCAACAAACGGATCCAATATATACGCAGCATAGTATGTTGGAGCAAATTGCCTCCGAAATCCAGGAGGACCGTTGCAAATTCCTCCGGAAATGATCGCAGCGGCATGAAATGCGTGGACTTGTTCTCGATCTTAGATTACCATCAGCGACGCACCAACCATATGCATTGAAGAAGACTTACTCTCAGCACGAAAGCAAACGTGCGACTCCTTGAGTATGTGATCAAAAGTCTTCTCATCCAGGTCTTCCGAAGTTCCATGGAGCCAGAGGAATGGGTATTTGTCGCCAATACCAGTCCAAGAAGGGCTGGCGCGATAGACTTCTCGCAGGCCGATGGAAGCGAAGGCGGTGACCAGGAAGTTGACCAGCTGATCGAGCTTTACTTGAGGGACGACGAAGGTATGGTGGTCAAGAGGCATGTTGAGCTGGACAGATGGGAACGGTCTGATGAAAGGCGAGATAGATTGTTGGGAAGCGTGTGAGCGAAGGACAGTATTTGTACGAGTAAACGTGCGGCCCGGAAAGCTGGGCATTGAAGGCTAAAGCGCCCAGGGGTCTATTTCAAGGCAACAGCTGATTAATTCAGATCGCGGTCTGTGATTAGAACGCGACGGCGATCGATCGGGATGCGCAGGTTCGTGTCGGAGCTTTTCAGCGTCTCAATTACATGGCTAAGCACAGTTCTACCGTCGAGGAATGGTCAAAGAAAGCTCTGAAGCTGAGACTCAGTCTACCGCATTTTGGCCCAACTCATGGCATATCTACAATGCTACCTTCGTCTAAGGCTGCGCTAGAGCAGGGATCTCTGAGCCTGACACATACATGCCTCCTCAACGTCCAACTCATCACCCACTCGGACTCGTGAACTTCAAACTCGCCCAGCCGCCGAAAACCTCCTTGTCCAGCCAGGACCTCCAATTCGGAATGCCACCAAAGTACATCAAGATTTCCGGCTTCTTGCCAGGAACATTTGCTCCAACGAACCAAGAACGAGCCGCAGCAGCAGGCTTTGAGACAAGCAGAAAGTTCCACAAGTCACTGACATGTTGCGTCCAAGCAGCAGCAGCCTCCTGCTTGACATCAACTATCGAGATCTGATGCTCTCGCATGTAAGCGACGACTTTGCCCATCCAATCAACTGCGACTTCTACTGTGGTCGGCTGGTTCCCAACGCTACTGTGCGGTCCATTGATAATGAACATGTTTGGGAACTCTGGGACTAGCACCCCTGCAAAGGTCTGGAGACTCTCGGCCCAGGCGCCCTTCAGTGACTTTTCCGAGCTACCTTGGATGTCGATCCTGCCCAATGCACCTGGTCCAGCATCGAAGCCTACGGCGAAGATGATGATGTCTACTTCATGTTGGGTGCCATCAGCCGTGACCAATCCCTTCTCGCGAACTTCGACATCTCCACCGCTAACGTCCACGGGTTTAACATTAGATCGGTTGAAGGTCTTGTAGTATCCGTGCTCGCAGGTGGGTCGTTTCGTACCAAAAGGGTACGAAGGAGATAGCAGATCTGCGGTAGCCTGGTCGTCGACAATAGCGTGGATCTTGTCGCGCACATATTGCGAAATGATCTCATTCGACTCAGGATCTGTGTAAATGTCCGCGAACGAGTGTAATTGAAAAGGAAGAAATCCACTTTCCCATCCCTTGTCAAGGTATTGGCGGATAGTTGCTGGATCTAGTCCTTTCATAATCTTACTTGCAGCAACGGAGTCATGACCTACAGGATTGTTGATTGCCAGCTTCCACGACTCTTCGTTGTGACTTTTTATCTCGGCAGCTCGGAATTCATCGATGCCTTCATTGCGTCCCGGAATGGCGTAGCATGGCGTGCGTTGGAGGACAAGCAGCTGTTTCACTGCAGGCGCAAGCTTTGGGACGAGCTGAACGCCTGTAGACCCAGTGCCCACGATCGCAACCCGTTTTCCTTCCAGTGAGACACCTTGAGATGGCCAATTGGAAGATTGATAGACCTTGCCTGTGAATCTTTCGAGTCCTTTGAAAGGTGGATCCCTTGGCACTGATAGTGTTCTTGTGGCCGGAATAAAGTAACGGCAAGTAAAAGATCGGCCCGCTGCAGTTTCGATGGTCCAGACCTGATGCTCATCGCTGTATTTTGCAGACACGACTTGTACGTTGAACTGAATACGCCGTCGCAAATCGTAGTGATCTGTGTCCAGTCAGTCTCGCCACAACGGCTGCAATACAGCATATTTAACTTACCAACAACACGGGCAAGGTAACTTTGAATTTCCTGCTGCGTGGGATACTTCTCAGAGTAGTCCCACGCGTCCGCCACTTCTTTTGAGAACTTGAGGGTGTAGATTGATGCTTCGCCATCGGATCTTGCGCCAGGGTATCGATTCCACCACCAGGTACCACCGACATCTGATGCTGCATCGAAACAGACCATTGAGATGCCGAGTGCCTGAAGTTCTAACATTGTCCTGATACCGCCGAAACCTGCGCCAACGACGACTGCGTCGTAGTCGGGAACTGCCATGGCTTCACCGTGATTGTGCAACAGTGACTGGATCTTTGGTGAGATGGCTCAATAGGGCTCCAATTTACTGATCAGTATGATCGAACAATGTACTGAATGCCATGTCGGTCTTATACATATATTTGTCAAGGTGCTCAAAATTGTTGGAGCATGCTTAACAATCGTTTCGTCTCCGGTTGAAGCGATTGTCCGGGGAGGTCGTATGTCCGTTTCATCCAGCCCTTACTGCGACCGCCTCCGACTTGTCCATAGCGGCTACGACAAATGCATCCCAGCAATGGGACTTGTGGCATCAATGCATCTAACGAGCGATACGACAGCCGATCGGCCACCATGATCGAAACGGCATTGTTGTAAGCAGTCAGAAGCCACAACAACTCACTGATTTTTGAATACCGCTGGGGACTTCAGTGTCGGCATTCCTTGCAACGACAGTCGTACAAGCTTCGTCGATGGCTGAAGTGTATTGATGACAGAATAGCCTCATTGGGAACGCCATGGCTGGGCGTTTCAGACACCTAGAGTTTGCTTACCAACCTGAACCATGCCTTCATGGCCGACCATCCTGACGTAACCCCAGGCGGCTGACGCGACCGCGTTCAAGAGTCAACTCAGCTTTTTTGCGGTCGCGTCAACTTTGAAGAGGTCGTGTCATAACTTAAGAGGCCTTGTCAGGTTTTTGAGGTCGGATGAGCTTGAACAATCTTTCAGCATTCCACGAAGTATCCGTAGCTCCACGGCGGTGATGGCAGTATCAACGATTCCGCAGATCTGATGTCTTTGCCTGCTCATGTTTGTGAGTGAAGTGAAATTGCCCACCCGTCGGCCCGGAAAAATGATTCCGCCGATCTTTCCCCTCCCAGTCGCGTCTCCGTCATCTCCAACGCGTCCCACACCTTCAATCCTCCCCGTAAACCAGATCAGAACATCGATCATGGCCGACACCTCCTCTGAAGAAGGCCGCGCCTTCTTCGAACAGCAACGAGTCCTCCTCATCCAAGATGTAGCAGCCGTGAGTCCGCGCTCTACCCCACCAACGCCCTAATCCCTCCCCAAACACAACCGTAACCACTAACACGACACTACTATTTCCAGAGCATGGAAAACGTCCTCCAGAACATCAACAAACTCAACCGCAGCTTAGAAGGCGTCATAGCAGTCGGGAACGAATTCAGTCAAGTCGAGGGGTTGTGGTCGCAGTTTGAGAATGTGATGGCGAAGCAGCCTTCGACGGGCGGGGAGAAAGATGAGCAGGGGAAAGAGGATGCGAAGGAGGGTGCGGAAGGGGGAGTTTGAGGAAACGAGTCGAGTGCAAGAGGCAAATTTTGGGATGGAAGAGGATTGATTTTATGATACCCGGTATGCGTTACGGAGACCGCGGAGCTGAAAGCAAGAGGGAGTCAGAGGTCCTGCGGAGGTTCGGCTTGCGCGAGAGCAGACGGGAAGATCCTTAGGAAACGATCTGCTAAGGAAGCGGCACTTTGTGCGAGTAGCAGCGATGGGTTTGGAGACACGGGATGAGCGGACGTCTGCGGTCAAGCCGTTGTAGAAGGGCAGCATGGCAGGATTCAGAGCCACAACACGCAACGACCTGTCAGGAGGAGAAGAAGGACAAGGCCCATGAATGAGAAGGGAGAAAGCATCATACTTGCTCTATACTACAATCATGCCTCGAGGACATTTCCATGCTGCCGAATCGCCAGATTGTCACATCGCACCGCATACACGTTGTCAAGAGCTTCTTCCATGTCCCGATACGCTCGCGGATCGTAGGCGGTTACATCAACTGGTCAGCGCCTATTACCGATCCATGCTCAAATGGCACAAGCACCATCAAGCCCACCAGCATCCTCTCCATCCATCTTCAGATCTTGCCCAAGCTGGACACGACCCGTCTCATCGATCTTACAATCACAACCATACTTCGCACGGAAGTCGAAAGGCGCAAGGCCATCCAACTTCTCGAGTGCCTTATTCGCAACTCTAAGCCTCGCATACCTCCCCGACTTGCCCGCACTACTGGCCATGATTCGGTCATGGATCATGACGACCGCAATCACATCTTTTCTCTCCATGCCGTCGATACTCGGAAGTTCCTTGGCCATCAGCCTGTAGTCCATGCAGCCAAATGTAGTCTGCAGCATGTTGTGCAGATGCGTGCAAGGGTGGTTGTTGGCGAATGTGTCATAGATCCGCATGTCATCGAAGTACCACTGTACGTGCTCGTCGAAGAAGCGCTGGACCTCAGCGTAATTGAAATCTGAGTCGATGAACATGGCTCCAATGAAAGCTTCGACAATGTCAGGAAGACACTTTGGAGGGTCAGAGACTGTGGTCCAGTAGTCTCTACTATCGCCTGCTACGCGCTTGGCTTCGAGGAGGTCGGCCGCGTATGCTGTGATCTGCGACTGCAAGGCAGCATGATGGTGGCGCAGATGCTTATGGAAGCCGATGTTAACGCACAAAGCGCCCAAAAATTTGTTGCTCACCATGGCCATCTTGTGCTCGGTGAGCCACTGTGGGTCTTTGTCGGGATACTTATGGAACAGGTATGTGATAGAAGCCTGGTCCAGAAGAGCATCACCAAGGAATTCGAGTCTTTGGTAATTCGGCACCTTCTCGTAGATGTAGGGCACTGATGGATGCATGAAAGCCGAGTACAGTAGTCGCGGGTACTTGAAACGATACGCATGCTCGCGCTCGACCTTCTGTGCCAAATCACGCTGAACCGCGGTGACTTCGGCGGTCTGATAATGGGGCTTGTTGTATGCGGATCTATAGTCTTCCCAGGTCAACATTCTGTGGTCATCGGAATCGACCAGAGCTGTGACAGCCTTCACGGCCTGAGTCCAGTGCTCTGCTTCCCATGATCCATGCTTGTCCCAGGTCAGGTACGCAGCACCAATCAGAGCCTCGCAAACATCAGCGATCGTCTTCTCCCCGAGCCCATGCGTTCTGGGTTCGTGGAAGTTCTCCTTTTCCTGGCCCTTGATGACTCCCGTGCCGACGAGCAGTTTCAAACCCTCTGGGTACCAGTATCGACGATTGAAGGCCATGCTGCGAATCTGCTCATACAGCTTCAGCTTCACAGCAGTGCCGAATAGATTCTTGTTGCAGAGCATCTGCATTCTGCGAACGTGGAACTCAAATTCATTCTCATTCGGATTCTGAATGAAGGTCGATATCGTAGTTGCCGTCTTCAAGAAAGTATCGCCAATAAATTCTAGACGTTCATAGTTCTCGCCCATTCCGTGCTGGAAGTTTACTCGCTCTGCATCATGCTCTCCTTGATTGTCAGAGTCCTTGGTGAAGGCAGCAAGCGCAAATTTTGGGCCGCAGTCGAGCCCAATCGCAGTGCATCCTTCAATAGCGATTAGGTAGGATTCGATCCGGTGAATGATCGACGGCCAGACAATGCAAGAGGTGGCCACTTCTGGTGTCAACGCTGATATCTTCAGTGGCTCCGGGCACAAATACGCCTTTTTAATGCCCTCGACTTCTTTCCTCTCGGGAGGAGCCAGCATGTTCCGGCGTAGCACCGCCAATTCTGCTTCAACGACGGGTTGGTTCTCTGCCCAGGTGATCTTTGCACGAGACTTCTTCCACAAGCTGACGCTGTAGGCGAGGATCGATTCACTGTTCTTGCCCTTTGCTGCATTATCAGGAATCGGGTCATCCTGTTTCAAAGATGGGTCCACGCCCTTCGAAAAGAACTTGCGGCTTCCATCGAACTTGTCAACAATGAACTTGTTGACGAATACTTCATGAGGCCACTCTGGAGTCCATCTGAGCTCGTCATTAGCGAGCACAACGTCCAAAGCGGCCCAGTCAATTGCTTTGATGGGGCTAACCGCTCGCTCTGCCTCTAAGCTGTCCTCTGATGTTCTCAAGTTGATGTTCACAGGAGCAATCCAGTACGACAGTTTGAGGGGCTCTTCTTCGTACGTCTTGCTGAAGACATCCTTGAACATTCGGAAAGTGAATGCACTCAGCTGTGCGAGACGCTGGTCTGTGACGATGAGTGGCAGGATTAGGCTCGCTGACTTTACTGTCGTGGCATTGCCATTGTTTCGAAAGACTGGGAAAGAGGGCAGCTGTGGCAGTGGAGTCCTCGTCAGGAAAGCAAGCGCTTGATGTGGCCGATCTAGGCCCTCAGGAAAGTCGACAAGGGTGACCCAAAGCTCCTTTGGCAACAATCCTCTTTGCTCTGTCCAGATCTTAGGCTTGATCTGCATCGCATATCCAGAAGTGGCTTTCATGTCAACAGCCAACAGCGCGTTTCTCATGGCTGGCAGTTTCTTCTGGTAGATCGGAATGAGATTCTCATTGAGGTATCCGTGCGTACGCAGATATACGCAAGCATCGAAAGCTGCAGAACGCTTTGCCAACGACTTCTTGGTGTGAATCTTGCCAATCTTGGAACGCAACGGAGCATTGCCCGGCAAGACGACCTCGGCAATGTACTTCGATCCTCTATTTGACACAACATAAGTGGGATGTTGAGGTTCGTCAGATTCTGTAGGGATGGCCGTGACAAAGTGAGCAAGTATCGTCAGCGCGTTGGCGTAGGTCAGCTTCGCTCCAGAAATTGGGTCAACCCGGACCTCCATAGTCTTCTCTCGTTCGAGGAGGACTTCAAGACTGTCTGAATTTCCTTCAAGCTTGCGATCTTCCGGTAGCAGATCACAGTATCGACGCATGTTTGCCTCAGCGTAGCGCACTTCATTCAAAGTCTGTGAGTGTACAGAGTTGCCGCGCTCGATCATGTGGATGAACTTGGAATTCTGGTTGCGGGCACGGCCTCGCGACTGCACGTACTGGATCATTGTCGCGTACATATCGAAGCGCACGATCAGGTTGCAATCCGGCACATCAAGACCTTCCTCAGCTACAGAAGTAGCAAACAGGCAGTTCAGCTCACCCTTTCTGAACTTCAGCAGAGTCAAAACTTGCTGTTTGAACGAGAAGGAGTCTTCGTCCAGTCCACCATTGTTGGAACCGACGAGGAAGTGGCCTCGCATATGTGGTGTACTCAGTCGCAGGAAGAGGTTGTGCAGCATTCGTGCTGTATAGCGTCGATCGACGAAGACGATACAACGATGATCCGAAGGACGTTCGAACTGCAAGCGCAGATAATGTTGCAATTTTTGTACTTTCGAGCTGAGGTCAGTAGACTGAAGCCTGTCGAGGACGTCTTTTCGAGTCTGAACATATTCGATTGCTTCGCGAATCTCTTTTACAGCATTGTCCAGTTCTGAAACTTCTTGCTGCACTCTGCGGGCGTGGAACTTCTTCTCGACTTCCATTTCGTACTTGCCTGATTTGTCGTGGGAGAAGGCGTGTAGCAGGTAACTGTCTGCACACCATCGTCCCAGATGTCGAGCGATCTGAGCAGCGCGCTCAAAGACGTTTGAGAAGACGGGTATATGCTCGAATCGGGCCTTGATGTCCCGCAGTAGCTCCGTCTCGAAACCAGCGTGCGGCAAGGCGTCGTAACTCAAGACCTCCTCCTTGGGCTTCTTGATTGCTGCTGCCAAGCTCATGTCGCTTGTAGTAGCAATCTTGGAGTCCAGAAGGCACTCGAGTTCGGATGCTGCCTGCACTACATCCATCTTCGCATCGATTGGACTTGCTGTCATGCCGAATATACGTGGTCGTGAAGCGAGCTCCACCGTAAGGTAGAAGTCTTTGATGATACGAGCGTACGAGTGATTCTTCTTGGTGTGATGCGCTTCGTCAAAAATGAGTAGATTGATCTGGCTCATCTTCAGGTAGCTGTGAGCGAGTGCTTGGTTGAGGATCTCGGCAGTGCACACGATGACTTTGTTCTCGGCGAGTTCCTTGAGCCATCGTGCACTGTTCCATCGATCTGTATTGTCAGCTCCGCAAAGTCGTGCTACGTTGTGATCAAGGTTGCACTCTAGCACCGAGTACTGTTGATAGACCAGCGTCACGGACGCGACGAGGAAGAATGAAATCTTCGCCGGAACTCCTCTGGAACGATTCTCGATCTCGTTGTCAATGACCCATCGGAGCAATAGAACTGCAATGAGAGTCTTTCCGGATCCAGTGTCCAAGACAGCGATGGTGTTCTGCTGCTTGGCACGTTCAAACAGCTCGATCTGATACTCACGCGGATTCTTTACGATCTGTGAGCCGCGTTGCTGGGAGGCTAGAAGTGAGTGAATTGACTGATTGTCGTCCAACGCATCGGCCGCCTTCTTGACTTTGGGCTTCAGTGCTTGTTGGCCATCGGCACTGGTGATCCAATTGTCGAATATGGCGCGTTGGACACGACGCTTCTCCTTCCAGCTTGCAGCTGTCGACGCGCCATTGAGCGGCTTGACGGCGTCTTCTTCGTCGCCGGAGCCGATCAGGTCGTCGAGTTCGGGCTCAAGGCCATCTGCGGATAGCGGGTGCTTCTCCGGTGCGCCCATCTTGGAGCGAAAAGAATGGATGTGGTGAGGTTAGTGGATGAGAGTTGGGAAAGCGAGCAGAGAGGTGATCTGCCCGCGAGCAAAGTGTGTGCAACGCGCCGCTCTCACATGGAGCAGCGCATGTTTGTTGCAGGCACGACCATGATCATGTGAAAAGGCAAGGGGCAACAGAGTGTGAGTGTGAGTGATAGTTTGCTGTTTGCTGTGGCGTCGGGGCCAGTCGGCCCGGCAGTGTGGCATCGCGTCCAGCAACGACGTTTCTCTGCATGCATGTGAAAGTCCCTTGACATCGACATCACACCGACTCCAGCATGGCCGAAGAGAACCGCAGTCTCCGCTCCGTATACGATGAGGCCGAAAAGAAACGCAGCACAATCGAATCCAGCTTCGACAGCAACGCCGCCAGCTTCCAAGACAACCTAACAACCACAATCCAACTCTACGAAGAATGTCTCAAAATCGCCGACCAAATCTCCCTCTTCAGCCCCAATGAATCTCTCGAAGACATCACAACCGAAAACCTCCAGTACCTCCTCCTCAACTACCGCATCTCCGAACTCATCCTCCGCCTCAACTCTCGCGAGCACCGCAAATCCAACCTCCACCAAGCCCAAAACCACTACGAACGCTACCTCAAACGTCTCGACAACTACGATCTCCTCTCAAAAGAAGATTTCACTCTCTTCGAACAATACCAAGAATCCCCCAACAAATTCTCCACAGCCTCCTCAACCGACGCTGCAGCCCGGCGGGAAACAAAAATCAAACGATTCAAAGAAGAGAAAGCATTGAAAGAGAAGTTGGCGTATATACGACAGAATCCTCGGATCTTACAAGAAGACGATGATAAGGCTCGAGAACTCCACCTCACCAATATCGCATACTGTACACATCAAACTTTCGCTTCACTAGAATCCATCGCGCAGGAATTACATATTCTATCACTCGCGCCTCCAACTCCCCCACCAGATCCGCGGGGTCAAAGCTCTTCCGATGCACGCGACAGAGGGCGTTTCGCAGAAGGCTACTCCGATCGTCTCGATGGTCCACAACACCTTTCCGCAGGAATGAAAGGACCTCTACTAGACGCCAAAGGCAAACCTCTTCGACCATTCACATTATTACCGAGACAAGAGTTGAAGCAAGGAGTTTTCCGACCGGATCATAGTCTGCCAACGATGAGTATTGATGAGTACTTGGAGGAGGAGAGACGGAGAGGCGGGATGATTGAGGGTGGAGGCGAGGCGAGTCGGCAGACGAAGGAGGTGGATGAGGATGATTATGAGGCGGCGGATCGGGAGACGATGAAGGCGAGAGAGTGGGATGAGTATGTGGAGGCGAATCCGAAGGGGAGTGGGAATACGATTAATCGTGGGTGAAGACAGCAGCATTTTGAAGACAGCAGGATTTGCTGTGTTGTGATCATTCGGGCTATCTATGGTTGCCCGCCTTGCTGTGTCGCCGACAGCGGCGACCTCCGGCTATCGCGCACCGTGGAAGTGCGCAGTCGCACTCGTGCCTTGTTCATTCAGGCCTCTACTGTCGACATTTCATTTGGCTCCAATATGTAGGTCAAGAGCACTGATGAACGATGTCAGCAAGATATCTTCTTCAAAGCCAAAGGGAAGTAGGTAAACACTCACGCTTCTGATTCCTGCTCACCTGCGCGCTCAAGTATTTAGCCACCACTTGAGGCAGTACAGAGAACTCCTCGCTAATGCCAATCATGCCAGTTATGCCAATCAATTCTCCCAATGCAATGCTTATCCGCCGAAAGTGACCTGCGTGGCAGCGCTTTTCTGAGGCTCGTTTCATGTTCGATGCTTCGATGCTAAACCCAGACTTCCATCAATCTCATCGCACACTGCCATTCAATTGTGAGCCCAGCCGCCCGAGTGCAAGCTGTGTCACACCTTCTCTGCACTCGCCCACAATGCCAGCAACACCAAGAATGCTCTCTTCGAATCCGCGCAGAGTAGTTGCCAGCTCGCGGACAGTGTCTTCGCCGTTTGGTTGAGCACCGCCAATACCAGACCTCCGCTGAGCCAGTTGCTGGGCTTGCTGCACAGTCGAGCCTTCGATGACACGCATGTGTTGCTCGATCTCGGCCAGGTTGCTGGCGTACGAATCCATGGTCTTTTGCAGCTCGGCGGCCATCGGCAAGAAGTAGTTGCCAATCAGGTCTGTGTCGTAGTTCTCGTCACCCTCGTTGGTATTCTGCTGCTGTTGCGAGCGCTGCTGCGAGCCGTACATGCTGCTGATGCCGTTGTTGCTCAAGTTCGGGTATTGGTATGGTTGTGGCAGTGCGAGATTTGTCACGATGCGCTGCAATCGCTGTCCGTCCTTGAGATCCTTCTCGGCATTCTTGCGTTGTGCATCGACCGCGTATGCGTCTGCGGATAAGGCTTGCTCTACGTCGTCGGCCTTGTCCTTGACGAAGTTGATGTCTGGTATCAAACTGTTCAGGTTCTCCTCGTGCTTGGGCAAGAAAGCCTCGATCTGCTTCGCGAACTGCTCTTGCTGTTGAATCATCTTGTCCAGTGCCTCCAACTCTTGCTTCACGCTGTCTGCGCAGTCCTCGAATCGTGTCGTGCCCTTGAGGTTGTCAATGGTGACTTGTGAAGCTGCTTGCGCTGCTGGTGCTGCTCCTCCTTGTCCCATGCTCAGTCTGCCAAATGATGTCGACTGGTTCATGCTGGATGCCTGTGTAGCACCGAGCAGTGACGGCGCTTGCTGTTGAGTCGGTCTCGCAGTATTGCCGAAGAGACTGCTTCCGGTGTTGTTCGCAGCAGGCTGTGCGCCGAATAGACTGCCGCCGGCATTGTTGGTGGCGGGCTGAGCGCCAAAGAGGCTGCTGCCAGCTTGTTGTGACTGAGTGGTAGCGGGTTTGGCGAACATGTTTGTAGCGTTGGGAGTATTGTTCGGATTGCCGAAGAGGCTGCTCGTGTTGTTCTTTGGCGCGCCAAATGTGCTGGTGTTGCCGGCGTTTCCGAATAAGCTTGGAGCTGCGGCGGGCTGATTTGGCTGCGTGTTGGCGTTGCTGGTGGTGTTGCCGCCGAAGAGTGAGGTGGTGTTGTTGTTCGCGTTGTTCTGCTGTGCGCTGGGTGTGGTGTCAGTTACCTGGTTCTGCTTGGCGCGTGAAGCATCCAGCATGCTCTGGAAGCTGGATTTTGGAGCCGGCGATGCGGCGGCGACAGCAGGCACCTCTGTCTGCGAGGCAGGGGCGGAGACGGCGAGGACTGAACGATTGAACCCAGCCTCGACGTCAGCCGGGATGGGCAAGAACTTGGCCTCCTCATCGTACGCCGGTGCTGTCTTCCACCCCTCCTCTTCGACATCGTCGCTGCGCTTGTTCTTCTTCTTGGAGCTGCCGTCTCCGCCACGGCCTCCTCTTGCGCCGCCACGGAAGTTGAGGTTGCTAGGCATAGTTCTTGCTCGGTATGCGCGAAGTGCTTTGACTGAAAAATGGGTGCGGAAAGGAAGTGAGAGATACGTACTTGAACATGTTGTTAGTATTCGCAGTGGATATACTGAGAGAATGGCTGCGATTGAGCATGTTGGCTATTGTTCAGCTACAATAGCGACAATACCAACATTATGGCGGATGGATGCATGTTGACAAAACGCGGAGGACGCGACCGAGCTCCGCTGTTCCACAAAGGGAAGTGATCGACGCGCGACAATGCCTCCCCGTAGCCTCTCATGCTGCTGACAATCACTCATGCTCTCTCATTGTCAATTTCACATTGTCGTGTATAACACCATCAATACCACAATAGTCTTCATGCGAGGCCTTGCGGAAGTCCATTCTGGATGCAGTGAGAGTCGATTGGTACTCATTGCTCGTTTGCGAACTGGAGGGGAAATACGTTCAGACTTAGAGTCGTCCATGCTACTGTCTGACACAAGACTCGAGCACAGACAATTGATTGAGTGCTGCAGAGCTTGCTGAAATTTTCAGCTTCACGACCTTCCGCGAAGGCCCCCTGCTTCGTACCACGATCTCCCAGTGCATCTGCCCGAATCCGTCCTACAGTACAGCAAACACCACTACCGACGCACAAGTCAGCATGACCTACGTTCCATCGAACACTCCAGCAAGCAGAACACAAGTCAATCAACCAACCAACCCTCACAATTTAGCTCCTCATCACTTTCGTCAAGCCAGCCTCAAAACCTTGGCGTGGTAGAAGATAGGCGTGACGTTCGAATAATTCGGCAGATCCTGCATGAGCTCCGGAATATTCGCTCCAATTGCCTTATCGAAGTCTTCCGCACTATCCCATAGCAAAATCGCTTGCGTATGGATACCGCTTGGATCGTCCTCTGCGAACTGCACAACTGTACAAGATTTCAAGCCAAAAGGCTTCCAGTGCTTGTCGACCAGCGCACAGTGCTTGTTGATGTAGTATTCCGTGTCGAACTTGATATCTGCTGTTCGTGGGTAGGAGACGTAGACGTAAGCCCCGACATCGTTGGTCCCGGAAGCCATGATGCTTTGCTGCCCTTTTCGCTGGGAAGGTGCTGTGAGGAAAGTTGTCGAGACGGTAAGTCACACTTCTGCTATTCTTGAGAATCCATGCATTCGCGAGCGAATAAATAGCCTGGTTGAACTAGTCAGCAGTGGCTACGCAACACTTGGGGCCTGGCGTTCTCATGCCTGTTCAGCGGAGACATTCTCCACATGAGGCGCTGTGCCCTCCTCGGCTAAGAGCTGAGCTCGACACTTGGTGGATAGCTTCGACAAAGCTGTAGAATGCTTACAGTATCTATCAAAATCTGCGACTACCACCTGCAACGAATAGGCCATTTGAGTGCTGTAAAAATTGGACATTGACGAGACAAAGTTCGAGGGCTCTGACACCTTTTCCCAAGTTCCCAGAATCTGTTCAATTGGCCGTGAAGAAAGCCGGACCTTAATCATCTTCACAAATCATCCCGTCCCAAAGCCGTTCATTCTTCACAAACATGGCCTCCGAAACCTGGAACCCAGACTCCAAGTCCTTCCCAACAATCCACGAACTCCCCGCCATTCCCGACGCCCCCAAATATGCCGCCTGGTTCTGGGGAAAAGACGACTTCCTCGGCCGACTCAACCTCTTAACTCCAACGCGAGTCAAAGCCGCAGCAGCAGAAATCCGAACAGGTGAAATGGCTCGAACAGACCTGCCTTTGAATGTGCCCCAGCAACCAGCTTTCGGACGACAGCAATTCAAACATGAAATCAAGCCTCTGCGAAAAGATTATGCGTACGATGATGTTTATTCTTTGAACACGCAAAGTGGAACGCAATGGGATGGGTTCCGACATGTTGCACACCATGATACTGGACACTTCTATAATTGGACCAAAGGGGCTGATATCGATGGACCGGAGCCAAATGAGAAGGCGAGTATTCATTATTGGTCGCAGCATGGGATTGCTGGGCGGGGAGGTAAATTCTGCACTTTCTTCTTCCATCGATAAATCAGTCATTGATACCTGCATCACTAGTCCTCCTCGACTACCGCAGCTGGGCCACCGAACAAGGAATCAAATACGACTCCGCCACAGCCCACAGCATCACCTACGACGATCTCTTCGCAGTCGGCAAACACCAAGGGCTCGACATCCGCCCCGCATCCCAAGGCGGTGACATCCAAATCGGCGACATCCTCTTCATCCGCTCCGGCTTCACAGAAGACTACTACTCCCGAACCGCAGATCAAAACACCTCCATCGGCCTCCGAGAATTCTCCTTCAACGGAACCGACGAATCCAAATACCAAATCTGGGCCGGCGTAAGCCAAGAAGAGAAAGTCCGCGACTGGTTACACGACTGCTACTTCGCAGCCGTGGGAGGAGATGCTCCCGCTTTTGAACAATTCCCTCCACCGCAAGATGGATCGGGTCTTCATGCATATATCCTTGCGTGCTGGGGTATGCCGTTGGGGGAAATGATTGATCTCGAACGGGTGGCGGAGTTGGCGAAGAAGAATCAGCGGTATACGTTTTTCTTCACGAGTGCGCCGGCGAATGTGGTGAGGGGTGTGTCGTCGCACGTGAATGGTACGGCGATTTTTTGAAGAAGATCGGAATGCGTGCGGTGTGCGTGCGTTTGACGTATGTCGCGTGCGAAGGTTGACCTCCTTGCTTAAGTGTGGAGTGCGGGCAGAAGAATGTATGCAATGCAGTCCTTCGTGTGCATATGACCAAACGGAATGGCCGCAGTGCTTGAGCAGATGTTGAAGGTCGACCACAGCAGCTGCCACACTCTGAAGAAAAGAGCTTCGTATCTGCATGCAATGAAGTGGTGCCAAGGTAGAATGTGGTTTTCGTGATCTTGTACAACGTGAGGTCTGGTAGCGATTGGGCATGGCCATCGCTTTCCTCCGAGAGGGTGCTCGATCTTGTGCGACGCGCCGCCAGGATTTAATTCTGCCATTCATGCCGTCTGCTGCGCATGAGACGTCAGTACGAGTCCAATGGCAATTCTAGCCTGGAGCAGGTTCCAAATTATCAATCACGATCCGTAGGCAAGATGCAAGATGAAGCACATAAGCTGCGGTCATGCCCAGCGAACATTGGACTTCTCGGTGCATAGCTGTTTCCGTGTTTTGTGAGCGCGCTGCCCACCATGCAGGACTTCTTCTTTGTCGTTCTCATCGTAGCATGCTTCACTGAAGCTTCAGCATACTCGCCGTTCGTGATACCTACATTGACGACGCACCAACCGATTGGAAGCGGGAGCACGAACTTCTACTTCGTTGAATTCGACATCACATCCGACAACTCCGGGAAGCAGACCTCTGCGTATTGTCAGAAAAGTTGGGGCGACAATGGTTGGACTCGTCCAGAGCCATACAGTGTGAATGTTCCGACTGGGGAATGGTTTCGATGCGATTCCGAACGGTACTCGTATGATGGAGCCAGTGCTTTCTCCTTCCAACTATTCCCTCAATTCTCGATTGGCAATTTCTCCTTGAGCATCAAGGAGGATCTGGGGCCGGGCGTCAGGTAAAGAGGATTCTGTGCATTGCAATCTTGCTCAAGCTGACAAGCGCCAGTATTTCCGGGTTCCGCAGAGTCAAAAACGGGACTGATCAGTTCGTATGCGACATTAATCCGACAGAAGTGTTTCCAGCACAGCACGCCCACGGAGACTGCAGTATCCCGGAGAAAGCAAGCCCGTTCAAAATCTGGATCTCGCAAGCGGCAGCATGATCTGAGCTAAATTGGAGCTGAAGTCCTGCGAGAGCTCGATCGGCACAAGGGCTTGCAAAGCGAGTGCATGTCCACGCAGTCTATTTCTGTGGCTTTACGATGTATCGTTGGAACTTGTAGCCAAAAGCATTGAGTCTTCGCCGTGTTTCAGTCTTCGTTCTGTGCCGTCGAACTATGTGAGCTTGCTCCCTTCCTAGGCTCCGGCAAACGTAACAGAAATAGCGGAACCATGGCAACAATGGTGACGAGTGCCAGTACGAAGAACGGCAGGCCAACCCAGACTCCACCAATATCCATGCCCACTGAGAATAGCTTCGCGAAGGTAAGGCCTGAGTACATAGCTCCCAAGACATCAATCATGCCGACAAGACTGAATAGGGTCGAAGTTTGCTCCTTGTCGACGTATAGGCTCATGAGGCCCCTTGTGTAGCTGCTATAACCAGATCCGAGACTGAGTACCACCAGACCAGAGATGAAGCCTCCAAGCGAGAGCGAAAATGCGAGGCCTAGTGTCCCGAGGATTACGAGGATGAAAGAGAAGCGAGCGAGAACGAGGTCTCGCTTTTGCTCGTTCTCCGCGTGCATGATCTTCCAGGGATTGGCGTTCTCTCGGGATGCCAGAATGTATCGTGATAAAATTGGAAGGCCTAGCAAGACCATGAAGATTTGGACAGCACCAGATACAGTCTGCACGTAACCAGTGTTCTTCACTTGGATATCGTATCGCTTTGATACAAATTGCGGAAGGAAGACGCTTGTCGCTGGCGCTATTGGTTGGGAGAGCAGAGAAGTGACGAATAGCAGCGCCAGCCATGGGGATTTCAGAAGTGACAGACTTCGTCTGGCGTTGGCCAAAGTGCCTGAGAAGGACAAAGTCTTGGTTTGGTCTGGGTTGTCCGCACGTAGTGTCTCCGGTATAAAGATGAAGGGGATGCCGGCGGAGAGGAGTAGAGCAACTGCCACGAACAACAGTGGCCACGGCCCAACCAAGTTCATCAGAATTGATGCTAGACCTGGAGATGCGAGGTTGCCCAGCATGGCAACAACATGTATACGCATGAACGCGAGAGACCTAGCGCAACGATATTAGCAGCTATTATGTGTTGCTGTATCGTAATGCTGACCTTTCGTCTTCAGTCGTGGTATCAGTGGTGATACCAAAGAATGCCGCATTCATGATGGGTGTGCCTCCACCAATGAAGAGCCCCATAGCACCTAGCCAACCTGCCCAGAGTGGTAGTGCTGGATGGAGAGCGAGGACGATCATCCACCATACCAGTACGAGCGAGCCGCCTGTCAATGCAAGAACGACGACTGGCTTTCTGCCAATTCTGTCACATAATGTATCAGTGCCACGCTTGTATGATTAGCAGACGGCCGACGCCTCACCGATCTGCCACAATGCCCCAAGGGAGGGCAGCAGAAAATCCGCATATAGCATCACATGTTCCAGATATGGCAAGAAGGTAAGCAACTCTGGACTGCACCCAGCTGCTCTTACAGTCGTCCAGACTGGGAAGCAATTCGGTATCTTGCCCGCGGTCGCGGCAGACCGCGTCCTCCAGGAGCTGTGTGAGTGGCATCATGGAGAAGCCTCCAGCACTGGCGCCTAAGAAGATGCTGAGACACAGAAGCCAGGCCACCTTTTGGCTTGTCTGATCACTGATGGCAGCGGCATCTTGACTTGAGGAATCACCGATGAGACGAGTCCGCTCATCAGCAGCGTACTGACGTTCTTGAGGTTCCACCTCGCTGTTGACTGCTGCTCGAAGCCCAGGCATGTTTTCCTGCGTGTGCGTCGAGCGCAGGAACGGTAGGCTGCTTGGGGAGATGTCACTCCTTATCGTGCGTGTCCGTCTATCGCAAGGACAGCCGTCAAAGTAGTCGCCGACCGCATATCAGCCGAATGCCGGCAGTACACAAGCGCCATTTCGAAGCAGTGCTTGTACCTCCGTAATACGCTAGGGTTGTAGAACCGGACGGTCGGCTGCGCGTCAAATCATACAAGAGTGTGGGCTGTGTTTTGTATTCTGGAACGAACGAGGCAAAGCGCCCGGCAAGCGCTCGTCCATCTTGCTGCGGCTGAAGTGTATGTCCGGATATCGTCTTGACTCGGCGGGTGTTCGTGATGACTCTGTACAGATGGTGGCGCGCTCGGAGAACAGAAAGAGCTCTGGAATAATGTTTCAAGCATGGACGTCGTATGCCGTAGTATCATTTGACAGCCCACCTCCTCCCTCCGAACGAACCTTTCCTCCTCTTCACTGTCCAGTCTGGTCTCTTCTCCGATATGCATAGTATATGAGTTGAAGAGAACAATAGCGTCTGTTGATGCGTAAAGTCTCCCCGTTCAGCTTCCGCCGTCTGATGAGACAGGCGCCATGGAATGAGGCCACAGATCGCATTGAGCGCATTGTCAGCCCACGAAAGCCCACATTCAAACAAAGTCTCAGACGAAGCACAGAGAATGGTGTCAATTTATGGAACCTATCTGATGCGTTCCTGTAATACGTATGCATTGTTCCTTCGGACTTTCGAAACCAGTCCAAGAAATGTCCTCGATGCCGCCTACTGAGCACCACACGCAGGACTCCTCTTATCGTGTTTCCATCAAGGACATACTTCTAAACATCAAGAAATGCAGCTCGTAGGCCTCTGAGATGCGGGGCGAGTGCCATCGACTTCCCCATGCGGCAAGCTTGGTGCGATCGTACCTTGGGAGGAGCACCTACTAGCTCACAATAGCTATGCCCGCGTGAGAGCCCTCGGCAATATCGTAAGGTGTAAGAGGACTGCAACAACATCCCACGAAGCTCATCTCAATCAACAACTTCACTTTGAGCAAGAATCGAAAATGGCACAAGTCAAGGAGTATACGATCGACGTTCCGCAAGCCAAGATCGACCGACTGCTGCGCAAGCTTGACGATGCTGAATATCCTGAAGGCATTGAGGGCGCCGGGGATACCTACGGCTCTCAGGTGTCAGTCGAACGACAAGGCGGATTCAAACTCATTCCACTCGCTGACCTGCAGCAGCAAGGATGTCAAGCGCATAGCGGAGCATTGGCGCAACAAATTCGATTGGCATGTAAAACACCAAAAAGCTGGCAACCGCTCGTTCTAACAAGCCTAGGCGAGCACACGAGAAAAAGCTCAATGAACTGCCAAACTACGAAGTCCAAGTTGACGTCGATGGACACGGACCAGTCGACGTGCACTTGGTTCACCAGAAAAGCGACGTCGCCGGAGCCATCCCACTGCTCTTCGTTCATGGCTGGCCTGGATCCTTTCTCGAAGTGACAAAAATGCTCCCAATGCTCAAAGGTGGGAATGGCAAACCAGCCTTTCACGTCGTAGCGCCCAGCTTGCCGTAAGTCGAACAGATTTCAAATGAAACACTTGCTTACAATATCAGTAACTACGGCTTCTCCGGCCCCGCTCTGAAACCAGGCTTCAACATCAGATGCACAGCTGAAGCCATGAACAAAGTCATGCTCGCGCTGGGCTATGAACAGTACGTCACGCAGGGTGGCGATTGGGGGTTTCTTGTCACACGTGCCATGGCCCATCTCTACCCTCAACACGTCAAAGCCCACCATATCAATTGGGCCTGGGCCGGACAGCCTGAAGAATTCACCATTGGAACCAAAACTCAACCAGAACTCAGCGAGCGTGAAAAGAAGCAAATGGCGCAAGCCGAGAAGTGGAATCCTTTTGGAATGGTAAGCTCAGCATCATTCCACAACATACCAATGTTTACTCATGTGATCGCGATAGGGCGACGGCCGCGGCTACGTAGCAATGCAATCCACCCGCCCCCTAACAATCAACTACGCCTTCCGCGACTCCCCCGTCGCATTGCTCGCCTGGATCTGGGACAAACTCGTCGACTGGACCGACGACTACCCCTGGACCGAAGACGAAGTCTGTCTCTGGCTTTCCATTTACGTTTTCTCCCGCGCCGGCCCGGACGCTGCTTCATTCTTATACTATGAAGCTACGCACGATATGAAAGAAGTTCCATTGCCTGTTGTGCAGAGTTATATTAATGTTCCGTTGGGAATTGCGGATTTTCCGGTCGAGATTGCGAATATGCCGCAGAGTTGGAGATCTGGGATGGGGCCGATTGTTTTTCAGAAGTTATATGAGAAGGGAGGACATTTTGCGGGGTGGGAGAGGCCGGGAGATATTGCGGATGGGTTGGGGGAGATGTTTGGAAAAGGTGGTGGTGCGTATGGAGTTGTTGAGGGGAAGGATGGGTATTGATGAGACGGAGTTGATTGATGGAACAAGCAATTGTTTGGGTGTGCTATTTTTGCAATGCTACCACAGATGTACGGCTTATGTGCAAGACGACGCTTCAAGTCAAATCACACTAAATGTATTCTCCTTCGCTCAACAACAGATCTGTCATGCTATTGAGCGGGCTGACGGCCGTCTTGCTTGAATGACGTCCGGCTCGCCTTCTGCAGGTGCTCTACCCATGATGAGTTCCTTGTTGAAAGGCGCAGTCGTCTTTCTGTGAGGGACTGGCTCTTCTGTAGCCCAACGCCAGATGTTCTTGGTTGCTCCTTTTGTCGCAAACTCAATCAAAGGCGTAATGACAATTGTCACAAGCAGTAAACAAGCATAGCACACTGCTGCTGTGATCAATAGGATCGCCCAGTAAGGGAGACCCAGATCACTCATAGAGACAGCAACGTATGCACCAAGACTCCAGAAGATGAAGCCGTGCAGCACTGATCGCAGTTAGTATAGCTTCACGACTCAGAGATATGCCGTCACTTACAGTACAATGTCATGATGTGCGGGTGGAAGAAGGTCACCAGCTTGATACTCAAAGCCTTCTGAACCCAAACAGAAAGCTCAACAATAAGCTGTAATCCGAGACTAAAGGAAAGATGCGCAAACGTCGGCGCGAAGTATTCCGGATATGCATACCAGATCGAAGGTATTGTCTGATATACCGGCCTGCCAGTCGTAGTTTCCGGATGTATCGCGTTATCCCATGACATGAAAGAAAAGTAGTAGAACGCAGAGTTGAAAAGCAGTACCAGTGGCGTGGCGAGTGTAAGGATGGTCGCGAATATCAAAGTTGGGTAGAGTACCCAGGCGCGAGCTTGGATTTTACGTCTCCAGTCGTAAGTGATGTCCACATCAGCGAGCATCAGACCAAGCCAATGACATGCAGACCAGCTTGATCCATACCAGCCCATGGCGATGCTGAAAATGTAGAACGACATGCGCTTCCATGGTTTCTTGATGTCTTTGATCAGGACTGTTGCTAGGAGAACCACGAAAGAGAATTGAAGCTGAACGGGGATAGTCCATAGGACACCGACGCAGTAATTGTTGATTACTTCAGGTGGGTTGTTTGGGATGATGTAGCTCAGCTCCACCAGCTGGTTGAGGAAGATGCCAAAGTTGCCTTGCGGCACGACATATGGCCAGACGCTGTAACTGACACTAGGAAGCCATTCCAGTCGTCCGGTCAAGCCCAGAGATAAGAGGAAGTATGTCAGAGTCATGAAGATGAAGACTGGAATCAACATTCGTGGTGCACGAAGCAACATCTTGTTCGCAATGTCTTCAAATTTGCCAGTCTTGAGGTATCGTTGAGCCAGAAAGCGACAAGAGGTGACGAAGAAAGGCCCAATCCACAGAGGAGTGAGAATGTAGGGGCCGAAAATGTACGACAATGTCCTGTCAGCTGCGAAGTGCATCGTGGAACCTTGAGCTTCAACGATATAAGGCCAGAAAGTAAGTGCAAAATGCCGCACGGTGACCATGATGCACGAGATAGCGACGAGGCCGGCCAGATAGTCGATGCGCTGTTGAGTCTGCGGGACCTTTGGTGCCTGCGGAAGCTGCTCTTTGACAGGCTCGGCCGTCGCAGCTCCAGTGAGAGCATCGGGCACACCAGTCTTCTCGTTCATGATCTTCCCCATGGAAATGTCATTGGGTGCCTCTGGCACTTCAACCGAGGGGAACTTCTCCTTGAGACTTTTGTGACTTCTGATACTACGAAGACTCTTATGACTCGCGCGTTTTGGAATAGCATCATCGAGATCCATGAAGCTCATGCGCTTGCTGTCTCCGGTCATATGGCCGTCTTCAGCCCAGCCACGAGGTGGCGGAGGCCAAAGGCTGAAGCCTCTGACTGGGCTGAGCGGGCGAATCTCATCACGATCCTCGTCGTCATCGTGGTACGGACTTACTTCTCCAGTGAGCTGACGAAAGGCTTGTTCTCGAGGGCTGCCGGAGGAAGAACCAATCGAGCTTCTGCGGGTGTCACTGGCACCAACAAGATCGGAAGACGCCCTCGAACGTGAGTCAAAGTCATCTTCAGCCTCATCTTCTCGCAAAGGATCGGCGAAAAGAGAGACTGCAGGATGTTCCGACGATGCAGGAAGCAATACACTGTCAGGCGTTCCACGCGAATCCTGAGCTCGTGGAAGTGGACTAGAGGAGCTTCGAGAGTGGCCAGGCATCCAGCGACCATTCGCAGATCTAACACTCCGAGCTGGTGTAAGCATTCCCTGTCCTGAATCATATGCAGGAAGCGGTGTCGCGGACCCAGAGTCGCCTTGGGAAGAGTATAGAAATGGGTATGGTACGTGGTTCTCGCCTCGAGAGGTGTAGCCCGGTGCTGGTGTCTCGAATCCAGATGCGGTGGCACTGCCCAAGGTCATGTACGGAGCCTGAGTCGAAAGCGGGCGTGGAAATGCCATACCCATGTTGGAGCCGAGCGAGTCTCGCAGAGACCTTCTCAGTGCATTCGTGGAGTGTCGCTTCGTGCCTGGGATCTCGACTTTCTTCAGCTTGTACCAAGGCCCGCGTCGAATCAGTGCATTCAGTATGGCTGCAGCACCGAAGAAGCTGAAAGCGGCGGCAACGAATCCAGCTGCGTCACGCAGCCCGCGCTGTCGTAGTGTTGCCTTCCATGGACGTGTAGCGGCACGAGAATACTCTGTTGAGCCGCGCAGAGAGATATCGTCAATTGAGCATTGTCTTGCAGTACTACATCTCTTGTCGTAGGCGCTATGATCGGAACCTGTCATCAATGAGCTGTTGAAGAAGGCACGGATCCATCTCACGCTGCCATAGGAGCCATTCAGTGGTGGTCCTTGCATATAGTTTCGATCGCCAGTTGACCAGTGGCTGAAGTAGAAAGTGCCAGGTGTCTCTGGTATAGCTCTGTCATCTTTTGTGATATGTCGAGAATTATTTCCGTTGATCCAGAAGTCCACAACTGTCTCGTTCCAATCGAATTGCAGCTCCATGAAGTCCCACGGCGATCGTGGAGGGAAGCCAGGTGCAGTACCGTTTTCGATGTCGGTGTAGTTGACCGCGAGGCCATATGATGGATATTCGCCATTTACAGTCTGCATGACCCGAGCAAGGCTGGCATTGTTCATGCTGAGTAGATCGAGCTCCACATCCTGTGAGCTGTTGTACTTGACGTACATCGACATTGCACTGCCTCCAGCCCACGGCTGCGCGGATCGCATCTCGCTGCGAAAAGTGCCATACTGAATGTCTCGACGCATGGAACGAAGCTCGGCTCCAACTGAAAGGTGATCGTATCGAAGGGGAGGATCCAGAATCATTTGCATGCTCGGTGTTGTTGTGTTCAAATCCTCCTGCCATTCCCACGTTGCATTCTTGCCAAATTGAATATTGACTGGACTTGCGCCTTGCGGGAATATGGTATTCCATCCTCGCTGGTTTTTGTTACGAAAGCTGCGCACTTCGAACACATGCTGATCGACAGACTGTGTTTCGTTGAAGTACAGTATAATCGACTCGGTGAAGACTTCCTGCGTCCTTGGGTCCCGAAATCCGCAAGAGCAATCGCTCGATGATGTGACGTTTTGCGCGCTGCTGCTGACCACCTGTGAGAAGAAGAGAATTGCTAGAGTGGTCAGCATACTGATCGTTGCTGGCCGTTCGCCACACGTGACGATATAGAGGGACAAAAGAAAGATTATGAGCAAGGAGTAACGTTTCTTCAGAACGCTGAGACGAGGATCTGGGTCCCATGCAGTTTCCCAGCATCCACTCGTGGCAACCAGGTGACAGTAAGCCACAGCTGTCCAGATGATGATGATGCTTCTCGGAATAGGCAAAACGGCGAGCAGACGCAGGATCCGAGTATCATTCTTCAACGATGTGGGGAAGGCCAACCTCGCCAATGCCAGCCATATGGCATAGCACGATCGAGGTACTGAGCTCAGAGCATCAGGCTAGCGCAGGAACAGTCTGTTTCGCGGGACTGAGACCGTAACCATCACTTCGTGCTCGTGGCATTTGAATTATGGTGGTGCCAGAGACATCGTTGGCGTATGTCTCAGTTGCGCCAGCAGTAATCATCCGACCAGGAACTCGTCCAATATTGAGGCCGCCTATGTCCCGCTTGAGCTCATACTGACTGGATCATAGACTAGCGAAGTGTCTGAAGTCTATCCTTCCTGTCGTTGCTTCACAGCCTCACGATACTCAGTTGGCAGGCTGATGTGTTTCAGGCGTGACGTGATGTATTATCTTCAATCTGCGGGTACCAGAGTGGCAACGCGGCACATGACAGGTCGCTGATGTCGATCGATTTTCACGGATACGGTGTGCTGTGTGAGGACCTTGCTGATGCATAGAGCAGATTCTCGGTGTTGAAGTCGCGGGTGAGGGAGATTGTGGTCAGCTGGAGAAGACGCGTGGGAAGGCAGCATATGGCCAGCCATTTGACGCCCCTGCAGCGACAAATGCAGGAACACAGCAGGCCAATGCAGGTCCAAGTATAAGAAGCAGGGCGACGACGTGGCCGCAGCTGCAAGGTACAACGCATGTTGGTGGTGAGAACAGAATGTCAAGTGTCAACAAGGGCAGTGGCGAAAGTTTGATTTCGATTGTGGGCGATTGAAATATTGATGTAAAATTTGATGCACATTCAGCTGGCAACACAACGCCTGCCGTGCCGCCTGATTCCAACCAGCGGAACACATTTTACAGATCAATCCACTAGCCATGTGTAAGTCTTCTTGGCCAACCAGATTGAAGGTGCATCGATCAGTCGGAAGAACACTTCTGCAAATACAGACACAGCCAGGAAGCCAACAAGGAAGACCACGCCATTGGCACTTGCTGTAGAGAGGCCTCTCTCGTCGTGGAGGACCAGCCAAAGCTTTATCCCTCCTGTCCAGAAGAATATGCACTGCGCGACGAAAATGCCTATGTGCCAGTATTAGCAAGATGCGAAGCCGCTGAAATCACGAGGAAGGTACATACTGAATGATCTCTCTCCCAAGTACACCAGTGGCTTGAATGAAAGGTAGTACTGCGCATTCTCGAAAAGCTCAAGTGCGAGCAGAATACCGGTGATGACAAACCAGTCGTCCAGTCGAGCATACGGCCCAGCCTCAACGGTCGTGCTAGGCGAGTATCTGGTGGAGATGTCCAAGTATGGATGCAGCACCAATAGCTTGTCCATGTACTGCGGCCGCACGATAAATGCATACTTGAAAGCGATTCCGATTGCGAAAAGCATTGGAGCAATAGCTGCGTAAGGTATTCTCCAGTCGTCGCGGACTTTCAGGCCTGCTTTCAACTCTACCTTCAGTGTTGCATTGATTGCCAGGTCAGCGAAGATCAGTCCCGTCACCGAGTACCAGCCCCAGTAACCCATCCAGAAAGAACCCAAGGCGAAAAGGCCTAGGCCGGAAATGTGCCATTTTGGTCGCGCGAAGGGCAGAATGACCATTAAAAAGTAGACAGTATATGACTAAAGTTCGTTAGCCATGATGCTCTGTGGATGTGAATGGAGTTGTCTACCTGGAAGTAGATGATGGAAGGAACCCAAAGTGTTGCCGTGGGCCAGAACATATTGCCTGCCTGTTTGTAGTGATCGTAGGTCAACCAAAAGAGGTTGAACAGCGAATTGAATGCGGCTCCACCATCGTAAACCGTCGTCGGTGTCACGATAGATTCGTTTGGTAGCTTCTGCTTGAACTCGTTGATATATTCCACTCCTATGCGAGAGAAGATGAGAGTCGCCAGTCCAGATCCGGCACACAAGATGACTACCATTCTCACATTGCGGCGAATGATAGTTGCAGCGTATGACTGTCCCGTAGGGTTCGTCAGAAATGACACAGCTATAGTTCTCATGGAAAGAATGATGAAGAAGTTGTATACGAGGCTCTGATTCCATAAAGGCACACTGAGGATTTCTCTCAATAGATCCTGATAGACCGGACCAGGCGTATCTCTCGAGACCAGAGTTGGTATGAATGTCTGGAAGAATGTCCACATGAAGCTCTGAATGACCAGTACTCCGCGAAGGCCAGTGATATAAACGTGATGCTTTGATCGATCAACGGCGAAGACATCCTGGATGATACCGGCAGCGCCAGTTTTACGTAGAGCTGGAACGTCAGCAGAGTCGTCACCTGCGCTGAAAGAATTCGACGAAGACCGATCTCTGCTGCCGGAAGACTTCTCCATGCTTGTGGTATTGTGGTCGAGATTTTCTTCGAATTTGGTGGAATCACTTGGCGCCATTTTGGCTGTTGTCTCTGCTGTCGCCATTCTCGAGGGACTCGTTCTGGTGTCGTCAAGTGCCATGGGCATCGGCGTAAGCAAGGATTAGCGCCTTCGACATATGATTTGAATGCTTCAGCAGAGGAGTTGGGCCGTCGACCTGTGGCCACTGGGAGTCGCTGGATCGTCCTGTGGGAGAGGAAGCCCGCCACGAGTTCTAGATGCAAACTTCGCGTATGGCAGGCTGAGCATTGCAGCTCAACAGACTGATCGCGGGATGCTGCTCACGAGCATGTGGGCCATCGATCCGTGCGTCTAGCATGTCTCGCGGAATTCCAGCCTCTGCCAAGTCGCTGTCACGCGCTGAGGCTATGCCCGGGTACGCGAGGTCCGATTGTGGTCGACATGGTCTGCGGAGTCCAGTACTCGCTGGCAAGCTTCGATCGTGGTGAGACAAATGTCACGTCTGCGGAAAATAATGATGACAGAATGGACGTGGTTTTGGGCGAAGTTTGGTACGCTTCATTGAAGCTACCGGGTATGACTTGAAACAACATGAGTTCGTTGCGGCTTGCGAGGATGGTACATTGGCGCTCGAAGGAGTCTGTGGGAAGAGATTCAGACTCTCGTAGATGCTTCTTGATCCGACGGCCTTCTGATGATGTTGATGGACTGGGCGTGCATGCAAAAGCGAGTTGAAGTCCAAGTTGAGATGGTCGTCAAGCGGCCTGCAGCCTGAGGCCGAAACGACGCGTTTTGCTGCTTCCTCTCGACAACGTCCCGTCTCCGTCCTTCATTCTCGCGTCAACACGGCAGAAGTGTCTCAAACCGCCCAAACCATCGCAAAACAAGTGTGTACCTGCGCCGCCACGTTCCTTCTGCAGCCTCAAGACCCACTGGAAGGATGCGCCTGACCTCACCTCCTCCACTACTCGGCTCAGCCTGTGTCGATGGTGCCAGCTCAGTATCGAGCCTCGAGGCCGATGCGGAGTCGAGGGCGGGCAGCATGGACGATCTTGGTGCATCTAGACAATGATGAACATGCCGAACCTGTCGTGCGATGAGCCATGCGACTGGATCGTCATCCTAATTGACACGATTGATATCCCAGTTGATCCGGCGATGTAGCATTTCGCTTTGACGCATATGCATGCAGGTACTGCTATTCACTCTCACCTCACCTATCTCTCATCTCTCCGTCCTCAATCGCCTGGCGCGGTGCTGCTGGCAGCATCCCTCATCACCTGGTCCCAACACATCTCATAACAGCGTGCAGATCTTGAACAGGAACAACGATGCATTCGTTCCAGAACGTCCTACCAGTGAGCCAGCACGATGCTGCCCGCTCGCAGTCGCAAGCCTCGAAAACATCGGCCAAATCAATCATCTCAGCTGCCACCACAACCGTAGCGAACAAGATCCGAGCAGGAACGCTGGCATTCTCGGACTGGCTACTGGACACTACACCTTTCTTCTTGGTCTCTACATATTTCATAGTCACAACAGCCATCTTCTGCTTCTGCAATGAAGCAGCAATCAAGGTCTTCTACTTCTTCTACATGTCAGCGAATTTCTACATTGCAGCATGCTGCGTAGTAGAATCATTCCTCGGCCTGACACCGGTGCGAGACGCGCGCAAAGCCGCCATCGCAGTAGAAGAAAGCGGCCTCTTCCCCAGCGACCTCAACGGAACAGTCAAAGATCTCCCCACAATCGACATCGTCATCGTCGCATACCTCCCCAACGAACAAGAAATCATCCGCAACCAAGTCCTCTACGCCTGCGAAGAGCTCCTCTACCCCAAAGAAAAGCTCCGCATCAACCTCGTCTACAACACCCCCAAACCCATCGAACCCCTCGAAACCGAACTCGCTCAACTCCCCACCATGTACAAAAACCTCAAAGTCATCAAAGTCCCCGGCTCCAAATCCAAAGCCGACAACTTGAACTACTTCTTCTCTCTCCGCTCCACCGCCCAAATCATCGGAATCTTCGACAGCGACCACTGCCCTCACCCCCACAACCCCCGCTGGGCCGCCGAACGCTTCCTCTCCGACTCGTCTGTCGACATCGTCCAAGGCCGCTGCATAGTCTACAACACCTCCGAATCCTTCTGGGCACGCATGATCGCCATCGAATTCGATAAAATCTACGCCATATCCCATCCCGGCCGAAGCCGAATGTTCGGATTCGGACTCTTTTGCGGTAGCAACGGATACTGGAAAGCTCCTCTTCTCCGAGAACATAAAATGCACGGGGATATGTTGACGGAAGATATTGATTCTGCGCTGCGAGCTTATGGAAAGGGGAAAAAAGCTGTGCATGATATGAATGTTTGTTCGTTTGAGATGGCTCCTAATACTTTTCAAGCTTTTTGGAAGCAACGATTACGATGGGCTCAAGGATGGACGCAGGCGAGTTGGAAACATAAGTCGCTGGCTTGGACGAATCCTCCGGATGGGAAGAAAAGAGATTTCGATGAACGATATGGTATCGTTTCTTTGCTCGCCGTTCGAGAAATCAGCTATTATCTCGTCACGATACATACCTGCCTCTTACTCAGTTTCATCATCGTCGGCTGGCCATCCAACGTTGCGGAACTGGTCAAATTGCTGTTTTTCCGGTATCCGATGGCAGAGTGGTTCTTGTTCGCGACGATTATTGCTTTGATTTACACATTGTATTTCACAGAGAAAGTCCGATCGGAGTTTACGAGTTGGTGGGATATGGTGGTGTTTTGTATCATTTATGTCCCATACTTGGTACTCATGGCTACTATGGGATTGTATGGACATGCGAGGCAGATGATTCGGTATTCGAGTTGGAATCCGACGGCGAGGAAGTGATGAGACAGACTGGACCGGACACAAGCAATCAGCTCTCGTATATCTTATTACATTGTATATCACATACATCCATCAATCTAAATTGACTTCACACAATTGGTACAGTATACCTCCATACGCCAGTCACTTGTGTCGTGACAAAGATCCCTGCCCTCCCCTCTTCCCGGAGGAGGTAATATGCTTCAGCCCCACCGGATGTTTAGGGCAACGAAGCCCTACCTCCTCAATAGAGTTTTGAGTGGATACAATCAACCTCACCTCCAGATTCCAGATCCGATCAAAAGGATTTCTGTAGCCCTCCACAAAGCCCTCAGGGCTAATACAGGAAGGTGTTTTCCAGGCTGCATCGCATGAAACCTTCTCCTTGGCGAATGAGCTTTTGGTACAGTAGTATCCGCGGCACGCGCGTATCTTTCCTGTGCCCTGGCCAATGCTTCGTTACAGGACGTCGGGTACCTTGATCTCGTTGACTTTCATGACTGGGACAATGTGCTCCGTCACTTCTTTGCCTTTTTCTTTTTCCCGCTACCAGATTTTTCAGGATCAGCTTCGCCCTCATTCATCTCCACATCTTCATCGGGGCCACCGCCGCCAGCAGCTTGATCATCATCGGTGATGCCAAGTGCAGCTCTCGCTCTAGCACCACCACGTTTCCGTAACTCGCCAGTGACCCCGCGCAAAGCAGGTGGAACTTCTTTGCCAGTTTTCAGGTACCACAACTTCAAATTCCGAGCTTTGTCTTTAAGTTGCACTTGATTCCTGTCTTTGAGAACTTCGCTGACTGAACCACCTCTCCCGTACAATGCGAGGATTTGTGACCAGTGGGGACCATTGACGCGCTCCAGGCCAGAAAGCAGAGCGTCTTCCTCTGGTTTTGTCCAGGGTTGGCGGACTGTTGAGGCAGCAGTTGCACCTTTCTTTCCTCCAGCGCCATCGCCAGCTTTGCCGTTGACTGCGAGACCTTGTACAGCGGCGAGTGCGGAATTGGCGGCACTCCCGGCTTGGCCATTGATCTCTGCATTTGCGCCTTTGGAATTTGCAGTGGCTTGAGAACGAGCGGGTACGTTCATGATGCCGTCGACGTTCTTCGTAATGCATGACGCGAATTCCCGCACAAAATCACCCCATTGATATTTCTTGGGCAGTTCTCGCAGATTCTCCTCCGTCCTCGGTTCAGCGAGAAGATAGCTCTTGCGAGCTCGACTTCGATCGATGAAGTCCTGCTCACTGGGAGATAGACTTGGTGCATCGGGATGCCGTGTTAAGATCTGGGCGTCGAGGTCTGGCGGGAAGAGTTCTTCGAGCATCTCTTCGGGGTTTCCATCACTATTCATAAGGGCAGATATAAATGTTTGAGTCTTGAGCTCAAGGTATATCGCTCCCTGCCATTTCAACAGGCGGTGACCAAGCGGCACAAATGTCTCCATGAATAATTCGTTCAGGTGGAAGAAGCTGACATCGTGTGCTCCTAGTATGCTCGAAATGAAGGTTGCGATGTTGGCTTTGCGGATGATCTCTTGTTGCGTGGGCTGGAACATTTGTATTGCAATGGCATCGATGAAGGGTGTCTCGCGACTGTATACTTTTCGGGTTTGATCGAACAGGTTCTTCAGCGTCCGATATGCTTGGCCGTCCTCGGAGCCGTCGCTCCGCATCATGTCTTGTATTTGTGGATAGCTTGCTTTCGAGATGGTATGTATGAGTTGAGTGGCCAGATTGTCGAGAATGGGTAGACTTTGGATCTTCAAATGCATGCCAGCGTCGTCGAAGTAGAAGGACGATGAATCTCTGTGCAGTGCACCAGAGCCAGCGGCGCCTGTCATAGTCAGCAGGATGTCACGAAAATGGACGAGCTAATGAACCGTATGCCTGATACTGGGCAGCATTGCCTCCTTCCGAGTAGTTCAGTGTAGAGGCATCGAGGGCTTCGGATATCGCGGCAGCAGTTCCGGCAGTAGACGATGGAAAGTACGGCATCGTTGTTGAGGCCGACGACTCTCCTCTCGAGAGAGTGGTTGTCGGAGCAGAAGGCAGGCCGGCGTGGGACTGCGAGTCACTTGTAGCAGGCCACGGACCAGCGTTGGCAGCGGTAGAGGTCTGTTGTTGGTAGAAATAGGGTTGATGCGAGTATTGGGCCAATTCGGGATAAGTCGCTGGATCGGCGTGCTGCCAGTGCGAGCCCTCACTCAAGCCCTGGGGAGGAGGCGGAGGCGGGTGGTGGTTGCTGTGATTGTACTCGGCTCCCGATGCCGCATACGCCGAAACGTCCTGCGCTGGGGCAAATGGGTGTGCTGGTACGGGAGCTGCTGCTGCGGATGACGAGGCTGCGTGATGATTCTGGGATGCATCGTGCCACGGAGGGTAGGCGTCTGCAGCGCCGCCGTTGGATCCAGCAGCTCCCTCCGCCGCGGCCGCATCGTCCACTCGCCGCCGCTTGGGGTCTCTGGGCACGCTGCTGCTGTTGCTGCTGCTATTCTCCCTCTCGGACATGATTCCCGGTGCGTGCGGGTACGTGGCATAGGCTGGCGGGAGTTAGCGCTGGATGTCTTCTCCTCTCCACGCACGAGCGACTAGGGCAGCGCATGGCCATGATATGGGCCTGGCTCCCCGAACGAGGGAGGGCAGCGCGCGCAGATGCAGCACTACTCCCGAACTCACCTGCGGACTGCATCCTGGCTGGCTGCAATTCGGTGGCGGCCGCAATCCTGAGCCCTAACTGCCCCAGCCCTAATTACACGCCGCTATCCGGCGAGCTCGGCGTCGCGCTCGCGTTTCGAGTGAATGGCTCGTCGGTAATCGTTGGCTCTCGTGCGTTGCTGGCAGAAACGGTCACATCAGGCGGAGCAGAAGTGTGCCAGTCTGGTCCGTCGTTTCCTGTGCTGGAGTTTGCCCAAGGTGTGAGGTTCAAACGACTCATTCAAGACCACGCGCTTGGCCAGTGCGATGCTTTGCACGTTCCCCGTCAGGGCTGCTTATGTAACAACCGCGCCAGCGAACTTCATATGGAATTCCCCACTGCCATTTCTACCTTTTGCAGAACACAAATCTTCAACAATCTCCATGCACCACACGGGAAACTCCGTTGCTCCTCTTGCAAAGCTATGCTGCACCGAGCCGTTCGTCCTTTCTCTTGTGACCTGCAAACGCAACTTGCCGCTCCACTGAGCGGACCGGTCGATCGACCCTCGATCACCCATGTCCACTTTCTCGGCAGAATAAAACTAGCCAATGACGTCTTCTCAATCACGGCACACTTCATCCAGCCCTGATCAACCCATAGCAGGGCTACAGCGATAGCTAGTTAGGGCACGCTCCGTGATTAACTGCACCTCCCCGATCCTACCTCTGCATTCATTGCTGCGTCAAACACGTTGCATGCAATCACATGCGCTGGCACGTACATCTCCCATTCCCGACACACGCGTCGTTGCACGAGTTTCCAGCACCGGGAGAAAACGCAATGCCAACCCACCGATACTTTAATTGATCGAAGCTGCCTCTATTTTCCGCCCGCCACTGCAATGATCCTGCCTGATGAGACACTGCACCATACATGAACTTGCTGTGCTGAGAATCCCAACTTGAAGATGGAAAATAGCTATGCTATCGAACGACTGAGCCCAGCCGTGTTTCCTAATGATCAAGCAACGAGTCATGTAGCCCCCGATCAGCCCTACCTCTTAAAGTCACGAAAGCGTTAACAAGCTCCAAAGATGGAACAAACTTCCCCGGCCGCTTCATCGGAAAACTGAATAATGAGCAGAAACATCCGCCAGGCTCCAGCACTCTTTGTCCGAACCCTGGCACCCTGCAGGGCGCGGAGTCCACACACGTGCCACGGTGCCGTCGCCACATAATTGAATCTTCATCCAGCATTGAAAATGCTCTGTAGCCAGCTTTCGTATGTCCAATTCTCTCGAGAGAACGTAATGTGGGCATGTTGTTATTGGAAAGTAACAAATGCACAAGAAACAGCTCTCGCCAGAGGAAAAGTCTTACATGCCAAATCCCTAGCTACCTTATTCACCAGTGCTACGTCCTCATGATCCGCCAGATCCAGGACGATAAACACTACATAATGATAGTTACACAGTACTGCCTCGGTCTTACCACTCCCTAGCATGCTTTTCCATCATCGAATCGCGTATGGTGAGCTTCCATCGTCCCTGTCACGACTGGCTCACCGTCTTCTGCGATGAGACTGACCTCCCAACACCACCAAGCGATTCGAGGGACATCCCAGAATGGCGGATCCTCGATGAAATGACTGTCCTTGATAAATGAATGACCAAAATGTGTCATACGAGGACAAGAGGGCAGACTGTGCTTCTAGCGCCGCGCGTATAAAGCTTCATCGAACGGCCGACGTCCGGGCACTTCGGTGGGACTTCTGATCTGCTGGGCGTGAAATCCTGGCGGGAGATTGGGAGGTCCTCCGAAGAATCCAGGAGGGGACATTGGTCCAGCATTGAATCCAGGTGGCGCCTGCTCACGCTGCTGCGGGAACGTATTCACACTGGCAAAACCAGGAGGGTAGCGTGGCATCTGATTGAAGCCTGGAGGCGGAGGTGCGCCGCCTCCAACGGGAGAAGTGAGTTGATGGAAATCCGGCTGGCTGTGCTGTTGGGGTATGTGCATCTGCTGCAGTGCAGGATGGCCAGACATGCGCCGCGGGGGCTGCTGCTGCTGCTGCTGCTGCTGTTGCTGCTGTATCTGCTGGCGTTGGGCTAGTTCAGCGTACTGCTGCTGGCGGCGAAGTTGGGCTTGTTGTGCTTCTCGCTCCGCTTGCTGTTGAGCCTGCTGATGGGCTTGACGTTGTTGCTGTGCGAGCATCGCCTCCTGTTCCGGGTTGTAGAAGCCAGGCGGTGCGCGAGGTTGTGGACGTTCTTGTAGTTGCTGCATTTGCTCGTGACGCTGTTGCTCAGGTCCATAGTTTCTCATCAGCTGCTCCTCGAACAGACCCGGTGGCTGCTGTGGGCCGCGCGGCTTCGGTGCGAAGGTTTGGATTGGTCCTTGTGGTTGCAATGGCTGTTGCTGTTGAAGCCATCGCTCCAGCTCGACCTGATCGATACCGCCATTGCTCGGGATTGCCTGCTGTGATGACGGGCGAGACGGCTTGGGGTTCTTTAGCAGATTGAGGAGATCTTGGCTTTGAGAGCTGGTCGTTTGTGGCCGGTGGCGTGGTTGCTGTGCGAGGAGATCTTGTATGTTTCTATCAGGCGATGCCGCACCTCGTGAGGGCGGATCGAATCTGTTGTAAAGATCGCTCGGCCGACCAGATGTTGGGCGTGGCTGCTGCTCTCGAAGTGCATTGAAGGGTATGCCAGTGGGTTCGGGTGACATCGTAGACTCTGGAGCCTGTGTTCGAGCCAGCTGTGAGTGGCTTGGCTGTCGTTCCGGCTGCTTGTTGCTGAGTATTTGATTAGGACCATCTGAAAGACTGCTGTGTGAGTTGGCCATGACGCTGTCGCCGGGTAGAGGCGGACTGCTTTGTTGCGGTGACTGCAACCGCTCAGGATTCTTGTCCTGTGCGAACATATCGGTGAATCGGCTCTTTCGCCCTCCTGGCAGAGTTCCGCCGGAGGTCATGCTCTTCGGCGGAGGTGGCGGTGACGTCGGGACGGGTTCTGCGTACGATGGAGTGAGATCTCGTGATGACTCTGGTGCAGATGGTGCTTGATTGATCTTAGTTCCACCAAGCATTGCAAGAACGCGATTAAAGCCTTCCTGGTCCTCAGCTGTCTTAGATCCATTGGCAGCTGGTGGCGGCTGAGGCTCTTCGACTGGAGCTGGCGGTGGCGTCGGCTCGGCGGGTTTGAACATGGAAGCAAATCGGCTGGTCTTGCCCTTCCCAGGCGCTTTGATGCCAGAAGATGCTGTCGCTGCCGAAGGGGTGATAGTGCCGGGCGTGGTGATTGCTGCCGCAGCACCGAAGCCACCGAAGAGACCACCCTCGAAACCATCAAGCTTAAGAGTTGGTTTGACCTCCACTGCTGCAGGTACGCTTGCAGGCTCTGTGATGGCAGCCTCTTCTTTCTCCACCTTCGGTTTGCCGGCCATCTGTCTCTTCCACTCCTCGAAATCGTCTTGCGTTCGTGCGGTAAAGCCCAGCTCTTGATCCTTCTTCACGACCGGGTCATCCATCCACTCGGGCTCCTTCTCATAATGGTCACGATCGCGTCGAGCGGCCTCGCGCTCACGCCAGCCACCGCCTGTTCGATTGCCATTGGGTCTGTCCTCTCTGCTCCAGCGCGGATCGTCTTTGTGACCATAGCCATTGCGGCGCTCGCCGTCGTTGTCCTTGTCGTGTCTGCCGAAGCTTCGCTTCTCGTCTTCAAACTCTCCTTGTTGTCTCCTCTCACGAACACCACTCCATCGATCCTTCGTATCCGCCCCATCCTTCTCAGGTCCACGGCGATTGAGCTGACGATCAGAGAAGAATCGGCTGCGCATAGAGTCCGGCTCGTCACTGTTCGCGGCATCTGTACCGTTCTTGTCGTGGAAATCGGAGAGCTTCGAGACATTTCTACTGCTCGGGAACATGTTCCGCGGAGGTCCCAAGGAGACATCATCTGCGCCGCACGTTAGAGGGCTCGCCCATTGCGCCAAAAGCTCAATACTCACCGCCACTAGCATTCCGCAGCGTGCTGCCCCTCGAGGTCAAGGTAGGGCGACCGGTGCTGAATGCGCCCATCGGACTGCCCTCAGCCGCTGCAGCTCCAGCCAACCCTCCTCGCGTCTGTCGTCCCTTGCCGAGCGCGCCATCGTTGCTCTTGTGGCGCTCGTGATTTGCAGGTTGTGGTTGTTCACTATGGGCGATCCTTAGCTTCTCCCTCTTGCCGTCTTGCTCGAGGTACACATACTCTATCCACTGCTCGATGGCAGGAAGGTTGTCGGGCCGACTAACAAGCTTGCTGGACGACAGAGCAATGAGTTCTTCTCGGGTATAGCGGCGGACTGTGGCCATTTTCGGAAGAGTCGAGTGCAGACTCGCTCACGCGTGGTGTTGTTGTCGTGATCGAAAGAGCTGCGCCGAGCGGGGTGCTCGAGCAGACGCTCGCGAGCGCAAGCCAGCCGCCGCTGTCGACGTTGGCGCAGCTGGACGAACAGCAGATACAACTCCCTCTATGGCTTTTCGTACGCGGAGAGCTCTGTGATGTCTGGCGACAGCGCGGCTTGTATTGGGTGCGCGCGTGACTGGTGGCCACAGCACCGGATGACGCTGGGCGGTCTGCAGAAGGGCAGTGGCCGAGGCAGGCAATGCTGCGGGCGCAGCTGTCGAGATGGCGGTGGTTGTAGGTATGTAGCGGTGGTGATGGCGGTGTTGCTGTCGGGGGTTTGGTGCTATGACGCGGCGTGGTGATGGGCAATGCTGTGGGTGGAAGTGTGCAGCTGGGAAACTTGTCTAGAGATCCATGCAATGTGTGGAAGACCCTGATTCAAGCGATGAAGCTGCCGAAGATTGATTGGCCCTTGTGAATCGCTGTTGTTCGCTGTTAACGATGCACGACAGATTTGGAATGTGTTCGAAGTTCGTGGAGTTGGAGCACATGTCTGGCGTAGATGGTACAAAAAGGGCGTTCGAGTGCCTCGTGGAAAGAGTGGTGCGCTGCGTCATTTAATGCTGTGCCGCGGATCTCACTTCCCGATGCTCATCAAATTCCAACACCGCTAGCTAATGCAGCACAACTCTATGGCTGTTCAGTTATTCTACAATGCCTTCATCTGCGGCGGTGAGCTCACTGCAGAATACTGTACCGTCACTGCAACGACTCGCCCCAGCCGTGCATTCTATCCCACGCTCAGAAAAAGTTGCTATTAGCATCATGACCTCCGTAATTCTGTCCAAACCCTGACATGGACTCGTTTCCAATGTTGTCAAGATCCATAAATTCCTCCAATCCCGAAGTGCCTGTGTCCACCCCATGGTCTCCAGATTCATCTGCAGTAGTATCGAAGCGCGGATCGATTTCGATGGGCTCAGAGCTCTGAAGCCCCGGATCCACGTTGTCTGACTGTGGAGGCTGCACTCCGTCCTCGATTTTGGTTTGCGGAGGTATAGACGCGCCAAAGGCTTCGCGACGCGTCTCTTTGCGGTTATTCTCGCGCGGCAGACGTGGCAAATTTTCCTTGCGATTGCTATTCAGGCAGTCTCCACGACTGTTCATGTACAGCGAGGCCTCCTGAGTTTCGCCCTTCGTGAAAGTGTCGTGCCATGGCTGTGGGTGAAGGATGGGCATGATGATGGAGGCTTCGTACCATCGACCCTTGATGTCGTTGAGGTCCACGCGTTGTTGAGCACTGATGAGCTTCCAATAACTTGCAGTCCTCTTCACTTTGATAGACTGCGCGTTGCGGACTTGCAGATCTTTCTTCATCCTCTCAGGCAGATGTGGGTTGTTGTCAGCCGGTGTCGGCAGTGCAGGGTTCATGTGCTGCACAGTCGCCAAGGAGTAGACATCGCCGACAAGGTGCACAGTTTGCTGTACGAGTTGTTGGTTGGTGGGCGACACGCGTTGGCGCTCGACAATTGAAGTCAGCACCAGGATATCTGTGCCAGAACCAATGCTGAGTCGCACGCTTTCTCCACACCAGATCTTCTCTGCGCCGAGGAAGATACCGTTGTAGTGTGTTTCGACAACGTTCGCCTCCGGACGGGAGCTGTTGTTCTTTCCCAATAATGTATAGGAGCAATCGACCATCTTGGCTGCCATTATGGAGCCATCGACTTCGAGATCTCCGTTGCCATACTTCTTTTGCATAAGACCTTGCCAATCAGCGTTCTCGTAGCGTGGCGGATTCGGTTGATCGTTGAGGCCCACGTTGAGGAATCTAGGTACACTCCACGCCAACCAGGGCCGAAGTTCGTTGTGACCCTGCTTGACTGAGACTTGGGGGTGGTTGCCCGGATAGGACAGGGGCTGAACTGCATATAGCAGCGTGTTCATGTTCGTCCACCTGCGGACCACCACGCCAATACCCCAGGCTGGACCACGTGAGAACCAGACGAGTTCACCCGCACGGTATAGAAATTGGCCGTACTTGAGATCGAGCGCCTGATCCTGGGACTTGGGCGTAGGGAGAGGCGATGGTCCAGTTCGGGGCGGTGGTGCTGATGGTGTACGCTGCGGCGGAGGAACGGATCTGGCGCTTTGAGCGCTCAGCTGCGCTGTCATTGTCGCGAGCGACTCTGTCTCAAGCTTGACTGGTCTCTCTACCTTGGTCTTCGCGCCAGGTACAACGTTTTCCAGGTCTTCAGGCGAACAGAGTTTGCAGGAACAGTTGTCTGGGTCACCACTCTCGTCGGTGCAAAGCCACAGAAGATGTGGGAAGAAATCGTTCGGGCTACGAAACCGCTTCCTCCGTCCGGCAGGATGTCCGTACAGGTAGGCGTCCTGTCTGTCATTTTGTCCACCAGTGTGCGTCTTATTTTTGACCTCCGTCTGTCCATCACGCTCGGTTTTCTTGACGTGCTCGTAAAGCCGATAGTTCTCTGGCAGCGTCACCAGCATGTAGCCGTTATCTGTCTGGCGATAAGCACGGGAGATAGCCAGCCCGTTCATCTGATCTATCACATACTCACCAGCTCCGGACTTATCCTGATGCTGAAGCTCTCGCGCTAGCATGCCACCCAGCTTTCTGCGCCAGTCGACGTGTTTTTGCTCTTCTGGCTGCACCTCGCGGTAGAAGTCTGCAACGCCATTCTTGTCCGGCTTCTGATCGAGCTGGTCGTCCGTCGGCCTATTCAGTTCCGTCCGCTTGCCTTTGGCGATGACTTCCAGCTTGCCGTCGCTTCGTCGGGGATACAGTGGGTAGAAGCGCGCCATGATTGCGAATCGATCGCTTGGCAGGATCTCATTCAACTACTCTCGTGAGGCGCCGAGAGAGCTCCTCGTCCAGGTCGCGTGCTATGTCATGTTTCTTTGACGTCGCAAGGATGGAGGGAGGGCTGATGAATGAAGTGGTTCATGAGGCTCAAATTTAGGGTTTGGAAAGCCGGAGCACATCCCTGTGCAGATCATCGCGCTCGGACGCGTCGCGCGTCGAAGTCGAAAGTGCAGCGCGGCCGTTGCATGACACCCATCACTGACCCTCACACGTGCCATTGGCAATTGATCTGAAGCGCATGCAGTTGTTTTTTGCCCATTGCCTGCATCATCATCGTTTACTGGCGCACTTTCTTGCATATCGCCGGCGCGGGCAGGTGCATTCCTCGCAAACGCTCACCACCCCTGTCCGGCACGCCACCGCGTGAAAGCCCGGCATCAATCACAATTGAAGCAGAAAGAAAGAACGAGCTCCATAGCTCCTCCCCGCCATGGACAGTAACGTCGACCTCGACGACTTCGCCACCACACCTCCGCCCAAGCGACGGAAACTCATTCCCATCGTGACCAAGCCGTCACCGAACCGGCTGTCACAATTGCTTTCCATCTTTGGCGCTCGAAAGTCATTGACTTCAATCAGCGCAATGAATCGCGCCTCCGTCGGCGGCCATGGACTTAGGAATGCCACGGCTGTGTCCTACGCTGAATCACCAAGCTCCTCACCTCTGAGCTCACCACGGGCTACTTCAAGTTTCGAGTCTGAGGGACAGGACGACTGGGACGATGCCATGGACGGCGATGCGAGCGAAGACGAGTTGTCTTCAGAGGACGTGATCCATGGTTCGTGTGCCGCCGCCACTCAATTGCATGTACTAACATGGACTCAGCTGTCCCGCGGGGCTCGACTGCTGCACAGCAACTTCCATTGCCGGCCAGGTCGAGGAGAGGCAATGTGGACTACTCCCGCGTAGTACCAGCTCCATTGCAGAAGAAATCGTACAAGAAGAAGAGAGGCGCAAATCGCCTGCTCAAGTCCGACACCAACACCAGCGCTCCGGCCAAGGGTCACGGCGCAACAGCACGAAATCTCGTGCGTCAAGACATTGCTCTTCATACTAAGCCGAAGCGCGATGCCTTCCTTCTGGCTCACGCAGACTATTTTGAGCCACTTCTGCCTCAGAACAACTATATTTCCAAGCTAGCACGCACGCAAAATGAAGAACGCCAAGCCATCGTTGACTATGTGGAACTCCACGAACAGCCGGCAGGCGTTCAGGCAACGATGAAGCCATACCAGTTGCAAGGGCTCTCTTTTCTCGTTCACATGTTCGACAACGGCATGTCAGCTATCTTGGGAGACGAAATGGGCCTGGGAAAGACGCTCCAAACGTTGTCACTGTTCCAATACCTAACTGAGAACAAACCGACTACAGGTGAACACCGTCCCAACCTTGTCGTATGCCCATTGAGTGTACTGTCATCCTGGATCGCAGAATCGAAGAAGTGGGTACCCGGCATCAACGTGGTACGATTCCATGGCCCGAAAGCAGAGCGAGAACGCATCATGAAAGACTGCATGTCTCGCAAGACGCGCTCCGACAAGGCGCCGCAGCGCAGCAACGGTGAGGCAGACGATCGGATCGACCTTTTCGTCACCACATACGAGACATTCTGCGCAGAGGCGGGCTGGTTCAAGCGAGCTTTCGTATGGCGTTACTGCGTGCTCGACGAAGGACACAAAATCAAGAACGACAAGTCCGACATTGCTTCTGCGCTGCAAGGTCTCAGTGCGGAGTACCGTCTGCTGCTAACAGGGACACCATTGCAGAACAATTTGAAGGAGGCGTGGGCTCTGCTCCACTGGCTGCTCCCTGAAGTTTTCACCGATGACACTGGCGACGCATTCCGCAAAGCATTCGACTTGACGAAGGGCACTGTATCGACGTCCTTTATGAATGACGCCCGCCGTCTGCTGGAACTGATCATGCTCCGCCGCATGAAAACCAGCCCGGGTGTCAGTCTTGGTCTCCCGCCAAAGGAAGAGGTTCTCCTATATCTGCCGTTGACGCCCATGCAACGATTCTGGTACACGAGACTGCTTACTCGCGCCGACAATGCGACACTATCCGATCTTTTTGCGGGCGCACAAGACAAGGAAGCGGAGCTCTTGAAACAGGAGGGACAAGATGAACAACTTGCACTACTCGAGCAAGCTGGCGAAGCACTGACCAAAGCTGAAGACATTGACACCACCGGTGTGTGGGCTGAGTCAAAGGCTATCATGGAACAAGCTATGGAAACCCAAGACGTGGACAAGCGAAGCAATTCCTGGCAGAAGCTCATGAACCTCCTGATGCAACTACGAAAGGCATGCAATCACCCCTACCTCATACCAGGTGCCGCTCCACTGCAATACGACATTGGTGACCACGTCAAGAATGCCTCTAGCAAGTTTTTGGTCCTTGACAAGTTGATCGAAGAACTTGCTATCAAGCAAGGCAAGAAAATCTTGATATTTTCTGGCTTCACGCGTGTGCTGAACCTGTGCGAGGAGCTCTTCGCTACCAAAGGCGCCAACACCAGTACTGGTCCCTTCCGATTTGCGCGCCTCGACGGGGGCACGAGTCGTGCTCAGCGAAACTTGAGCATCCGACTCTTCAACGATATGAAGAGTGACTACAAAGTCATGCTTCTATCGACGAGAGCAGGTGGTCTTGGCATCAACCTCACCTCTGCCACCGACGTAGTCTTCCTGGACGAAGACTGGAATCCCCAAGTGACACTCCAAGCCGAAGCAAGAGCACACCGCATTGGACAAACCAAGAAGGTGACAATCTACAAGCTGTGCACTTCCGGAACAGTTGAGGAACAAATGATGGGGCGCATCCGAAAGAAGTTGTACCTCTCAGCCAAGATCACCGAGAGTATGCGCAACATTCATTCTAAAAACTCTTCCGCCAAGAAGCGCAAGCGCGAGTCGAGCGACCGAGCGACTGCAGAAGATGATGCTCCTCATCTCGATACCGCATCCTTGCAATCGCTCCTTCGTCGCGGCGCACAAACACTTGCGAGGCCTGAGGTGCCTGTCAACGAACTTTTATCATGGGATTGGGCGACGACACTCGAGAAGTGCAAGGACAAGCCCCTCGATGCCCTCATGGGCGGTGAAGTCGATGAGGTTGATGAGCAGCAGTGGTTGAACACAATGGAAAAAGTTGAGTGTGCCGTGTTCGAAGGCAAGAAGCATCAGAAGGAGCTCGACAAGAAGATTGAGGAGGCGACGGATTTGAACCGCGCTGATCGCCGTGCCGGCAAGAACACTACAGTCGAGATTGATGGCTTCATGATCAACAAAGAGTCCTTGAATTGCGCCGACTGGGAAGCAGTCCCGACATTTGCCGGCAAAGATCCTCGCTTGGCAGAGTACAAGAAGGAGAAGAAGCCCCCAATCCAGCACCAAGAGTTCTGCCAGTGTTGCTGGGACGGCGGCGAGATCTATACTTGCTCTGGATGCCCTCGAGCTTATCACACTGGATGCCTGGACAAAGAGTGGCAGGCGAAGATGAAGTCCACATTCCAGTTTCACTGTCCTCAGCACCAATGCCGGGATTGCGGTGGCAAGACGAGCGATGTTGGAGGCATGGTGTATCGCTGCCGCTGGTGTGAGAACGGCTTCTGTGAAGACTGCTTGGACTGGGACACAATGAAGCTCGTTGGCGACTCGCTGCCAGAGTTCGAGATGCGTGGCTTCGGAAAAGTCGCTCAAGCATACTTCATCGAATGCCCGCACTGCGTTGAGAGAATGGCAGCAGATCCGGGCGACGCCAAGGCGATTGCTCGTGAGCGCAAGCGTATTGAGCAGGAGTACGAAGAGTACCTTGATGCAGACGAGCCGACGCCTGGCCTGATTTCTACTGGGGCTGCCGAAGACACTCCGGACACTTTGAGCGAAGCCATGACGCCCAAGTCCGAGCCTGAGCTGCCCCATGCTCATCCAGTGAAGAAAGCCAAGGCCCGCAAGCAAACGAAGATGGTGGAAGTGATTGATCTTGACTCAGATTGAAGGGATATCGGAAGAGGATCTTGTCTTTCAAGGAATTGACATCGCATAACTTGACACGAAGTTACGAGACCGCATGGAAGAACGACGGCATGATCACTGATGCAGGCATATTGCGCTTGTCCGGATCTCGTGCGATTTGGAGCAAAGGATGACAGCAGAAGTCTGTCTTCTACCCTGGCCGGGCCTGAACGCAGCAATCACGAAGATGCAGCTTGTGCACGAGGCGCGTGACTTCCATTCAATGCATTGAAAAAATTGCACATTGCACACTTTGTACAATAGATTAGAAACCGAAAGAGTCATCACGCAGACTTTGAATGTAATAGTAAATGAATCGCTTGGACTTTTCTACAACGTACGAAACCTCACAAACCCGAATCGTCCATCTCATACAGCCTGCCAGGCTTATTCCAATATTGCCTCCACCCATCACAAGTCTTCTCGTAATCCCCAAGATTCCCAAGAGCTGCCTTGACTTCATCTTTCCTTTCCAAGAACTGCATGCTCAGACCCGCTCCAACGTGCCATGGAATATGACAATGCATCAGCCACATGCCTAGAACAAAAGACGTCAGTATCATATTCTCAGATGAGCAATGTTGGAAAAAAAGGTAAGAACTCACCAGGATTATCCGCCGGAAACCCAATAATCAACCACCCACCCCTCGGCAACGTCGCCGTATCCCTCCTGGGCGGATTATCAAATTTCAACTGACTAACATCTCCATTCCACGTTCCCATCTCTCCACTCCCCATAACATAAAAATCATGACCATGTAAATGAATCGGATGCGGTAAATTGACAAAATCCCCTTGTTTCGTTTGAATTACCCAAAAAGTCCATTGATTTGGTTTTTGTACGATTTCGATGACGTTTTGTTTGTCTGCGTAGGTGTTGTTATTGTCTAGGACTTGGCCGAGGGTTGGGTAAGACCAGTCGACTCGCATGTCGGAGCCGTCGATTAGCCATTGGACCAAAGCGCCGCCGGAGGCGGTGGTGGTTTGGTTGAAGTCTAGTTCGATGTTTTGGCGTACGGCGTTGAATTCGGAGGAGGGGACGGTGTTGTTTACGTAGGGACGCACGGTTTCGTCGTAGCAGCCTGTGGATTTTGTGATTTCGGAGACGGCTTGGGTGGGGTTTGAAGAGGGCGCTCCGTCGTAGCGGATTATGCTGAGGATTTTGCCTTCCATGAGGTTGCGGCCGCAGTCTGTGCCTACGTCTGCACGAAGCCAGTAATTTCCGATGGCTTGGTCGGCTTTGATGATTATGTCGGCGCGTTGGCCGATTTGGAGGGAGACGGATTTGGTTACGTAGGGTTTTATGGGGACGAAGTCGGAGGTAATGACGGTGAAGTTGTGTTGGTCGATGGAGATGTGGAAGTGGTTGTCGATGCCGGTGTTGATGAGTCGGAGGCGGAAACGTTTTCCTTTGGTGACTTTGGTGACGTGGTACGCTCCTCCGCCATCATCGCGTTTCATCGTGCCGTTGATGAGGCCGGTATCGGGAGTTGGAGGGCCTCGTGTGCTGTGAAGCGCAATGACATTGGTCGCGAATGCAGTCTTGTAGAACCAGTCTGTGAAGGTCAAAGTACCAAGGTCGCTATCGTAGTTACTCGTTGCCGGTCCATTGATGACAATGGCACCAACGATTCCATCGCCATACTGTGCAGAGTAATGGCTGTGGTACCATGAAGTGCCGTGTTGCGTGCACCGGATAATGTACTGCTTGGTCTGTCCAGGAGCAATGGGACATTCGGTCACGCCATTCACGCCGTCGTGCTGACAGGTGTTGAGCTGACGAAGTCCGTGCCAGTGAATGGATGTGCCATTATGTTCCAGTGAGTTCTTGACATTGATGATCATGCGGTCACCCCACTCTGCATAGAGTGTTGGACCAGCTACTATCGTTAGCTTTGTCGTGGTAGGCACGCTCTGGGAGGCTTACGATATTGTCCATTGATGGCCATCACTATTCTGTTGAAGCCATCAGGAGCCATGTCGGTTCTGTTCGTGATTTCCAGATCGTAGTAAACGTCGCGTCCAGTATTGGGTGACTTGGCGTCGAAATCAGTGGCGATGGTGAAGCCTGTCGACCAACAAGCTCTCGTGTTGGGTGCATTTTTGCACGCTACATCTCCTCCAGTCTGAGGTGTCCTGCGGGCAAGTGACCCTGCCTCGGGAGGAGGTATTGCTTCGAGCGCGCCAAATTCATTCACGAATTCAAGTGGCTCGGGAGTAGGATTTGCGAGGGTTGGTGAAAGGAAAGCGCATGCTTGTGCAAGCAAAGTGAAAGTTGAGAACCTCATTGTATGAGAGATGAAGCAAGAGATGTCTCACCTTCTGATCAGCAAACCATCGTCGACGACGGCAGTCCTTATAGCAGGGCCATGTCTTCTATCACGATCCCAAGATAGGTACTCCGCCTTCGGGAACATTCGCCACAGACGGCCCTCAGCTGAACGGAGGCGTCGGGCTGGCAGGTGTCCGCTGTCTAGGCGAAATGGACTAGCTCATGTCGTACATCTGATCTGCTCCTCGTCTTGGCTCTCGGTTCAACAGCCTTGCGAAAATTGCACGAGGCTGCAAAGCCAATGAGACGACCAATGCTTGGTAGTGCTTGGCTGACCCCGTTTTGGGGAATTTCCAAGAAGCGCCAGCCAGCTGAGTTGCAGTCACAAGTATGCTTGCAGATCAGAATTAGAACACGAGACTTTGGCATTCGGGAGCATGCCGACGTGGTGCTTTGCGAGCGTGGCTGATGCACGCTTCTATGGGTCGGATGGAGCCAGAGCACGCTCCAATATTGCAGGATGGAGTGCATGCACACCGCTCTGCATCGAAGGTTCCCGTGCCGCCATCATGGTCGAGTGCTCGTTCGGCGGGCAAGATGCAGTGTAACGTCGCATGTGCTCTATGGCGGCTGTCGATCTCGTGAAGAAGAGATGTAGATGAACCTTGGAGCGTGCGGAAGACCCGGTTCTCCTAGATGGGAAGTCATCGTCTTCTACTGCCCACTGATCCCTGCGAACTCTCCCATTGGATCCAGCTTCGGCTTCTCGCTATACACGTTGTCGTGCTGGCCCAGCAAGGATGAAGCTGGGCGGCGTTGTGACCCATTATGCGCAGCTCGCGAACAATGGGCAATGAGGATTGTCTGCTGAATATGCACGTGGCGGACAAGCAAGGGGAGGATTGTGCTCCTCCGTAGAGCAGAGTAGAGGACGATATCGTGACGTTGGAAATTGCACCCCTGTCACGGCGTCTATTCTGGGGCAAGTGGGCCGCGCCGTCGGCGTGTTCCGGAGCCGCCATTCGCCAGCGTTTTGTCGTGTGAAGCTTCGCTACCACTTGCGTCCGGAGTTCCGCATCCTTCTTCTCTTCATCACCACAACCATGCCCTTGCTCTTGTCGCTAGAGGATGCGGCGCTACTGCGCATGATGCTGCCCGGAAATGCAGTGAGATATTGAAAGGCCTTGTGCTTGGCATTAGTCTTCAGCGAGAGCTGTCGGGGCGGGATATCACCAGATCGAATGCTGACACGGTGGCAGTGCTGTCGACCACGTCGAAGACGATTGTCATGTCACCATATTCTGATGAGCGGAGCTAGATGCATCAGCGAACGCGACACAGACCGCCGCCGCCCCCTGTGGATCAGAGGCTCTGGCGCTTCTGCTCCCGGCCCCATGCTCCTGCTCTATGACCAGCACTCGCACTCGCACACTCGGCACGGACATTATCGCCACAGTAGTGCGGCTCTCACGCGGCGTCCCTGGCGAAGATCCATCGCCGAACAAGATGTGTGCATGCTCTGCCTGCGGGTCCGATCTTGCTGCGCTGCCCTCCCTTGCCTGCGAGCACACGTCGCTAAGGGATTGGGCTCTCTTTTCCCCGACTCCTGCAATCATACCTGCATGCAAGTTGATGCAACATGCAATCGCCCGCATTTCTTGTCTGCGAGAAACTTCGCTACTTGCCTCGTTCGGAAGTCATCCTGTCTATTTGTGGTGCCTCCACTCTGTGACATTCTCGTGTAATCACGCCAGTGAAGCGACGATTGTCGAGCCACGCCCTCTTGGCAAGACACAGAGAGGTCCCGACTCACCGGTGTCGATCACTCCGTATCGCTGGATTCATCGTGTTGAACGCCAGAAACATGGCCAGCACGCGAGCTGTGCGAGCATAGGATTCTCAGCTGGATTCATTGTGAGGTAAAACACGAGCCACCGCACATAGGGCTGACCCTCGCCAAGCATAACGAGCTATTCCGATGCCAGTGCTTCCCCATCCGAAGACCAGCGTCACTGGGGCGGTGATGAGCAGGCGTGCCGATGCTGCCGTTGAGGCGCTTAGTACTTATCTACTGACATGCTCTACGCATTCTGCTCGCTTCATACCAGTCCACCAAATCTTCCTTCAATCATGCTGGCTCTTCTTCTTGCTGCCGCGGCAGGCACCTTCATCAATCAGATTAGCGCTCAACAATTTCAGGATGTCAGAAGCGAGCGAGCCCTTTCAGCAGGCTTATTGAGAAGACAATCCACAGATGACGACTTTGAATATGACGAAGACAGTGTCTGCTACAGCTACGGCATTGACTTTCAGCACAATGGCACCTATTTCATCGATTCACGATCCACCGACCCTTTCACAACTGCATCTCAATTCAAGCAATGCGAACCAGATACGTCAGCCTATGTTCTCCTTGTTGACAACGATCATGGCGTGCAATATGAGTGCACTGGCGTACCGACGACACCCGACTTGACGAATCAGATGTCCAGTTGCCCAATCACCAAGAACGAAATGACTTCTGGCTCATGGTCGGTAATTGTGATTGGAAACAATGGCGACGGCTCGCCATTTGGGTGGCAACGAGACTTTACTCTCACTGTTGGAGTGCCTGTCACGATCACAACAACCTCTACTGTGACTTATACGCAAACGACAACCCCTTCAACCACGATCACTAGTAAGCACACATTTCCATGAAAAGATCGTTCTTCGACTCACAGTCCCAGCCACATCTACTATTCAGACTACGACAACAGTACCAAATAAGTCAACTGTCACACTTCCGGCATCCACCAGAACAATCACGGTCACGCCTGGAGCCGTCATCACCACAAGTACAAGATGGCTCACCCGCACCATCAACACTTGGACCAAGACTGAAAGCAAAATTACGAAGACCGTCGTGCCAACATGCACGATTCCCCCACGCCCAAGCCAACACGATCCAAAATGCCGAATCATACCAACCATCATCCCGATCCCACAAGGCTTGGAAATCGCACCAGCCAAAGCCAAACGCTCAGAAGACATCACCATCTCGAACACCCTCCGCAAACGAATCGAATCCAACAAATCCTTCAAAGCCCGCCTCGCTCTCCAAAACCAAAAACGCTCCCCCGATGCCCCAACAATCACATCCCAAGCCAACGAAGTCATCAACGCCACAACAACAGTCACAGCACCCGTCTCCACAATCTCAGACGTAAAACTCGAGACCATCACAGCAACAATTACAGATCCACCATGTACTGTGCGATCTGGAACTCAAACTATCACTACAACTCTTCCTCCGAAGACAAAGACAGTTTACAAGATTGGTTATACGACTGTGACGAAGACGAGGACCATGGCTGTGACTTGGACTTATACGACTACTGTGAGCCCGACGTCGAGTGTTTCGGCTTGTACGAGGAATGGAGGGCATTTTGAGCTTAAGTAGGAAATTAGTAATTGTTGTAGAGATTAGTTAATGAGTAATGGCTTTCCTTCTGAATTTTATACAGATAGATAATAAAGGACGCCTGATGTGCCTCAATAATGGTTCGAGTACGTGGGTACCACCATGCTGTAGTCTCACAATTCAGACCCAAACCCGGCGGCCTGACCCTGTGAGACAGCTCCACATCTCAAATTCAGTGCCCACTTCCGCGTCTTCACACACCTCACTGAAACTATGACAAAACGCGTCGTGAACAAAGATCAACGCGTCGATAAGGAATGACGAAATATCTTGCTGCATCTCATCTAACATACAGAGCAAAAGCAGCAGAAGCAAAACCCACAAAGACATGATCCAACACGCTCCGACACCTATTCCAACCCATTCGCCACCACCTCGCTAAGAAAGACGCCTCCAATCATGCAAATGTATCACGGAACCACGTTCGAGCCCCCATACGCCACATAAAGCGGAAGAATTGTGTGGATCGGCTGTTGTGCAGGTGCATTGCGGTTCCCTTTCTCGGATGCAGATGCAGCAGCCACGTTTTGACGCGGAGCCGGAGCTGGAGAGGGCTTGATCTGCGACTCCGGGGAACTGTTGATCGCTGTCCAAGATGGCAAGCCATTGGGGGTAAGATATCGGAAATGCTGATGAGACATGGGAGTTCCGGCGACGTTGTGGCTTTCGTTTCGGTCTAGACTGACGGCGTGCGGTGCGTCCTTTGAGGCGTGCGAAGGCGTGGCCCTTCTTTCCATGGGCCATGCCTCGTGGTATTGTGGAAAGGGCTGCGACTGTGTAGTGGATGAGGCAACGCCTGAAGAGTGCAGCCAAGGTCGATGCATTTGGTTCACGACCGTTGTGCCATTGGAGCTGCTTCCATCCCTGCGGGTTGGGCTCGCAACATTGGGAACCACTGCACCCTGTCGCGGGCTGGCCTTTGATACAGCTTCAGTGATCAGATTATCGAGCCCAGAAGGCTTCCCACCTGGTATTTCCTCTTCCGTGATCTCGAGATATCCTCCACGCCCATCCGGGACGAAGTGACGTGCTGGAAGCACTTCGAGATCGATCACCGGCAACACGCGGTGCACGTGGTGATGATTGTGCACGTCTCGGGATACTGCACGCTGGACAATCTCGATGGGCTGGACGACATGCTTCTCATGCGTGACCGCCGGAGACCAGATCACCGCGGTGTGAGTTTCTTCGCTGTCCTTCAGGTTGAGAATGCCATCGTCTTGCAGCGATTTGATGATTCTAGCATTACGAGCAGCATTCTCTTCCAAGTAGCTTCTCGGGAGCTGTCCGGGAGGCGCATGGTGAGGAATCCCAGGCAGCTTCTTGTCGAGGCTGGCCTTTGTCACCTAGTTGGATGTCAGTATATCAGGCAGAGAAAGCGCGCACGGGATTTGCTGCGACTTACATTCTGCTGACGAGAAGGGACGTCCGGGCTCCTCAATATTGCGCCGTGACCAGAATTAGACGACTCCCTCTTCGGCCGTATGGAGCTGCGCAAATTCTCAAAGCTGGACTTGCGACTTACAGAACGATCGCGCCTGCTGCTTCTGTTTGCGGATCCACTGTGATTTGCTGCTTTTCTGGGCGTGCGCAGAACTGCCGACAACTGAGTATTGGAATGCGATCTGATGCTCCTGCTCGTGTCCCTCCAGAGGTCCTCCCAGGTCGGCGGCTCCCACTCAATCGTCGGATCGTGCTCTGGTAAGATAGGATCTTCTGTCTGCTGCAGCGCATCCCGAGTCGCTTGTTGCACCTCGTCAGTGTCCGACTCCTCGAATTCTTCACCTTCATCGTCTTGACGCGGAGGAAGCATGACATGATCTGGCAGCTTTGCTGTTGGGTTGACTTGCGTTTGCGAGCGGACATGACACAGTCTTGCGATTTTTGGCGCTGGCTGGCTGTGAATGCGACGATGCGTGCTGGCACTGGTCGTGGTCTCGTTCGCTTTGCTTTGCGAGTGGTCTTGCAGGAGCGCCGTTGCGGTCGACAGAGAGCTGCGTCTTCGTGTGCGCTGTCTCTCGCCATTGCCGGAAACATGCTGCTTGATCTTGCTCGCGGTTGTATCGCTCGCGGCTCGACTTCGTCCTTTAGCCGGGAAGAGCCTCCCTATGATCTCTTTGGCCCAAGACGACATTGCGCGGATCTCGGAATTTCTGGTTAACGACAGGGCTGGGACCATGAGGCTTGTTTGTTGTGGAGTCGTGATGCTCCTGTTCTCAACGGCGACAGCGAGCCTGCCAGTGCGACTTCTCTCAGTCGAGGCGCACTTTCTCGAGCTGGAGCAAGAAACAATCACGCGCGGCCTCGTGGCTCCCTTGTCTGGGAGAAAGGCAGGTGCATGACTTCCATTTCTTTTCTCTGTTTACTTCTCTTCTTCTCCTCCGAGTCTCTGCACTCTTCTCTCGCATCGCCTTTCTCATCTTCTCAGCAAGTTCACCATCTTGGACGCGCATTACTCACCAGCACACATACCCTGCACATATACCAGCCCGACACATCGTACTCCGACCTCCTCACATCAAAATGGACGAGGCAAGAAAGGCCGTCGAGGCCTTCATGGCTCGCAATGGACGCCACGACACCACTGTTCATGAAACTGTTGCACCTGCAGTCACCCAGGAAGTCCTTACGAGAAGGGAACATCAGGTGCGTTTTCATGCTTCCTCCCGTGACGCGGATGACCCTGCTGACATCTTCCATAGGACATCACTCGTGCTGTCGACAAAGAGTTCCATCAAGACCATTACCACACGTCTGTTCAGCCTATCACGACTGAAGAGCATCGTGAAGAACAGCATCACGCTGTGGTTCAGCCTGTTGACGAGCACAACTTTGAGCATGACGACCCAGCTGAGACCACCAAACACCTTGCCGCTGTGGATGCGGAGCACAGGGACACCTTTGAGTCTGTGGTAGCCGAGCGGACAACGACAGAGCTGCCCACGATCGAGGGTCAGCACATTCATCACCATGTGCATGAAAGGATTCAGGTACGTGAACGCCATTACTGCTTCTCCGATCAATGCTAAGCTTTGCACAGCCTGTCATCCAGAAGCAGACGTTCGAATACCACGTCTTCCACGTCGTCATGCCTGTCCGAGAGATCCACCACAACGCAGCACAACACTATTCCACTTCCTCGCTGCCAACTGTCACCCTCGATGACTTCAAGCGAGCGGGTGGCCAGCTCAATGGTCGCGAGGAACGTTACGATGCCTTTGAGGGAGAACCACGATCAGTCGGCCAGGCTCATGGAAGCCCACTCCAAGCCGCACCGGGCTCTGGTGGTGCGACTGAGTATGCAACTTTCCACTCTCATTTCTACTATCCTCACTGACACTATCTGCAGCGCCTCCGCGTCCGCGTCCAAAGCGCCCGCCGATGGATCCGCGGCAGCTGCTCCAGCTAGGCCCTCAAGAGTAGCGACATTTGCGAATCCGCTCACCACGACGCCAGCACCAGTAGCGGCGTCTCAACAGGATCCAACGACAATTGCATCTCGCACCGAAGCAAACTCCGGCGTCTTCCGTCCTCCAACTCGGGCGCCCACAGCTCCCGCCACGCTTGCGAGCGCTTCAGCTGCAGCGCCAGCTATTGACAATTCGACTGCACCGGCCTCACAGCCAGCCGCTCCTGCTCCTGCGCCAGCTGCCGCCGACAATGCTGCCACTGCCACTGCACAGCCCACCGTCGCCCCTGCGGCTCCCGCTCCACCAACCCGTGATCCGGCTGCCCCAGCATCACTTAACGGCGGGCCTGGTGCAGGCACTCTTTCGATGCAGCCTGACGGCAGCATTGCCTCGAACCATCCCTTGATGCGACCGCCCACTTTGCTGTCGCAAGACGCATACCGTCAAGGCCCTGGTAGAGCTAGTGCCGTCCGGCCACACGCCCGCCACGTGAGAACAACGTCGACCTCGATGAGGACGAGACCAGACAGGACACCATCGGCTCCAGCAGACCGTCCAGCGGCCTCGGATCCGGCTGACAGGCCACTACCGGGTGCGCCACAGTAGTTTGGTCTTGACTGGTATGGAGATGGGGAAAGTGAACTTGGAAGACGCCTAGATTGGTTTGATGATTCTCTGTTGTGAACCTGGGATGGTGATGGACTGCTTGGAACCTGATACAGTGGTATCAACACCTGTGCAGGAGCTAGGAAGTACCCTCGAATACATCTGCTGTCTCGTTCCTACTTCCTGGCCGTACATGCTCCAGTTTTGATTGTATTACGACCGACATCCCCACTCTGGTGTCTCAAAGAACGGTATCGAACATGCTCACACAAAAGCTGGGTGCAGTGCGAGTTCGTACAGTTCCTGTTGTGGGCTCAAAGCCTAGCTGCTGTCAAGCTGATATACCGGGACAGGAGCTCTACGCCCTTCGGCCGCCGACTAGAACGTCGGTAACGCCGTTCCCTGCGTCCTGTCAGCGCAATGTAATGCCATATCATTACTGCTCTTATCTGATCAGTCCCTAGATTTGAGTGGCGCGCAGGCATGCACCCACTACCAACGGCCTCGAGTCACAGCCAACGTTGCTCACTCACTCACACTGGCGCCAAGCACAGCGTTGATCACATGCACAGGCACATGCCGTCAACAATGCCGCATCACTGGCCGCAATGAGTGGGCCACGGAGTGAACGAGTTGCTGAGATCCACACCTGGCGATCATAAACAACTCTTTTGTTCTGCTCGAGCCATTGCACTTTCACCAACTACCAATACAAGGCGGCCTTGCACCACAACATTTTCAACTGACTCACTGCTCATACACACCGACAACACGATGGGACTCACACCGAGAGAACGAATCGAGAGGATTCAGCGCGAGGCTTCCCTTCGCGGGATCTCCACTGGCGAAGCACAACGTCACAACGGCAGGCCAGTCGAGTTTGTCACTCTAACGCCAAATGAAGATGGTGGGGACACTATTGCGCCCTTCGGTCATCCTCGCACGACAAAAAACTTCAACGGCTTTCCTCCAAGATTGCCGACAGTTCCTCGCGCTCCCAATTCAGCGGCGCCCGGACCCAGAAACGGCTTTCAGCTCCGACTGCCGACTTCTGCTCGTGCTACAACCCCAGCAGTAGCTGGACCTAGCAACTTCTTCCATCCACAATCGTCGACGAACTCCAGTGCTCCAGTTTCAGAAACTCGAGAGCCCAGCCAGACGCCTGGTGACGAAGACATCGGCATGGGCGTCGACGACTTCACTGCTCTCGAGCCACCGAGCATGAAGGGTGAGCAAAAGCGTAGGCAAGACTCGGCGTTTGCCACCTCTACGCAAGACTCCACTAGACTCGAACCTGATGCGGGCTTCGACATCGAGCGCCGTCGCAAGAAGGCCAAGCTAGCCACTGAGGAACCACAAGTGTGGCTGTCGGCTCAGGGCAATCTGAGAACGGGTATGCCTGGCCCTTCTACTCCCCCAATTGCCACTCGAGTCCCAGCAGAACCTCAAGCTTCCGCAGCTCCGAAAGCACTCTTCGCAACTCCTATGGAGTTCTTCACATCTTCGTCAGCTTTCGCACGTCCTCGTGCCGCTGCATCTCCTGGAGCCGCTGGATCTTCTGAAGCTGTTGCATCTCCTGAAGCCGCTGCGTCTCCTGATCGCGCTATATCTCCTGGTGCCGCTGCATCTTCTCAAGTCGACGCATCTCCTCCAGCATCCGCGTCTCCTGAGCCTCTTCCTGCCAGCGTGTCAAACACTACACCGCTCCAAGACACCGCCACACCTGGTCCATCTAACTCATTGAGCTCGATCCAAACTCAAGCCTCTGCTATTGCTGGACTTCCTTCGGCAAGCACCTCCAATGCCGCGGCTCCTCAAGCTGCTGCCGATGCCCCTCCCACCACTAGGCAAGTCTCTCTTCATCGAGACATGACCCCCTACGTCGGCGCTCGCCCAATCCCGCAGTGGCTGACCGACTTGGCACGCGAGATCCGAGCTGCCGACACCGATCCTCAGGGCAGACCGAAGACTGCGGCGCTCAAGAAGGTCACGAACACTTTCGTGAGAGATGGTCAGACTCTTTCTCACTTCTCTCCTGCTTCGGGTGTTCTTAGAGTCGGTGCTAGGTGGTCGCCGTTGTGGGAGTGGTGGATGGATACGAGGGTGTTGACTCCGGCGCAGTGGTGGAGAGTCAATGAGGTTGATTGGAAGATGAAGAGCGAGGGGTACAAGGAGTTGCCCAATGGATGTTACGGAGTGAATGTGCCTGCTGTTTGAGGGAGTGGTGGTGAAGAGTGGTTGGAGGGTGAGGGGACGAAAGTGCAGCTGGAGAGTGCGGGTCGAGAAGGCGATGATGGGATTGCGATTGGAGATTGCGCTTCGGGAGATTGTTGAGGCGATTCTCTTGCTTGCACACACTGGATGTGTTCTTTTCTTTGTCCGCTAGAGTAGACATGGTTCTCACAATCGTTTATTTGGGGTTGCTACAGAAAAACTTAAACACACGCTGCTATCATGAACTGATACTTGCATTCAAACACTCAAACGGGTCAATACTGCTTGGTCTATCATTTCAATTTGGCAGCACTTTCTGAGTATATTGCGCTGAGCTCTCTGCGTACATGTCTAGCGACGCCTATCATGAGGCGAGCTTGTCGCCTTACTTGTATGCTTCTGCGTAACTTTCTACTTTTGCTTAGGATGCAATCGACTTATCGTTTCATGTGCTGAAAGACTCTAGAGAGTGACGAATAGACATAGATCTACTTCAGAGGCTGACAGCAAGCAGGTAGTCTCCAAAACTGCTGAGACAACGCGCTCCCTAATAACGAACTGAGTCATGAAAAACTTCGAATGCTCATGATCTGGACGTGTCATCTTCCAGTGCTTATTGTCTCATTCCATCTTGCTGCACGAGGCCACTCTACAAGTTTGCAGCACATCACACCGTTACCAATGGACGTTTCAAGCACGTGTCTCGGAACAATGCAAGCTTTCTTCGAGACAATTAACACAACGTTGTTGTCTGGCGCCGAGGACAAAGAAACCTGCCGCAACCCGGCTCGTCTCTGCGTGAGACGCTTGTGCACGTTTGTTTCGGCTGAGCAGGTGCGCCTTCCCGCTTAGCGACAACTTCTCTACGACTTGGCAAGCAGAAGGCATGCTACCAGTATTCAAGAAGGCACTTGCGGGAAATACTTTCTGTTCTTTTTGAAATTGATGAAGCCACTCTTCAGGCGTTCAGCAAGGACGACACTTTTACCCATATACTCGATCTCCACGAAGCTGATTACACGCGAACGTGGCTGCTAATTACACCTCCAGCTTTCGTCAAGATGGAAGCTATCGATGCTCTCTCAAGCTGCAACGACCTCATGTCGCTGACTTCTGTTACTTTCCACAGCACATCTCCGTCGTATCTTTCGGCAGACAGCAGAAATTCCACATATTACGACATATCCACTCAATGAATCAAAGCTATATACTGTATCGGCACGGTCGCCGCACACAGCGTCCCTGGAAATGTGTCCACAGGGGCGTTCAAAGCATCTCATGATCAAAGTGCTTGTCCGGGCCACATCTCTACGACAATGACGGAAAGTGAATGTCCTCTGCTCACTGCTTTGTGCGCTTCAACAGGCCTGTTCACTATGACATGCATTCACCAACTTCGAGCGACCCTTTTCTTTGGCACAAAAGACATCAGCTCTACCTACTATTCTCCTTATCAAAGTACTCGAGCATCCTCGGTCAAGAACACTGGACGTCTACAAACCCTACTACGCAAGCATTCGCTGCATTCAACCAGAATCTCCTTGTCAACATGCCGAAATACCTCACCCCTGTGTCACGGGCAAAGATCCGAGAGTTACACATTGAGGTTGCAAGCCTTCAGGATAAATTAGCTGCGCAGGCACTGCAACAGGAACACGAGCTCGATGTTCTCCAAAAGCAGCTCACAAGCAAGGACGCAGAGATTCAGCAATTGAAGCATCTACATGCTGAAGAACTCAAGAAACCCTTGAAGTCATACCTGCAGCCCACGAAATCCACACTGCTGAAACAGACACCCGACAGGAGATCATCAAATCTTGCAACATCGATTTCGATTCGTGATACACAAGGCAAGCTCATAGTGGACTCGAGTCTGAATGAAGCGAGTTACATGCGGCCAACGAAATCAACGTTGAGCAGGGCAGGCAAATTGCCCCCTCCGCTCACAGAAGATGAACTGTATGCTCAATATTGGGCCGCTAGATGCCCGGTCGACCTGACTCATGATGAACCTGACTGCAGTGATCGAAGCATCGAGGCTGAGAACGCGGTCTCGCCAGAGAAGGACGCACTATGTGCCGACGAATATTTTGAGCCCACTGTATACTACCATCCCAATGTCGGTGATCGCGGAAACTATCGAGAATCTTGTCACTGCCCATTCTGTGAGGATTTCCAATCTGGCAGACACATCCAAGTTGTAGCAGATATACAGGACCGAACGCGATGTCACGACAAGTTCTTCGACAAGCCGAGTTCGCGCATCTCAATTCCCTTCGAGCACCAACTCCGGCTCTTGAGAGCAGCATACTCGATTGCGCAAAAGGCCTTCTGGCACGGACTCGAGAGGTACTGGCCAGGCCAAGAAATGTACAACTACCCTCTCGGCCCTGACAGCGTTCGATTTGGGTTCTCGGAGTTGAAGGAAGTCCTTGGCAGTATGCACAACTTTAGCTGGAGTCTCCGATCCTTCCTGTACCCCGAAGTCAATGGTCGTTGGGCTGATTTGTGCACTCGAGTGCCCACTTTCGTTGAGCCAACGATAATAAACATGCGGGGAATTCGTAACGTTCTTGCTCATCCCAGCAATCTGCTTTCAGACTATGTCGATAGCCTCTTGAAGGATGCGCACGATCTGGCATGCATGATGAGGGACGAGCCAAGAGCACTCGAGGTTCGAGCATTGCGAGACGAACTGCGAGACCTGGCCACTGAGTCGTTCAACGAGATTGAGAGATTGGAGCCATGGATACATCTCCCAAACGACATCGTGTGGCCAACTCACCATGAGGCGACCTTCCAGCAAATGCTTCGATCACTTCAACTTGGCGATGACAACCCACGGTACGTAATGGACAATGCACATGAGAAGCATTACGACCCAGCTATTGTGCGCGCAGCAAGGCATTGGGCCGAGCAGTCTACCATCCCGGGCCTGTCGAATTGGCAAAGGAGGAACCACTGGTTGAGTTACAAAGATCAGGAGCATATGAGTAACTGGCTGAGAGCTCAGAGGAGAATGGAGGAGAAGAAATCGCGCGAAGGGCGGTGGAGATCAAGAGTGCGGCTGGAGATTGATGTCCAGAAGCTGTGTGAGAAGCCACTACTGATGTGAAGCACATAGACTGGCGGCCGAGTTGAGACTGCAAATTCATAGTGTAGGCAGAGCGTTGATGATATCAAGTCTTGCTGAATGAAGTATTAAATACCCACTGTCCAACAAGCGATGGACGTGGGCTCTGCCTGTCCTTGTGTCAGAAAGTTGCACTTCTTAGACTTAATTAAGTGGTCAACTTAGTTGCCGCTGTGATATCTGGATGACTTGTACGAAGCAAGAATTGATGTTTATCATTACTCACATCTTGCTCGGAAGTTCGACCAACCATCGATCGCGGGTCTGTAGGCCTATCTATATTCTCCACTTCTTTTCCTGATTCTTGCGAACAGCCCCACCGGTTTGTGTACCCCGCGGCGAAAGACAAGGTGTTTGCATATCTGCCGGAAGGACCTTCTTTTTGCACAGCCGCTTGACTTCTTGTGAAGTACGAACTTTACAGGATTGGACGACCGATAACTAGTGCCACGAATGCACTCTCCGCAGATCTGCGAAACTTGCCAAGGACCGCGGATCTAGCTGCAATGTAAGAGCCTATCACAAAACGCTAGGCAAAGAGCCCCCACTCAGACATGCGTACCTTATCACGGCAATGTTCTAGGCGAATGACAAACGGCCAAGATGTTGTGAGCCCGTGCCAGGTGTGTTATGCCGCTGTTTCGAGCGAATGCGTTTTGGGAGCTTCGAGATTGAGTTGAGGTGACAGTACTTCGACATACGCTACCCACACCTGCCACACCATGGACAAGTTTCAAGGAGACATCACTCCTTCGTCGGACAGACGTGACATCGCGGAAGACGATGTGCTTGCGGAGCTGGGCTATACTCCGCAGTTCAAACGCAACTTCTCTCTCGCAGGCATTGTCGCATTTTCCTTTGCCGTGGTCACATCATGGACAGCTCTTGCTGGAGTTCTTACCGTCGGTGTACAGTCCGGAGGAGCTCCAGTGATGATCTGGTCCTGGATAGGCATTTGTATCGCGACTCTTTTCGTTGCCTACAGCCTTGCAGAGATGTGTAGCGCTTATCCCGTAGTTGGAGGACAGTATAGCTATGTCGCAGTATTTGCTCCGAGAAAATGGAGGCGAGGAATGAGTTATCTCTGTGGATGGTGAGCGAATCGGATCCTGGCGTATGCAAGCGCTAACGATTGCAGGTTTCTTCAAATTGGTGTTTTGGCAATGGGTGCTACGAGCCACACCGTCACAGGCAACTTCTTGCTCGGATTGGGCAACCTGAGCAATCCGAACTTTATGATCAAGGACTGGCATCATGTTTTGGTCGGATGGGCAATAGCACTTGCTGCATTGGTCGTGAACATGTTTGCCTCAAAGGTGTTCGACAAAGGATCCCAATTCTTCCTGGTGCTGAACATGTCATTTTTCGTGGTCGTGGTCGTTGCGATGACGGCCATGAATGACGATCGGCGGTCGGCCAGTTTCGTCTTCACAGACTTTGTGAATATTACAGGATGGCCGTCTGCGTATAGTGCACTGCTCGGTGTTCTCCAGGCTGCGTACGGTATGTGTTGCTACGACAGCGCAACCCGGATGACCGAGGAGATCAAAGACGCAAGGAGGCAAGCACCACGAGCGATCGTCATGCCGGTGTACATTGGCTTCGTCACGGGCTTCATCTTCCTGATCGCCGCGGCTTTCGCGATGAGCGAGGACATTGCTGCAATCGCCAGCACTCCTACAGGTGTTCCCATGATTGAGATCTGGCGGCATGCCACTAACCGCGCTGGAGCAATTGGAATGTCGGCAGTCATTGTTGTCATCGGTCTCGCTCCTTCAATCGGGCTGACAGCACAAGGAGGAAGATCAATCTACGCGTTTGCTCGCGATTCCGGACTGCCATTCTCCAAGTTCTTGAGCAGAATCGAGCCAAGGACGCGAATGCCGGTCAATGCGCTTTGCTGTGCGGCGCTGTTCCAGATGGTCTTAATCGCTATTCAGTTTGGAGGACCTACTGGCTTTTCAACAGTCATTCAGATCTCCACGGAAGGCTTTTGTAAGTGGTACAGACAACGCTGTGTGGCAATGATTAACAGGTCGGCAGATGTCTCATACGCTCTCCCGTTGATTGCTCGCCTGCTCTCACTGTTCACCTCTGAACCAGTGTGGGAGATTGGCGGTCTCTACAGCCTGGGACGTTGGAGCATTCCGTTCAATGTCCTGGGTGTGTTGTTCTTGATGTTCGCGACAATTACATTCAACTTGCCCACGGTGAAGCCCGTGACCAGTCAGAACATGAACTATACCTCGGCGGCGGTGGGAGCAGTTATGTTGATCGCCCTCGTAACGTGGCTCACCACTGGGAGGAAGCACTTTCACGGGCCTGCAAGCGGTGGCGTCCGTCTGGACCGCGTGACAGAGGGAGTCGTCGTACAGGAAATGGAGGAAAGGATCAGTAGCAAAGACGTGGAGATGGAGAAGTCGGTGTAGTTCACGTCGTGCAGCGCGACTGTTGTGTTGTTGCTGTGTGTCGGAGATGCTGCACGCCAAGCCTCAGGAACGACCGAGCTCCAGCATGACGACGAGCTGGCCAGAGCATGTCTACGGCGTGAGCGTGAGCTCCTCCTCGTCCTCTACATAGTCCTCGTCTCCGTATCTTCGCAAAGAATTGGCACTGTCTGACTACCAACTGTACTCCGTCACCACTCCCACACTATAATCTCAGGCAATCCCAACCACGACGCGCCGCAAACCTTCCCGCGACATGCCTCGCCAGGCCGACGAGGACCTGCTGGCCGAGCTTGACTCGCTGGGAGACCAACTGGCTGCCACCTCCAAGCCCACCGCAACCAAGAAGGGCGCCGCTGCCAAAGCAAATACCGACGACGAAGATGCCTTGGCCGGCCTGGAGGACCTTGTCAAGGCCAAGCCGGCCACATCTCGACCCGCCACTCCTCGATTGAGCTCCAGCACGACTAGCGCGACGAATAAGAGTCCTAAGCGTACGGCAGAATACACTCCTGCTACGACATCGCAGGGTAGCAGCGAGCGAAACAGCAGTGAAGATCGCGCACGAGTGAGCCAGACACAGGCGAGAGCTTCGGGCGAGGGCAGCCGCAGCTTTCACACGGCGCAAACACCGCAAGCCGAAGAAGCCAAGGCGCAGCAAGGAGGAGGATGGTGGGGAAGTTGGGGCAGTATTGCCAGCGCTGCCGTTAAGCAGGCTGAGACGCTGGCAAAGAACATTCAGACGAACGAGGAAGCACAGAAATGGGTGACACAGATTCGACAGAACGCCAATTTGGAAAACTTGCAACATCTTGGTATTCGAAGTTGGTACGTTGATGTCCAACACGTGCTGACAATTGACAGGCACCGACCTGCGTTCAAAGGGTCTCTCGTCCTTCACATCAATCATCTCACATATCGCCCCGCCCATATCTGCTCATGAACGTTTGCAGATTCATACCACTCACGACATCCTCAACTATCCTTCCCTGGATCCACTGATATACAATACTTTCTCTCGTGTTATGAGCCAGGTCGAGGGCGGCGACTTGCTCGTCATTCAACGTGGGACTGAATCGAGAGGACGAAGCTCTTCTGATCTGCAGGGCTACCGGGGCACTGTGCTTGGCACGGGGACAGCTGCGTGGTCAGACGGTCCTTGGTGGCGGGAAGAAGGGCGAAAACGCAGTTTGGGAACCGTTCCAGGTCTCAAGGAGGGCACCCGCCTGGCTCGTGTGCAAGCTGAGAGCTACGCCAAGGAGTTCTTTGACACCAAGGGAGGCGTTGAAGAAGCTGCGAAGCGAGCGACCGAAACCTTGTCTGAGTCCAATCCCGTGAGGTCGAGCGACATTTTCCTCGCAATCCAGGCCGTCAGCTATGCCGTGGAGAAAGACCTGTTCGCGGAAGACTCGCAATCTGCTGCAAAGGCACAAGAAGCAGGTGTCGCCACTCCAAGTGAGAGCGACGAGGTTGTTGTCTTTGCAATCTACCTCCACGATCCTCTGCACAGCATTTCTTTCCGCGGTCTGTCACAGCCATTCCCTCAAAAGTGGGCTGAATGGCTTGATGCAGAACCCACAGTGGAAGGTGCTCTGCCAGATAGCATCCTCGAAATCATCCAGTCTGGGGGTGTCGATCCTCGTGAGTGGGTTGCTGAATGGATGGAAGAGCTTCTGTCGACGGCCGTGGGCGTTGTGGCTCAGCAATATGTGGCCAAGCGCATGGGAGTTGGCGAGGGTGGAATTGGACGAGGCAAGCAGCGAGCCGAGGAGGATGAGTCGGCAATCAGTGGAGAAGCTGCACGAGCTATCTGAGAGGCGCAGTGCGGAGTCCGGAATGTACTTTTGGCGTTTGTTCAGCGATAGGATGGGTGGGAACTTGCAGAGCTGAGGTCACCTTTCGGCCAAGTTATCAGGAATAGGTCAGCAAAGAAGAGGCGTTTGACTGTTTCTGTTCCTCATGTTATCCGCACATCTGAAGCTTGGGCGGAAAGTGCTGCAACTTCGAGAAAGCTGTAATGATAGGAAATGTCGAATCATGGTCCCCGGCTGCACAGCCGCTCTCGTAGTTCAGAGAATGACACAATGAGGGCTTTCTGTCTTGGCGCCTTTGACAGTAGTGGTTCGTGCAGCTCTTTTACTGATGTCTTCAATTGCGGCCTCACAGAGCTCTCCAGTCAGTGCAGAGCATTCGGCGTACATGTCACATCGCATCTCCTGTGCAATGCGTAGTGCTTCTTGGGGGTAGACGAATGTGCGTCCATTCAATAGGGCATCATCCCCATCGGCTTCGTCATCCTCATGACTCGGAGCAGGTCTACGGATCGTGCCTCCGTAATCATCCTGACTGCGTACATCTCGTTTCAGACCCAGAACAACCACGGGTAAAGACTCATCGTAATTGAAATGCGTCTCGACTTGGTGCTTCCAGGTGGTGTGCAGGGATGTCAGTGTTTTGGGGTCAGCGATGGAGTAGCAGAGGATGATCATGGCTGGTCGTAGGAGGGTGTAATTCTCTGGAGATGCAGTGTCGTAAAACTCGAATCGATAGGGCCTGTTGTACATGCGGATGTGGAAGGCGAAGGGCTGATCGAGGTCGCGCAGCTGTGGAAGCGGCCCTCGATAGGCATGGCCCTTTGTGAGACGTCTTGCTCGGTCAGTCGAGGAGAGTGCAATGCCACGCTCAGGCAGGATATACCTACGAGATGAAGGTGGATTTGCCGACCCCGGAATCTCCCAACAGCAGGACTGGCACGACCGGGGCCTCGCTCATGGGGGTCATGGCATCGCGGATGGTTGCCTCTGTTGGGCCTCGGAGGGCCTCTGCTCTGATGGCTGCCATGTTGAGTCGAGGAAGTCTATCTGGCGAGATGCAGGCACCGTGCTACGAATCAACGTGATGTGCTGGCGAGAACGCCACGCCACGTGCGGAGTGAGGTGCGCATGTGAAGATCGGCGCGTCCACCATCAATGCCGATCGGCGCAGGGACTGCCGAAAAGTTTCGTCACTCCAAGCGGGCCGGCGACAGAGCGTTTGCGATTATTCACCATGCCCACCGCGACGACGACGACAGCGCCCGACTGCCCTTCCGCCGGTCCGCCGCGACGCTCCCGCGAGCAAGCTGAGCTTGACCAGCGCACCCTCACCACGTGAAAGCGGGCAATCAATCGCCCAGATCGCCAGCTGCTGGTCCAGCACGCGACCGAGTCCAGCACCAACAGCAACCACTTCTCCACCCCTCGATTGCCGACCTTGACCTCGCCGACTGAAGTATTGAGTGCCCTGGGGAGCACCAGAATCCGCCATGGTCCGCAATATCCTCCTCTTCTCGGGCTCGTCCCACCCGCAGCTCGTCGACGGCATCTGCACCCACCTCGGCATCCCGCCGGCCAACATCGAGCTGTCCAAATTCAGCGTCGGCGAGACTCGTGTCGAAGTGGGAGAGAGTGTGCGTGGGAAAGATGTCTTCATTGTCCAGACGGCCTGCTCGCGCCCTCCGAGCCCGGATCACAAGGGAGCTACGAGTCTGAATGATGGCTTGATGGAGCTGCTCATCACCATATCTGCGTGCAAGACCGCATCGGCCAAGCGCGTGACAGCTGTGCTTCCGCTCTTCCCATACAGCAGACAGAGCGACCTGCCATACAATAAAGTCGGTGCTCCGCTTGCGAGAATGCCCACCAAGACCGACAGTGGAAAGTACACCTTCGAGTCCCGACCCACGACACCAGGACCCGGCCAACGTCCACGTGACGAGCGGTTGGAGAGGCAGCTCAACGGCCTGAAGTTGAATGGAGAGCTGCATTTGCCACGGAGGAAGGATACGCTGGAGAGCAACCAGAGCGAAACATCCAACCACTCTGCTCCCACGAGCGCTGGAGGCCATTTCGGCACGAACGGTGTCACCTCTTCACCCGTCACTACTGCGCCCTCATTCAACAGGGAGGGTAGCGGAGCACAGCCGCCAGACTTCAAGCCTCAGAGAGGGTACAAGCAATGGGTCGCCCAGGCCGGCACTCTGATTGCAGATCTCTTGACATGTGCTGGTGCCGACCATGTCATCACCATGGATCTCCATGACCCGCAGTATCAAGGATTCTTCGATATTCCTGTCGACAATCTCTACGGTCGACACCTGCTTCGTCGCTACATCACCCACCAAATTCTGCCTCAGCATGGAGGTGTGGACGACTGTGTTATCGTCTCGCCAGACGCCGGTGGTGCGAAGCGAGCGACATCGATCGCTGACAGCCTCGGAATGGATTTTGCCCTTATCCACAAGGAGCGCCGCAGCCCTCATGTGCCCAGCTCAACGGAGCCGCATCAACACTCGGCACTCTTGCTTGTCGGCAAAGTCAAGGACCGGGTGTGCATCTTGGTTGATGATCTGGCAGACACCTCAAATACCATCACCCGTGCCGCCAAGCTGCTGAAGAAGCAGGGTGCGAGCAAAGTTGTTGCCCTTGTCACGCATGGCGTGCTCAGTGGTGATGGTGTTGACAGGATCTTTCACTCTGGCCTGGACAAGGTCATCGTGACGAACACAGTGCCTCAGGAGGAGCACGTGCGGAGGATCGAGGAACTTGCTGTGCAGTACGGACGACCACAGGATGCCAGGAAACTGGAGGTCCTGGAAGTCGCAGGTGTTTTTGCTGAGGTAGGTCGACACCCGTTCATACGGTGGCTATTACTAACAACATACGAAGGCAATTCGGAGAGTACACCACGGAGAGAGCATCAGCGTGCTATTCCAGTACGACTAGCAGCCGCAGCCGGACAGCGCGCGTGGTGCTTGTCTCAACCATTTGCAGTCGACGTCCTCCAAGAAAGGTTGGGACTCGCTGCTGACAAGTCCAGATCTGCCCGGAATGAGTGGCATGGGTTTGCACTGATCAGGTTGCATTGGAAGTCTATTCTATCGTGATAGAAGGTGTTTGGGCGTGCAGAAGCACTTCAGTCATAGAAGTGGAACTGTATTGAGGCTCTGTAATGCATACCGGCATTCAAAAATCTGTCCATGGAGACGCCGTTGTGCCAAGCCTTATCTTATTCGAACATGTTGGTGATGCGTCTCTGATGACAGAAGCTTGTGCCAGATAGATTCAGGAGACAGTTTAAGATCCTGCTGAAAAATCCCGCATCAAATCTACGCTGCGCCGGCCACACTCTCCCAATGATTGCTGGCTGCACACACCTCAGTCTTTGAACGAAGCCATCAGACGCTCTGCTTCGAATTGCAAATCCCATCATCATACTTTACCTCATGGTCTCTCAACTCACCTGGGGCCTGCGTGACTGTGGACCTGGCCAGCGAACACAACGGTAAGCCGTGACTTCACATATATAGGTGTAATTTGTTTTCAGGACCATATGGGCTACAACTCATGGCCGTGTGGCGAGCTATGCAAGCCACTGCTAGTTCAGCTACAGATGTACTTCGCAGATCTCGACATAAAGTCGCCTTTGAGTGAACAACTCTTTTACCTTCGCCACTTTTGTGAGTTTCTGCCGCTGACATGCGGCGGAAAGATACGGATGCGTGATATTTAGCGTGTCCTGCGATGAAGAACTGTAGTGTGCTTGAACCACAACGCTATGTGACGTCCACTTCACGTGAACGAAGGTCTGAGTCTTCGCGATCATGCTTTGTGTTTTGCTTCATCGCGAACATGCTTAGTGCTGAAGATGCTCGAGCCTGATGTGTAGTTAGAAGCTTGTGCCTATCTGCAATGGAAAGTTCTTGAGCTCAGCGAGCGGTTTGAAATCACCATTGATAGGTTCCAGCAGTGTTTGATGGCTGTTCCCATTGGTATCCCGATCACACACGGGCAGCAATGGTCCATCCTTTGACCTACTTCTTTTTGTGCACAGGACACTGCGCGGCTGTGCCACATGGAACAGCTACCAGTCAGGGAGACAACATGGCTGTGTCTAGTCTCTTGATACGAAACACCTTCTCGCGACAGCTACGCTCTTCTATTGCTGCGCCTTCTTTTTCTTTTGGGCTTGCCCGTACTATGTCGGTGCGTTGATCGCAACACACTGAATGAATGGATGTCCCATCTCTCTGTCTATCTGCATCCGCATCTAGGTGGCATTGAGCAGGCGCAGCCCTCGTTCTATGGTCTCAACCAATGCGAGCTGATCGGCACTTGATTGACGGCGATGATGTATTGGCCTCGTGGCCGCTGTGTGCTTCCGCGCACAACTCTTGCCCGTCGTTTAAGACAGCCTTCCCAACAGTCGAGGTGGTCAACGCAAACCTGGTGTGGCTGCGCTTGCGGAACTTTGCTGTACGATCGTGTGCATGATGACAATACTCCCGGCGAGTCAGCAAGAGGCGCGTGGAGAGGTCGTACGCTCGCGTGGTTCTGCTCGCAGCTCCTACAAATCAGTGGCCAACACCCTGCTACTCAGGCAGCTCGGGCGTGAGCATAGTTGTTGCGCAGTTGACAGAGCTCGCGGCCGCAGTTATTTTGCATTCAAGGGGCATGCTGGGCGATTATCGCGCTCGTGGAAGACGTCTGATATGTCCGACACGCAAGCGCTCGGACAAGTATGTCCATGGTGAGAGACTATCGCTCATGTAGCACTGTGTTTCTCCTTAGGTCTGCCTGACCTGTGATCTCACTCATGTGCTGCGTTTGTGCCTCGTCGTTGTAAATGCATCCGGTGCCTTGCCATGGCCAACAGGAATGACCTGGTTATTTCCAGCAGCCCTTTCGTGCGGCATGAAGATTTTCAACGAAGATTGTGCCATGAATGAGTTCTTGCGTCTGTCAAGCAAGTCTCTGGAGGCTGTGCGAGCGCTGTCGTCTTGCAACTTGTCTCCAACATCTTGCCTCGCCCCTCCTCCGTCTTGTGTGCCTCCCGGTAGAAGTAGCCAATGCCAGACAGCCGTGACTCTCGGTCGCGTTGGTTCGAGAGGCCGGTCGTGGCCTTAATCCGCCTTACGTGCAGTGTTTTAGCGGTCGTTTCGGTGCAGAGGTCGGTGCGGAGGTCTGTGTGGACTGCGGAATTGTCTGACGGCGCCCAAGCGTGGACTACTGTCGTCGTCGTCGGGCTCCTCGTCAACTTAGCGTGGCTTGCGATTCCTGTAGCGGCGTTGACAGCTGGGTCGAGCGGCATGATTCGTTTCGGTGGACGGGCAAAAGGGCTGCGGTGATACCTGTCTGCATAGCAGTGGTTTTCGCTAGTGGTGGTGGAATTTGAGCAGACTCGGAGACTTTCTACTCTGCTCGCAAGGGTCGAAGTTCAAAGCCACGTTCCAGATCGCTACGAGCCAGTCGTACTCCTCGTCGCTCGTCCAGCCCGCGCCGTGCATGTAGTGATCAATCTGACGATCCCTTGCCGCAGTCACTCCCCTTTTGCGGAGTTGCCACATCAAGGAACGGTGCCTTACCTACTCTTCGCGTCGAATGTGCCTTTGTCATCGTGGTTGTGTGCCAGAATGGAGGCTTGGCGCAAGTCGGTGGTCACAAATTCCATTGCAACGCCAACGTCCAGCCCGACAGTTTCGCCACACCATCAAAACACAATGGAAAATTCCATTGAGCATACGAGGAAGGTGGTGAAACTTTTCTGATGCCCCTCAAATTGTGTTTGCATGTTCAGAAGGCTGTGTTGTGTTGCAATGGCGGTCGAGGCAAAAAGATGTCGCGTTCGAACCCCTGGATTCGAAACACCACCCAGAATTGAACCGTGAACCAGCAAAAAAATGAGCTGATGCGACGCGCGCTTTGATGTGTACTACACAGTGATGTTAGCGAGCTCCCCCAAGGCTATATAGACTATCTAGACTATATAGGCGGCGAGCTGGCAGGCGGTCTGGCAATGGCATGGGCATTGACAGCGAGTGATTGGTCCTACACGGTATGTTAGCTGACGGAAGGGATCTTTCTGAGCCCAAATATATACCTCAAAATCAGCCCAGCCCTACAATCGGACATCTTCCGCAGCAGACCACCTAGACTTGTTTTGATGCCAGGACATTGCGATCTAGGTCCACCTCAGGCTCCGCTCGAAATATGGAGTGTTTTGATCAATTGGTTGTTGAGATACAGGGTGTTGGGGCTGGCGTTGTGGTGGTCGTGATGAGCCGTCAAGCTCGGCGGGGGCAGCTTCAGCAGGGCAATACTGCGCCCGCCGTGCAATGATTCACTCCACCGTGGTATTCTGATGCCTACAAAGTTCCTCGCAAGATGGTCCACAACAACTAGACGACGGAGGCTGCGCTGAGGGGCAGTACTGCCATGGCCAGCACGACAAGGGATGGACACTCAAGCAGGACTACGCGCGCTGGAGCCGTAAGGTATGTAGCAGTAGAGCTGAGTCCACATGCTTCTGGGCGTCTCCAGGCACAGCGAGATGGCATAAAACATCAATGAATGCCAGCCACATAGACCATGAACTCCGTTGAAAGCAAGGCGAGCACATAGAGGGAGCGCTCAGTGACGACGGAGACCTCAGCGGCGGCGGCCCTGTAAAGCTCTTCCAAGCCACTTCGTGACGGCTCAGTAGATTGCAGTGCCGCCCATTGCATCAAGCACACAGCAGAGACATTCCAGTGCTGTCACGGTGGCCTTCCAACACCGCCCTCGAATCTGCAATAACCACGCCGGACTCGTCCTCGAACTGATCGACTTGAGGACAACGCCGCGAGAGCTATCGATGGCTCTAGTCCGATTGACAGCAGATTCACTAGTCCAGCGCCTCCGTCGCATCAACGAGGACACAGCGCGGGCTCTCTAGTGCTTTCGCGGTAGTCTCCAAGTTCCATCCTCGAATTCGCAACGACCACGCCGCGTGCGCCCTCGAAACGATCCCACTGCGTGACCGCATTGCGTAGGCCCTCGAACGCACACGAACACACCACCACCTCACGATCGCGCGGTCTGATCAATCGGACGTTCCGGAAGAGTTTGGTACGCGGGACTGACTCAGACAGGCAATTGAGGGGGCGGCGACAGCAAACGAGGCCGCGGAACATACAAGAGGCGCGGATTCGTATCGGACACACCTTCATCACCGTGACATCGACATTGCGAGGCACAGTGCGGGAGAGCTTAGACAATGGCTGCCCCTTGGGAAACGAAAGGGCCGATTTACGAGTACTCTTTCTACGAGTGCAAGACCGGTCTCGCAACGCAGTGGGGTCCGTGGGGACACACGGATACTTCTGGACAGGATGGACCTGTGACCGAATTGCATGAGCATCTGTGTGCGGCGTTTGGCGCAGGGCGAATCTCTCAGATCACCTGGCATAAGGATCCAGCACCAGGATCGAGATTGAAGCCAAAGTCAGAGCCAGAGTTAGAATTAGAGTCAGATCCAGAGGACTATTTCGAACCATCGAGAGACTGTCGGAGACGAACGCATCCACTCGACGAGCTCTACCCAAATCCAGCTAGTGTTCCGCTGAAAATTGGCAACGCCATCGTCTACCTCCATGTCGACAAAGGAGCGACAACTACTTCGAGCTCAGACCAGAAAGCACGGGAGCATTTGCAACCGGGCAGCTCGGGAGGAGATCACGAATCGTCCACTGACAGCGCAGTGATTGAGGCGACTTCTCCAGCAGCTTCTTCTACCATAATTCCTCCAAATATCGAAAAGCCGAACAATACCCAGCCAAAGGCAACCCGGAAGAACGACAAGGGCAAAGGTCGTGCCATTGAGCAAGAGCAAGGAGAGGAGGAGGCACAGTTGGGAGCGACAAGCCACGCGACAAGCTCTGGGGTGGAGCCACCAACGGAGTCGTCTAGCATTGGCAGCAACAGGACAAGAGAGGGAGCCGCGCGTCTGGAACGCATTACAACGGCATCAGCAGCTTCAGCTCCTTCTCGTAAGGTTCCAAAGTCGGAAGAGCACAAACTCCAGTGGAACCAGGAGATGAAGCTCTGCCTGTGGGTCATGGAAGAGGCCTTCGGTACGCAGCTAGGAGACTGGGGACGGAAAGCGGATGTGTGGAATCAAGTCTTCATGTAACCAGCAGGTCTTCAAAGATGGCCAGATTCTCACAAGCAGCAGAAAGGCCTTTGAGAGGCAACTGAGGGCCCAGCTTTCCGAGCACGTGAAGGCCGAGAAAAAGTATCAAGCTCACAAGCCCGCGATCAAGCAATGGGTAGACATCAAAGCCATGGACAAGCAAGGTGAGGGTTTCCGAGCCATGGAGCGGAAAGTTCAGGCTGCTATCGCTGCTCTGGACAAAGAGAGTGGTTGGACGCGCTAAATGGCAAGACGGAGCAGAGAAGGCACCGCAGCATGGCTTAGAGCAGGCGCACAAGCAGTGAAGAGAGCAGCCGGGTAGGGATTCGCATGGGACATAGACGAAGGGGCCGGTGCGAGCAGTGGTTCGTCCTCGCGGATACCGCTCTTCCCTTTCCGTATTGAGTTGAAAAGCATCACGATTGACTGTGCCTCATCTCCGGTCTGATGTGATTGTGCGCGCTGACATGTACACTTTCCGAGTCGATCGTGATGTCTGTAGTCGGTTCGAGAAACCACTAGCGTAGGAAACGAGCACATTCATACCACGAGCACTCTGTTGTATAGCTGCCATTCAAGCTCCGTGATCAGCATACGCGAAGCAGCCCATATATCAACGACATTTGGAAAGTATTTCCAGCGCTCCCTCGTAGCTCTGGCGTTCGCGTGCATTTATTTTGACCACGCTTCGACAGGTCGACCTGCATGGTTGCTTGGAGAACTGACCAGCGCGGCCGAGCAAGCTCGACGAGACCACGAGCGCTCTGATGTACTACTGTCATAGCAGCTACGCAGGCCACCTGTGCGAACTTGACCTATATGTTGAAGTCTTGAAGAGAATTATGTTCGTAAGCGCTGCGCGTAGCCCTGGCGATGAAACGCCTTCGCTTCGCCCATGCCTTCATTCGCAGCGAGGGACGGGCAAGGTAGCGCCAGCGCCATAATGCTGTAGCTGTAGCCATAGGAGATGAGACACGTCTGTCGCTCTTCCACCAGCCTGCCGGTTGAAAGGTAGGCCGCTTGGATTGCACGGGCCTGTGGCTCTGTAAGCGCTGGTTGCGCAGCGCAGCACACTGCAATAGCGCCATGTTCGACGGTTCAGCCCAGCTCGTCCATACCATGGACAACGAGAGCATTCGAGCAATGCGAACGATGGAAGCACATCTCCACGACATTCCTTTTGATCGCCGCCGTCACCGCAATCCCGTACCGCTTTACCCACGGGCACGATGAGGCAAGGCCTCCGCCATCATCGAAACCTCGTACCGCCACGACCACAGCCGCGCCGATCGAGAATGCCGCCGCCATCGTATCCAGGCACGGCCACGACCATGGCCAGGCCGACCGACGACTACCGTCGCCGCAGAAATGCCGTACGGACGCGCTCACGGCAGCATTGTGGAGGAATCCCGCCATCACAGAAACCTCGTACAGCCACGACCACGGCTACGCCGATCCACGAATGCCTCCGCCATCGTCTTGAGGTACAGCCGCGAACATGGCCAGGCCGATCGATCACTATCACCGCCGCAGAAATATGGCACGGCCGCGCTCACGGCAGCGATTGGGAGGACTGCAGCCATCACAGAAACCTCGTACGGCCTCGCCTACAGCCATACCGGTCGATGAGTTCCCTGGCCAAAGAAACACCGTGCGGCCACGATCATGATCACGGCGATCGATCGCGTCCGCCGCAAAAAGGACCATCGGGTGCCCGCGCTCACGGCGGCGTTCGCGGCCGCGATGATGGACAACTTCCAATACCACCGAGACGACCTCGCGGAGCTGCCGCTAGAGCCATAACGATCGCCAACTTCGACCGTCACCGAGACCTCGTATGGCCGCGGACACAGGAATTACGAGCAACGACAGCCACCACCACCGAGACCTCGTAGCGCTCCGTCCATAACCATACCGATCGACGACTTCCACTACCATCGAGACCTCGTAGAGCCGCGCGCATAGCCACAACGATCGATTTGTAGGGCTGCGCTCACGAAAGCAACCATGGGCGGCTTCTAGCACCACCGAGACCTCTTCCAGCGGCGCACAAAGCCACAACAATCGACGACGACGACCGCCAAAGCCCTCGTAGAGCCACGCTCACGGCAGCAATCATGAACGACTTCCACCTACGCCGATACCTCGTGTGTTCACGCCCACGGTCACGACGATCGCCGAATTACATCGCCACCGAGACCTCTTACGTCCACGTACGCAGCCATAACGATCGCCAAACTGCTCATCCTGTCTTCGGACGGCGAGTCTACGTCCTACAACCAGAACACGCCCATCGAAAGCAATACGACAACCGCTAGCTCCGAGACTATGGCTGAACCCATGGCGATCAGCGGCTTCCGCATCGTGTTCCTGATGGCAATACCAGGTCCCAGAACGGAACACTGCCTAGCAATAGCACGGCTGGAGCAGACACTAAGAGGCGGAGACGGGCGACAAAGGCTTGGCAGAGGAAAAGAACCGCATGGTGATGATCATCAACACGATCATGGCGTACGCATATGGATACGGCCGGACGCAGCGTTGAGGATGGCCTGCCTGGGCACCATAGCCTCTGGAAGCGCCGCGAGTAGGCTATCCTAGTTCGCGCCGCGTGGACAGCGCATCAGCTCTTAGGAGCAATACATTCATCGCCGCAGGTAGTAGCAGTCGGGTGTGTCGAAGGCTCAGCGGACAACAACAATAGGGTGATTATTCACACGATGGATGCGTTCTTGTGTGGTCCATCCACGGCCAATAAAACATCGATGAGAGCCTTCCGCAGCGTAGCTTTTGGCAGCGCCGGAGGTGGTACCGGTGCCAATGCGCGACCTACGGGCAGACAACCACTCCTTGAGAGCAATAACAAAGCCGGAAGAAGTAATGAGAGCCGACTGAATGAAAGGCTAAGTGGACAATGGCAGCACGAGGATCATCGGCCACAATGTTTGCGCATCCATATGGCTACGACCACTGCCACAACGATCGGCGGCTTCCTCAGCCTAGCCTCTGGCGATGCTGCAGATGGTGGCAATGTCAGTGCGCGATTTGTAAATGCGCATGCAACACCAAACTTGCACCGGGTGTGACAAATCCGATGCACTGGAGGCTTTGTGGACCATCACAGCAGGATAGCCATCATTTACGAAGATGGCAGCCCTGTACGGCCACAGCCAACGCCAAAAAGACCGAAAAACCCAACATTGTGGCCTCCAGTGTTGCCGTAGATGGCAGCTGCTCGGGTTTGCATGTTTCATGGGATGCAGTCCTTCGAAGTGTTGCCACAGTCTGCGCTCACATGAGCCTCTGAACGCGTCGACAGCCTGGCGCGCAGCAAGACGACGAGACTCATCACCAGATAGATAGGCCGGGGATGCTACCAGATTGCCCTTTGGAGTCGTGATGAGCGGCATTAAAAGGACGGATCAAGAGGGTTTGTCGATGCCATGTCGGCAGACCACAAAAAAGCATTTGCGGCAGTTCCATCGTGATCGGAGAGTCCCACGTTCGCGACGATCCCGCAGCGTGTGAATGACCACATGATGGCAGGTGGCAACCTCATCCGACAAGGGGTGTACAATAGCCGGCGAGCAGAAGAGCAAGGATGTGCTGCCAATACGGACAGCTTGACAAGAGGTGAGCACAATGCTGCGTGGCAGATTCGGACATGCCTTCATGATGCGAATCCGGCCCGAGAGTGGCGATTGGAACAGATACAAAGCATCCAGCTCGACCAACTTGGGAGCGTCCAAGCGGGTATGTCGAACAAAGACGACTACCTTCACGAAGTGCAACGCCTTGCCATGAAGTGAAATACACAGCGTTGATGACAACCAGAAGAGAATGTGCAACAACTTCGCGGCCTTGTTCAGGAGAAAACGAATGGCGAGCCGCTGCCATCAGGTGAATTGTTGCATCTTCACTGGACCTTGTTGGGAAAGCGGGTCGCTCTTGCCGGCGTTTAGCGCCATACTTTGGAGGCACTGCTGGATCCGGTACGTCTCGATCGTCGTGGAGGTAGGCATGGCCATCGAACTGCGCCAGCTTGGGCCGGTGGCATCATCCAGCTCTTCGCTTTGTGATCTGAGAGCCGAGAACCCTAGACACTGCGGCTGCAACGGAATGGACAAATTTCGCGGCAATTTCCCAACGCAAGCATGTTGGCAGCATATCAAGAGGTGCTTTGATCAACAGGCGAGGAGATATGGCCAACAAAGGCGTTCGCTTGTTGCATGCTTGCAGAAGAACGCAGAGCTACCTGTGCCTCGACTGAAGAGTGCTCTGCTGACCAGCTGATCATTCGGATCAGTGTATTGATCTTGAGTGCTTGAGTTTTCTGGGCCAGATAAATGCTCTGCAGGCTTGGTGAGCCTGCATAGGTACGACATACCGGCCCACAGAAAAGGTCTGGACCAGACTTCTGGATTCAATATTTTGCATCTCCAAATTAGGACAGGAAAAAACCCGTGGGACGCATGAGTTCTGTCCATGTGACCTAGAAGACGTCAAGACGCACACGGCGCCTGCAGCCTGCGAAAAGTCTCTCGAGGCTTATGATGATCCATCCCAGGCGACGTGGCCAGGTAAGCCAGATAACGAAGTGTCCTTGGAGTCGCTGTGCAGAGTACATATTTTCTCGAGCATCCTGGAGCTCGAAAGTGCATCAGTAGGCCCACTGTGAGTCCGGAAATGCGAGGTACGGCGATGTTCACGCAATTCCAGTATTGTCGGCAAAGAGGAGGCTCGCACGACTGGAGGACCAACCCGAAAAGCGTGTATTGCTTCCCTCAGAGTAAGACCCCACGAATGACCTGAGCACAATTTTCATGGAAAGGTCATCATTCTCCTCACATTCTGTCCTTCAGGGAAGTACCAAGGCTCGTACTTGACTCCAGGGAATGATCTCATGGTTCCCGACGTGCAGCATGATCATTCGGCAATGCTTTTCTGGCCCCATATCGTCCATCTAGCATACATATGCTGGGCAGCACTTTGCGTGGTTCGGCAAAGTGTGTTCAATAATCTTCTGTCTGAGCGCCTTCATTGGGCTGTATCGCTATGCGCCTGGAGTGGTACATTTCCAGCTGGATCACCGGATCTTGACATGATGGTAGCAGTGTCGTACTGTTGGAAGACTCTGTGGGGCCACGATGCTGCAGGCAAGTGTGCAGTCCGAATGTTCAAGCTCCGAGATGAGGTGGGAGCGACCACCACGTCCACATCCCGCGCCAAGATCTGGCCTCGGCGGCAGGATCGGATCCACCCTGTCTCTTTGACCTCCATTCCGGGAGCAGTTCATTATCCCTCTCATCGTATTCATGCTCTGCTTCCACTTCTCCTTCCGTGGCACTGGCAGCTGGCGTAGAGATCAGCGATCGATTACGATGCGACACGGCCAGGTCTCCTCTATAGTCGTGGGCAGTATGATGCCTCCAGGATGGCCAGCAGCACCTTGAGCGACCCTGTGCGTATATGCACAATGCGGACAACGATCCTCTGATGAGCGAGGAACCGATACTGTCTATGCTGCATACCGCAGTCTCTGGCTCGCCACGTCCCTCGATCGCCGAAATGGCAACAGCCACGAGACTTTCTGCTTGAACACTCGGACTGGATGTCCGAGATGCATAGCAAGAGGCTGGCCGAATACCACGAGATGTCTGCGCAACAAGGGGACGCATTCAGGACTCTTTCAAGAGATGGAAGATGATGCGACCATGATGAAAAATCATGCTGCTGGTATACTGCGCAAGCCATCGCCGTCTATTCCGATGGAGGGTCAAACTGCAGACAAAATTTGTTATGCGTTGAGGCTCTACACCTGCACAGGTCGCGCTTCGAACAACTGCTCTGTGGTATCCTTGCAGCACCAGATCCCGCTAGTAGTCTTGAAGCCATACAACGGCGTCGGAGTGATACTGGGATGTCTGGCCTCACCACATTGCAGTAGGTTGGTCCTGCCAGCTCTCGTCGACCTGAGGTCTCCTTTGCTTTCAGGTGTACGCCTCTTGCTGTCAAATACGGGCTGTCCATTTATCAGGCTGCCCTGTTCGACACGGGAATTGCTTTGCCAAAGCGGCTCGCCGATCGCCCGGTCGAATGAGTATCTTGCCCGGCGCGCGATACTTTGATCGAGAGCGGTACGATTGTCTTGCGCTTCACGCGTACCTCCTGGCCTGCGTCCCGCATTACCCGACTCTTGAGATATGCACGCTGTCCAGACCATCCAGGGCTACCTCCAACACCATGCTCTTCTTGGAGTCGTGTTCTTGGGTAGCCACGGCTTTCGCGGGTGTCGCTAGCCTCAGCAGTGTCGCGCCGGCTGACTATTGCTCATTGGTAGGCTCAGCAGTGGGCTCGATCACGATTTAGGATCACGCGCCCGCGATGCGGCGACTGAATCGGCGTGGCAGACAAGATCCTTCGACTTCGTGTGCTGTGCTCGGTTGGTGGTCCCCTCGCTGCGGCGTCCATCAAGCATGTCGCCCGCGATGCTTCGTCCTGAGCTGTACTAGATCGACGACTTTCCTTGCCGCCGGCTTGCTCAGCGTATTTTTTGCAAGATTCCCTCGTGAATTGGACTGGTACGATTCTCAGGCCACCGCTGCTCTCAGTCAGCGCACTGTCCGCAAGGTCTCCTCATCTACTGGCTTTGGTTAATTGTCTGGCCCTGGCGGATCTTGCTCAGCATGCTGCCTGGAAAGCTTCCCCGTGCACCGATCTCGCCACTGTCACCTCCAAAAGCCTCTCGTTGGCGGGGTTTCATTGTACACTGTGCTCGGACGATGATCGCGCCATTGCCGTTGCCAACACGCTGTCATTCGCGAGGCTTCGTCGTGTGTCGAGCCGCCGATTATCTCTCCTTCACCGCCTCCATCAACGCGCCAATCGACACGCCGATCAACAGACTTTGTTGTGCGCTGCGGTCGATCAGATGTATCGCCTCCACTGCCTCTGTGAGAGCATTGTGCGCAAGCTCCCATTGTGCACTGACGCTCGCCGAGCTTGGCGGAACTCTGTTGGGGCGACGAGCCCGTCGCTGGAACTTATTCGAGCGACCGGCATCGACCCCAGCAACCCCACTGGTGGTGAATCATGCTACCATGGAGCTCAAGGTGGCATTGGCCGGTGATGGACCAAGCATCATCGCAGGCTTTTAGTTCCCCAAGTCTTCGAAGAATGCGGATCTATTCAGATTGCGATATCATCACTGCTCCCCAATGTAGAGCGCGGGAGCCTGCCCGGATAGTCCTTCAATGTCCGCCCCTTTGCCCGACGGCTTTGTCCATCATTGTCCCCATCCAGGCCGTCTCTTCTCAACCATGCTGCCGTCACGGTCATGCCACGAGCCGCCTATGTGCTCGCGTCGGTCGCATAGCGCTCGCAGTAACGGTTCCGACTGTGCGGAGTCTGTCTGGAAATTCAATCCCTGGCCTGAGCCAGCTCGATAAGCGTGTGTTATGGTGTCCCAGCGCCATTCCCTTTCGCCCGAAGCCCGCACTAAACGGTATGCATGGATGTATCCGCTCGCTCGACTGCAACGCATTCGCTTCCATTTGCTTTTCTCCGCTGTTCATGGCGCTCGGTAACGGTGTAGGCTCTATGAGTGTAATTTCGGTTGGCTCGGTGGTCTCGACGGTCGTTTGGGATCGCTGTATTTGTCCGATCGATCGCCAGCGCATCTTTCTTGCGCAGCGCGCTCGCTCCCAATCCTTATCCAATGCTAGAGCCAGCTCATGGGCATCATTGTGTCTGTCCGTTCGACCAACTAAGCATCTGCTCCGTGCAACGCACTCGCTTCAACCCTCCTCTTTTCACCACGAGCAGCTCGCAGGTGTGGCGGACACTCCCCGACGGCGATTTTCGTCGATTCGTGGCTCTGGCGGTGGATGGGCATCGCTGTATGCGCTCGTTCGGTCGAAATGGCGTTGCCCTCCTACAGCGCACTGGCTCGGAAGCAGCTCATAGGCATTGCGGAGGCTCGTCGATGGAGATCATCGTCGGTTCGTGGCCACGGAGGCGGGCGGGCATCGTTGTGTCTGCTCGGTCGATTGCAGAGGTGTCCTCTGCGCTCGCTACTCATCGCCTTTCCTGATCGTGAGCAGCTCATAGGAATGGCGGGGCCTCGTCGATGGACGATTTTCGTCGGTTCGTGGCCACGAAGGTGGGCGGGTATCGCTGTATCTGCTCGGTCGCTCGCAAAGGTGTTCTTGCGCGCTCGCTAATTATCGCCTCTCCTGATCATGTGTTGCTCGTAGGCGTGGTGCAGCCCCGTCGGTGGCGGTCATCGTCGTTTCGTAGCCCCGGAGGCGGATGGGCATCGCTGTATCTGCCCAGTCAATCGCAAAAGCTGTTTCACGCGCTCGCCAGTGAATGGCTTTGGTGACCGCGAGCGGTACGGGGTATGGCGAAGTCTCGTTGATGGCGATTATCGTCGTGCGCAGCTCCGGAGCTGGTGGGCAACGCGATTATCATCGTCCGCGGTCTCGGCGATGGATGGGTATGGCTTTATCTGCTCGGTCAATTGCGTAGGCTTTCTCGCACGCTCGTCAGTAATTCCCTTTGGTGATCCCGAAGGGCTCAGAGCCACTGGAAGACTCGTCGATGGTGATCAGCGTTGTTGGCGACCCTGGGGATGGATGTGAATCGCCAAATCTGATCGGTCAATCGCATAGGCGTTCTCGTACGCTCGCCAGTAAACCCCGTTGATCATCGCGCGTGGCTCGGCGACATGGCGAAGACTCGTCGATGGTGATCAGCGGCGTTCGCAACCCCGGAGATGGGTGGGAATCGCCGTATCTGCTCGGTCGATCGCATGGACATTCTCGCGAGTGGCTCGCAGGCGCGGCGAAGACATTTCGATGGCTATCACGGTCAACTCCTAGCCCACGCGCTTGATGGAACCGCTGTATGTGCTCAAATAATCTCACAGGCGTTCTTGCGAGTTGCTCGGAAGCATGGCGAAGACTCTCATGGCGGTCACGGACGATATGTAGGCATGGCGCTCGATGGCATCGCTGTACGTGCTCAGACGATCGCATGACCGACCTCGCGAATGACTTGGAGGCACGGCGAAAACTTCACGATGGTGATCACGGTCGAATCGTAGCCCCTTCGGCCGATGGCATCGCTGTATGTGCTCAGGTCATCGCAGCGTCCTCGCGCACGCGTTCATAGGCATAGTGTCTGGTCGCGAGCGGCACATTGGGGCTGGGCAGACTCTACGACTGCACTTTCAGTCTCACGCACACATTGCCGTGATCGAGAGTCAGCGCGGATGATCATTGTGGTGAGCCTGGCAGGCGCTGCATCAAGACCGCCGGCTGCACAATCATCTGCCGTCCTTCGAGAATCCTTGCGGCCTACGGGCATCACCGTATCTGCTTCACTATCGGCAAGCGCATGTCCTTGTAGTCTACCTTGCGCACCACGAGCAGCTCGTAGGCATGGCAGACACGCGTGGAACACGCTATGGCTCGCGCACGAAATACAGCGGTCAACAGTCCGGTCAGACGCTCAAGACCGTGAGCCTTGTGTCGCATCACAGCGCGGGGAGTATCCTAAGATCTGCCGTCCTTCGTGGAGTTTATAAGGTGATGGGCGTCACTGAGGTGCATTTGCGCGGTGAATCGCATGGGCACCAATACATGATCTGCCCGCGCACCACACCCAGCTCGTATGCATGAAACTGCTCGCGCACGCACTGCAGTGGGCGATCGTTGGCTCAGGCTCGCAATATCGTGGGACTCGCTACTGCTGCATCAAAGAGCGCTGATGATCCCAACACCTACCCTCGAGGGACTTCACGGCCGGTTTGCATCGCTGTGTGTGCTCGGTGAATCGCACAGGGGTGACCTGGCGATCTGCCTCACGCGTCACGGATGGCTCGCAGGCGTGGTAGATACGCGATGAACATGCTATCTCTTGCGCACGCACCGTCGACGGTCGAGTCGGGCGCCCAAGGTCGTGAGCCTTCAAGGCGCCGCAACAGAGAGCGCTCGTTGCTTCAAAATCTGCCACCTTCCACAAGGTTGCACGGCCTAGTAATGTTCATGGCGGTTCTGCTCGATCCTTCGCATGCGTGCGCCCCATAATTTCTCCCGCGCATTGGTATCGGCCCGGAGCCAGAGTAGAGACTCGTTCATCCCTCGCGCATGTAATGCAGTTGCTCATAGTGGGCTCAGGAGGCCCAATATGAGCCTGACCGATGCCACATGAAGACCGCAGGGCGCTCGCTCATTCGTCGCCTTTCAGGAGTACTGGTGCAATCGCACACGCCGGCCGTATCTCTGTTTCGTTGAGACTCTGAAACCCGATGCATCCGCCTACCTATTGCCTCTACCCAGTGGGCACTGTGTGAAATTCACGATGACTCGCGTACCATTTGTTTGAAGCCCAGGCACACATTCACGACAGCGTACAGTGGAATAAAGCGAGTCTAAATATGGACGCGGTGCATTGCGATGTCTATCGTTGCCGTACGTGGCTCTGCTGTGCACGCAAGTAACGCCAACTGTCGTCTGCCGGACCATTGGACCCTAATTGCGTCTGACATTTATATATCCCCGTTCGTCCAGCACTGCCATCGAATCAAATCTCCACCAATCACGCTTCAAGCTGATTCGAATGTCGAGAACACAACACAATGGTGCGTATGAATTCTGCTCAAGCACGTTAATGAAACTTGTCCGAATGTGTATACGCTAGTTGGCATCTGCTGAATTACACGGACGTTTCCCTTGGAGATTAGCGCCCAAGTTTTTTGCTCGTTGAGTCCGCGGTTCGATTGAGGGTATCGGAAGGTGTTTCTTTTTTGCTCGCCGCTACCTTCAACCCCTTATTGCGGCCCTCACCAGCGTCGCTGCACCATCACAACCTTTTGAGCTCCATCTGCACACTTTTGGGGTTCTCATCATGTAGCTGCAACACATTTACGGCATGTGGTGCTGCACATACTGTTGTTCGAGGCAAAAGATGTTGGCTTTTGAGAAGTCTTGGCGAAGGTGTTGTTGATTCAGCGGCTCCAGCGTTTTGCTACACCGCGCCTTTTCACCGCGATCAGCACCAGGTGCTCAAACACATGACTATGAGCTTGTTCGCGATCATCGGACGAGGTTCAGCATGTTTTCCGCATGTCAATAGCACCGCAAGGGCGTGAGATGTGGCTCACGAGGGCAAAACTTCACGGCGTTTGGAAAGTCTTGGCAGCGCTGTGTCGCTAGCCACGGCGTCGCCAGCAGACAAAATGGGCCTCTCCCACCACCAACAGCCGCTACAACCTGTTCGAACGACGACGAGCTCCATCTGCAAAGGTATGAGCTCGTTTACGTGATTTTTGCACGGCCTTTGGACGGTTGTGGCGTGCGCGAGTGTGACGAGAGGGACTTTCAGAACTTTTGGCGCGGCGGCGGACTCGGTGATGGCACCAGTCGGTGACACAGCAGAGTTTTGCAGTTTGACAGGCACATTCGCAGGATCACGAACAACACCATGAGCGCCAAGTAATCTCAGCGGCAAAGCTGGCTTGATCAAGGGCCTGATCAGGCAGTGTTCCACGACACAGCAGATGAATCTCACCTCAGCAGTTTCGCAGCATCACGATCATCACCTCCAGAACTTTTGCCGTGGCGGCGGACTCGGCAATGGCACCAGTTCGCGACACAGCAGCTGGCTCGCCAGTCGACAGGCACGTTCGCAGCGTCACGAAAAACACCATGAGCGCCAGGTAGTTCCAGCGGCAAACCGGGCTCGACCACGAACCTGGTCAGACAGAATGCGACGGCACAGCAGGGCACTCCAACATCAGCAGATTTACAGCATCATGATTATCACCTCCAGAGCTCTGGCAGCAATTCGCGACGCAGCAGAGAACTTGCAGAGTAGCGCGCTCGCAGCCCCTCGAACACCACCACGAGCGCCATCACCATGAGCGCCACGAACATCGTCACAGGAGCAATAAAAGAGACTCAAGGGCCTGCACACCTGCCCACGATGGTGCTCCTGTTCCTGGTTTGGAGTACAGTACGGAGACTTCACATCAATGGGTAGGACAGGCATAATTCGATCACGTTGCCAGCGGCATCCTTGTCTCGATCACTAGGTCCTCAGACAGGAACACGCGACGCAGCAGAGGACTTGGAGAGTCGACACCCTCGCAGAGCTCCACGAACAACATCACAGACTTTCCCGACAGCCTCAGAAAGTCCCTGCGTTCGGCTCGGCAGCAGGCGAATGCGCGTGTGGCCTCATGGCATGCATTCCAACGACTCGCATTGGGACGCAGAATGAACACACCTTTCAATTACCACAGCACCTCCGGCATTTTCAGAGGCCCTCTTCGTCACCGCCAGCTCCATCACTGTTCTCACGAGACACTTCGCTCCGCCAGCGCGCGTTCCCCGCAACAGTCATGATCATCGAGAGATATCGGAAGAATAGCAGAGAAATAGCTTTAGACACTGGTATCATAATTGTCTGGCGGCGCGCCTGGGAACAGAAACGAGAAGGGATCGCTTGGAGACACTTGTAGACACTTGAGGGACTTGGCTTGATATTACACTACATACTGCATCCCATGGACTTGCGAGCGGCCACGCGCGAAGACATTTTGCACAGCCGAAACAGTTTGGCGCGCTCCGACGCTGAGCGCGACCAACTCCGATTCCGCATGAGTAGGGGTAGCGGACTAGGTCGGCTGCACAGTGGGCAGGCATTTGATGCCCAGATTCGCAGTTCCAAAAGCAGAGCAGCCCATGGCTGTCTCGCTTTGCAACAGACGCTTCGTCTTCTTTGCGTCGGACGACTTCTCAAGTCAATGGGGGCTATCTGGAAGTTGACAGTGGTACATATGGCACAAATGTCGCCGAGGGTGCCAGGCAGCCACCGAGAAACTTACCTCGCACATGTGCATCGATTGGACTCGGCCGGGCCCCAGCACTTCTTTTCAATACCAATGCGTCGACACATCCTCGCCAGGGAACCTTGCCTCGAGCCACTTGAAACACGCTTTCATAGTCATAGATACATGACACACAATTTCTCAACTCGAACAGCCCCAAGGCGGTCAACCGCTACAGCGCCCCTCCTGGCTTCTTCTCTGTCACGGCGACACACACGTGCAAAGAGCGCCGGACCGTCGTCCTCCCATTTGACGCTCTCAATTTCTCTATGCGAACGCTTTCGAAGAAGTCGAGGTGAGCTAGCTGTTGGCCTTTGTGAGAGCAGAGGCATCTGCTCTATGTTGCAAAAGATACTTTGGGATACATCAAAAAACAATTTACCTCACAAATCGAAGTGTTATCAATGCCTCAGTCGGAAATGAACAGAAACACACGAAGTACGCAGGCAAAGTGACAATTTATCTCAGCGTCGACCTCGATAAACAAACCTAGAAAGTACCCACAGCGCGTCCATTCAGCTCGCATAGAAACCGCCCCGCCATTGCAAGCCTGTTCATGTATGTATACCGCAGAGTATAGGCAGCCGGACACCGGATTCTCAAATTCCCAGAAACACCGGGCGCCGCGTCATGTCAGCTCATTCAGCGTCGTTTCGAAAGCATACAGCCTGCTTGGACCAGCCACCGTAAAGCTCCAACAGTGTAGCCAAGGTTTCTCGAAGCAGCAGATGTTGCTGGTTGCCCATTCGGCGTCGTTTCAGCGACCTAGGCTCTGTCAGAGCTCAGAACGTTCCACATACGACGAAGGCGTGCTTACCCGACTGATCTTGAACCCTCCAGGCACCATATTCTGGAATACACCTTGCGGATCATACAGCTGTGCTGCCGCTCGGATCTTGGCGACATTCTCCGCGCCGTAACCCTCGAGAGCTTTCTGGTCCTTGTCTGCGTAGTTCAGATATAACCAATCGACGTCAGCTCCCACACTCGCGGCGAATGACTGGATGTCGTCGCGAAGCCACTTGGATTGCTCCTCGATCACCTGATCGTTCTCGGTCTCTTTCCACCTAAAGTACGTTTCGTACATGATCAAGGTGTCGTCGTACCGGTCCAAACCCATAACGTTTCCGCCCTTCTCGAGGCCATGCTTCGCGAAGATGGTGGGAATTGGCTGGTATAATGTCCAAGCTTGGAAGTAGCCCCCGTTCATGCGGCCGTTGAGCTCATCGATGACTTTCAAAAAGGACTCGTGCGCTCGCTGCAACACACGAATGTCGCTCTTGAAAGTCAGGGTGGCGAACTGTACACGCCGGTCCTTTGGAGCCTCAAACTCGTGAGCAAGAGAAGTCATGTTGCGAAGACCGGTGGTGTCGGATATGTTGCCAGGAATGGAGAAAAACTCCTTGAAGATCTTTGCATCAGGCCGCTGAACAGGCTTCGTATACTCGTAAGCATTCAAGAAGACTGTCGAGTTCTTCTCCGAGTCGTGATATCCAATGACGATCGTGGACGCATGGCGATCATCGTTGATTCCATTCCCAAAGTTGACAAGAGCTTTGAACTGTTGGTCTGCAGTATCTGCCGGATAGATGACATTGCCGCCGAAGAAAGGACCGCCTGGAAATGTGTTGAGCACAACCTTCGTCACTATTCCGAAGTTGAGATTGCCGCCTTTGAGGACTTGGAACAAGTCTGGGTTGTCGTCTTTGCTCGCAGTCACTGTCGTACCGTTTCCGAGGACCACTTCGAAACTGGCAACGTTGTCGCAGACGAAGCCGTATTGAGCTGCGAAGAATGAATTGCCGCCTCCAATTGTTAATCCACTGACGCCTGTCATCCAAAGACTGTTAGTCACCTGTGGAAAGATGCGACGCTGCCCTCGTGAATCTTACCCACTGACGATGCACGACCACCGGTGGTCATCACATTGAGCTTGTCCAGAGCCTGGTACACTTCGCCCCACACAGCGCCTGGCCCGACTGAGACTGTATTGTCTTTACTCGAGTACGATATCTCCTTCATCCTTCCTAGGTCGATAGTCACGCCATCCTCAATGCCCGCAGCACCAGGCCAGCTGATGTGTCCCCCGCTCCTGAGCAAATCAAAACATCTCAGCCACAATACGGAACTGATTCGATCAGACGCAAACTTACCGCACGGCGAATTGACAATGTTGAGTCTGGTTGGCCGCGACCAATGCGGTGACTGCTTGTGCCACTTCTGCTGTGTTTCCAGGCTGTAGGAAGCATTGCGGCGACAATTGCGCGACCTGCGAGAAGTATTTGCCTACGCTTGTCTCGAAAGTGCTCACATCCTCGGGATATATGAGGGCTGACTGCAGTCCCGCGTCTTCAAGTGCCCGACACTGTAGATTATGGCATCAGTGATACTGCGGAATGGACACCAGCAGTGTTGGCAGCACTCACGCAATGTGACGAGGTGGTGTTCTGACTCCACGCCACTCCCCAAATCAGAGCAGATGCAAGAAAGTGCTGCCGCATCTTGCCAGGGCTGTGATCTGCAGTGTATAGAACTGTTGAACTGTGTTGACAAGAAGGAAACCAAGGCGGGGGAAGTGCTTTCCTTCTCCAGGAGCACCATGGCGAACCTCATGAAGGAAATCATGCTTCCAGGAGATGGATACAACAACCGATCGTGTTCCTGAGAGGGCAAGATCGTTGGCAGCATGCCCTGGTCGGGTTGCCTTGCGCTTTTGGAGCTTGTTCGTTTGAGCATGGGCCTCAGTCGCGGCCCCTTCACGCAGCTTGAAGATGTTCTCTCCTGCGACAATGGATCCAGTACGAACGGCGAGTATCTACCAAGCGTGCATTATTGCATGATGTTCTGTGCAGGTCGCATGACTGAGAAAGCGGAACGTTCGCAGCGGATTTGTCGTGCAGCGCCAAGTGGAAAGACCTAGGGTTTCGACCTGCCTTGGTGAGCGCAGGCCTATCCATGTTGCAACTGGCGGAAACGTCAACTCTCACAGTGATATTTCCACCTTCCCTGTCGCACTGGTTGGCAATCTCGTCGCACAGAGCTCTCTTTTCGTGGAGCCAACAGAAGTGCTGTGCAAACAGAAACTTGGCTCCAATGCCCGGCGACAACCCTACTCGGTCTGTGTACAGAACCCTTTAGGCCTCAAGCTACGGGAATGCTCACAAGTTGAGATTCACATCATAAATTGGAGCAGGTCTGACGCGGAACCGATAGCCATGAGGCTCGACTGAATTTGTGGATAGAATCATCAACGCCTTCGCGTCCTGACTCTTCGGGCAGGCTCGATGTTCATATCCATGAGCTGGCAGGGGCATGCCTGCCATGGCTGTTCGTCAATGCATGATATTGTGAGCGGACGCGCTCCGCATTGTTGGCTTGGCTATCGCTCCGCGCGGAGTGCTGAGCGCGAGTGAAGAGTGACAGTGCATCTGCGACGGTTCTCGTGCCGCAATCTCACCCCCGTCAGCAGGTTTGGATCTTCTCTCCCACAGGACTTTCGGCAAATGATCGTAGCAGAGCTTTACTGCGCGACATCTCGACCTCCTACCATGTACTGACCTCTACAGTTGCAAATGCCTCCCACTCGAAATCTTGGAACTTGATTTGATCGTCTGGGGCGCGGATCCTGTAGGCATGCTACGACCGAGTATTTCGAGAAGCAGTCTGATGTCATGGTCTCTCAGGAGATGACAGCGTGCACATTTGAAGTGGGCTGTTCGATCGTTGGTCCTTGCTGGGGCTAGCCGTGGCATCACAACCCGTGTCAACCCAAAACAATATCCCGTTCGTGACAGAGACCGCTCTGCACGCTGAGAGCAGCGGCTGCAGCGCTCTTTGCCGCGCTCGCCCAGGGGATAGGATGCTATCAGGGGTTCAAACTTTGCCGGAGAACAGTACGACAAACTATGCGGACAACTCTGGCCAGTAGAGGTCGTCCACCCAACAACCTCAAAGCTTGAGCAAGGGCCCCTCCGCCTTCGAAGAGATGAGGGCTAGACCCGTGTGTGCCTCAAGTGAATGCAAGGTCTTTTATCCTCCAAAGGCTCTGACACCTGAAAGAAGTCTCACACCATCAGTAATCGCGAGTCAAAAAGGCCAAACAAGAATGACCACGACTCTCTGAGAGCAGTGATCCAAGTAGTATCCGCATCAATATGTCGTCAGTCGATCTGGCGCACACACCGGCGGCAACGCCGCCACCGGGACTGGTGTCCAATCTCGAAAATCCGATGATGCGAGATCAATCGCCAGGTGTTGTGCTCGCGATCTTCGGAATGAGCATTGCCACGACATTTCTAGCGATGCGCATTTACACCAAAGCCTTTCTTGCGCACTTATTCGGTATCGATGATGTGTTCCTACTTCTCTCATGGGTAATGTGCCCGCTGCCAGAGTTTACGATGTCGCTAATTGGAGAACTAGGCTATGTCAATGATAGTACAAAGTATCATCGTCTGGATGAAAACCAACGGCCTTATGGGTATGCACATCTGGGACACTTCTATTCAGTACGTCACCTGCGTTGTTTCATCCTGGGCACCCAACTGATCGTTCCATAGGGACCTCAAGACAATCGTGCGCATCACTACGGTCTGCAGTATCCTGTATCTGGCAGTGATGGCCTTTGCGAAATTTTCGATCTTGATATTCTACAGGCGACTGTCACCTCAAAGATGGTGGCGATATGCTGTCGACGGCACTATTGCGCTCATCGTTGCATTCACTGTGCCGCAGATGCTTTTGCTGATGTTCGCTTGCATTCCCCTCAAACGAGTCTGGGACCCAACTATCACTGAAGGGCATTGTATCAACAGGGGCAATGTGTACATGGCCACCGCTGGCACCAACGCGGCTACTGACATTTTCATGCTTGTGAGTCTCGTAGTTCGATCCCGAAGATGGAGCTGACTCGCTCGCGTAGTTTCTGCCTATGCCTATACTGCTAAAGTTGCAGATTCCTACCATACAGAAAATCGGACTGGTCTTGATATTTAGCGTCGGCTCGGTGTGAGTCTGGTGCTTACACTTTTTGCGTTGCATGACCTTACTGACTTCCTTCTAGCACGATGGCAACCAGCTTGGTCCGACTTGGTCTCATGCCTCCACTCGTCAAAAACGCCGATATGCCCTGGGCGCTTTCGACCCCGTCGCTATGGATCTGCATTGAGGGAAGTCTGGTGATCATCTGTGGCTCTCTGCCAGTCCTCCGACTCTTCCTCAAACACACATGTCCACGTCTGATAGGTGAATACGGTACATCCGGCACCGGCCGATCAGGAGGAAGCAAGAAACCTGCCAGTGGATCAGCAGAACTCTCAAATCTTGAACGAAAGCAAGCCGGTCGGAGTAAGAGATACTCTCGCATGACTGATTTCACGCAAGGAGAGACTTTAGTTCAACACGAGAATGGCAGTGAGACGTCCATTATCGAACACAAGAAGGGTGTTACGGTCGAGGCTGTGGAGCTGGGCCATCACAGAGGCTCCACAGGTAAAGTCGACGGGATGAGCACCGATTTGATTGAGCAAGCCAGGCCAGCAAGACCGTATAGTCAGATATATGGCGACCCGGGAGTCTCGTCCAGCCCACCGAGCAGGCATCCGGAAGTCACAGGGCAGCCTTTCTGATTGACAGTGGCGGAGTTGGCGGTGTATACGGGCCTTGGACGATTGGTAGGATGGACGGACATGAAAAGAGGTTGGCGTGACGAAGAAGATACCCCGTGAAAAGCAGGAGGCACTGCCCTTGCAGACTTCCGCTCCCAGCTTGAGCAGACTTGCTCGCAATTGCAATACGAATGTCTTCTTTGTAGCACGAGCTACTCGCAACCCCACGGGGAGGAGCATTCGCTGTTCAAGATATATTGAAGCAATTCTCGATTTACTGGCGCTTGTTCCCGCAATACTCAATGGCGTCCTCATCTCCACGCTTGTAAGAGTCATGTGTTTCAGAGACTGACAGCCGGTGTCATCAATGTTTGATGCGAGCGCTCCAGGCAGCCGTACGTTGATTGGCTTTGGCGCAGCTGGTATGTGCGAGCTGAAAGCTGGGAGCTGGGAGCGTCGATGCAACACCACGCCTTTTGGTGCTTCCAGCGATGAGTCTTTACACACCGATATTCGGAGTTTGTGGCAGAGCTGTATATCGCTGTACATTCCTTCTCCCGTATAGATCGAGTTGGTGCCCGTGAGAATGTGTTGGTCATGACAGGTCAATCTGCGACGCTGAGTGCTCAAGCTCAAGCCGCCTCTCGCTGCGGATCGGGCTCTTTCGTCTCCAGGGTTGAGGTGACCGGTACTCCGTTCTCAGCCACGCGATCCAACTCTGCCAGCCGTGCTCTCGTTTTCTCGGCCTCGTTGGCCTCCTCTTTATCTCTCCTCTCCTTTTCAACCTTCTCTTGCGCGTCACGCTCAGCCTTCTCCTTGGCTTCGACCTTTTCTCTCTCAACCCGCTCAAGCGCCTCCAGCTCATCCTCCACCTCACCTTCATCGACCTCACCGGCGGCAACCTCATTGATGGCATTACCAATCTCTTCCGTATCCATCATGTCCTCTCTCAGACCCTCCATGAGGTCCTGAACTCGCTCCACCCCACCTGTCTGCGCATTCAGACTCTTCAGTGTTTGCCCGCTCTGTTCCAGCACGTGGACGATCTGCACCTGATCGGCGGCCTGCTCGATCTTGGCATAAACGTCCTCTAGCTGAGCAAGCGTCGCTGTGCGCTGTTCTAACTTCGAGGTAGCTGCTTTCTTCTGCCGCAGAGCAGTTTTGGCCTTCAGCATTTGTTTCTCCGACACTGCAGATCGTGCCGTGGCCTCTAGCTCAGAGATTCTTGTTGTCAGTTGATCAACCTGCGGCTGTAATGAGGATATAAGAGTTCGCAACGAGGCGATAGATATGTCTTCAGGCGTGATGTTTGTCAGGCCGGAGGCTTGATTGGGTGCGGCAAATTTGATAACATGAGAGGATTGATCGTATGCTATGGCGTTCCGATCGCGTGCAAGATGTCTCAGGAGCACGTTCAAATCGTTCGGGCTGAGCGCATTCACTCCCAGAGTATTGGCAAATGTCGCATCGAAGAGCTCGCGGGAGAAGACGCGCTCCGCATCGCTTGTGATGTTTCTGCTGGCTTCGTCGAGCACAGCTTTGGCTGCAGCCTCCACATTCGCCACAACCACAAAGCTCCCCTTGACCAAATGGTCGTCTCCGCTCGTCCCACCAGTGAGGCCGAGTTGTCGCAGGCTCCAGCTTACAACCTGCCAGGGCGTCGGAATCCAAGTTTTGTGGTAGAGGCTCTCTTTCCGGTCGAGGAACTCCTTCAAGGGCACCAGTGCCTTGCTATTGACTGCATCTTCCAAAACCGCTCCCAGTGCCAGCGGTCTGCCATACTCTTGCGTGTTCAGTGCCCGCAGCAGAGCTTCACCGCTGTCAATCACAAATCTGCTGTTTCCTCCCGCTTGGTCTGTCTGCGTTGCGATCAGGCCGGCTTTCGCTGCTGCAGATAGTGCACGGAGCCATGCCGAGCTGTTTGCTGTGTAGCCATCGGGGTTCGTGGTTCGCTGGTGTCGGAAGTCGCTGTACAGTGAAGCGAGGCGGGCACGGCTGTAGCGATGTTAGTGGTGGGGGCAGCAGTGGGAGTACGTGGGAGGCTTCACCTACGGAACGCTTCGTCGTGAGTTCGCAGAAACTCGAGAAGCTCACTCATGGCTGTGGAGCATGGGAGGTAGTTTAGACAAAAAGGAAACGAACAAGGGTCAAGTCATGAGAAGTGAGCGGGAACAAAGTAGGGTGACGTCTAAGCTTTCGTCACATGTTGCGCCAAGACGCGCTGGTTTCAGGTCGTGCAGCGCCAGTATGATCTACAGGCTCTGCAGTCTGAAGTCTTTTAAATCATGTCGAGCACAATGCCTTCATCGCTGTCATCGCTTGGTCTATATGGCCCCGTCTTTGGGGAGCGCGAGATGCACTACAATACAGCTGCACACATTCCAGCCAGTCCATCTAATGTCCATGCCCATCGTCCTCTCCTCCTCGCTGCTCGGGATCGAGCTTGATGAGTGTGTCGATACGCATAATGGCCACGCAGGCTTCCACTGCAGACTTGAGCTGCTTGACTTTGCTCATGCTCGGTTCGAGCACACCCGCCTTGATGCAATCGTGTACCTTGCCTTTCGAGAGATCCAGGCCGTAGTTCTTGTAGCCCTTTGCCTTCGCCAACGCTTTCGCATCCGCATCCAGAGCTTGCTGAGTTGAGCTACGTGCAGCGGGAGCAGGCGGTGCTCCATTTGAAGGCGCGGGCGCATGTGCTGATGCAGGTTCCGAAGTGCGCTGTGACAGAGCGTGCCGCGAACGAAGCTGTGCCACGAGCTCAGACGAGTCTTTGGCCGCATTGACTGCAAGCGTTGTGGGGATGACGAGAAGAGATGCAGCAAAAGCACCAATGGCAAGTTGCTCTCTCGACCCGACCGAGGTTGCCCACTCTTCGAGGTAGATGTGCAGCGCAGTCTCCACAGCACCACCACCAGGCACAATTCTCCCAGATTCCAGTGTGCGTTTGACGGCTGATAACGAGTCATGCACAGAGCGCTCCATCTCGTCCAACGAGTACTCATTGGGTCCGCGAAGAATGACTGAGGCTGCGGTGTGCACCTTGGGCCCCTTGACGAGGATACACTCGTCGTCTGATATCCGCTCCTGGACCACCTCCTTCGCCTCGCCCAAACTCTTGGGATCAAATACGTCGTCGCCAGTGTTGATGTCTGCAAGAGTCGAGATCATGGTCGCTCCGGTCGCCTTCTCGATTCGTCTCAGGTCCTCTTTCTTGCATCTCCTCACTGCCATGGCGCCCTTCTCCACAAAATGCTTCAAACACAGGTCGTCGATGCCTTTTGTCGTGAAAATGACGTTTGCGCCGGCCTTGAGAATCATCTCCACTCTCTCCACGACCATCGAGCTTTCTCGCTCGCGAATCTTCTCGAGCTGTGCTGGGTCGTCAATCACCACGTTCACTCCCATCTTCATCCTCTCCTTTTGCAAGTTCATGTCCAGCACCGCAATCTTCGCATCCGTGATCCTTGTCTTCATCGCTTGCGAAGCCACTGTGCAGTTGAGCGCATATCCCTTCACCAGTACTGATTCCGTCGCGCTCTTGCCGTGCGCCTTGAGCACGTTTACAGCCTTGACGGGATATTTGACCTCTCCTCTCGCATTCGTGGTCTTGACACTGGTGATGGCATCAACGACCATGTTTGCGAAGAAGTCGTCATCTGCGCCAATAATCTTGCTGCTCATCGACGTCTTTGCAATGTTGACCAAACTGTCTCTGCCCAGGGTCTCTACTTTCGTTGCAATGTTTTCGTTCATATATCGCACTGCTTCTCGCAAAGCAAGTCTGTAGCCTGTAATGATCGTGGTGGGGTGTATCCGCATCTTCATCAGCTCGTTTGCTCTTCGCAGAAGCTCTGCAGCGATGAGGACCACGGAGGTTGTGCCGTCTCCCACTTCTTTATCCTGTTGTTGTGCGAGATCGACCAAGATCTTTCCTGCTGGGTGCTCCACGTTCAGAAGCGAGAGAATGGTTGCTCCGTCGTTGGTCACAGTCACATCACCAATGTCGTCCACCATCATCTTGTCCAGACCGGAAGGCCCAAAGCTGGACTTGACAATGTTGGCAATGGCTTGCGTCGCGAGGACATTTTGATCGCGAATGTCGCTGCCCGAGATTTTGGTGCCGCCTAGAAAGAGGGTACCGCTGCGGGACTGCTCGAACATGGCTGCCATCGTGGCAGAGGGAGCGCAAGAGCGAGTCTCAGCGGAGGTCTACGCTGGGTCGTCGATTCGGTGCAGTTGGAGGGCGGAGCGAGGGTGTTGGGCGAAGAGGACAGCGGGTTGGATGTTTCTCAAGCCAGCAACTGAAGCTCTTCGAATTTGTTTCAAGCGCAAAGCAGACGCGGACGTGTCGCTGATGCCTGAGGCACCAACACCCTTAGCTCTCTCACTCACTCTTAGCATCTGCACCTTTGTCCTCAACAACCGTCAAACCACACGCCGGCGACAAGTACGACCATCCACTACAGAGCACATAAGTCACGTTACTAGGGACTAGGCCACGATATCGTGCTTCCCAGGGCCATCACATTCACAGTCTACGACCCCTCCTTCAACTCCTGGTCCAGATCAAACCCAGCGAAATCACAATTCAGCACGTCTCCCATCCCCATCGGCAAAGACTCATCCTCTCCCGTCAGCTCTGCAAATGTTTTCTCGTAGTTTACATCCAAATTCGCAATGACCTTCTCCCCATCATCCGGCCACGAATCCGGATCTTTCAGCAAATCCTCCAACACCGGGTCTGCGTTGGTCCCGATTTTTTGTGCCAGTAAGCTTCCAGGTTGAGGCTTTGCAGGCGGGAGAAGCAGTCGTTCGTTGAAGCCTTTCTGACAATATGAGCACCGGGATGGCATTGTGATGTGGTGTTGGCCGTGAACGATGATCCAGCAGGATTTCAGAAATTCGCCACGCGCGCAGGTCACGATCGGCAGGAATTCTCCGTGGCCGCAGGAGCACCAAATTAGTTCTTGAGTGCACATGCGAGGAAGATGCTGTAGCTGGACGAGGTGAGGTTCGGTCAAACGAAGGTGTCTCAAGCTGATATTTCACGCGTATCTGATAAGTATTGCAAGACGATCTCGGTGTCTGGAAAGAGAGAGAATCCATGCAGTGGCAGCATATGTTTGTGCACGGGCAAACTGACTTGAAAATAGTCATGACAGGCAAGCGAGTGATGAGGATGTGGTTGGACAAGCCGCAAACATTTCTCCATGCAACCGGCGAATTACCTTGCACAAGTGACCGCCCGCGTGATGCCTTCTGCAACACAGATGTTCAACTTTCGAAAGCACCTCACCTGGCCATTGCGAGACTGATTGTGTCTGAGAATGACTAGCAACGCTCCTACTGGCTGTCCGATGGCAATGCAGCCTCTACAATGCTCTCTTAGCCTCCGGACGCGCACCAAAAGACTGCCCCTATTTGGCTGGCGCTCGCAGAGGATGATCTAGGAGCAACTCACACCAGTCAAAAACCAGACCGAAAGAAGCATGAGACTGTGGACAAGATCGAGCGCCTCGAGGCAACCAGTGCCTCGCCACGAAATGTTAGGCGTGTTTTTACATTCATTATTATCAACATCTTGACGATGTACACTACAACGCATTCTTCACATCTGGGATCTCCTTCCACCACACTCCGACAACCCCGGTATACATATCAACTCTTTTACAAGACGAGCATGGCAGCCATACCAGCGGCAAGAGCGCCAGCACCGACACGGGTGTGGCTGGCAGCACCGGTGTATGTGGTGATGGTGTGGTTGTTGGATGCGGTTGGGTAAGCGACTGGCTTAGTACCAGCTGGGCTGGTGCCAGAAGGAGCGCCACCAGTTGGGCAGTTCTTGTCCAAGTTGTCGAAGTAAGCAGTGGTGGCAGCAGTGTCGACAATGTATGGGTTGTAGCCAGCGCTATTGCGAGGTTAGCATAACTCGTCTTCTTCGTTAGCGA